TACCAGATCCATCAGGCTGACCACGCTTCAGGAAGTAGCAACAGCTGATATATGATATACCACCATAAGACTGGTGACAGTTCTGAGGATGGCTCACAGCTAGGAACCAAGGTCTCACTGATGAAGCTGTCTGCCTAAAAGAAAAACAATATAACTAACAGAAAGGTTAATTAAATTCTTTACATGTAGGTTTACTTTATTTAGCCTGATTCATCAGCCGGTTTCACTTCAAGGAAACCATCTGACCTCACAGCACTACAGTTCATTCGCTCGATGGTAGGTGGGTACTTTTTAAAATTTTACCAATCACTATTATTTGGTCGTGACATATGTAATGCGCCGCTAATGGGACGAATTTGTATATTAAGCTTTTCTCATATCCCATAGGAAGAAGGGGTCTATGTTTTTCCCCTTGATAAAATTCACCAAACATTCTCTTTGTTCCGGCTTTGAATCCTCGATGTAGGGAATCGTTGCCAACACAGAATATATGGCTCTTCCCTGGTTTTTGCAAAGCATCTAGTATATTCCGATTCCTGACCTAGTTGCTGGAGAGAAATGAAATTGAGCGGAGGCACTAGGTGGTGCCAGCCTGACTATACTTTATCTGGAGTATAGGCTGAATTTTAAAAACTTGATTTAGCTTAATTATTATTATTATTTTTATTTATTTTTTCCATCCTTCTCAAGCCCAAATCAGATGACATGCCCATTACAGCAGACTGGCTTCCCCTCCACACTGAGTGAAAAAGGTCTCAGGGACATTCACAACTACCAGAAACTCCCAGTTCCAGAAACTCCCGGGCCTTGCCACTGCTACTTGTTGCCTTCAGGCAGGTACTGGAGACAAGCGTATATGCTTGTCACAGTACGTTCTATATTGACTTATTGATCAGTAAATTAGTAATGAACAATATTGTATTTGCTGGATCAGATATCGGCTTCCAAATATCAGTTCAGCAGATATCCTGGCTGGACATCTAAATTAATGTAATAAGACTATTTACTGGTTGTAGTCGGCTCAAAACAAAGTTATTCAGCAATTACTTGTGGGATAAATAACAGTTATACAACACATTTGAGTCAGTTTGCCTTATTTTATTTATGTTTTAAGAAAATAAATGCAGCTTTTAGTTGCTGTACTGCAGCACTGGTATCGGTGGATATGAGCTACCAGCGGATACTTTAAATCAATAGTATTTGAATCAGTATCAGAACTGGAAAGGCTGGATTGGTGCATCCCTAGTCTAGGTAAATACCACATTGTAACATAAATATAAATATTAATATGTGTTGGAAATGTTATTCTCTTCTAAACTATTATTTTACTAAATTATCATCAAACCTTTCCCTTTGTATAAAAAATAAGTATCAAGTAAGTGCAGTATTATTTTGGGTAAAATGTAGATCCTTGAGCTGTGGAAGGTCAAATATTTAACATGTGAGTCATTACAGACAGAGGCTGACCAGTAGATGGGGTGGGTGGGGAGAAGTGTTCATATTTAAGCAAAGAGCTGAATTAAACAGACTTCCTGAGTTGCAATATGACATAACCAAAATACCACACCACAATACCCACCACAAGGATCCAAGCACGTTCAGTTTCAGTAACCATATCGCTCAGCAAATCATGACAGGCCAACAAAAGGATACTTCATTGACAGAGAAACTTTAAATTAAAGTTTTATAAGCAAATAGTTTAGGCTCTAGATTACAGTTCATCTATAGACAAGGAATTTCTAAAGAGAAAAATAAAGCTTGTGTTAAGTCTTCAGTGGATAATCTTCTACCACAATCAAAGGGCTTTATTGATTATGTTTTATCATAGCACAAAACATAGGCGTGTCCAAACCACTGAGAGAACTGCTAAAAAAACAAACATTGATCTACAATACTTGTTTCAGGGCATCAAACAGCAGATGATAGAATGATGAGTTATTGAAAAGACGTGCTGTTGATCACGGGACGGCCCCCACCCAGTTTCCGTACAACCCCCCCCCACCACTACTATACACACATACACACACAGTGAGCTCCCATGATAACAAAGTGGAGACTGTAGCACATATCTTGCCTGTGCACACATTACATTGCTATACTATTACTTGTACTTCTTACTTTTAAAAATTGCAATAAACACATGGTTGTGACTATAACGGTGACATGCGTGAAGTGAAAACACTATGATTAAGTGTGCCTGCAAGACTCTACCCCTAAGCCAAGAGTGTAATTTTAAATCCTCAACACAGGGAAGCTAGAAACAAGGAATACAAGTAAAAATAGATTTAATGATTATTAGCAAATGTTTGATACTTTTTTGAGACCTGTATTTTATTTTCTGTTACAAGCACCCTCCCAAACATGCGTGTGAGAGATAACAGATTCATACAAACACACCTTCCCTTCAGTTCAGGCCACTTTTCACAGGAAAGGCACACGACACAATAGTTTTACAATGGTAAAGCCACATGAGAGAACAGAGTTCACTACATGCCTATGCCCAAACTATACTAAAAAGATGTCATCCTGTCTGAACAGACAGGACAAGACAAGGAAATACTATGATTGCACCTACATCATACTTACAAAGCACACTTAACACATGCTGACTGTTGTACAGACTGGCATGTCGGTCTCTTTGCTACAGCCAGAATAAGATGATTTGTAAAACAGCTCAGGCTACACAGCACCTCATTTGGGTCTTCCAGTAGGTGCTTCTATCTCCAATGGAGAGGATAAACTTAACTTGTACTTTCCAAAAATACAAACACGGCTAAGAGTGTTTGTAAGAAATATAATTGTCCTTATATATTTCACCACAAGTTTTAATGTTCACCACAAGTTTTCATCACAGAATGTAGACAGCCTATTGTAACTCCAGAGAGCCTCCTGAGCAGCAGGTCCCAGCTTGCCTAAGTGTTATCCCAAGGACACGTTTAACTGTGCTCCTTCAGAAGGAGGAACAGAAGAGGTTTTCTTTAGACAGAGCACTGAATGCTGCCAGGGGTTTGAGCAGCTCACACACACTGACAGTATTTCTCACCAAAGCCTTGAGTCCTGCTTTATTGCTCTGCAGGAGCAGAACAGAATCACACAGTCACAAAAGGCACACCACTGTTTGACCACAGGACAGTTACTACTGCTGCACCCTGCACTGGGGCCAGGACCAATAAGAATTGATGCAATTATGATCAAGGTTTCATCAGTGTCTCTAGAACAATGTTGTGTCTATATCTTGATTTGAACTAGTAGTGTTTATGTTTGAATCCATGGAGATGCCAAATGAAAGATCAATGAAAATCATGTACATCCGTTACATTTGTTTACAGAGGCGTGTTACTGCCTCAGGTATGCTTATCTGTCTTATCTGATTGTTTTATATCTTCTCTTTTACTTTTGAGAGAGTATATTTGTGTGTGTGTGTGTGTGTGCGTGTGTGTGTGTGTGTGTGTGTGTGTGTGTGCGTGCGTGCGTGTGTGTGTGTGTGTGTGCGCACAAAGTCTGTGGCAATACCATGGCATCTGGCGCATGGCTCAGTTCCTCCTGACTCAAAACTACTGTTGACTCAACAGTGCAGGCTGGTCGCATCCTGTCTCACATTTTCTTTTGCACATTGTGGCATTTCATTATTCATAACTGTTATCACGTTATCATAACTTTTAGAATGGACACTGAGATTACACTACTAAACAAAGTAAATTTGTTTCATAAGAGTGTTTTTATCAGTATCACAAACAAAATCCCTCTGCAGCTAAACTGGTGTGTCTTCTACATTTAGGGCAGGCACCACAAAGACAACTGTGACAGCATGAGCTGCTGGTCTTACACCTCTATCTGCAATTGAATAAAAGAGCCTTGATGTTTTTAGCTCAATATTTCAAAACAGAAGTTACATTACTTCAAGTCGAGTATATCACTGATAAAATAATGTGGGAACAACTGGAGACACAAAAGTGAAAGAGCTCAAACAAACTGAGAAGACAGAGAAATACACTTAATTCACACTGGCAGAATCAACTTCGTACTTTGGAAAAACATGATGACATTCACTGAAACTCAAGTGACACGTGTGCGTGTGCGTGTGTGCGAGGAGCAGGTTCCCACATTCTCCAGATACTCTCACTTTGTTCCACTGCAGCGCTACTTTTCTTCACATTTTGAAGGCAGAAGTTCAACAGAGCTGAAAACAATCACACTCAACCCAGAGACACTGATTGAGCCAATGAATAACATTCATTTTCAAAGGTCTTAAAAGAAGCATGAGCCCAACCAGTAATCTCAGCACACAAAACCAATACTCAAAAAGACATTACACAAAATGTAATGTAAATATGTGCATAAAACTATCAGTCAGTGTGGATAGGACCCTCTGCAGGTGTATTTCCCCCTACATTTGGGGTGGGTACTACAAGGACAGCTAAAGGGGTGTCATACCTTAAAAATATAGTTTATGTCTTATTTGAAATGCAATCAATAATAATACAGTTACCCTATAATTGTTACCATGGGCCAATACCCAACTATATTGTTACCTCATATTTACAGTGTGCTCTATGTTATTTCTAAGATAGCCTAGAGATTGGTCCAGAAGCTGTCATGTGACTATCCGAGGGTTTTCCACAAAAATGTACACATACACATACATACATATTGTCAATCTATAACATAAGGCTAATGGAACCCAAGAACGTTGTATTGTCGCGCTAGCACTTTTTCCACACATGTGAACTTATCCATAGGCGTTTTGATACTGCTTTCGTAGATGTGAGAGTGCAGAAGACGGGTATAAGTCGCAGCTCTGTAGCCGAGGGGCCGAGCCGGCTAAAGTGCCCGTGGAGTGAGACAAACTGTGCCGTTTTAACCTGAACGTCAGACGTTCATAACTCATTGGACTATTCACGTGGCCTAAAAGTAGTTACCCCAGCTCTTTGCCCTGCATGAGGTCTATACTATTATATTTCCATGACTTATCATAACTGGGGCCACAGCGTGTGTGCTACCTGTTAGGAGAACCGCGGGGAGCAGAACGCAGTAGAAGAACCACACAGCCACCTGGATATCCATGTCCACTGGCTCAGATCAGGCGCATGGCACATGCGGAGCCACAGCGAGCACCCGCCGCTACACTCCATCGGGATGAGCGCATATGGGAAAGAAAAATGACAAAAGGAAAGTAGTCCAAGCCGTGGGCATGACTCCAGTTCAAACCACGTCTCAAAACGTTCTGACAAAGTTGCGATAGAAAAGTTTTAACAGATAAAGCAGATTCAGTCCGCTAGTCCTTTGGATATGTAATCCGCGCCGAACTTTTTTCAGAGAGTTGTTCGTGTTAGTGAACTCCTCCTCGGGCCCAGTCCAGCTAGAGGAGTAGGTGGAAAAAGTGATTCACAGTCAGCGTCTCAGTTCATAGAGGAGCTATTCTCCAGCTGCATGGTCACCTCCCTGCGCTCTCGCTCTCACATTAGACAACTGTTGGAACGCCGCTGTGGTGCGCAGTCTTGGTGCGCAAAAAGGCGCTTTGAAATAGGGTCATCTGACAACAAACTCAACAAAACCAACCTACATAGTGTTAGTAAGTGTTTGCTCAAAGCACGCGAAGTGAAATGTACACAACCATAAGTTGCCAAACTTATTTTGTTGTAACGTGTGTCAATAGCACCATCTACTGGAAGTACTCAAGTTATGCATCCAGATAGTAACCACGTTGCACTTTATTGCATACCATCACAGAACTGATAGAGAAGTCCTGACTTGTGTAATTCATCTTTTATTTAAAGCAATCCAACCACTGAAATATAGACTAGTCCACCTCATCAATAACTATAACAGTATTTTATTATTTTTATTATTATTATTTTATAATCTTAGATGGGTTATGTAGTCAAGATATGTAGGCTACATTGTCTTTCACTTCCTTATTATTGTATGCTCATTTCCGTGTGCCAAGTATGCGCGTCATGCAGCAGTCTGACTCCGAAGACCCGCAGGTGTCCCACCGGGCTCTCTTTGAGGATTATTTAAGTTGTCACGTGACTTTGTGTCCAGAACCCGGGCCGTGTCGGGATGAGGACATCCTGAGCCGCGCGGCACAAGTGCTGTTGCGGCATCCCGTGCCCGTGTCTGAGTGTAGCGCTACACTGGTCCGTTTGTGCCATCATGTAATTAAAAAAATCCTGCCCACAGACCCATCACACTTGCCCGGCCTGATCCGAGCCGCTGAAATACTTGAGACGCTTTGCCTCAACTTGTACCTGCAGCCCTGGAGGAAGGAGATCCGCAAACTTAAGGTGGGACTGACCTTGTCTAGTTTGAATAGGCCTAAGTTATTATGTAGCCTACAGTTTAATACTTTTTCGCTGTATTTGGACACTTGGCTTGTATCTGGTCGAGGACCAGAGAAGGTTTTTAGTTTGTGGTGGATCTCGTTTTTGTTTTGTGGCCTTTAAACTGCTTGTGCGCGTCTGTCAGTCTTTCACAGGTGCATTTGTCTACTGCCTCCTGCCGGCCCTCGGCAGAAGTACTCTTCAGTCCATCTTGGCCTCAATCGGATACTTGCCCAACGAGATCGGGCTTCCTGCCAGGTAGTCTACAAATGACCTAGACTGATCTAGAGAGTTTAACATGCCCTACAACCATGTATTTCCTTTTGCCTGACTTACTCACTAATTTGCAGTGACACTGCAAAATTAAACAAAGATAAAAAACACTTTAATTGCAGTGAGTACAGACTGTCTGAGGATGCAAGTCCAGAGGGAGCCCTCCAAGTAGCCTTTCAGCTCCTGTTGACTAGAGCCTTGTGCCTTCACCTGTTCCAGCTGCAGCAGCACAACAGGCCTGAAGTACAGGTCTGTGTCAGCACAAAATTTCAAATGGAAAACTTTGGGTAAAGGATAACTGAAGAAAGTAATGATATAACGTACTCTCCAGGTGTGTGTGGAAAGACTCCAACTTAAACTGCCGCCTGTAGAGCAGTCACAAGGCAGCGAAGGTACAGGCATCAGCACAGAGGTGAAAGAGGGCAACCAAACTGAAGGGGAGGAGGCGGACACAGAAGCTGAGCTAAACCAAGCTGTATGTCCAGAAGATGCTATAGCCTCAGGCCTCACTGAAGACCAGTCTATCTACAATCTGCAGCTAACCTATCCTGACCTGGTGTTCAGGGGCCGCCCTCTGCGGCAGGAAGATGATGACCACACCCCTTCACAGCACACACCACTATCACACAGACGCTACGCACAGAGGACTCGGGTGCCATACAAATCAACAATCAAAGATATCATTGAAGACGAGGGACTGAGTGGTCCCTTGGGCCTCTCTCTGCATATAACATTAAGACCACAAAACATTCGACTCTCACCCTGCACTCAGCAGCACCCAAAAACAGGTAACAGCCAAGTCCCCCAGATTGTCAGTACAGAGATGCCATGCTTATGGAAGAAAATGTCATTACTCAATCATCCAGGAGTGGTTCATGGTAGAAAAGGTTTCAGAGGACATCTAGAAAGCATTGTTCAAATGACTACCTTTGAACCCTTTTCTTGTTATACTCTGTAAGTGAAGGAATCATTCAAGAGTGCGATTAAATGCACCACTGTCCAAAAGGCATTTAGTAGCCTTCATATATTAAAATACATTTATTAAAAGTACTTTTCAGAATACTCAAGATATGATTTAAAAACAAAAATAAGGCAGTCAACTATCAGCTTGATGTTCAGTTTAAATGCTCCTTGAACATGGTTGCAATGCAACATTAAAATCCATGTATTTCACAGATATGTCTTGTGAAGAAAATGTTGACTCCCCTGTCAAGTGTGAGGATGATGAGGTGCCCAAAGCAGAAGATGCCCAAGCGTGTACCCAGGACCACACCACCTCGATAGGCACGGAGGATCTGCACTCAACAGAGGAATCTGCAGCTTTGATCTAGTCTTTAAGAAATGTTCTCAAAACCACTTTCAAAGATAAAATATTATATTCATGTTAACATATAGGCCGCTTTTACTTCTGTGGCACATTAAATTAGAAATTTTCTATCCAATCCTACGTTTGAGAAAATTAGGTGTTTATCTACATGGTTCTGAGCAAAAAGTTTTAAGTTTTTGCATTGCAATTAATATGTATTTTTCTATGGCAACCGCAGGAGTGGATGGCTGTTTTCTTGTTGTGTGTCACTGTTTTGCATTAGACTGTTAAAATATTAATGAAATATATTTAAACTCAGGCAAAAAGGCCAAACCAAAACAGGCAAAATGTTGCCTATAATCCATTGCATCATTACACAAGTTACAGAAAGATGAACTGGAATTGTGAATTAGTTCTTGCATTGGGTCTAAGTGGGTACAGTAAATATCATATACACAAAATGAAATTAGAATGAAGATGCAAACCCTTATTCTAAGTATTTTAATCCATGTTAATATGTATATGAACTCATTGAAAACAGGGTGGGACAAAAAATATAGCCAAACAATTAGCATTTATAAAGAATGTAACTTTAGTTTTGGAAGCTACACCTATGACAAATAAATGTAAATTTTGTTGATGAAATTTGTTCAGTTTGAATTTGAATATCATTTAGTTTTTCTCATTTTTGGTAGCTTCATTTTTTCTGGTTTTTACACACATATTAGTATCTATTACTTAATATTTGTCTACCCTCCTTTCTGTTTTGATATAAAATGAATCAAATACCATATCTTGTTATGTTAAATAAATAAATATAATAATGATAATAATAATAATAATTAATTAAAAAGCTTTAGCGCAGCATGTACTTTTAATAGTATTATAATGTTTAATTCGTCACCTGTTTATTCCAATTAAATCTTATGAGTGGGGACATGTTCATTACGGTAAAAATGCTTAGTATATTATACAGTATATATACATTATATTAATCTTGTAGAATGATCAGGGGATGTAGATGCATCCACCACATTGGCCAGTGGTCTCACATACTCATGAGCAGTTTTGAGTTTCCCATTCTTTTAACTCATGCATACAATGTTGGTGATTGATTTTTATTTAAAGCCAATACAACTATAACCATTATACCCAATGTGCAAACAGTGAGACCAGCATGGGATAACCTACCACAGGCCTGACTTGTGTAAACAAACCCCAGCAGAAAACCCAGATAGCCTATGCAACTTAAGGGATAACTAATCGACTTTAAAATTCTAATTTTACAACTGCTGAAATAAACATTTTTGTACAGGATGTGCACATACTGTTGTGCACATCAGCATTTGAAACACAACTTTTTCCTCTGCTTAATCAGCCCTCGCTTCAAACATGCACACAGGTCAAACAAACTTCCTGGTCAGACAATGAGTTATTCATTGTTTCTCCTCCTGTATCTTCATATGTAAATGATTTAGAAGAAAATAATATGACCACTTTCATGGAATATTTAAAAAAATATCAGAACAGTGTAATAAATATGTAGCTAGATACATAGAATATCATTCCCAACCACATACAAATAATAAATAGCATAAAAAGTAAAAGCACACTTAGAAAAAGTTGGGCAATAAAAACATTTAAAAATGTTCACAATGAAAAAGTCCTTCTGAGATGCCAGTACAAAAACATGTATATACAATACTTGAGGAATGTCCTTGTCTGCAGCCCTGAGGAGTCCTGACCCTAGGTCTTGACTTAAGAGCAGGCTGCTGTCAGAATCCTGTCCCGGTGCTCCTCGTACTGGCGCAGCATCTTCTGGAGGTCGTGGTCTGCAGGGATAACCTGTGACAAATGCACATGATTAATGTTCTGACCATGTTTACACATGATTCCAACAATAATCAGATATTTTTTATTTTGTTGTGCAGGATAACTAGAGTATGTAGGGATCACAAAGTGGACAAACCAGTACAGGAGCAGGCAGAGGCATTTTGTGCTTGATAAGCCAGTCCTCATAGAGCTGGTGAATGGACTCCAAATATGCCTGAAAGAAAAGAAAAACATATTAAGCTAAATCAATCCAGTTTACAGCCCTGTACTTCTTTGAGAAATTCAGATATTGTTAATACATTTCATGAGAAATGTTGTGCAGCACTTTTAAAAATTTAAAATCACTGATACCCGCTTCTGCTCGTGTCTATAAAATCCTGCTACTGTCCAGGACTGCCAGTGTAGCCATGCGCCATTATGTTGAGAGTTACAGCGGTCTAGGAAAATCAATTCTTGAACGGGAAGTTAATGAACTAATTTCCATTATTAAGATGTGTTATATCAATATGGGGGTTCACCATAAAAAATGGTAAATAATTATGTGTCATAAACTATCACTAAATACTAGGGTGCTAAACTAAGGCCATACTGATCCAGCCTAACCACATATTGCGCTTGTAGTTCTCAATGTCTCCCCACAATAAAGCAACTGCTATGCTAAATCTTTAATTCCTTCTGCCTTAAAACTTTTAAATGCAAAGTAAATGTGCTAATATGTCCCCTCATGCACTAAGATTGTCTGAATGCATGTTATACATGATTTTATTTATGGTTTATGCATGGTCTATGCAAGTAGAGATCTGTGAACTGAACTGCCCTTTGAGATAAATGAAGTTGTTGATTGATTGGTTAATTGTTTCATGTGTACATTTAATGCTGGGGACACTGCTCACCAGTGGAATGACCTTCTCTTCTTCACGGCAACGAAGCCTCAGCCTCTCGTGGCAAATCTCTGGAGAGGTCTGGAGGTAAACTAAAACCAGACAACACACTTATTTTGGTTAATATAAGAGGTTTTAGAAAATACTAATACTGATACTGATTAAAGAAAGCACAGACAGGAAACAAGTGAATGTTAATAAGCACACAATAGTGTAATTCATACCAATGAGATCAACTGGAATGTGTATATTGGTTGTGATCCAGTCAAACCACTCACTCAGGACAGCATAGTCAACTTCTGGCATATTTCCACTGAAAACACAAAGCACAGTCAGTCATTTTGAGATTGAGAGGGTTTTTTTTTTCAGCGCATACATTACCATACCTTCTATAGAGATTCTCCACAAAGATGTACTTGGCACTGTATAGAGATCTCTCCATCATCTTGACAGGAGCACACTGAAACCCACAAAAAATTTAATACATTATGCATAAATTAAACAATAAATACATTTTGCCTGTATTTTTCCATTAAATGTCCTAATCTTAATAAGAATGTGTGGTTGACCTACTATTGGAGCCTGGTGCCGGTCTAACATGGTGAGCTGGACATAAGTTTGAAGGGTGATTCCCCAGCGCTCAGGGTCCTGATACATTAAACCCTAAAATTACAGAATGAGATAGATTTCCTCAGATGCGTCACACAACCCTGCATGGCCATGTACTGTATAACATGTAGATAACGAGGCAATTTTATCTAATTATCAGAACCATTACATGCACACATTGCATTTATAACTCAGTTTTTATTTTATCAGGATTCATGAACACTTTGTACTCACAATATCGCCTTCAAGTGGAAATGTTTGTTATAAGAGCTCATCATTATTGTTGGGTAATTCAATTCAATACCAATTTGCATACTGGGAGAACAGGTTATCTGGGCTCCACACACTATTGGAGCACCTGGAGTAGGGGTGGGCAATATACAAAAAAATGTATAACCAAATTTCTTGGATCCAGATCACAAATCTGATTTTGTCACGATTCCTGTAAACTTAGTATCAGCTGTAACACTCTCAGGGAAATGCTGAAGTTGATCCAGCCATACAAACTCTGGACTAAACTACACCATTGTGATGATTCTGATAAATGCTCTTAAAAAAGAACAAAAAAAAAATTCAAAAGGAGAAGTACCAGAGGGTTGTGACCGCGAACATTCCTCCATTTGAAAATAGGCTCTGTAAACACCTGTGCAACCAAATTAAGCACAGTAAGTAGATGGAAACAGACAGAAAACCAAAACAGAAATTGCAAAGAATTATGATAATCTCACACTAAATCTTTCTCTCATTATTTTCTTCTTAGAATTAATCTGAACTGGAAGAAGGACACTGTCTCTGTTCAGTCTATGGCAATATTTGCAATGTTATGGAATCCTAGGATTATGAAAATCTATTATATGCAGTATATTTTAATGTGAATATGTCTGATCCAAAAAGAACAAAAGCAAACCAAACAGTTATAACAACACTACTGCTGAAACAAAAATACATCAAATGAATGATGCACACTTGACTGATCCCACTGTGGTTTGTAATAATCTTTCTAATTACATTTTATGTGTTGTGAAAGTGAAAGTACCTCTATGTTTGCAGTTTTGCTGAAATACTCAAGACATGTTGTTTTTCCACTGGCAATGTTTCCTTCTATACAAATCTGAAAGAATCAAAAGGTTACAAATGTTACTTAAAGTGCATATGACTGTTTCATATGTTTTGTGCAGTTTGTGGGAAAAAAAAGTCTAGAAGAAAAGTACAAAATTACAGGCAATGGCAATGAGTTATAAAACAGAATACTTCACCCTATGCCATCAACACCGAAAATTCCATCCAAAATGCAAGGGCAATTTGCATGCAAAGAAGACATTTTTCTAACAATTCAAAACATCATATTAAAATAAAAGGTGTTGTCATCCCTTTTATAATCATAACTATTGTGCTATTTATTGTGCCCTCGTTATTATAGTTGATAGGTAACAGAACCGGATTTACCGCTAACGTTACTTATGTCATATCTGCAGTCCATGTCCAACAGGAAGTAAAATTATAAACTTCACCAAAATTACACAAACTATAAAAAACTAGGCAATAAGTTGTAAAATTTTAAATATCACTGTTAACTGTGTTTTAGTGAAAAGAGTCTAATCTGTCACATACACTTTAATTAAAATCTGCGGTTAATCGACTTACCACAGCCTTATTATTCTGTCCATTGCGCATTAGCTTTCCTTAGGAGACAAGACAAAATGTGACACAGTCTTGGGTCAAAAACAAGTTGTTATGGATAACGATCATACACAGTAGCACGCGATACGGGCAGACGCTCCAAGATGCATACTCACCATTAACCGTGTGCGTGCTCGCTCTGGTCCGTTGGGTGGACCATTTTCTCTGGTGCCTTAGCAGCCCCCTCTCAGTTACATGTGCGAAAAAAGACGATAAAAATTCATTGTTCGCCGCTATGCTTCGGCATTTATTCCGTAGCATGTCGAACTATCGCACACCATCCAGCGGCAACACTCAGATAATGGTCCTTAACCCATGTACGCCACCTGCTGCTGCGGAGTAGCCACTGCACTAAAAGGCCGGTGTGACTGCGCTGCGGCAGTAGAAGAAGAAATATAGGAAGTAAACATGTCACGCACACGCGGGCTGGACTTTGATTTTGGATATAATTGAATGTGCTTGTGTACAGTAAAGGAGTCGGAGTGCAGAAAATATGTCATCGGAGGAGGACTGCAGACTGAAGCTGATTAAATCCCGGATCAGAGAGTTTCCAGACTTCCCCAAGAAAGGGATCCTCTTCAAGTACAGTAGCTTGCACGTTGTTAATTGTACGAAAGTTGCGTTTCATTTGAAGATGTGCAGATCCTTCTCAAAACATTACTGGGAGAAAGATATTGCCTTGGCAGTGTTTCTTTTGTGGCAGGCACAACAACCTTTGTGAAACATCTGTGAAACAATTTATTATTACGTATTTATTCATAATTTTTCTGCCTGTTTTTTGCATTCTTTGTATTGTATGCTTTATATTTATACAGTTAAACTACTGAACTTGATAAAGATACTTTTAAACACTTAAACTATGATAATAATTGGCACAAAATGAACTGATAAAATATCGAATAATTATTCCATGAATTACAGAGACATCTGTCCCATTCTTAAGGACCCTGGGGCACTCACAGCTGTGACCAGTATGTTTGAAGAACATGTGAGGGAGAAGTTCCAGCAGGTGGATCTTGTTGTAGGTTTGTACAATTGTACTGACTTAACATCTCTTTTGTAAATCATCAAATGCCTTAACTCATGTTGATTGTATGGAAGCAGGGTTGGATGCTCGTGGGTTCCTGTTCGGACCCATCCTTGCCCAGAGAATTGGTGTTGGCTTTGTCCTGGTACGAAAGAAGGGCAAACTAGCTGGACCCACTATCTCAGTTGCATACGACCTGGAGTATGGAAAGGTAAGTCCACCCACCCACTGAAACATTCCAACTGAAATACTTCCAAGCCAATATCTCTGAGTGTTACTCTTGACCTGATTGGTGTACAGCCATTAAAGGAGCGCATAGTTTAATACTAAAATTTAAACTTTTAGGCAGAGGCAGAAATTCAGGTGGATGCAGTTAGTCCAGGACAGAAGGTGATACTCATTGATGACCTCTTAGCAACTGGGGGTAAGTCCAATGGCTGCAGCCACATTTCACATTTGAACATTATAATTTTTCACTTTTTGTAGTTGTAGTTTTTATTTTGTTGTTCCACATGGGCTCACCCGGGATTAACTTTAACCTCTTTCATTCCTGTTTATCTGTAATTGCTAATGTCAGATTCCTTTGAGATAGTAGCTAACTGCTTAAAACAGACTGAATACATTTGCTGTCATTTTGTAACCATACAGGGTCACCCAAATAAACCAAATGTATTCACAGTCCTGGTTTAGGGGAGTGGCCATATTTGTGGAATAGTCTATCATTCTATCTCCTATCAGTCTAATCTGCAATAGCACTGCCATAGTACATGGTCCAAGCGTAATACTTTGCATGTGGAAAGTGGAAAATTAAACTAAAGCTATAGCAGTGTGGTCCCATGTTGACTGTAGCTCATTTATTTTTTATATTATGTTGTTGTTGTTGTGTGCAGGTACACTGTATGCAGCCTGTGCTCTGATGCACCAGCAGCAGGCAGAGGTATTGGGCTGCTTAGTGGTGGTGGAGCTGAAGGATCTGAATGGAGCAGAAAAACTTAAACCGCACCCAGTGTACTCACTGCTCCAATACTGATACAGGAACAACTGTAATATATGCACTGGACTAGGAAGCACAGTACTTATATTACTTAGTATCACATGATTTCTATGTTATGGGAACCATTCTGTTCGATTTATTGTTTTAAAAAATTACAGAATCCGCAGCATTTTCAAAGATAAATGATGTAGCCACTGCTTTTATCACGTTTTGTTTGTATGCATGGCTTGTGTTAACATTATAGGAACAAATATGTACACTTGTTTTAATAAAATATAAAAAATAATTAACATAAGTTCATTATCCCGCCGAAATGTACTTCAGACATCTTTCAATGAAACATCTTTATTGCTTGATGCTTAAATGCAATTATTTTTTTTACATTAAACCATGTGTGTTTAATAAAATCACAATGCCACCTCAAAATTAATGAAAAACAAGTCTATAGTATTCTATTTTATGCATTAAATGAATGCATATAACACAGGGAGATCTCAGTTCAGTTAAATGGTTCCTGAAAGAATTTTAATATATTAATGTAAAACATTTCAAACTATTTAGTAATGTAACTTTTTTTTTTTAAGACCCATCATTCGTGCACTACAGCAGTGTATTTGTTTATTTGATATACAATCAGAGCAATAACTGCAATACTTTTCTTGATTTTCAATAAAACTGGTCCTAAAAATAAGAACGGACCTCCATTGTCCTCCAATGACGTTTCTCCCAGCATCATAAAAATACAATGAAAAATTGCAAACATGTCTCTTCTACACTGTAGAAAATTTGTAAAAACAGCTGGTAGTCATTACAGGCTCTCCTCTTCCTTAAGCCTAGTGCGCAGTTTGTTCTGTACCACACTCAGCTCTGTGTTCTTGTTTAACTTGAGGTAAAAATCCTTTCTGATCGGAATGATCGTAAGCCAGTCGGATGCTACCTCTGCCAGCAATCTGATGTGCTTCTCCATTTCACCTGTTCAAGAAAGAAGTCAGTCAATTAATATCCCTGTACATCTGTGTAGTTTATGAATAATACAATTCCATAATTGTGTTGATGTTTTGAACAGCCAGTCTTTGGTGAGTCCTCACAAAGCAGTGGATGTAAAAAGGTGCCAAAATGGCTATGCACTGTTGTTGAACCCAGTGAGAATTACCGTATTTGGGACAAAATAGTACAGAGGTAGTAGAGACAGTGGGCATTTTCCTTTGATTACACTGCATTCCAAATTATTGGGCAAATTGTGTTTAAGAATCATAAAAAGGTAATTTTTTTTGTTTTTCAGTGATCTCATGGATGGTAATTGTGTCTCAAGGCTCTTTGGGTCAGTGAAATCAATCTCAGACACCTGTGCCGATTTGTTTACCAGGCAAGTCCAATTATTATTATTAAGCATTATTAATCATTATTAAGCAGACCACCATTTTCAAGCAATATGAGAAAGAAAAAGGATCTCTAGTGCCGAAAAGCATGAAATAGTTGAATACCTTGGACAAGGTATGAAAAGCTTAGATATTTCACAAAAACTTAAGAATCTTCATACTATTAAGAGATTTGTAGCCAATTCTGAGCACACACAGATTCATGCAGATAAAAGGTACAATGAGGAAGGTTTCTGTCAAATACAATGGAATAAGAGGGCACCTGCTAAAATGCCATTAAAGCAGCAAACAGGTATTTGAAACTGCTGGTGCCCCTGGAGTCCTGCAAACCTCAAGGTGTAGGATCCTCCAGGGGTTTGCAGTTATGCATAAATCTTTTACTCCACCCTTAAACAATGCTCATAAGCAGAAACGGTTTCAGTGGGCCCAGAAATACATGAAGACTAATTTTCAAACAGTCTTGTTCACTGATCAGTGCCGTGCAACCCTGGATGGTCCAGATTTATGTCTCAACAAGGCTGCGACATCAGCAAGAAGGTGGCAGAGTCATGTTTTGGGCCAGAATCATGGGGAGAGAGCTGGTTGGCCCCTTTTGGGTCCCTGAAGGTGTAAAAATTACCTCTGTAAATTATGGGGAGTGTGACTGACCATGTTCTTCCATGATACAAAAACAAGGACCAGGCTTTCTGTAGCAAAATAATCTTCATGCATGACAATGAACCATCTCATGCTGCGAGGAATACCTCTGCATCATTGGCTGCCATGGGCATAAAAGAGAAACTCATGGTGTGGCCCACATCCTCCCCTGACCTCAACCCTATTAATGAGAACCTTTGGTTGGGAGTAACGCATTATAAAAGTAACGAATTACTGTAATGCATTGCTTTTTTGCTGTAAAGTAGTAATGTAATGTAAGGCACAAGGAAAAAAATGTCAGTAATGCATTTTTAACCTGGATTGAAGTGGTGGGTTTTTAATTTTTCTTCATAAAAATTCGCTAAAATCACCGCGATATCAGCAGCGGTGAAACGCCGGAGACACGGCAGGTGACCGCGGGCGAAAGGGCCGACGCAGAATTCTGCGCTCCACGGGGCTAAACGCAGCTGAAGCGCCTTGCAAAAACCCTGTCTGCAAGGCGCCTCCGGGTTCAGTCCTCCGGGTTCAGTCCTCCGGGTTCAGTCCTCCGGGTTCAGTCCTCCGGGTTCAGTCCTCCGGGTTCAGTCTCCGGGTTCAGTCCTCCGGGTTCAGTCCTCCGGGTTCAGTCCTCCGGGTTCAGTCCTCCGGGTTCAGTCCTCCGGGTTCAGTCCTCCGGGTTCAGTCCTCCGGGTTCAGTCCTCCGGGTTCAGTCCTCCGGGTTCAGTCCTCATCTTCCGCATCTTTGCAGTTATTTTGGTGAGAGTAACTTAAAAGTAATGAAATAGTAATGTAATGCCTTACATTACAATATTACTGCATTTAAAATGTAACAAATTACTTTGAAATGACAGTAACAAGTCATAAATAACTCATTACAGTGAGGCTGACCAGGGCAAACAAGGTTTTCAAAAGTAAATTTTAAAGCACTAATTAACAGTCTTTCTGGAGCTGTGCTCTTTCACACGACACAGATCTGCCCCAGGAGCACGTTGTGCTGATGGTAAACGCACAAATACAACCAAAGATTCGTGCTCTCTGTGTATTTTGATGGGGATACACGCCTACGCTCGCGTAGAGCATCAAAAAATAGGATGGATCCTATTTTCTGAAATCTATGCGCACAGGACTCGCTGCTCCATATGCGCGTCTAGTGCGTACAGTGGAGCCGCCCTCATTCACTTTCCATGCTTTCTAAAAATTGCAGTTTTTACGCTCACGTAGGGCAAAATACGCGTGCAGTGGAGCCAGGCGGCTGGTACCGAGGTGGTGCAAAACATAACCAACCAAACCTTCTGTCTGGATATGTTGTTCTGAGCGTCTCTCCTTCTCTCAGGCTGTGACACCTAACACCACTCCCCGACTTGAACCAGAGCTGCTCCCGCTGGTTCAGGACTCCGGTTTGGACCGCTGTTCCCCAATATGTATGGGCGTATCCTCAAACTTAACGACAAACTGAGGTGACAAAAAAGCCGGTAGCAGCTGAAGTGTGTGCGTTTTCTTCCTGTCGACGTAAATACGTTGGTGTCCCTGTCCAATAAGAACTCTTCTCCATCCCCAGACGCTGAGCGGAATTAAATAATGACGATTTAACATGCTTTCCATGTAAACCTCAATTATTATTTTATTTAAACTCGAAGGAGAAGAATTTATTTCCTAACTCAAGCACCTACCTCCCATCCCTAAAAAAAAAAAAAAAAAAAATCTATGCGATTCACATGAATGACCCAATTGACCAAGAAAAAGGCGATTGTAGCTGAAAGGCGACAAGTTTGCAGGTATGGTATGTGTAGAATCAGACCTGTGCTCAGAGCAGATGTGTAACTGGCAACCATCCTGTTGCAGGCCACCTCCATGATTAGTGCCGGTTTCTTCTCAGCCACAAAGACATTGCGAAGGATTCGGGCAAGTTCACAGAGACGCGACATCATCAGCAGTCGCTCATCCTGCACTGGGTTACGGGTCATGGCCGCCTGAAGCTTCTGAGCCTCTTTGGCACGAATCTAGGCATGGACAAACGAAGCTGTCAAGATAAGCACTGTGCAGAAGCCAACAACACAGTAAAACAAACGCAAACTCACTCGCTCCAGGAGGGACTGGGACACGCCCTTTAAGGCTACAGGGCTCTGGGTGGGGGTCAGACAGCTAGGCACAGAAGCTTCTTTATTCTCAGTCTTCTCAGCTGATTTTAAGGCCACTGACACCAAAGCCCTCTCCATCTGACACAATGACCAGACTTTTACACATTTGCAAGATTACAAAAACTGGGTCCCATTTCTGCAATTTGTATCAATGTAACTCTCTGATGTGACACATGATCAACAGATTTAATAATTTCCTTGTTATTGGAGAAGTGCAAAAGTAGCCTGGTCAACTTTACAAGCCAGGCTTATAAGAAAATATTTATGTTGTCATTTTGGTTCTAGGCTCCCTTTGGAAAAGAATGAAAACAGGTCAAGCCCCTTGACCTGTTTTCAACCTTTTCCAAATGAAAGAACCACATTAATGGGATCAAAATGACAAAACACTATAAATGAAGAGTTACCTTTGGAGTCATGAGTGCACGGGCTTTGTCCAGCACCTCCTGGGCCGTGGTCAGGCTCTCTGTCTGGGGGGGCTGTGGCAAAGGACTGTCTGGTATAGGTGGAACAGTGTCCACATTGAAACGTGGGTGCCAGCGGGTGAGTTTGTCTTCAGGCACTGACAAAGGAGGGTCAAGTGATGACAGGAAGGCCTGGGGACAAAACAGAGTCAGCACAGTCTACACAGAGCAGGGGCATGTGAAGGGAGAGGCTCACCTTGTGATGCTGTTTGACCAAGGACACCAAGTTGTGGTGGAAAATGTGTCGGCGCTCTAGCAGGCGTGTAGCTGTCAGGGTGGTCCTCAACTCCCCCTCATCTGTGATTAACAAAAACATCAGCTTACACTCTCAGAATGTGTGAATGTGTAAAAACTATTTAGGTCACACTATAACAAGTGAGATCTGACCACATGTGATGACAGGCTCCACAGTTAGCTGATATGAGCCCTTCTTGATGCCGTTGTTGAAGGTAGGGATGTTCTTCTCCTGACGCAGAGTGTATGCCTCAGGAAACACGGTTCTAATCTGGCCCACATGGCTTTCCTCAAAGCGCCTGCACGGAAGAACACATGAGACAAAGAAATACAGACATGCTTTGGGATCAGTAGCAGTACATACTTGTGCATCATGTCCTGTACGCCCTTTTTGATCTTCATGAAGGTGGGCGTCTCACTGCGGTTAAATAACATTGCCACCACTGTGTCCATGCAACGAAACATCTCAGCCAGGACTTTGTATTGATATGGCAGCGACAGGCCCGGAGGAACAGCCTGGGCGAGTGTGTGGTACTTCTGGTACGCAGGCAGCTCACCACTAGCAGGAGACAAGACAAGTGAGAGGTGGAACCAAACATTTACTATCAAGTAATTGCTTCATGTAAAATGACTCTCAGTCAGTGTTTGCTCAGAGGAGGGAGTTGTAAAATTGCAAATACAGGTTGCCAGTAGTTTAATTATCTCTCCAATCTTTGAAAAAAAAATAAAAGTAAAAAATTTAATTCAAGATTAGTGACTTCAAACATCTCAACTCCTGGGTTATCTTTAGTGGCAGTGCTACAAGACCAGTTTACGCGCATTGTTGACAATGAAGACATAAAGGGTCTACATTTGTATACAACTCACCTCTGAGGTTCAGCAGGCTTGCTTATTTTACTCTTCTCTTTTCTCTCCTGGGCCTTCACTGCCAGCGCTTTGGCCCGGGCAAGGGTCTTCTTGAGCTCCTCATCTTGTGAGGCAGGGTGAGGACCAGTTGTGGCTGGAGGGGTATCAGCTGTGGGCAGGAATAAAGTTTTGTCTAAGGGCAGTGGGGTGGTGGATGGGGGAGAAGAGGTGGTGGGCTCTAAGGCAGTGGTCAGGGATGAGGTGCTGCTGCTTAAACTCTCAGCCAGTTTCTTGATCCCCTCCAGGCGGGACTTGAGGGTGGACAGTTCCTCTTGTGATAGAGCCTAGACACATGCATAAACCCCAATTAAAAAGGTCCTTCTTCTAAGATTTAAATCTTAGAAGAAGGACCTGTTAAAATGGTTAAAATGGTGTTGCCTCAACACATACCTGGAGTTGTGTTTTGTTTCATGTTTGAGTAACCCTTTATTATGCAACAAAACACATCTCCAACTATGTTTTTGAGGAGGAAACAATATTATAACATAGATTTAAAAAATGGCATTACATGATCCCTTTAAGGTCTGCAGCTTTCCCAGTATTTTATATTTTTTTCACAAATGGGAACAATTTGTTCTCAAATATATTTTAACTCTCACAAGTGAGGCTGAAATAAAGCAAAGATGAACAAAACAATACAGCAAAATGTAGGTTTGCCTCACCTTCACTCTGCCTCCTCTGGGAGCCTTAATGGATTGCTTGCTGGAGTCCCTTGGTGGGGGAGAGTCTGACCTGATCTGTTCATTGTGCTGTGGTGCCTGGATACAAAGTAAGATCAATAGTAAGTTTATTTGCGGTTTGTGATGTAAATCTCAAGACGTGGGGTACAAAAGAACAAATTCACTGCTATGCATACTCAAGGCCACAGTAAGGTTTTTAAGTTTGGGTAATTTCTTGTATCTATGCGTTTTGGTTGTGTTCTTTAGAGTATAAAACAGATGTGTTTGATACCTGACGCTGTGGAGAGCTCTGCGGGAGTATTAGTTGCTTGCGGGCAGTCCTTCTGCTGTTTCTGGGAAGTTTTGTAGCGGTAGGTCGGCTTTTCTTAGCGGTGCTGTGGTCGGTCGTGGCAGAGAAAACAGCGGCCCCGAGATCAAATTCCGCGTCCCCAGAAGTCCGTTTGGGCGTGCGAGGACTGGTATCTAGCCCCACAACAGCTGGGTCCTGTAACCCCGCCGCCTCGTCGATAACTCGGACAAACTCATCGTGGATAGAAGAACTGAGCGGTTCTTTGTGCGTGGCCGACCTGGTCATGTTGGCTCGGCTGCTGTGGTTCTTCGTCGCTTTCGTCGGCCCGGCGCATTTCTTTCTTTGAGCAAAAAAGTCTGTGACTCGGACCTGAGACATGGCGCTATCCGTGTCCGAACGACAACGAGAGACAGATGGCCGTGTAGTTTAGCTCAATCAATACGTTTCAGCAACGCAGAAAGCCCAGAGACCGCTCTTCATCTCAAAAAGAAAAATGGAAGTTTCGCGCGAAACAGTCTCACGCCCGCCCCTCCGACCAGGATCCTCCCCCCAGGATCCTCCCCCAACATTAACAGTCTGATAACGAAACTGAAGTAAATATGTGAGATTCTTGGTTTCTGTTAGTGCTATAAACTTATAGTGACTATTTGGTGCTCAAAAAACAACATGAATGGATAGTGAAGACAAATCATTGAGTTGTTCCTATTAAAATGAAATAAAGTGGCCAATGGCCATTGCAAGAAAGATCAAGAGTACCTATTTACAGTTCAGATGGCATCAGTGGCATACTCTTTATAACAAGGTGGGTGAATGGGGAAATGAGGCACATGTAAAAATTTGCGAGTAGACAAAACTGTGGTGCGCCCTCCTAACCGGGAAAGGCAGCAGTGTGTATTTACTTCAAGAATGCTTGTCTGAAATCACAAGAAGAAGAGGACCTGGATGTAGTTGTTTCTGTTTCCGCAGTGTTGTAGTTTTCATGTTATAATATCTCACACCAAACTTGCTTCTGCGTCTACAAGCACCAGGTATGCATTTACAGATCTGATCAGGAGCGGCATAATTTTGTCTCAGTTTTCGTCCCGGGTTCAGCCGACTGCCCCAGCTCTGCGGGGTGCCCACAGTTGGATTGGTTTTCAGTCGCACATGTGTTTGCTTGGTTCTATGAAAGTTTGTTAAGGTGTTATTATACCTCTATGAATGTTCCTCCTGCAAGTACGTTTACTGATAGGAAGTCATACTGGTGTAGGTGATGGGTAAAACGAGGTTGTTTAGATATTTTATATTTCCATTATGATATCTATTGAACTCCAATGACTTGGGCATTAGTGATGTGTCCATGCATGTTTAGTACAAATCAGTACATCTGTTTTGTATTTACTTTATCTTTTTGTCAAACCACAGGCAATTCATTGTCTTTTGGAGGAAACTAGCAGACTGAGATTTGGACATCTGTAGGTGAAGAGAAGCGCCCTTCATGAGGAACAAGAGCGGAGGAGGTGTCGACCTGCGACTCAAACACCGACTGCAGCAGGTACCATGGGCTATCATCGCTGTTTAAAGCCTCACTAAATACAGAGCTGAAGGGCTTCAACAGCCAATCCAATGGCCCAAGTAGCAGGGAATTTAAACTTTTCTTTTTAATATTTGTAATATGACTCCATATACCAGCAAGTGTAATGATATGTGCAAATCTTTCAGCACTTGGCATCAAGCAGCAGTCAGTATGTGGATCTGTCTGAAGTGGCACAGGAACTGCAGAGAGTGTACAGGCAAGTGCAAGAGTCAAACCATCTGTAAATGGTCCTGAATTTTGTGAAAACAGTCCCCCCAATTGTACAAAAATCACAAGTTGGTGGTCCAAGAGTACATTCAATAAATATATAATGTCATTTTCCGCTTTCCCAGAATTCCCTATTTCCCTCTGAATGTTAATTAGCCCCAAACATCAACAATCAACTTTGTCACACCCCTCTTGGGTTTTTTGATCAAATTATGTTATTGCAGTCCATTAGGGTTATTAATCATACTAGTTTTTGTTTGATCTACATAAGTGATTCTCACTTTCCACGTCAAGTACGAACTCCTGACTTTTCAACTATCAGCAGGATAAAATGAAAACAACTTAATCATGCATTAGAAATTAAGATTCCAATAAAACAGTATATCTGGACAAAAACTGCCGAAGACCAAGAGTACCACAAAGCATTACCTTTAAACGTATTCAACAACACTCTAATTACTGCTTGTATAATTTTATACAATTGTATATTGTCCCATAGACCTAGATTGTTTTGAGTTTGAGGGGGTTTTTTTTGTTTTGTTTTTTTTCAAAGACTGGACTATGGCAGAAGAAATAAGACAGCCTTCAGGATACAGGTGGAAAAAGGTAATCATATTTATAAATTGTGTTGGTCAATTTATTACCTCCGCCAAGGAGATTATGTTTTTGCCGGCGTTTGTCTGTTTGTTTGTTTGTCTTTTAGCAACATAACTCAAAAAGTTATGGACCAATTTTGATGAAATTTTCAGGATTTGCTGGAAATGTGAAAAGAAAGAACTGATTTCATTTTGGGGGTGATCCGGAAGAAATCCTGGATTCTGGATCACTTTGAAATTTTAGTTAACATCGTGGTAAATGGGGCCAAAAAATTGTTTCTCAATATCTCGGTTAATTATTGACCAAACCCCATGAAATTTGACTCGGGGATGGACAATGGGATCCTCTTTCATATTCCAAAGGCTGATCCGGATCTGATCCAGAAGACTGATTTTATCGCAATTTATATAAAAAATGTCGGTAGTCCTTGGCGGAGGTCTGCGCTCTCTGAGTGCTTTTCTACTTCAAATATTAGTCCGATATTTACTTAAAAACAATCTTAGATTAGTAAGGTACGATGTAAAATTAAGAAAAGATGAGTTTGTCTGTGGAATTAAACAAGATGTGTTCTGTATTTTGCAGTATACCAGTCCATTACTCAGGATTCTGACCTCAATGAGCTGGAAAGCAAACACTTGGCTAAAAAAGCAAAGCACAGCCAGAGCGACCGGGTAAAGCTGCCAGTGTATAGTCACAGCAATAGTACTAGTTACTGTGGTGTGTAGGGGTAACAAAAGTGCTGTTCAAACAATATATGTGTCCATAGAGAAGGCTCCAACCTGTCTTCCGATAGTGATGAGGAGGATGAGAGCGTTCTGGGGAATATGGTAAGAATGGCTTATTGAAAGAAATTATGATATTGTGCCTATTAATGGATTGGAATAACCAATTAATAAAAATGACTGACACTGAATTTATATTTGCTGCTGAGACCATGCTCCAGTCCTGACAGAGCCTACAGTCTCTGATAATTCCTTCTTATATCAGTCTGAGAGTTCTGTTTTGCCCCACAGCCCACCAACCATATGAACAGCTCTCTAACCAGCCTGTACAGAAAAAGTGCTGAAAACACGGAAGGCCCGAGCAGCAACCCAGCCCCACAGAGCACCAACCAGAGTTGGTACATTGACAGAGACCCCAGCAAAACCACACCTTTCATTGACTTGTGTGATGACGAGCCTGTTCAGGTAGGGCAAATCCGTTACTAATCACTGAAGTAGTGTAAAGGGACAACACAGATGTTTGTTCATCTATGTTGTCAGTGTGTTATGTATGTAATTGTATTATTGTGCAACGTTTTAGTTGAATAAGAAATTGTTGTGATTTGTTACTAGAAAAATGTCTCTGGAAAGTCTCAGAAGAAGTCCAAAAAGAGGACAAACGCAGTAACTGAACATGAAGACTCTCGACCTGTTAACAAAAAAGGTATTCTTGTCCAGTTTAATGATATGTCAGCAAAATATTTCTTACACTGGTCTCTGTTTAGCAAAAAAAATAATTGAACTGCAGTATCCAGCTTTGACATTTGAAGATGTTGGAGGAAATGAAGAAACATTAAAGGTGAATGTCTTCACATATTTTAAATGTAGTATTAGGTTGTTTTTTCCGTTTGGTCGTGACCAAGCTTGTTAATGAACACATGCAATAAACATGATGGATTGTAGCCAAGGACCAATTTCCATTTCATGTCCCATATTAACACCCACAAACACATACCATACATTATTACTATATAAGGTACTGCTGTCTGGCAAAGTGCTTGTTGTGCCTTGCCCAAGGACAGAATAAGAGCTGGGATAGAGCCACACTCCTTCAGATAGGAGCGTTGTGTTCTTACTAGTAGACCCCAAACTAATGAGAACTTTTGAGTGAAAAGGTGAATTAACATTTGTTGTAAATGTTTTATCTTTGCACTTGGAATAAGAAGTATTAAGGACTGAGCAATTTCATAATTTGTCAGTTATAATTAGTTTTTTCCACATACATTTTCCTACTTGTGCAATCGAAAAATAAATAATATTTTCTCTTAATAATTCAAGTGCATTTCTATTTATTCTCACATGTCTATAAAGGTATTTTTTGGAGGGGTTCAGTGTTTTTTGTGTTTCCACAGCCAAGATATGATATTGTAGTTGAGATCATTTATTTAATAAGATGGGGACAGTGCACATTATACATTAACCTTAATAGGAAAGATGCATTGTACCAGGTAACCTTTTGCATGTGAATGTTTTGAACCTTGCAGGATGTGTGCAAGCTGCTCCTTCACATGCGACACCCAGAGGTGTATCAGCAGTTGGGAATGGTCCCTCCCAGGGGCGTCCTGCTCCACGGGCCCCCAGGCTGTGGAAAGACTCTACTGGCTCAGGCTGTTGCAGGCGTGAGTAAACTTACTTATTGGGACAAAAGTAATACCTATTATATGTGTCTACTACAATGTATGTGCACAAGTACACATACAGTATGTTTACATGAATTGTCATTAACATGTATTGTTCCAAAATATTAACAAATTATATTAACTCAACTGTTTCAACACATTAGGAGCTGGGGCTGCCCCTGCTGAAAGTGTCTGCTCCAGAGCTTGTGTCAGGAGTGTCAGGAGAGTCAGAACAGAAGCTGAGAGAACTCTTTGACACAGCAGTGGTCAGCCCATCTTCTTTTATAGTTTTTAACAGTTTTAACTGTTATCCTTAATAGTATTATTGTGTTAGGCAGAATTTCTTTTAATCACAGCTTGTTTGGTTTCACACAGAGCTCCTCTCCGTGCATCCTCTTCATTGATGAGATTGATGCCATCACTCCAAAAAGGGAGGTGGCCTCCAAAGACATGGAGAGAAGGATTGTGGCTCAGCTGCTTACTTGCATGGATGGTATGCTGAATTTTATAGACATAATCGTAATGAGTTTGAATTGTAACTGTAAGTTATTTGTTCTTGTATCTAGACCTGAACAGTTTAACAGTAACAGCTCAGATACTGGTAATCGGTGCTACTAACCGTCCTGACTCTCTGGACCCCGCACTGCGCAGAGCGGGGCGCTTCGACAGAGAGATCTGCCTTGGTATTCCAGATGAATCGGCGCGCCTCAGGTAAGGTGCCATCTTAGGGTTAGGATAGACACAGAAGTAAATGTGCAGGTTTGGTGAGGAATTAACAACAGTGGAATTACAAGTAGTGTAGTATGTTTATTATACTAATATACTTGAAATGTTCAGCATACTACCTGCAGTAAATATACATTTTAATCAGCATCTGTAATGTGCTTCAGAATCCTCAAGACTTTGTGTCGAAAGCTGAAGCTATCTGAAGATATCGATTATGGGCAACTGGCACGGCTCACTCCAGGGTACGTGGGGGCAGACCTAATGGCACTGTGCCGAGAAGCTGCCATGTGCGCTGTCAACAGAGCTCTGCTGGAAACCCACTCAAGAAAAGCCCAGACCAAAGAGGAGTCAATAGACAACAGTCAGAAGTCTCTGGAGTGCCCATCAGACTCCTCTGTGACAACTGTTGAGCCTGCACCTGCAAAGGTAGATCACTAACATTAGATTTAAGGGCACTATATGACAAATAACATAACAAAACAACTCAAAAGGCCACAGAACTTAATTATTATTCAAATAAAATATAACAATAACAATATAACAATATACAACAAATATGAATTGCCTATCAATTACAAATAAATATTAATAATTGCAAAAACAATGCACCTTAAACATCCTCCAACATAATTTTTTTTAGGGCCTGTAGCCAAGTGTGTCACTAAAAAGCAATATACTAGTACAGGTCTATTGTATCATTATTAGCAGGAGGAGCTCTGGCACATGTTACAACTCCTGAAGAATTCAGAGCTGTTGTCAGAAGAGGAGCTGTCGGGACTATCCATCCTCATGTTGGACTTTAAATCATCACTGTCCAGTATCCAGCCCTCAGCCAAAAGGGAGGGCTTCGCCACTGTCCCTGATGTGACGTGGGATGACATTGGAGCATTAAGGGATGTCCGAGATGAACTCACCATGGCTATACTGGTGAGATGCTAAATTATTCATGATCACAAAAGACAATGATGGTATTGCCACATTTGAGGTGTCCATTATAAAGTTGTTATTTAGATAACAACAATTGTACAAGTTGTTATTTACATTATATTTAATAATTTAAATATCAATGCATTGTGCTGCTAATTAGCCATTTTAACAAGCACCTCGACTCCCAAAGGGGGACAAGAGGCAAATCCAACCAAACTCCATGAAAATTCAGTATTTTATTATATAAAACATGAAATGCCAGTGTACGCATTTTATTTATGTGTATTTGACAGGCCCCTGTGCGCTCCCCAGAACAGTTCAAGGCCTTGGGGCTCAGTGCTCCTTCAGGAGTGCTGCTGGCTGGACCACCTGGATGTGGGAAGACATTACTTGCTAAGGTGAAGTCTATGCACACTTTTTAGTAACTGTTTTTGGAGAAATGTGAGTATATAGAAGGCAGATGCCAGTATTTTAATTGTTTTTCTGTTTGTCCTGATACAGGCTGTGGCCAATGAGTCAGGCCTGAACTTCATTTCTGTCAAGGGCCCAGAGCTGCTGAACATGGTGAGTCACTGTGGTGTCTGACATCAGTGTGGCTGTGTACTTTGGCTCAGTGGGCTCTGTCTGTGCATATGCAGTACGTGGGAGAGAGCGAGCGCGCTGTCCGGCAGGTCTTTCAGAGGGGACGAAACTCCGCCCCATGTGTCATCTTCTTTGATGAAATTGATGCTTTATGCCCTCGACGATCCGGACATGAGGTACACATTCATAACTGAATACTGAATAATCTTATGGCATATACTGCATTTGGGAAAATGGCAAGGGAGTTCCGTATATTTTTTACACATAAAAGAGGCTATTTACTTTGTAATTCTGTTCCAAAATTGACATGATTCAATTTTTTTGACATATCTCTTAGTCCGGGGCCAGTGTGCGTGTGGTCAACCAGCTGCTGACTGAGATGGATGGTTTGGAAACACGGCGGCAAGTTTACATTATGGCTGCCACCAACAGGCCAGGTTGGTTATGTGTTCTAGCACATCCGTGTGGCTCAGTGAAGCACCTGCAGGTGTATCTTTAAATATGGATGCTTTTTGTGGGTCATCCTAACAATGGGAATGTTTCTTTTAGATATTATTGACCCAGCCATACTCAGACCCGGCCGTCTTGATAAAACCCTGTATGTCGGTCTACCACCGGCAGCTGATCGACACGCCATTCTCCTCACTGTCACCAAGGTACATTAAATATGACACTGTGCCTTTGAAGAAATTTAACATTTGACTAATCTTTCTCCCAAACAGAAGTTTAGATCTGCCTCCATCTGTTGACTTTTTTCTCATAACCATCACATTTCCATCTCACTTTTCCACACACCTCTTCCCACTCATCTGAACCAAAGCATTTATAGTTAAGCTGAATATTAATTTCTCTAATTTTATATTTTTAACTTGTGGCCATACCAGCTTGTCAAAGCCTGATCCCGATCTCGGAAGCTAAGCAAGGCCGGGCCTGGTTAGTACTTGGATGGTGACCGTTGGGAAAATCAGATGCCACAGTGGGGCATCAAAAAAAATTATTGTTGTGTCCTTACCTAGTATGAAAGTGGTGTGTGCGTGAGTGATGGTGGTGGTCAGAGGGACCAGTGGCGTCGATTGGCGTGGCAGCCTTGCTTCAGTCTACCTCAGGGCATCTGTGACTACAATAGTAGCTTACCACCATTGGGTATGGAGTGAATGAATAAAGCATCTTTATGACAAGTGTCTGTGAAAAGCGCTATATATAAAAAAAATTACTTAAAAATCTGCTTTATAGGCCTACCCTATTTTTAGACTTGATAAAAACCACAAAAAATATAGATCTAATGAAGACTTTATTGTTGACCTGCTGTGTTTTCAGGGGGGGACCCGGCCTCAGCTGGACCATGATGTCAGCTTGGAAGACATAGCATTTGATGAGCGCTGCGACTGCTTCACGTGAGTGTGCCTAAATGACCAATGGATGGTTTGATGAACATAAAAGATAAATGAGTATTTATGTTCTAGTGGGGCCGACCTTACAGCTTTAGTGAGAGAGGCATCTGTCAGTGCTCTAAGTACCTACCTCGAAGCCCACAGTTCTTCAGTGTCCACCAGTGGTGAGTATGGGCTCGCTTTATACTTGTGTTCAGTCTAAAATTTAGTACAGTTAGGAAACACTTGGGTCTTCTGGGGCCAGGGATCCTCTGGAAGTGACAATGTGAATTTCAGAGAGACATTTGTGGTGAAATAAAGGAATAATATAATCAAAAAAATTATAGCATCTGTCATGGTATCCTACCACACAAAGCTGTTTCTATAGTATTGGTTATGGTATCGTAACCTACTGATTACTATCTCCTGTTCTCAGGTCAGGACCGTGTAGTTGACATCAAAGTGAAGAAACAGAATTTTGAAACTGCATTCAAGAAAGTTCGGCCCTCAGTGTCTAAAAAGGTAAGTTGTTCCATCTGGCTTCTTTCTTGTGACCTTTGGCTGAACTCGTGCTTCTGATAATTGGTGATTTTTTTTTTCTTCAGAGAAAAATGTGTTATGCAATGCATGTTGCATGTTTACATTTGTAAACATCATCAGTTTTTATCATCTTTGTATTATCATCAATATGCTTCAATGTTTACTTCAATGACAACTTCACACTATTAAGTTAAGCACTTACTTAACTACTTAACTATTGCTGCCAGTACAATACTAATCCAGCTACTACACTACTTTTTCAAATGTGCAGCACTCAAAAGCAGAGACAGGACACTCTAGAGCTGAGCAGCTATAGAAGGTAGAAGTGGTACTATTAAAGTCCTTCAATGTCCTGACTTGCCTCAAATCATCCCATTAAGTGCAGATTTGTGGATTGATTTGTATGGTGTGCTTCCTTCTGAAATGGGTGACTTCTAAAAACATATTCTCTACTCCAGACCATGAATGGGGTATTGAGTCTTTGCTTGTTTTCTAACCTAGATTTATAAATGTGCTGTGTGCAGGACCGTCAGATGTACGAGCAGCTCCGGGAGTCTCTCAGCCCATAACCTTCCCAACATGATCCCAGTCCTCCTCCACAACGCACACTTTCATATTTTATGTTAAAATAAACCATAACAATTTTTGTTTGTGCTTTTTATGTGTTAAACTTGAGACTGAGACTAAAAGCAGCCCACACATGCACAGTCTGTGTGTTTAATAGTGCTTAATTTGTAAATGTTGCCAAAACAAAAGTGGCTTTGGGACAGGAGTCCATACCTGGTATGAACAATACTTTACCAGAACATACACAACAGGTGAGTATATGCACCAGACAGTATACTGTCTATGATAGGCACTCCAGTGCCAAAATAAAAAACAGACAGCAGTCATACTCAATTCTAAACCATATAAAAGGCCAGTCTGACTGCCTGCTTGTTTCTAATGTTGTCCCCACTCTGAGCATAAAAGTTAAACCTAGACATCGTGCACAGAGGCTTTAGTCTTGTTGGCGCACTAGTCATACTAGTATCTATAGGCTGGTCGTAACTTTCATATTTCAATCTTAAGACGAGCTGGTGCACTTGGCTCCTGGTGTTTAATAACAAACAGGTGTACACGTGGGTGGGTACATGCTTACAAGTATAACAGGGGACTTGAGGCCTTGAACATATTTTAGTTGAAAAGGGATTAAGAATATAAATATTGTACTTGACATATTGCAACAAAACATATGTAACAGTTACAGAAATATCATTTTATTAGTTTACATAAAATATAATTTTATATCCAACTAAGCTGTTTAGTCAGTTGAGAATGGGAGTAAGAAAAGTTATTTAAAGATATATATTTAAATAGCTGTGGGAGATTTTAATCCAACTGAATTAAAATGGAACAGAAATACTGCTGAACAACAGAACTCTTAATGTGACCTTTAAATCTTCTCAATACATACATCTCAAACAAATAAAAGGCACTTAATCAGTAACACCACATGTGCATGGGTCATCATAACAGCTCAAACAATCAGCAAAGGTGCAACAATTTCAATTTTATCAAGAGTCACTCGGCTTATCATTGAGAACGGACAGTCAGCGATGGACACAAGTTCAAAGTTCATCAGCAGTTGTTTGGGCTACTTAACACTGGCCTGGTTAAGATGACTCCTTGCTTCTACAAGGGAGTGTTTGTTGGAACAAACAATCCATTGTAGAAACATTCAAATTTATCTAAATTTGTCAACAGATGGATGTCAGGAAACAAAGATACAATGCTTTCTGCAGTTCTGCCAGAGTTAGATCATATATTTTAGTAAGTGTCAATAGAAATGTGAAATTAATAAATTTGTCCCCTGGACAGAATTGACGGGTTTAATCCTGCACTGTCTCACAGGCCTGTACCCTGGTTGTCACAGTCACAACATACAGCTCCAGCCTGCCAGGTCTGAAAGCCTGTGGCAGAACAAGGCTGTAGGACGAGGGGAGGTTGGTAGTTTTAAAGTTTACTCCTGTTTAACGTCTCCTTTGAGCTTTCTCTTGATGCGGGAGTATGGACTAAGTGTGTCGTCCATGATAAAATCATACAGAACTCTGACCCAAGATGTATACTGGGGCAGGTCCTCATAGTACTCTGCAGCAATCTTCTTTACCTGGAAACAAAAGCAACATAAGCAGCAGCATTAACCCCTCAGTCTTAGAAGACAAGTGGCCAAAAACCCATGGCATTAGAGGTAGTCTTACTGCATATGAAATAAACTTAGAATGGACTGGAAGATAACTATGGTCAAAGACTCAGATCATGCACTCACCATGGGCAGCCTGCGTCCGGGGATGCTTGGGAAGTCGTGGTGCTCATTATGATAGCCCACATTGAAGGTCAGCAGGTTGAGAGACCCATAGTACGAGTAGGTCTCGTGGCCTTTAAGGAACATGTAATGCTCTGCAATGAAGTGACCAGAGATGGGGTGCAGGCCCATCCCCAACAAAGAGCCAGCCATCATGTAGACCACAGGCTTAGCCCCCCACAGCCAGAACAGCAGAACATTGAAACTGGTCTGGATGAGAAGATTGGTGAGCTCCAGCTGAGAGATGGGTTTGGGGTTGATGCACAATGGACGGACAGCGTAGAAAAGTGGCTGCAGAATGATCCAGACAAACTTGCGAAAACGTGTGCAGAAGAACCAGCCTTCAAACTCTGTGGGGATGTCCACATCCACTCCATCTCCACCCAGATAGCGGTGATGGTCCAGGTGGTAGCGCTTGAAAGAGGCTGAATATGGCAGGCCAATGGGCAGGTTTGCAAACATCGCAAAGTAACGATTCCACGTTCCCTTGTTGTTTCCAAAAGCTGTGTTATGAGATATTTCATGAATAGCAAGTGTCATAGAGTGGTTGACACAGCTCCCAAATGTATAAGTCCAGAACAAGACCCACTTCCAGTCCAGGTCTTTGACCAAATAGAAGGCTAGAAACTGGATGGCAACCATCATACACACGATCCATTTGAGCCTCGGGTCAGGGCCCATCAGTGACTTGATTTCTGGATATTTGGCTGTAAGAAAAAAAGGGAGCCACACAGTTAGATTTCAGATATTTTATCTATTTTATAATAAAAATAGCTTCATCATGATGAAAAATAAGACAGAGTTTAGCAGTAGAAATCTCATCAATCTCAAGTTCTTCGTGTCAGAGAGGTGTTCTAGAGGTTAGTGTGCATGAATACACAGCTTTATCTACACTTTATCTGTTACAACTGGTTGACTGGTGGAAAGTCAACAGGTAGGCCATTCCAGGTGACATAAGTCAACATAGCACAACAAAACTGACAGATTACATACATGTTAGCTGATAGCATCATGGCAAAACAATGTAATTACAAAAGAATGCGTTTAGAAAGACGAACCCTGCCTCCATAAATATAGTCGCGTAGTGCGGTAATCAGAGACGTTCTTTGGTTTCATTGTTTCAGAGCCTCATTACAAATGTGGTGTCATGAGGAAGTGCTGAAACAGGTAGTCATACAAGGCCCAGCAGGCCCTGTGCCGTAAGCCCTCAAAGGAGAGTGTCATGTGACCACCATTCTCTATACGCAAGTCCAGACAAGGCCCCTGCAGACCCAAACTACACTCCGACCTTCTGTATGTTCCGCTAGTGAGACACCTTAGTAAACAATTCAACCTAAAGCTTGATCCGCATTAAATCCTGTTTCTGCACAAATGGGTCATTCAATCGCTGAGCAAGAAGGTTAATTTATTTTTTACAATGCATGGGGAGTTGGACATACAACAAACGTAACTCAAAACAACAAACTTCTGCGTAAAGGTGCATGGAAGCGAGTGTGCGGTCAGCAGTCCAAAGTCCGTTAGGTGCAGTTGTAGTCCCGTAGCAGTGTGCGCACTTCAGTCAGTTCAGGGAGTGGCGACGGATGAGGAGTCAACTTCACCAGAATATTCGGATACCGCAATACCAAAGCATACTATTAACAATAATGACTCAGTCTTAAAGGCCAGAGTAAACCTGTATGTGTGGCATGTACCGTGAACTGATCTAGTATATAAAATATTAGAAATTTTGAAGTTTTCCTTTTTTTTTTTAGTTGACACATCTTTCCGGTCTACTTAAAAACCGTTAGCTAGCCCACTTGCATAGCCTAGTACTCCATGACTGCAGTCATTTATCAAACAAATGAACTCATGGTAACAATATCTGTAATTTCCATTGTTCTAAGTAGTTACGAGCGCAAAGTCACCATTGTACAATTCCTTGTGTATTAATATTCATACATCTCCAGTTTAGGTAAACGCTGCTAAAGGCGAAGCTAAAGTTAGCTTACCCAAGATCTCTTTCCTCCTGTCGGCATGAGGCTGGTCTGTGTACACCCATTCGTAGTCCTCACGCGGAACCCGGTTACCCATGGCGGTGTTCGGTTAACTATTCTTCCAGGTAAGCAGATGGACGTTTGCGGAGAGTTTCTGGTCTTTGCGCGTGTTTTCTCACCACTGACTGTACCCCTCGACCAGGTCGCTGCTTTCCGGTGCTTGTCACCGAAGTGTCGCTGCTGCTCAGAGTCGCCTGGAACTGCCCCGCCCTCGCCTCGAGTGGGCGAGGCCTCCTGCACTTCGCAGTAGTTACATAGACCATATGGTACTTACTAAAAGTATTTAATTTATTTAGCCATAAAGACTCATAGGTTTCTTTATGTCATTTCTACTTTGAATTTCATAAGAGATAATGAAGAACAAATCACTTTTCTGGTAATTATTACGTTCTACTTTCATAAGGAATATCAAAAACATAAATTCACAAGTATTGTTAATCGTAGTGGTTATCAAATCAACGCGTATTTAAGCTTTTCATATAAAAATCTTGCATGCCCTTCCACCCAATAAGCCTACTCACACAGCTACCCGACCCCATACACTGTGTGTTATATCATATTATATGATATTATATTATATATTAATACATCAAATTCTGATGTTATAGAAGGCCCACATGTCCAAAACATCTAAATCTAAAAATCTCCAACGTGTTTCAAGAGACTCTGTACTGTATCATTTCAGACCCCTATTCATTAGTAGTAATTTAATTTAGAGGTCAAGGCTCTAAAACTTAACACAGTAAGGACTATCAATTGATGAGTTGTTTTATTTGTTTTTTTCCATTTGTACATTTTAACAATAGTGTGCAACAAAACCACAGTTGGCCACAAATAGGCAAACTTTGAAGATACTTCTTCTTGGTATACATAAATGAGATAATTCACAATCTACAGTTTTAAATTACAGAGATTACAGTACAGATTTCTAAACTGAGACTCAGTCTCAAAATAAGACACTAGATTATATATATGACTGCTGACTGTGTTTTCACACATTTTTGTCAACTGTTTGTCAACCTTTTTCACAAAATTATCATGCCAATAAAGCCTTCTAAATAAAGAAAATATTAAAAGACAAGAGAAATATGACCTTTCTAAAGAAATCCCACAGGCAACAAGTCTATGACATGATATTCAGGTGATGTAGTGCTGCTGTACAGAGGGACCATATTCAAACTGTAGGCAGTAACCTTTTTATTCAGTCATTTCTGTTGTACACTTTAGCTCTGTCTTAAGGAAGATACTGGATCAATGCTAACGTGTGTATAGTTCCTTGGCGCTTTTACCAAGAGATAAAAAGATTTATGTAAATAAAAGATATTTGCATGTTTCTAAATGTTTACCATTTCATATGGTTTTAGGCGCAGGACATGGACCATGCACAAAACGCTGGGTGACAAATAAGATGTGGTAGATCCACACACGCTCCAAAGAACGGGCTCAGAACTAAATTTAGGGTGCATGATTTACTTAATTGTTCTTTCACTATTTGGAGAAGACCAAGAGCAGCTGTACAGAGTATGCCGTCAAGTTCACAATGGCCCAGCACACCTCTGTGTAGGATAGTACTGTCAACAGTGCGTCACTGCTGCAGTTATCGTTCTTTCAACATCATGAAACCAGGTTAGTTGTGCTTTTTTGCACATGGCAAAAGACAGATTGCAAAACGCCAATCTAGGACATTTTCTTATATCCAAATTAACAAAAAGAAAAAATACATACAAAAACAATAAGAAGTGGTCAGGAAAATATGACAGAAACACTGACATGGGCGGGGGGGCGCTTATGACTTTTGAGGTTGGGGGATGTGTCCAGTCCACGAGTGATCAGTCCAACTGCTTTTTTTTTTTTTTTTTTCTCCATTATTTTTTGCTGCGCAGGCGTTTCGAGTGCCGGGGGAGCTCTGAGCTTTTCCTTGTGCGTTTGAGGGGTCTATCCTGGTCTTTGGGCACAGATGGACTGGCACTTCCTGCCAGTATCACAGTGGCCACGTTACTTGCAGGGGAGGAGGTGGAAGTGGAAGGGGCAGCAGAGGCAGGTTGGGACCCCATTGCAGCCGCACTACTGTCCAGCAGCTCTCGCAGCTTGTGTTCCAGCTCTGCAAGCCGTGCATTTTGCTCTGCCATCACCTGACTCTGCTCCAGGAGTTTCTGCTCCTGGTCTTGCAGCTGTTTCTGTTGCTCCAGCTGCTTCACGCGAATTTCCTGCATCTCTCTGCGCAAAACGGTCATGGAGGCACCATTCACTTTCACCTGCTGCTGCACTTTGGTCATCTCTGAGCGAGATGGTGTGTTTTTGGCCAGAAGAGACATGGTGGTCAAGGAGGTGGAGGGACCAGCCACTGAAAGGAATGCAAGTCAGTAATACAATAGGAAAACACAAGCAAATTACAATAATGACCATTTTCAATTAAAAATATTGTCAGTTTTACCTTGCACAGTGCCAATAATGCGACCAGTGAGTTCAGCTCCTGGCAGCTTCTTCTTCAAAATGGGAACAATCTTCTCATCAAAGTACTCCATAGCCATGGAGGAGATGTCCCGCAGCTCTTGTAGCACCTCATGTGCCCGCTGAGGAGCACGAGTAGAGTTTACATACCTCAGTACACGGTAGATCTCATCTATGACCTGTAGGTAAAGTGTACAAGATGAACAGATGCTCTGATTCTGACTACCCCAGTAAACAGTGTTATATGATTCAAATTAACAGAACTTAGTTTTTTGTTTTTCTTGCATAATTTACAATATAATTTGTTTATGAAAACCATGAATTATCTCATTTGTGATCTTGACCTGTTATTTTCAACAACCACTGTACTATAGAAATTTCACAAGGAATTGACCTTTCCAGGTATGAAGCAGCACAAGTTGGAATCAACATATTTCATGAAGGTCATGTTAAGGAGAGAGAGCCGAGTCTCCACAGCAGCCAGGATGTCTGCATGACGGGCCAAAGAGTGGTTCCTCCTCTCTGACTCTCGTCTGCAAGAGGTCAAAAGGCCATATCATTAAATTGTGTGAGCATGTAAATTATCTTTATTAAATGGGTTAAACATTAACATAAAGTTCCTTTATAATCTTATCAATAATTGGTAAATAATTAGATAAAACCATCAACATTTTGCATGTCCTGCTCCTATGGTTTAAGATGAACACAGTGGACTATTTCAACTCTCAGTTATTGACACAAGCTATTCTTTAAAAAAAAAAAAAAAACATTTTGGAGGCCCTTACACTGCTGACCATCGACAAATAAATGAAAAAAAAAAAAAAAAAAAAAAAAAAACTAATTCAATCATGCCACTGGTCAACTATGAGTGCAGTTACTGACCTAGGCAGCTGTGCTTTGACCTGCCTCTGGCACAGACTGTGGTATCTCTCCACCTTCAGGAAGCCCTGGTTCAGCACGCGCTGGCAGATCATGTCCAGGCGTTTACACACCTGGAGAAGAGGCAAACACCAATACATTCAACCAGAGCAGAACCTAAGAAAATTTTACTGCATGTATAAACATCGCCTTAACTGAGGTGAGTTACGAGCCCAAAATAGTGATCATCAGTCAGACATAACCAACACAACTGGGGATCTGAACTACAGCTGTCGCGCATGCAGATCAAATGTCCGAAACTTTTCGTAGAGAAACTGTGAAGCTGATTTCACAGACTACCAGTACAGTGTCACCACGAGTATGTGGGGCTGTTTTTCATCCCGAGACCACGGAGTGTCTGGAGTCTGGAGTCGTGAGCAGCACTGGCGAACTTTGGGACCGCACTTATTTGCCATTACACAGAGATCACTGACGCGTACTCACACGGAGAGAGTGCGCAGCATAAACATTCATCTCATATAGAGCCATGTCTATGGTGCGCAGTATAAAATAATAACGAGGTTGTAATTAGCATTAGCTTTGTTCCTGCAGCTGGATTGTTTTTGTCACCTACCGAACGCAGAAGGCTGATTTCATCGTAAGAAAGAAAGTTGAGAATCGTCTCTATGGCCACAATAGGTAATCCCAACAGCGGGTTGTTCTGGTGGGATGGATCTGCGGGAGAACCCGACTGTCTGGGCGCAATCGTGTTCGAGTCCAGGGACCCAACACATCCATCAACTCTCTCCACCACAGCCGCCATCTTGGTTTGTTAAGGAGGTGGCGGAAGTGACGTATAAGAGTGCGTGTGTGCGTGCGTGCGTGTCCTTGATCCATGTCTTGGATGCCTGTGCTAACATGAGAGCAACACTGTGTGGCAGTATCACAGACTGTATAAGTATGTTGCACAGATGTCTCTGACTTTACCATGGATGAAAGTAGGTTCATACACCATGGAAGTATAAGAAGAACTTTTTATACTTGCATGGTTCATACATTAAAGTGTCACCCAAGGAGACAACCTGACCTGGCCCTCGTCCCGCTTTTTCACTGAGTGATGCTACATGAATGATATAAAATGAAATTTGTCTCACTTTTGAGAGTAGTTTCTGGCCTTTCAGGTTATCATTTTTGTCTTGCCACATTAATTTGCCCTTTTTACATGGTTCATCCTTCTTAATCTGAAAGAAATCAGATTTCTCACATCAGATGTTTCATGACATTTAGTATTCTGATAACTTGAAGTCATATCACAAATAACACACATCACACCAGGTCACCTTAGGGCTTTTGGACTTCACATTTCAAAGTCATGCCCTCTCTGACATTTACACCAGAAACAAACATCCTTATATCTCTTGAGGTGTTACAGTTCGTAATTTTATTACAGATACAATGTTATGTATGAGAGGATGAGCATGAACAATACACTTAATAAATAATAGATAATTTCTATATAAGCCTATGTTGGTTTTGTTAGATTGTTTCATTATGGTATTTTGACTTTTGAGTATTTTTCATTTGAATACTGTGATTACAATAATGAGTAAAATTTATATGAATCCAATGTGTAAAGTGTTAAATGTGTCCTGTTTGAAAAGACAACATAAGTTTGTTCCATTATTTTATCAGATTTTTTTCAGACACTAGTTTTTAACTAGTTTTAAAATTTTCAAAAAGCAAAGTTCACAATATTATCAAAATGTATGGTCCACTTCTAAATGCATGTGAAACAGTTTGTCTGTTCATGAGGGTGATGTTTGATGTGGTGTGATGTTAATATGCGTGTACACTGTGGACATTTCCAAGTGTCCATGGTCCGAGCAATGCACTTATTTACTTATTATGTTGTCCATTTGTGTAGATTGCATAAGTCTAGGGACTAGCATGTTCCAATCATGGGCTGCCGAGGACCTTTCCAAGCCACTGTCCAACTTGACCTGAAGTTGATGTTTAAGTTAGTCCATATCTGAAGAGTCCAGTTCACTGAGAAACCTTTGACATTTGCTCATAAGCATTTTGATGGCCTCTGTCACCAGGACGTCAGGTGGGAGGATGCCAGTCGACTCAACTGTAACTGTAATATAAAAACAGATATCAGTTATCTCAAATACGCAATAGCAGTATAATGCACTGTTTAAGCAAACTGCAATCTACAAATACAACAAAACTAAAAGTCTGCAACTCTTATGGGGAAAGATACAGAAGGCATCCAATAAGATATGAGAAAACTTTGCACTGGTTTAAATACATATTGAAAAATAAATATTGACATAGTTAAGTACAATACATCTGTTTATGGGTTGAGCAGGACTAGTGGGGTCATATACATACAGATGAAGTGGTCCCGTACACGTCCAAGTTTCACCAAGTTCTTTAGGTCATCATGCCGAAGGACCTCTCTGCTGCATGTGTCCAGACGACTGTTTACAACTTTGGCAACCTTTTCCCCTTTAATTGGATTAAAGGACATATATAAATATACAATTATAGCAGCAGCAGCAGCAGCAATAATAATAGAAGAAGAAGTAGAAGAAGAAGAAGAAGAAGAAGTAGAAGTAGAAGAAGAAGAAGAAGAAGAAGAAGAAGAACAACAACAATCATCATCATCATCTTTTTTCTGTACTATCGACTAAATTAGTATAATTCCCCAAGGCTTTTGCAAATCCATGAAAGGTCAATTTTCCATTCATATAAAGTTAAACTTTCTGGTATCCAATTAGATTGAACAGTTTCCTCCAAAATTCTCCTCTCACCATTGTGCTCCTCCAGCTCTATGACACCTCTGGAAAAGCAGCGCTGGAGCCGCTCCGCCTGCTCCCCCTCCACCCGTTCCAGCAGCGTGATCTCTGGGAGAAGTCTGTAGCTGGCTGTAGCCACAGGCGAGAACTTAGCATGGTCCTTACCTATACATCACTCACATGATCAGGTGCTGTAGTGAAGAAAACCTTTACATTTTAGATGATATGGGCACTCACCAATGCCTTTGACACAATGCATGATAATGTCCAGCTCCTGTCCTGGTCTCAGCTGTGCGATCAGAATATCATCATGCACTGGTCCAATAACTGCATCTGCAAACACGTCTGCCTGGTTTCCAATGGGCATCCACTTAAGGTCTCTGGAATACACTGAGAGGAAAAATATTTTTGCTCACACATGCCAGTGCAGATAGAAATTCAAATTAATTTTTTGGTTAATTTTAAATACAATACACAAATGAGCCAACAGAAGCCATACCCATGTGGTGCAGGTAGAGCTCTTTGGGATCTGAAGAGTCCTTGCTGGCCCTGGGGTTACGGCTGCATTTCACCTTTAGCTGGAGCTGGATGGTGTCAATCTCTGAGCCCTCTTCTGCACCTGTGTCCTCACCTAAAGGTAATAGTTAAATTTAATTAAAAAGGACTGAGGGCTACACCAAATAATGGTATACCTCAGACAATTATTGGGGAAATGGTAAGAATAATTTTCACATAAAAAATTTCAGAGACTATTATAATCCTAGATGTGGGGCAAGATTGATTATTTCGATTATTGTCTAGGCCATTAACTTTATGTACAACAACCAAAATCTGTAACTTAACGATACTGATTTTAGCTGTGCCCCATCTGTATTAAATATTATAGGCCCATAGAATATTGTGATGTCATCTGTATCCCTACAATACTGTACTTGCTGTGTACAGTCCTTAACCACTTTGTTCCTTCACTTCCAGGCAGAAGAAATTTGTTACTTATTGTTTATTAGTTAATACACTTCGGGCGTGACTTTTTCCAAATGATTTCTATGCGTTCAAATTCAGTCAGCCAATTTTAATGGAGGAACAATTAGCTCTGACCATTTCAAGTTCTTTGATAAATCATCCATACATTATTATTTTATAATACAGACAAACCTGAGTTTCTGTATTCAAACAAGCGTGGGTCTGCTCTGATAGGTATGAGGCCTAGTCTATGGGCCAGGACCTCATCCTGAACAATGGACGTGTTGTTGTAGATAAACACCTTCTCTATGGCCATGGTTGGGACCTAGAAACACAGTTTCTCAATTTCATAGTCTTCAAACTAGGCGTGATGTGACATAATTCATTAGATGCGATACCTCAGCCAAAAGGATTCTTCTGAATGCGTTGGCAATGGCTGCATCTACGCCCACCATGTCAAACTCCATATTGTTCTCATCCAGTTGAACTACATTGATGCTGAAGTTCTGAAAGAAAACATATGTATTCTAACCATCTCCTACTCAGATCTACAATCAGACATAAAGCAATTTCTTTCGTGATACACCAAGACATGTATACCTTTTGGAATTTTCTCAAGTTCCAAGTGTCGTCGTAACCGGGATAGTTTCCCGGAAAATCCGTTGTATGGACCTGAAGTCAGTGCAAACATACATTTAACAAGTCCAAATAAAACTAACACATGCATAAATACCATGGTGGTGACTCGTTATATCTGATAATACAGTATCAGTAATTGTGATTTTGTATTTTCTCCTTATTTCTCAGACATGAGTCCACTATCGTGCAACCCACATTTATCATAATTTACTTACATTTTTGACACCAAATTCCCCCAAAATCACCCGACTTCGGATTTCTTCCACGTTCTTCATAGCGTCCGCCATGACTTTATAAACCCCGCCCACAACACGTCAACTTCCGAGCACGTGGTTGTCTTTCGTAAATAAAGATATCATTTAACTTTTTAATGAGGTGAACCCATGGATCTACTAACCAAAGCTGTGAACCGAAGTAGAGGGAGGAGGTGATGGTACCGATAGACTGCTACTATTGTAGTGCCAAATAGAAGACACTGACCACAAAATTTTGTTTATATTTTTTTTGCCTATGGTCTGCAAGAAGATATGTTCTTCCGTAATCTGGCATTCGGAATCAGAAGAGAAAAAAAAAACAGCCTCAAATGAAGTCTAGCATTTTAATACATTTCTTAGATAATTTATTGACATTCATATTTTATGTTTGTGTGTACACACACAGCCCTTTCAATATTAAGCAACTCACAAACAACACATAACATGGCACAATTTTCACATTAAGGGGAAATAGGGTGGTAGTTTCACCTGTAGATGAATTGTAATAAACCCACCATATATTTCTGTACAAACAAAAATAATGCACCGCACACTTTCCGTAATGGATGGGGAGGATGAATACATTCTAGCTTCATTTAATTAGAACAGTGATTCCAAAACCTCAAGGTGGCGCCAGAGAACAAAGGGTCAAAGGAAGTTTGACGTTATTAAAAATACCATTTGTAGAACTATTAACTAAACCAAACACCCACATGTAAAACAGTGTAAACAGGAAGAAAACCATAGTAAAAATGTGTCTTCCTGACATTAATGTGCATCGAATACACTCTTTAAACTTAAAAGACATTAACATCCCACAAGAATCACTGAAAGGATTTCAGTTAGAATGTCTGCACTGCATGTTCACATAAGACCATGCAGTCACACAGTGTTTGGGTATGTCCATCAGTCCACAGCAGTGGTAGTGCGAGTGCAACAGGCTGGGGGCCGCAGGGACCCAAGCATTCTCCTCTTCCTCTGACAGGAGATGCTGTGCCTGGACGCGTTTGTGTTTTGACGGGACAGTTTAGCAGCACGGCTCGCAGTCTCTTTGATCTGCAGTTCCAGGTGTTTCTGAATGGCTAAGCCCAGTTCCTCTGGGTCCACAGATGCCCCGTACACTTCCCACGTCATCCCCTCAGCATCCCACTTCACTTCTTTGACAGGGGACTTAGAGCTGGCTTTTTGTGTAGCATCTTGGCCAGTCTTCTGACACTCCCTGTGGCTCTCATCTGTGAGACAAACTTGGGGGAATACATGATGACTGCTGTCCTCAGTCTGTACCCCTACATCCCTTTGGCTTTTCCTGGCAGTTAAGGTTCCCACATCACGAGTCAGGGTCCTCACAGTGCACACCCTGTGGGGCTGGGGCAACACACTAACCCAGGAGCAGCCCAGCTGACAGCAGCAGGGCACTGGTTTAGCATCCAGTCCAGACTCACTCAAAGACGACATTAGACGAGGCAGGCTCAGGTGAGGTGGAATTTCTGGGCCTGTGAGATGAGGCAAGAGCTGGGAAGGGGCCGGGATTGGCTGTGGGTGGCAGTAAGCAGCAAAAGTGTCCTCCAAGTTTGTGTGGTGGAAATGAGAGCCATAGCACTGGGAACTGTCACAGGGGAAGTCTTCTTTGACTGTGGTCTGAGGCCCCTGAGACCCCTGAAACAGCTGAGTGCCAGTGCCATCTGGACCTAATGCACCTCGACAAATAGTAGTAACCATGTTGCACTGCTGCATCTGCATGGGCCTTTTACACACCAGCAGAGGAGCCCCAGCACTGCTGTCCACCAGAGTGCATGAACTCTGCACCAATGTGCACATGTCTTCGTGCCCTTCAAGCACAGACGGAGTAGAGCTTCTGATGACTGACAGATGCTGATCTGTCCTGTGGTCTGTGCCATCATTACTGGGAGACTTGCTGTCATGGTCTTCACTCAGGGCCTCTGGTTCCTCTAGGCTGGTTGTACAGCAGTTCTGACAAAAGCTCTCAGAGGCTAAACTCTGCCTTGATGATGAAGCCTCAGACAGAGACTCTTCTCCACCCAGAGCCCCGCCCTGAGACTCAGGAGCCCTGCTATCAGCCATGGCACACCTGTGAATACAGACATGCACTTCAGTCACAGCCTGACTGAGATTAGACAATATATTAGAGTTAATTTTGGGGAAGTTGCCTATTCAAAGTTTCAAATTGACTGAGACTAATGAGACCGCATTAGGCCTACCTGTTCAAAGACAATGCAGCTACAGGTGAAAACAAGCTCCTTTGCCCTTAGACCAGATTTCTTTCACAAGGAATAGGCTTTTTAATTCGGCTTCTCATTATAAAGCCATAAACGATACAAGTGGGCCTACCTTAGACAGGGCCTCTGGCCGATTTAGAAGGCTCTTCACGGGACCGTTCACCGGTTAATGCCGCTGGCTGCTACCGTGTGAGGCGCCTGGTCCCATTAGTGATGCCGCGAAGCAATAGTGAAGATGGACAAGACCGTGAGATAATCTGATTCATGTGATTACAATTCTTCAAATCCCCACTGTGCTCTGAGCGGAATGGACAGGGGGAGAATGTTGCTCCGCAGCTGGAGAAGAGGCGGGAGGACGCAGCCACCAGCCTACTACCATTACCTGGACTTGTACAATACAAGGAAGCGCTGGACTTTGTGTCTCGTTTCGGGCAATCGATGATAGAAAAATGTCCTTGTCGCTGTAAACCACTGACAACAGGCTACATTTCAACAACCTGTCTCTACGTCAATGGATCAGACCGTGCTCAGTCCAGTAGTCACTCTGTGGACCCGCCCACTCTCACATCCAGCAGGGTTTCTATGGCAACAGTCTAGAGATGCGTTCACAGCGTTCAGCGAGAGAAGTGATGGGACTGACAGAACCCACTGTTGAGCTCATTAATACTGCTGTGTGGTTGCTTCTGTTTAATAGCATTACTTTGTGCAGCCATGAACAGTAATCTACTCTGTGGTCAGGTGTGGTTACTTGATTTGTCTTTAAAAATACGTCACCAAACGGCAGCCTAAGCTAAAAGGTCGTCTTTTGAGAATAATTCAAATTGTACATGAATGCATTTTGTGGTTCAGACCACGTGAGGGGTTTATTTTAACTTGGTGTGCACCATAGACTATGTGTAGCACACACAGCTACTGAGCATAATTCCTTTTAAGAACACTTGATTTATTACATAACTCATAATCTAATGCCCAGAGAAGGTCTAATCTGTCAGTTCACAGCTGTTATCCTTACACCACATCACAACCCCCAAGCTTCAGTAATCCTTACAAAGTTTTATACAAGACAGAGGCAAGAGTAGGCCCTACATGTAGGGCTGCAGTAGAGTCAACTGAAGCAATTTTTGGACGACTATAGACTTGCCTGCCATATCTCAGGCTATATCTGGCCCAAACTGCACTCACCTTAATGTGAGCTAATGTAAAAACAACTGTTTATGTAGGAAAAAGGTACTGGGAAACTACTTATAGAAAGACTTAAATTTGTGAATCATTAGTTTAATCTGCCTTTTTACTGAAATACCAAATACATTTTTAAAAATACAGAATCTTCAGCTAATTCGCTCTCTCATTTCACCTTTCTGTGGTTATCTCATATTAATCCTTACAATCTAATTAAAAGTATTACCAGTAGTCATCTAAAACAAATTTTGGTAAACCATGACACCACTGACCAATTAATCAACTAAATGCCTCCAGCTCTAGTTACAAGAAAAAAGATCCGATTGACCCTAGTCAGTTAACCAGAATCATTAATTGCACTATGCACACTATTGCAGTTAGACATACTGTATTGTAATTTATGGGTTTCAGAATGATAAAAAATTAAAACTGTTGACATAGCATTTACAAATTATTTATATCATTGTATCTTTTGAATGTTGAAATGTCCAAAATGCCTATAAACAGGAAGCAGAAAACCTTTGAATACTGCAACACATCGTAACAAAAGTAATTACGCATGTTGATGCTGAACTTTCCTATGAAAATGTCAGAATTACTCTTATTAGAAATATTGCTTGATAGGCCAAGTATAAAACATTTAATAATTCAGAGCATTTGGTCAGGGGTCTCATTAAGAAACTCTCGATGAATGTGAATTTGCGTATAGAGTACGGACAAGACACTAACAAATTTTCACAAACTCTCTAAAGTTTACTTTTTGTCTCTCTGAGCAGATCGCCTTCTGCCTCACAAACACACTTATAGCTTTGTTTAATCCACCACGGTGTTCAAGTCCACATCAAGTTCTCTTTTTATACATCATAAACTGAACATGGAAAAGATCCATTCTGAACATTTTTGGATATAATTTATGTACAAGCACAGAACTTTGAAAACTCAATCCTCATCACCCTCAACATTCAAAAGCATAGAAGAGATTAATGTCATCAGCCATTTATTGTGTGGTTTACTGATGTATGAAAACAATAGTGGTGCGTTTTAAAAATGTGGAATTAAAAGCAAGTATAAAAGCTTCAGAATTCCATGAACATCTGCCTTAAACCTAGTTTCGAACAAACAGGGCTGAGTCCACTGTTTATCCCATATTTACATCTCTGTGTGGCTTGGCAGTGCCCATCTCACCAGTCAAAGACACACTAGCCCAGGCATGTTTCCACCAAGTGCATTTCATATATAAAGTTCATGTGACTCTACAGTCAGGTGACTGGGGAAAAAGCTTTAGCAGATATGTCAATAGAACACATTCTTGTGATTGTAACAACCATGATGGAAAGATGGGCTCTGGATGAAGCCCCTATTAAAGGACAAATGGCACTTTTTTGTATTGAGACTCTCCGGTTCTGTTTATTGCAGCAGCATGATATGCCTATCAAATGTTTTTCTACACTTGGTGGACACAAAGCCTCATCTTCAGGCTACTTTTTAGTTGCTGACTTTGATGCCCCCCAGGTTTATTACAGTAAATACCACTTAACTTAGTCCAGTAGTAGCAGCAGCAGCACAATGACGCTCTGAGGAGATAAACCACTATCAGCTATAGAGCAACGTGCACTGACAACACCAGCAGCGTCCACCAGGGGCACTCCTTGGAACACACATCACAGGACACAGTCTTCGCCAATGCCCTGTTTGAGGTCCACTGTCCTGCTGCTGTGCACACCATACTGCTTCTTTGTCCACACTGAGTAAGCAGCAGGTGCAGTTTGATACTTCAGTCTCTGCACAGCGCTGCTCTCAGCTCCAGCTTGTACTCTGAAGGTCCTGACGGAGCCACGTGGGCAAAGGTTGGCCCAGACGATTCAATAAACGGAGTAGCTCAACATTGTGTTCGCGATAATATTCTGTTAGATATGCACGAGTCTGCAAAAAACGAAACAAACCAAATGATAAGTACATTGTATAACTGTAAATGTAAAAACTGTTTTATTTGTTGTATCAAAAGTGTAGTACTATATTTTTACTAAACAGACCCTCAGTAACTGATGAGTCAAGAAAGTGCAATGTACCTCAGGGCTCATCTCAGGGTACTTTCTGCCTTTACTTTTGCCTAGACATTTAGTTCGACCTCCATCCAGTCGTTGGCACCAGAAACCTTTAGCGTCATCAAATCTACCAACAAAGCAGAGCACTCAACAGACCAGGCCCTTCAAAAACAGGGTTTGTAAATTTGCGTCAGTGAATTGATAATTACACGAGAGCCTGGGTGTAGTTGAAGACAGGTGTGACACCAAGAAACCTCTGGAGTCCTTCCATCACCAAGACAGGATTGGATCGCAGCAGATCTCCATCCACAATATGCAACTGTAACAAAGTAAAAAAACAAACTGTAACCAGGCCAACATTATAAAAGTTAAAAGAAAAAAAAGTTTACATTGTAATACTCTTATAATTGTATAAAAATATTTAGTTCAAATTGTAATCTCACATTTAAAGGTGATTTCCTTCCCTAGAACTCACAATTTATAATTGTATAATAATAACGTGTAATAATGTCAGCACTCAAATTGCTTCTGCCTTCTTTGAAAAGGCTTTGGAATATTAACATGTTCCATTTTTTTTTCTTAAACAATACCTCTATTCCAATCAAGAGAATAAAGTTTTTTTAATCAAGAATCTTGCTTGGCAAATCTAGAATGATATCAATCTGTATAAAAAAATACAGCGTCCAGTCTCTTCTGCAGCCCACCCAAACATGATCGTGCAATCAGATTTGCTTTTTTCAGTGGCGCATGTGAAACAAAGCAGCTCATTGATCACCATCATTTACAGGTAAAGTATAATTTCTTCCACTTCAGATTAACAAAGTTTTGGGCTTTGCTCAATGATTCTGCAGAAATTTGCAATGTTTTTCAATACATTGTGATATTTTTTTCGTCAGACTATATGTGTCCCTGATTGGCTGATCCACCCGTCAATCACACCCATCTGAATTCAGGGAGCTTCATTGAAGGCCACACTCACATCTTCATAAAGTTTTGAATTGTGTATTCTGGGTCACAGACAAATAGGAACCCAGACACCTCATATAGATTATAGGAGAGCATAATTTATAGGAGTCATCTAGGTTCTTATAAATTATGGGGGGAATACCACAGACTAAATGGACCCCAAATAAAACATAGAATTCCATCCCTTAGTGTCACATGGGATTGCTCCAAGTTTTCAGACCTGGGCCAATTATTTTTTTTTTTATCTAAAGGGGTTATAAATATTTAAACATTATGTTGCATAAAGGGGCTTGCTTTAAGTATTACAACACTGAATACTTTTAGAAAATGCCAATTCAGGACCATGTCCCAACTTGTGAAACTGCCATCTTGGAAATGATGATGTGGGTAAACAAAGTCACATGACCTGCATTAAAATGTACATTAGGAATCACTCTGAATAAACCTTAAAATAATCTTCTAGATCAAAAAAGGTTACACCTGTGTATTATTGTTGCTGTTAGGGAAATCGTACAATTATTTTTGTCTATTTTCTTCTTCATAGTACAACACTACATAACAAAGCACAGATGCACTTACCTGGGATGGCTGGTAGTGCTGCAGCCAGCGCTCGATGTGAGTAGCATAGACCCCAGGAAGAAGGCAGCGTCGCTGAAGAGCCAGCAGGTCCTTTGGGGCCGAGGTACTCGCCGTCACCACAGCATGGAATGTGTTATTGAGAGCAGCAGGGTCTTGGTGTGCCCTCTGGTGCTAAAAGATTCAAACAATGAGCCATCAACACTATGAAAACATTTGGTCATGATCCTGAAACTGAAGTTGTTACCTGGTACCAGGAATAGGCTCTTTCTGCTGGGTTGATTAGTATGGCCAGGATTTTGGCTCTGGGCAGGAGGGCAGCCGCTCTTTTAGGGGCTGCCATTGTGTCAAAATAGTTGGCACTTTTCTCAAACATGAAATCTGTACTCACGTTTGATGGTAAAGGGAAGAAGTCCATATACCTGAAATACGTTTTAAAACTATTACAATTTTCTATTATTTGCAACAGTTCCCTAAAGAAAGTAGCCAAATTATTGCCTTTAAAATGGCACCTGAAAGCTTACTTCTGAATGTTTCTTACCAATCAATGCCATTGTTATAATTGGATCCACTGAAAAACTGAATCTCCTCAAAGGTAGTGGAACTGGGAAAAGAACTGGTGATGGCTGGGTGAAGGCTCAGGAATGTATGAAGTGCTGTAGTGCCTGTGAGCAAACATGAGGGTTAGTAAAGGAGTCAATTATCAATTAGGACATTAGTTAGTGAAGTTTAGTTCAAAGATGATCAGAATTATACTCAGCATTACACAGTCTGCACCAGGAATATGGCTGTACCTGTTTTTTGTGGTCCAATGAGGAGGAAGCGGGGCAGTCGGTCACAAGTCTTCTCTTTAGACCAGATGTCTTTGTGCCGCTTGTCGTGACATGGGTTCTACAGATGAAGACAGTAGAGAAGAGCTTTTAGTCTAGGACAGGGGTGTCAAACTCAAATTCACAGAGGGACAAAATTAAAAACTGGGACTAAGTCATGGGCCAAACTAAATATTTATTGAAAAGTTTCAACAACATCTGCATGTTTTCTCTTCTTTCAAGGTATTTAATGTTAAACTTTTTTTTTTATTATAAATAAATGTTTAATAATAATTTTGCTTAAACACCGAATCCAGAACAAGCATAATATAAAATAATAACAACATTTTAAATAAATAATGTCTCTATAGCCTATCTGTAGCCGGTGGACCAGCACTAATAAATTTTGATATGATCTTGCGGGCCAAACATAATTATATTGTGGGCCAAATTTGGACCCCGGGCCTGAGTCTAACATATCTGGTGTAGGATTTCAAGCATAAATACAATTTAGACTCTAGACTAGATCTGTTTATTTAAACTTTTTTGTGCATCCATTTTGTGCATTAGTATACATTGTTCAAAAAGAATATGATGAAGTGAAACAAATATTTTCCCATCAATCATGAAAGATCAAATTATCCCCCACAGTCAAGCTTCTAACTTTAAACCAGTTAAACCCGCTTCATCTTTGATATAGGGAGCTCTATATTTCTGTGTACAGCCACAGCATGGCATGCCCTATTTGGCTGTGTGAACACATGTAAGGCAGGACTGAATGGTTCAGTTCTTGGTGCTTTTAAGGGTGGAAATCCCCAATGCCAGAAAGAGCTGTTGAAGTGTTGTGTGTACTCTTACCTGCCACAAGGGGTCTCGCTCTTCAGGGAAGATTTGAAAGTATTTCTCAGCAAGAAGTGTTGGGGGCAGAGTCTGCAGTTTTAGGTTGGTCCAACACTGTACAAACTTTACCAGCGACTCAAAGGTGTATAAGCCCAGACGGTCGTTTCCATAGTTAGACAGATGTGTCATAAAAATGCTGATCTGTAGTACCAAAACATAAGAAAAATGCCATTACAAATGACCAATCACTAGCAGACAATGGTCTGATAATAACAAATATTACATGCTTCATTCTACACCAATGCAATGGATTTGTAATTCAAAGAAATACCTTCATAAACACATGTTGTATACTGTACAAAAATATCTGTTTCTTACAGGGTTGAGCAGAACTGTGAGGAAGAGTTCTCCCCCTCTGATACTTTTGTCCAACTCCTTTGAACCTCCAGGATATTCATTATAGAAGATGGTGTGAGTGAACAATCCACACGTCTGACGAGGCAACACCTGAGGCACAGCACAGACATGAGCCCGGCTCATTCTCTCATTTTAGATTGGCAACAAATTAACAGACAAACCTGGATGCCATTGTGGATAAAGCCACGGCGGTATCGAGCGGGCCGGAGGTGGGGGTACTCCTCTGTGCTGGTTACTTTAATATTCCACACAGACTTCCAGGCCTCATAGAGCTGAGTGTGTACAGGATACACCCCTGAATGATGAGGCGCCACAGCATACCCCATGTCAATCGGAATACCGTGTTCCTGAACACAAACACCCAAAACATTACATACATCTGCACTCTTCAAAGACACACAAGTGGTGGTTGGTCAAAACTCATCAAAAAATAATAAGTAATCTGATGCAGTTTAACAGACTGAAACTGAATACAATATGCAATATAGTCTAAATTGTAAAATTAAGACAAATTAAAATTGTAAAATTGTAATATAGTAAAGCTACTCTTAGAGAGAGATGGGTTTGGCCCATAGGCCCAGGAGATATGGGTTTGGGCCATAGATCAGCAGGCAAACACACATTCAGTGTGAAAGGAACAGATGCAAACCTGGGCAAAGACTTTGTTGAGCCTCATCTGTTCTGCAAGCACAGTGACATTGTGGAAGAGGTGTGGCTGCATATGACTCCACATGTGAGGGAACCACCAGAAGTCCATCCTATGCTCCAGCAGCATGTCATCACCTTGGTCCTCCTCATCAGTTCCTTTAACACAAGTATGGGATTACACACCAGACGAAACGCAAATGACAGATAAGCACTGACACAAAAGTCATACCTGTGTGATAGAATTTTCCAGAAAAACCCAAATTGAAGGTGAAATTTGGAACCAATGCACGGAGCTTATTTTGAGTGCTGAGCAATGCCTGAAAACCAGCAGAAAAAAATGTCACCTACTATGGCAAAAAACATATACAAAATATTATTTTTATTTAACAGCATTAAAATTTAGAAGCTTGGCAGGAATCAATTGGGCTCAATTAGAGCTGGGTGATAAAGGGGGAGGGGCATCACCTCATATTGATAGATCAATCTTTTCAAAAAGTAAATAAAAAAGGCTTGTAGTGTTGATTTTCATGAGGATAATAGATGGGCCATTTAACACACAGAAATATAAAAAGTCTTCCGCCTAAATGTTGTTCCAAATCACATGCTTTTACTGACAGAGGATTGGCTGAAAATTGCAACCACATAATTAACTATTAGATATGAGAGAATCTGAATCTCAATCAACTGCCCAGTCAAGAGGCTAATTTAATATATTATTACCTAGCTTCAGAGGAATTCAAGCTAAAATATAAAGATATACCAGCACCACATTTAACCAAATTATCTTAACATTAATAAAGCCACACTGAAAACATCTGAGTGCGTTAAAGTGTAATATGACATAGCTTTGAGGAGGGACATTGCAAGTGAATAGTAAAGAAATCCATTATAAACATCTTCTTAAACACATTTTAAAGTTTTTCCACCATAAGAAATAGAGCATTTAATGTGTAAATAAGGCCAACATTGCACTCATTTCACATGTCACATAAAAATCTGAAAAATGTACAGAGTCACATTTAAATTTCTTACACGTATTAGAAACCTATATATTAACAATAAACCAGAGCAAACTTGATCTTGCTGAAAATGAATGCAGATCATTTATTTATTTAATTGGGGCATGCATGTTCATGTACAGGCATGACACAAACATGTACACACACCGGATTAGAGTCAAAGGCCAATTTCCATCTGCTGTTCCAAAGGGCAGGGATAATGATGATAATAATAATGTTTAGAATTAGACAAATAAATACTTCTTCATGACAAGACTGTTTATATTGTTGTGTATGAAAGTGTTACTTAAAGGGTCAGGCTGTGAAATTAATAAAATTAAAGTTGCCATTATGATGGTCACTGTAATCAGTTACAACAAAGGGGTGTTACTGAGTACTCAAGATCATTAACATTAACTCTAAAGTACATAAGTTTCTTTGAGTGGAAAGGCATTGTAAATTTCCACTTGTAGAGTATGTACAAGCTTTATTTCTATAAGATAAGTAGGTCTTTAATCGATTAATCTGTCGATAGTGTTTTAGTCAATAAGAAATTAGTATTAGTTGACTAATATTTATTTATATGGGACAATAGCAGAAACAGAAGTGAGTGAGCTAAAGATTTGGTAAAAAGGCAGATTCAGCTTCAACATTTTTGAGAAAATAGCCTTTGAAATTAGAGGAAAGAAATAATAAAACATCTTTAGGCACACATTGGACAATTAATTGTTTACACATGAAAACCAAATATGAAAATATGTAGGAACTGTCCAAAAGACAAACATATATATTCAGTTTTGCCTGCAGGGTTGCTTTAATGAACATAAGGAATGATCTGGTATTCAAAAGAATTACCCACCTCCACATCGGAGACCTTCATGCGTGTTCCTTCTTTACCCACAAAGATATCATCCACGTCTACTAGAATGTGGCGGTCTAAAGACAAGCAAAGTCTCCTCCCAGTCAGGTAGGCGATGGCATCCACAAACACCAGTTTATGGAGCCAATAGTTCAAGTTGTTTCCAAATAGAACACGCTGGATACCATCGTGCAGTCCGAGGTCCTGCACCACAGTGGCGTGTGCCGGCCTTGAGGGGCTTGCAACAAAGTGTGCCATAGACACTGAGGACTTTGTACTGGCCACAAGCACTGGCTCATAGGTGGAGTGGTTGGACTGGAAGATGGTCCAGTCGTCTCCAGGTAACGGGCCCTGCTCCACCTGGTTTGGTTTAGTTATGTAGAGTAGAGGGGCACTGGGATTTATGCGGTAGTCCCGGAGTCCCAGGTGTGAATGCAAAAACAGTGGGAAACCTTTGAGCTGGGCACTCAGAAGTGAGTTTTCATTGGCCTTATAGAAGCCAATAACTCCTACTCCATACTCTGAGCAGTACTTGTCCAGGAGATCTCGATTCCATGCATCTAAATTTACATATTTCAGCAGATTTTCATAGATGATGAGGGCATAGCGGCCCTGATTTTGCTCTGTTAGCGTAGGCATGCCTCCTTTCCCGGGAGCTATCTCAGTTTGATATCGAAAGCGGCTGGACTCCAAGATGGCAATAATCTCCTGGCCAAGTTGTGAATATATGCTTTCCACAAAAACCAGAATCACTGGCTCGGTCCTGGAGATATCTACAGCCTTCACTGGCCTCTGTTGGCCCTGACGCCCGGGAATAAACAGAGGGGCCCTCTGAGCCCCCGGGACCCAACCTGCTGCCCCTGTGCTTGAGCCAGGGGCCATCCCTGCACCTCCACAGTCACTAAATGGTAAAGGAGGGGCCTCTTTGATTTTGGGATTGTTGGAAATGTAATAAGCCAGGAAGGCCATAGACAGCAGGCAGAAGATGATGAGAGCCAGAATGAGACGGTGGAGCTCGAGCTGGCGGACACCACGCAGCAGCTTCCAAAGCCCCAGGCCAGCAGCGGCCATGGTGAGGGCCAGCTAGCGAGCGATGAGCACAGGCAGGGCAGAGCTGGGACAGTAAGGCAGGTCCAGAGCAGGACAGAGCAGGGGACACCAGCACTGAACTAGACTGAGGAGCAGCCATTTACTCTAAGTCACCATGGCCAGCATCATCAAATCCACTCTACTGCAACAGCTCTGCAGGATGAAGGGACGAGAAACAGGACAGGTGCTGATGGAGGTGTCTCAGGCACACAGTGGTCTAGTGTCTCGCCACCACATGTCCATCTGCTTGAAGGGCCTCTCAGTTGCTGTGGGGCATAGCCCCCAAGATCACCCCACACAGGCTTGGATATCCCAAGCCAAACACCTAAAAAAGGGTACACGTAAAATGTTATGTCAAGATAAATTATAATTATAAGAACCACTGTAAATCAATATTGGCACTGATAATGCATGCAGCTTGTGGAACAGTACTGATACATGTATTATAATGATAAATGAGCATGGTGTTGCTGGAAAGGGTGGGGTCAGGTATGGGGTTGACACTTCCTCTCCACATTATTATTACAGAGGTCAGAGTTTAGGGAGTTCAGGTCTAAACAAGTCTCTCTACCTCAGGACTAAAGTCACCTTTTTAATATCACTCTTTAACTGCAAGTACTACTCACCAACAAAAAAACATTAGCGCAGAAGCAACTGGAAGGGGGACAGCTTGTTAACAGGCTTCTACCTTTAATTGGAACTGTTGCATCAATGAATCATAGCTGACACGTGGATCTAGCTACACGTTGCAAAAGTCAGACAGTCAGACGTAGTTGGCAGTGGGCTGCTGTGCCCGTCTGAAGGGTACCTCACACCTGCTCTTGCTAAACGTCAGACTGGCTCTAGCGGCACACACCGCTCCATTCGCTTCACGTCTGACGCACAGTGGTCAACAAAGAGGGTCATGCCGTGCCAATGTAAGGCTGTTTTCACCTGCCGAACATACGAAAAATCACTGCTATTGCACTTATTAAAATGAGCCAACATAACTACTCATGCTCATACTTTTAAGATTTCGACTGTTAGTGTGCAAATTTACAGCGTCCATGAGGCTCACATATGATTGATAACGACACCTTTATGATCCGTCGCTAAAAGCCTGTTAAGAATCACTAAGACAAAGGAGGGCAATGTAGCTCACACGTTCGAGCTACAGAGACATCTGCCTGGTCTAACGGAGCTTGTAGTTTAGACACAGGCTCGGACCAAGAGCTGCTGCATTGGCTTTCCAGTGAGTTAGCTGTAGCGGCTACGGCTCAGCCAAGATGAGCGTAAACAACGACATATATCGTTAAAACTCTTACTGATAAAGCCGTAAACTACAACTGCACCAAGTCAATGCTGTGTATCTTACCAGAACAATCCGAATATTCAGACGCAGTCCAGAAAATACTGTGCGGCGTCTATAAAGTTAAAAGGGAAGTTTAGAGCGTCGCGTCGTAGCTGCTCTGGGCGCCATCTTGGTTCTGCTCTGGAACCCTGGACTCAACCAAATGCAGCTGAGCCGCGGGGGTGCGCAGCTGTACCAGCGGTTTGAGAGGTAAGAACCTGCTAACTTAATTATAGACTGTAATTAGAATAAGAACTCTGGGACTCCCTAAAACAACCTTTTATGACTATATTGTAAATCATTATTTGTACAATTATATTCACTCAAATATTCCAACCTTCACAAGTTTTGTCTGACGAAAACATCTGGCAACGTGGACTTGTGAATTTTGAAGGGATGGTTTAGGAAAGGTCACTTGTAGGTAAAACTGACAGTATTTAGTCTCATATTTTTACTTTAGAAATTATGGTTTCTACTAAAAGTACAACTACAATTAAATTTATCTGTGAAAAAAAACAATGCCAGTGAACTTCCTACGCCTGATGCAACCAATGCTTTCAAGTAGAGTCAAAGGCCAATTTCCATCTGCTGTTCCAAAAGGCGGGGTAATGATGATAATATTTAGAATTAGAGAAATAAATACTTCTGTCTGACAAGACTGTTTATATTATCGTATATGAAAGTGCTTCTTAAAGGGTCAGGCTGTACAATTAATATAGTTAAAAGTTGCCATTATGATTGTCACTGTAATCAGTTGGGGTGTAATTGAGTACTCAAGATCATTAACATGAACTCTGAAGTACGAAAGTTTCTTTGAGTGGAAAAGTGGCTTACACATTGTAAATTTCCACTTGTAGAGTATGCACAAGGTTTATTTCTGTAAGATAAGTAGGTCTTTAGTAGATTAATCCGTCGATAGTGTTTTAGTCAATAAGAAATTAGTATTAGTTGACGAGCGATGAGCACAGGCAGAGCAGAGCTGGGACAGTAAGGCAGGTCCAGAGTCTGTGAAAAAACAATGCCAGTGAACTTCCCACTCCTGATGCAACCAATGCTTTCAAATGTTTTATTAAGTAGTTTCTACATGTGTAGTATTGCTTCAGTCTGTTTTTTATACTCAATAACATGTCATAACTTTTTGCAATGAGCACATATTGAATTTATCAATCAAGCTACACTCTGAGAAATACAAAAATATCACAGTACATTTCTACCAAAAAACCTTTAGGCTATCTGTGAGACCCAGAGCCGTGTGAGAGGAGGTGGAGCAACAGCTGCCGATGGAACATCACCAAGTCTGGAGGAATTAAGAGCACCGCGCCTCCGGAGAGTCCCATTACTTCTGCACAAGATTTCCATCACAGAGAAATTGCTCCACAAATGCTGAGAATTTAGATTCTCCCAAACTCCCAAGCATTCTGCTTTGTGTTGAGGGAAGAAAACATACACCATTTTCTCGAAATTTGGAGGACAACCACATGTTCAGGAGATTGTAATAAATTCGATCTGTCCTATAATTCATCTTTGAACCTGGAATAAAATAGCACCCTGATTGCATCACATGTCAAGGATGAATGACAAAACAAAGTCAATACGATAGATGAGATGTTTGTGATTCTATCAATTATAGTGCAGTTCAATTTAGTAAAATGGGCTGTATTTTAAATTGGATGGACTTACTCTCTATGTTGTTGTTTGACTTTTGTAAATTAAAATTTGAAGTGCTGTCATTATGTATTTTCATCATTGTGATTGTATTTGTAACCACCAGGTGATTTTTCACATCAAACCTGATTGGAAAAACACAAAATTACTTAAATGGCACTATGTTTATGGAAAACAAACTGTTCTCTCAATTTTCACAAATCTTATTTTAACTCTATGGCTGTGTTCACCTTAAATCTCATTCTCTAACGGGTTTAGACAGAAACCAGGGTTCAACATAAGCACACCTTAACGAATAACTCTTTCATTTCTTTAACAAACATAATTTTGAATACATATTACAAAGTATCAAAAGAGTTTAAACAATACTGAAGAATGTGTGGTACAGATTTTTTTCTTAGGAAATGTTTTCCTCATGTTCTCCCATACTGCAAAAATTCAAATCCGCAGCTCAGAGGTGAGATCCTCACTACACCCATCACAATGGACAGGAATGCTGCAGCACAGAGCCACTTGGCGGTTTCAACATAAAAACTACTAATGCAGGGAAAGAATTAAAAACATAAAAAAATGTGAACACCTTGGCTGTGTTTTCAATTCTACACAAGACCAAAGGATGATTTCTTTAAAGAAAATATTAGAGCAGTTCCACAGACCATAATAACAAAACAAGACATGACCAGGACCGGAAAGATGGACAGACACAAAAATCAATACACTTTCTATGGGTCAGAGAGAACACGCCAGATATTAGGACTTAGGTGCAGTGTGGAGACACAAGGAGGCCAGATAGTCCAGGAGTCTCTGCTCAGGGGGAAAAGGTCGTCATCTCCAGAGAAATGCGCTGCCACAGCTCCTTGGTCTGTTTGCCCCTCTTCAGATTCTGCAGCACATCGTTGAACTGCATGACTCCCACTGGTGTGAGGCAGAAGGCTCCCCGAGCGCTACGGATAATGTTGACAAAGTCATCGTAGTCTGCTGGTGTCAAATGGATGAGCCGATGGTGGATGTACTGCATACACATAAACATGCATACAAGATAAACGGGTACAGAATCAGACTTCAGTGTTGCAACAGACTAGGAACCATGCACTGTGGTGTTCCATCCTAATACTTAGGTGGGGCTAAAATTAATTTGCATTTGAACTTCTAAATTATAGATTAATTTATTAACTAACTAATGTAGTAATTTGAAAAAAAGTGTTTCAGATAAATATACATAGAGCAGAGCAGCAACAGTTGCACAAACTCTACAATGTTACCATCTTTTAAAGAATATATGGGTTGTCAAGTTAGTATTTCAAAGATTGGCAACATTTAGTTTAGGAGTGTCAATCAAACCAAAACTTTAAACATCTGCGCATGGAGCAATGCAGGGGAAGGGCAAAGAGGAGTACCTGCAGGTATGCTTGTTGGCACCGCTGTACAAGCTGGTGGAAAGCTGGAGTTCGAAGGTGAGCATGGATGTGAGCTGGGTTAAGCCTCTGCAGGGCCTCCATGATAATTTCCTGCAGAACAAAAGGACTAAGGACTCCTTTTGCTGCCCCAACACAGAATTGGTACACATAATTGACCCCTAGGAAAAACCAAAAAGTTAATTAATTTAATGAATCCAATGTTATAAATGTACATATAGATAGAGAGATATAGTGACAGAGACATATAGAGAGAGGTAGATATATACACATATATACAGGCTAGGGTTGTCACCTACCTAATCGTGCAGCCAATCCCAATAGCCATTTGACATCCTCTGTGTACGGAGGGCTGCGGGAGAAGTTGTTTGGATGATCATTATGGGCTCTTCTCCCAAGCATCTCCAGTGCTAGCATCCCTTTGGGCAACAAAAGCAAAATGTTTGTTGTGCTTCTTTTGTGGAATAAAAGTTAATCCAAATCAAAATGGGAAGTTTCCTACCAACTCTGTAGGCTGAGTGGAGATAGTGCAGGCCTTGCTGGCTGAGCGGCTGGCTGTGTTGCTCTTCCTCTGTGGGGAATGGAGGACTAACTAATGGCCCTGGCTGTGACGAGAGGGAGGGCATAGATGCCCCCTGCATGGTCTGAATGGTGGTGCCCGTGTGGACACTGCCCACTAAAAACAGATTTAAAAAGATTAGAAGCTCACTGCAAGCATTGGTGATGTGCATGAGTGATGTCCTGACCTGCTACAGTGGTGCTGAGGGGCAAGCCTGTCTCTGTGTGATATGGATGCACTGCAATCTGCGTCATAGATGGAACAGGCACACCAGGAAAGGTTACTGCAGTGGCTGCAATTGGAGGAGGAGGGCCAGTTGCAACAGAGAAAGGGTACTGAGCACCAATAAAGGCAGGGTGCATCCCCTAAAAAAGCATACAAGTCACAGGGCAAATCAGAAAACATAACAGAAAAAAAAAAATTGAACTTTTCATTCATCTTACACCAAATTCCAAACTGTGCTATCTGCAATAATGAGGCTGTTTTTCTGACCTGTGGATAAGCTGCTCCAGAGACAGGGAAAACAGCTGGTCGTGGGACATGCTGCAGAGGGTGCCCCATGTACTGAGGGGTACAGACTGTGGGAAGATGCGCCTGCAGGGTGGTGTAAGGATGCAGGCCTTGGCCATGAGGATGGGCTATGGCTTGGCCAGGCATAGCATGGGACTGGTAGATGGTGGAGCCCACAGAGATGACAGGTACAACAGCTGTGGCAGTGACAGATGCTGTGACAGTGGCCACGCCTGGGGCATCCAAATTAGAACCATTGTCAAGAACACAGTTGGCCTCTGGGGGGCGCCTGCCTGAGCCCCCATTAGCTCCACAGCGGCTGGATGCTTCACGTTGTTGCCCAGAACTTCCACCGACTGACTGCTCATACAGCCAGTACCACTGATGGGCCACCTCAAAGAGAACCTCCGGATACACCCCACCACCCTTTGCTGCTTCCTCCACTGCCATACAGGCTTTCTCCAGCATAACATTGTCCTGACGCAAAAGGAACATCAAATCAGTTTATTAACTTATTTCTATCCTCTATTAGAACAGACATGACCACTTGGAAACAACAGTGCCTCTAGAGGATATGTTGCAAATAAACAAAATAAATAAAGTTATTTATTATCATAAAAATGTTTTAGAATGCCTGCTATATGTAAATAAAATAAATGAAACATAAAAATTAAAAACAAAAAAAATAAAATAAACAAAAAAAAAATATTATTTAGACAAATTAAACCAAAACATATTGTTGGCAGTTGTTATGAAGGCTTTTTTTCATATACTGTTTTCAGCATTGAAGATATGATGATAATAAGGTATCCAATAAAGTTACCTGTTCTTTGCACTGCACTAGTGCTCTCTGAATTTCATTAGGATTGAGGGCATGAGCATGAGGCAGACAGCTCAGAGCCAGTTCTGCTGCTGCTCGGACCATATTGGGGTCTCTGGCCCTGGAGGCTCGGTCTGCCAAAGACGCCACTTCTGGTGGGGTCAGGTGACCATCCCAACACTCCACCAGGATATTGAGAGCAGCACTGCCGATCTCCATGGCCTGGCCTAAGGGCAATGTGTGTCATGCAAAATTAATTAGCATAGAATCATAAAACAAAAGAAAAAGGTTTTCTGTGACACAAAATGATCACTCACCAGTAATCCAGGACACATGTGAGGAGTAAGTCCTGGACAGCCAGTTAGGAGACACAAAGTTGTGGAGGCCGAGAGCATATAAGCCAATCTCAAAGGCACAAAGGTGCAGGTTCCTGTGAGGACCCTGGTGCCCCCCGCTGGCTGAAGGCTGTGTGAATATAGATGTAGATGAATTCCCTCCAGCTTTTATCAACACTGTCTTGGCCAGCTCAAAGTAGAAATGCGCAGCAGCCTCCGAAGGCTGGTTAGGAACATGCGGAGCATGGCATTCTGGGCGCCGTCCTTTGTACCTGAATGGCAGATTGTCATTAATGTTTATAAATGTTGATTACAGATGGACTGCCTACTGCAGTAAAACACATTTGCTATGTTATTAATTCTTGAAGGTAGAAGATACAAACCATTCTCACCTGCTTGTGTCAGTGTTTTTTGCCCTGGCCCCACCCCCTGCTCTCCGTGAGCCGCTAGAGGATGATGAACCCAAAGAATCAGAAGAGGAGCTGCTGATGCTGTCACTATCCTGCCCCCTGCCCCATGACGCTGCAGCCCAGCCCCCACGCAAAGGCCTGCGGCTCAGGGTGGGCGAACTGTCCGAGGTGGTTTCTGGAGCGCTGCTGTCAATACTTGCCATTCCTGTGAAATCAGAATCCACAATCAACAAATCAGTAACAGATGCCTTATATCCAGGGTATTTTCACAGATATCTGCAATTTGGCCCTTGTGCACTATTAGTTTCCTTTGCTTCACTGTTGGTACTGTCCTTATTCACAACACTCACAAAATGCTGCACCATGAGTCATGTTAGAAGAGATCAGCTAAACCTTTTTCTATTACATGTTTGAAGTAAACAGAACAAGGTGATAACACAACCGAGATCAACCACAAACAAACTTAAACTCTCCCTGCTGAAGTGTGCGTCAGGAGTCGCTCTGAGGCCAGTCTAAACAAGCACATCCTTAGACTGTTTACCAGTATGTTTCTTCTTTTGTCGAACAGGTGACCCCCAGCACCGTTGGTTGTAACCATAGCGAGCTCAAGCGGCTTGGGACGGTGGTCTCCAACTTGAAAAGCACCGTCTCATTCTGCTGCTCGCTGGATGTAGAAGGTCCCTCTGTAATGATAACAGAGGAAAAATACTACTGAAAAACAGCACATGGAGCCACAAGACTAGAAATCAATCAGTTACTTTTTTTTATATGAAATTACTTTAAAGTCAGATACTAGATGGTCTGACATGTGGTCTGATGTGTGATTTAATTAATCATTGCATTTATATAGCGACTTTCAAGATACCCAAAGCGCTTTACAATTACAATTATTCATTCACTCAACACTCAGTGGTGGTAAGCTACTACTGTAGCCACAGCTGCCCTGGGGCAGACTGATGGAAGCGAGGTTGCCAAACTGCGCCATCGGCACATCCGACCACTACCATCACTCACGCACACACCACTTTCATACTAGGCAATGTGGATGAAGTGTCTTGCCCAAGGACACAACAACAGTTTTTGCCACTGTCCTCCCACTGCTTTAAAGTTGATGAACTGCATAATCAAAACATATTGTCCAGGGACTGCAGGGGGAAATTTGGTACATGAGATGTTTTTTTTTGTGCATTGTCCCTGATTAGATAATTTCAAATTCAAATGTATGAATAAAAATGGTTATAGATAGAAAACACATTGTTAGCTCTATTACAAGAAGCAGCTGTACAGAATGGTGTTTAATGTGTGTAAGTCACCGTGCTCTTTGGCCTCTGAGGCGCTCTCTCCAGATAAAGTATTCTGCATTTGGCTGAGCTCTTGCTGATTATTGATCTCATCAGGGGCCAAGCTCACTGCAGTAGACTGGTTAGTGGTAGAGGCCGGGAGAGGGGTAGCAGAGGACGGTGTGTGTTTAGAGAGTCCTCCAGAAGCTCCCCCTACTCCTCCGTGACTTGTAGTGGCATGTTTGGATGGGCTCCTCTGACTGCTTGCTGCAGGTTTACTTGAGTAGAACGAGCTCAGGGTTTGGGGTTTGTGAGTTTGACTTTCTCTGTCCAACAGCTTGTCCAGTATCTGGAAGAAAAAAAAAAATATATATATATATATATATATATATCCATCCATCCATTTTCTTCCGCTTATTCGGGGCCAGGTCGCGGATATATATTTTAAATCCTGCTACTGTCAATGTTTTTATCAATAAGAAAAAAATGACATCAGGAAATCTAAAATAACAATATTGGCAAGTTACCTTCTTGAGCTTGCTTTGGTCATCTTTGTATGTTATCATAAGGGCTAATGCCAAGTCTCCTTTCACTCTCCGAGTTCCTTCACATAGAAGAGGATGCTCTGCCTCACTCACTGTTGTCTTCATACCTGTTCAATAAGAAAATAAATTATCAGCTGCATTAATTTGACAATTACCATTACTATATTAATGACTTTACCAAGTGCAGCAACAGCAGCTTCAAAACCCAGCTCCTCATCACCAGGCATCTCATTGTTCCGGTTGCGACTTGGTGGACGGGAGCCTGTTGGTGACACAACTGGACAAAAGCAGAACAGAGCGTAAGTGTGAATACTTATATTTGCAATGAACTGTTCTCTAAAAGACCACTTCCTTACCGGGTGTACACAAGACATCAAAAATGAAGCTGGCCAACATGAGAGGCAACACAGGTCGGTAATCACAAAAGTTTCCATCTCTGAGCTGTTCAGCGCGCTCTCTGATTGTTGACATCTCCACTAGGCCCAAAGGAATCTTTTTTAACAGAGCCACAATCTCTGACTCTTGGTAGGCCAGCTTGACCTGCCACCACATAGAGAAGCTTTTAACCATCTCAAAATTGATAGGGTCATTTGGAAGTAATAGATTTTTAAATACAATGTAAAACTAAATTAGCTTTTTGTAAGCTGTTCCCTAATGTAGTACATTTGTTATAGTCTTCAAACCAGACTCTGATATTACATGTGTGTAACTGAGTGGATATCATCATTTGCCAAAACCACAAAGATCTTTCACATTTTATGATATTCTACCATTTCCCCACTGTTTCATGTTCCTCCAACGTTTAAAAATGTTTTTACATTTTTATGAAGAGCAGAAGAACATAATTCTTCAGTAAAGTGACAGTAAAGGTGAGCTTCATCTCTACTGCTTGATACACAAGAAGAATAAAAAAATATTTAAGACATAAGGGACTAGCAAACCTATAGTTAAGTGTGTACATGAAAAGATGGCAGACCTCCAAAGCTTTGGTTGATGCTGGAGGTCTCTGCAGCTCTAGAGAGAACATGCCAGTGCAGAAAGCCAGGTTGTGGAGCTCCAGCCTTTCACTGAGCACAGTGAGGAGAAAAGCAGTTTTTGACAAAGTGTTGGTGGCAGTCTGTGTTTGTCGACTCGTTGAAACCTTGCTCTTTTTACCCTTAAAAAGAGATCAAAATGTTATGTTTTTTAACAAGTGGACAGACATACTTATACTATAAAAAAGTTAATTTAACCACTATTATAAAATTGTCTTTCTCTTAATATAAGAATGTTTGCGCACACCTTGGTCTGTGGCTGCTCAACTTTTAGGTCCGGGGGGTTGGCGAGCAAGTCTCTGGCTAACTCCACAGCCAGCCTGCAAGCCTCATTACTGTATCCATGGGCATGAAGAGCTTCAGCACAGGCAAATACCACCTGCACATCATATCCAGAAAATATGACATAACATTCAATATGACTTTAAAAAGTTTCAAAAGATTTTAAGTCTCTTACCTCCATGCGGCCCTCCTGCTCCAGAGGCTTTATGCCTGCAAAGATGTCTGGTTCATCATCCTGATGGCTTTCCACCAGCTGTCTGTCTGCTCCCTCTTCAGAGGCTGCACTCAAGTAGTAGGCTTGATAGTCATCATCTCCCACAGCAGGGTCCTCTCCGCCCTCTGCCCCACGGCCTCCACTTGCCCCTGCCTCCCTCTGATCCACAGGAAGCTTAGAGGCAATGGGAACAGGACCTGGTTTCTCAGCAGAGGAAGCCGAGAGGGCAATATCACCTGGATCTACTTCCTCCTTCCTAACATTGATTGGTCCAGACTCATTGTTGTTCTCTGTACCATTAGACCTTACTATCAGAATGGTCTCACCAGTAGTCAAACAGGGAAGGTCAGAAGCAGGTGGTGCAGCAGGGCTATGGCGTTTCGAGTCAAACATCTTGTTTGAGCCGGTGCTGCTCTTGCGGGGCTCTCGGAGCAAGGGGCTAGGGGAGGGCAGCATCTCAGGCGGTGGAGGCAGGAACTCAAAAGTGTTACTGGCCTCCGCTCCTAAAGCCAAGCTGCAGCCATCATCTAGACTGAGCTCGGCCATGTCAGGCTCCAGAGAGCTGTCCTCACTGCTAGTTCTGCGCTTGTTGCTTGAGTGCTTTCCTCCTCCTAACCCACCACTACCTCCTGATAAAGCCCCCTTTCCACTAGCTCCACCCTGGGAAATCTTGAGCTTCCCTCCAGATGAGTTTCCACCTTTGTACAAGCACTTTCCTCCTGCATCATCTAAAGAAAGTGACATGCTGCCACCTAACCGCACCAGCATCCCCCCACCTCCGCTCACAGACAGCCCTTTCCTCTTGCTCAAAACACTTTCCTTTGGCCGCACTGCTACCTCCTGCTGAGATCCACGCAGAGCTCCGCCCTCACACTTGCCTCCACAGACTTCTTGAGAATCCCCAACAGCTGGGACTGCTGTCGCTTTAACTCCTCTGTGGTTATGAAGTGCTCTGGACCAGCAGAAGGTGGCGCTCTTCTTGTCAGTACTGCAATAGGTAATTCCCTCCAATGGGTAAGCCACCTCCCAGTTGAAATAACAGGATTCCAGAGCAGGTTTGAAACCCTGGAACAACTTGTCCAAGGACTTCCGATGCTGACCACGCTTCACAATTTCAATTACTTTTAAATGCCACAGTTTCAGTTGACTGGCCATTTCCATGCGCCTGAAAGACAATATAGATGCTTTTAATTATGAAAGGAATGTAGAAAATGGTTTGGTCTGGCCACCAATATGACGAACAATGTGAAATTAGAGGTGTAAGCTCTGAACACTTCTCACATTCTCATTTGAATGAACCAAATCATGAATCGTGATAAGTACACTCAATAGTTACAAAAGGTCACACTGGAAAATATGAACATACTCTGTGAGTGAAAAAGTTGCTTATGAGCTTCTACTTTCATTTAATTTGTTCAGTCACTTTTTAAGTACATCAATACATCACCCCTTTTCTGTATAAATAATAACTTGAATAATCAGGCTTTCAAATGATAACAATTAAAATTATTTTATTTACATAATTAAGTAACCCTACACCCAGAAGTCATTTTAAGACTTATTTGTATAAGTAGCTTTGCTACACATGCAAGACATGAGGCACAGACCTGCATGGACTCATGGTCGGGTCTAGTACTGCGAGCCTCCAAAGCACGACCATCTCGTCACACATGCTGGCACAGGCATGAGCTGCCACCTCTGACTGCCCATTGCTGCGCCCAGTGTGGCCACTCGCACTGCTGTGGGACGCTGAGGTGCGCACGCTGTACCACCAGCTGATGATCTGAGAAAAAGCACAATAATCTTTCATAATTTATTTTATTTCAGAAGTAAGAATAGAGGCAATAAAGGTATTGATAAAATTTGAGGTAAATAATGCTTGTTATTTCTAAAATTATAAAGGAATTGCATACAAAATGAATAATGTTGCTTTTGTTCATTGTTTTTGCTCATTGGAATACACAGATAATAGTATTGCAGTATAGATCTAAATGCTAAATTGTCATATTTTTATACACATTTTTATCTAAAACTACACTACTAGAAATAGCTTATACAACTTCTGCTGCTGGCCCTGATTCTTCATAGCAGCCTATCACCTTAGCAAACAACAGATTTTTCTTGGAAAATGGCTGTTGAACATTATTGAACCCTCGGCATGTGCCCGAAGTCTGTATTTTTTCCTTGTAATTAAAAGTGAAAAAAAAGTGAAAACATTACAGAATCACTCAAACATGGATGCAATCAAAATACTCCAGGTATGCTAATGATGAAGGAAAACCATTACATTATTCTAAAATCACGTTTTATAACATGTCTCTTTTAAAGGCGTACTATGCAACTGGTTACATAACTGTTAACGTATATATCTGAAACCACCACTGTGTAAAAGAAACAATAACAGGCTGATGTAGAGATTTCAGAGCACACCTGTTCATAGGTGAGGCACTGCTCTGTGAGGATCTCCAGCAGAGGTGCAGCGTTGCTGTCTCGTCTCTTGAACATCTCCCTGACAATAGACAAGAGGTTCCAGATGCCTTCAGGTTCACGACCCCGGAGGGGGCGGAGTAGACACGCCCACTCTGCAGCAGCAGGGGGCTCCGTGGACGACAGGTACATGGAGTTCACATCACTACAAAGAGAACAGTCATTTACTACTACTGCGCTTCATTTTAACTATTTATTTCATACAATACCATTATAATTTCTGGAAATGTAAACAAAACCTCTTCACTGAAAATATTCTAAATATTGGGAAAATGTAGCAGTCATTAAGGCTTTTTGAAGTCCTTTTTTTTCATTGTACTGTTTATATAAAACTGACTTAAAAACGGGTCCATTCAGAAACTGCTAAATGTTTTGTAGCTGCTGACTGTGCTTCTTCATAGCAAGCAACAAAATTTTATTTACGGTGTTTATAATTTTGAAAAATGTATTGGAATTTTTTAACATACATGGACCAATCAAAATACAACTCTGAGAAAACTAACAATGAGTGAGACCCATTAGAACATAAACGCTCACAAAAGTCCATTTTGCATACTGTAGGTTTCACTTAAGATCAGTCATTGGTTAAAATAACTGGACCTCTACATTAAAGCTGTGGCAGGATATGTCTTTGTGTACCTAAAGACGACAGGGGAAGGCCCACAGAACTTGTGAAGAGTCTTTTTAATATTGTCACTAAGAGTGGATTCATCCAGATACCAGGTACTTTGGTCTGAAGCAGAGGGTCCAGCAGTAGGATCTGAAAAACAACACATAATTACAATGCTAATTTTAAAAAATTCATTACATTATTAATGAGTCTTTCTTTTACAGTGCATTATCGTATCTTGTCGCTGCATTATAAAATAGTCAATGAGAATTCTAATGCTGACTAAGGTGCATTATTTTTGTATAACCTGCTCAGGTAGTACAGGAACAGTTAATCACAGTTCTATATCACCTTGCTTTGGACATCACCATGGCAACAGGTAAACAAATGAGTGCCTGTTGGGAGAGTCTCAACTAAAAACAGAAATAACTAATACTTTCCCACCCACAATTGCACTCTTTTGCCATCTTCAGTGTCACGTAATTTTACTGTGACATGTCTGGTCAGCTGAATTAAACAGATTTTGCTGTAGTATTGCAAATTGGAGCAGAATGCAGCCAAAACATGTCATGGTATGACAAAATAATACAATGTGAAAACCTAATGAACCAAATAAGAGACAGACAGCTACAGCTCACAGAGATGTTCAATCACTCTACTAAACACATTCAAAATCTGAAAGAAATGGATTTACACAACAACAATATGAACTGGGACATAATCCATAAGAGTATAGGGTTCAAGCTCCCATGCATATAAGCCATTGTTGTAACAGTAGGAATAAAGCACAAGGAGAAGTATAACCCTGTTATAACCCTGCATTACTAAAACATACCAGGAGCTCCACACACAGTATTGATGGCTGTTGACTGAGAGGACAGCAGTTCGTCAAGTAGCCGTTGTGCTGTAGGCAGGATCTTAAAAAAAAAATGCAAGTATTAAATAGATGTTCAGTTACTGAATTCTTCTACAAAACACTTCTGCTGGCCTACCTGCTGTGGCAGCTCACTGATGAGGTACTGAGCAAATTTCTGGAGCTGGTCTCTCTGCAGCCTGGACAAAGACTCTGAAACTGGGGCTCTCAGGCACACGGCAGAGGCCTATAGGCATGACAGATACAAGCATCAAATCAAAGGTTAGTTCAGGATTTTGGCAATAATCTCTTCTTTCTCCTGTTCCTAAACCTTTTGGATTTAAGTCAGACCATAAGAGTCAAGGTGGTTTTCAAAGAGAAAAAGTTTTAGCTGTCTATGGAAAATACAACTCTCCCAACCGGCAGCATGAACAACAGTGGCAGGTACGCTGCCTCACAGCGGATTCATAAAAACTGTAACCTCACAGCATATACAGCATATACAATTGTCCAGGTGTAGTCAAAGAGTGCTGTTACATGACCCAAGTGCACACAGAAGCTGCTCTTCACGCTAAAATTCATTTTAACTCCCATTAGCCAGGCATGAGTACAATCTAATACTAAAAACATTGGACAAATTTAAAGTCAGTAAAAATCAGCCACAAATGTTAGCTATATATTATATTAGAAATTAAAGCTGGATTGTGTAACTTTTCTGGTGGAGAATCCGTCAAATGCAGTGTGCTGTTACATTATCCAGGTGCACACAGCTGCACTTTGGTGATTTGGGATACTCAAATCACAACACCTCACTCTAAGGTTTACATGAGTAGGCCAGTATTGTGGTTTTCCTGGCATGCATATAAATTGCCAAATCTCCTTGTCAAAGACTGATTTTATCCGATCTCAGAAGCCAAGCAGGGCCGGGCCTGGTTAGTACTTGGAAGTGAGACTGCTGGAAATTCCAGGTGCCACAGTGGGTGCAAAACCTGCCATTGTGTCCTTAGGCAAGACACTTCACCCAGGTTGTTTAATATGAAAGTGGTGTGTGAATATTGGGTGGAGAGGTCTATGGAGTAGATTGGCAGGCTTCTCAGTCTGCCCCAGAACAGCTGTGGCTACAATAGTAGCTTGCCACCACTGAGAATGAATAATGCATGACATTGTAAAGCTCCTTATTATTATTATTATTATTATTATTATTATTATGTAATGTCTTATGTAAAGTCGAGTTTATCAGAATACTTTATATGATGAAGTCAGATACAAGGGCATCAGCACAGTGGATTGTGAGATGGAGAGGTGCTTACATTGTGTATCCTGAAGAGACACAGTGCTACCACATGGGCACACCACTTGGCCCCAGCCCCACAGGTACAGCTGCAGGAAGTGATGCGGCAGCGGTCAAACATGACCGCCACGTTATACGCTCCCTTCGACTGTCCAGTCTGGCTGGACACTACTGTTGCACTCAAATGGAAACCTGACACATGAACAAATACAAATGCACGGTATAAATCTACATGGATTAACATCTAATAAATATCATCATAGACAGGAAATGTAATTTGTATAAAAAGTTAGACAACAGAGAAAAATCATAGACATAGTAGATTTTGTGTCATGTCATGTCATGTATGCTATGAACTAACAATACCCACCTATCTGCAGAGGGTCTTTAACAGCTCTGATTCGGTAAAGCTGCTCTCCACGCTGGAATTCATCTGGACTCCCATTAGCCAGGCATGAGTACAATCTAATACCAAAAACATTGCATATGCTTAAAATCAGACCTAAACTCAGTGGATTACAACTGTCCAACAAGGAACAGCACATGGACACTGCACAATGTTGTTTGCTCAAGTAGAATGAATGGGAATTCCAGAGACAACATGAACTGCCATAGTTCTGTTTACTGGTAAACGCAGAACTTCGTAACAAAATCAAACACACGGGTCTGTATCTAAAGCTGTGCATGTGCCTGAAAATTCATGCATGTGAATATTAACAATGCAACAAAGGGGATTATGAGAGCTTGGAATGAGTTCAAGTTAAATACATGCATTCTAATTTTGCAAATTGGGCATTGCAGCTTTAAAATATATATTATTATATAGTTAAAATATATACCCTCTCTCCAAAAAGTCTTTATTATGTACCGTAACAGTGATATCACTTTAATTTATGAATGGCTCACCTGATGTCCTCTTCATTTTCAGGGAAGCTCCAATAAGCGATGCGTAGCTGGAGTTGTTCAGGCACTGGAGGGTAGACCTTTTCCACTACTTCAAAAGGAATGTGGAAAGCAACCTGTTTGGCTGACAGCTCTACCAGTGGGATCACCAGACCATCTGGGACGTGGACACAGATGAGCAACAACAATGAAATTTAGCGATCACCCAAGTCTATATCTACAACAAGACAACCTTAATAGGAATATTGAATAGGTTAAATAGGCAAAAATTGAATTTGAGCATGCCCCAATGTAATGTATAATATTACAAAAGTTGGTTACAATAATTACACAAAACATCCACACCTTTTATCTTGACAGTGGGGGAGTTGGGTCCCGCAGACTGTTTCCTCCAGCCTCTCCAGTTCTGACACAGGCTCTCCGCTTCGGAAATAAACGAACACAACGAATCTTCCTCGAACCGGTCTGAGTCTTCGAAGGAGAACCTTTCCCCATCCTCCCACTCGGCGAACATCAGTTCCATTACATCCACTGCTGAAAGCCCCCACTGCGAGCTGCCGTGTTCAGTCTAAAGTGAAGAAAAGTCACCAACTCCAGGGCAGATTGGAGACTGGGGGAGGGGCCGCAACAACAAGCCAAACACAGCTGAGAGCTTAGCTGGACCCACAACTACATGTTAAACCCTCATCATCCACCAACACGTACATAGATGTACGCGATACTTTTAAGTAAAACTCAAAAGGACATGAAAACAAGCAGAAACCTCACTTCACCGTCCTAATGCCGAATGAGTACACTCTGAACAGAGGGGCCTGTATTTCGTTAGACTGTGTTCAACAGCTCTCGCCTTATCTGCTCCCCCCGGGAGTAGACAAGTCCAAATCAAACTCTGTTGCTCAGACAGTGCCACACACTACCGTCCGTTGTTCATCTCTCCATACTCCATATATTAACCACCTACACTAAACAACAATTGTTAAGAAAACGTTTTACGTTTTCTCTTATGATTTCAGTCAATTCAATTAGCAATTTAGCCTGAAAGCTAATAGATAACGGGCTGACTTACATAAAGGCAGCTGCTGTCATTCACCGTTAATTATAGTTGTGAGGTACAATGTGCTCAACAAGCATTTAAATGCTGTTGTTTTCAATGGAAGTTGTATCGTAGCTGGTCCTTTTGGTCGTGATGTCTCAGTGACGATAAAGACTAGCACCAAAGCTAACTCCACAGGGGCTGAAACTAGCCTGCGATAGGCGTTTGTTTACATCAGAAACACTTTGATGTCGATCCACGACAGGTTTACGAACACTGTCCTTCTCCAAAATTGCAACACTTATACCATTGCAAAAGCAGCATCCAATCATACTGAGATAATGATCATCCAAACTGTGTTTTCCGATCTTTAAATTATTACTTGAGGTTGTGGTGCCGTTTGCAGACCAATCTGCGGCTTCGCCTGCCTTGTCCTCGCAGTGTCACTCCGTGTCGCCGTCCTCAAAGCTCCACAGACAATGAGCTGAACCCATGAGCATTTTTGCTGTCTTTGTAATGTCTATCGGGTTCGGTCGGGTCGTTATCAGTCTGCCGGGGAAAGATGGCTTACCTTCCCCGTCGCTCCTCCTCAATCAGCTGATCATGACTTCCGGTAGCTGACACGGCGCGCTCCCGTGCGCGCGCGGAGATGCCCACAGCTTGCATGGTAACAACAAGTGGCGTCTCTCTTATTGGCCAAATGACAAGCATGACAAAATAGGCTACAACTATCATATGCACCAAGGCCACATGAGCACGCTTCTTTTGAATTAGAAAGGCGAGATATCCTTTTTAGTTTATTCTGCAGGGCTATCCAATAACCTTATAGCCTATTTATGACAATGCCATTCAGTTTAAATGTTCTTTATAGTGAATTATTGTTTCTGAAGGAGGATTTTGGATATCAATATTATTAAAACAAGGCATTCAAATAATAACAACTCACAATAGTAGTATTGTATTGTATAGAATTGATTTATCCTTAAATAGTCGGTCTGAACGTCGGACAGGTGTCCCTACAAGATAAAAAGTGAAAAGATAGCAACACATAATATAAATAATAATTTAAGTTATTAAGATAAAGTGCAGTATTTGCAATCATTAATACAGACACAAAATCTTAATGCCTCTGTTCAGGACAGGTAGACCTACACCAGTTCACTGTTGGTACTTGTAAATATTCAACATCAATATACAGTATAAAAAACATACAAGTGCCTGAAGTTCACTCCAGTTTATGCCAAGTGGTATTACCATACCACCCAAAGCTCTTTACATTAGTCCATTATTTACTTATTCGTCTATTTGAATGATGAGCTACTGGCATAGACATGGCTTATCTTCAGACCATTTAGGGCTTGTTGATTACTTTATCAATCCATCGCAAAAACCTATTCACTCGGGTGTATACCCCAGGAAAGGCAGGATTACCACAGCCATGCCCCCATGAGATGACTCCAGTGAGAACCCAGTGCCCCCTCTCGTGCTGACAAACCAAGGGCCCCCCACTGTCCCCCTGACAACTGTCCACTCGCCGCTGTTCAGACAGGCTGCCCGCACACATCATCCGGCTGGTGAAACGGGCACCATAGCGCTTCTTGCACTTCCAAGAGGGAAGGAGAGGAACCCAGGCCTGCTTCAGAGTCGGAGAGTACTCAGAGTCTGCAAAAGCACAATAAAGACACAACGTAAAAATGCAATGTCAAATTTGCACAAGATCTAATAAATGAATAATTCTCTTCTCAAATTATGAATATTTACACATTATCATGCATGTGTCAGTGTCTCTTTTGCTAGAAAGAATAAACTCTTAAAATAAGTTAAAAATAAATAAATAAAAAATAATACAAACTTCTTATCTTCTTATCTTATATCTTATGTGTTATCAAAGTGTGTACGGTAGATGCTGGCAATTACATTTTCTTCTTGTAATTGGAAACCCATCAACCAACTCTATTGTAATATAATGCTAATTTGACAGGCACCTTGTTTAACAACAACAAAAGAGGGGTCAAATGTCAGAGACTTTGTTTTTCTGTATTTTTGTTGTACATGTACCACACTGTCCATAATCAAAGTCATAGACAAATTATTATAGATAATAGTTTTGTAGCCTTATCTTAAAGCCACCGTAAAAGCATATTTTTTTTAAGTTGTGTTCATTTACTAAAAAAGTTACTGTGCAAACTTGCATCTCCATGAATCTGATTCTAATTTGGCCAGGAAGCGGCATCCTTCTGCTTGTTTTCAGGAAAATGTTCCTCTTCATCAGTACGGTATAAAACATTGAATTACATATACATATGTATTTGTATGTGTATATCCCTACTTAGCTTGCATATTTCTGATATATTTTTTTAACTGCTGTTCTGGTACAGTATTTGCTGTTGCAACATTAAACAAAGATCCACTAGAGAGCGCCAAAGTTAACACACACGGTTTGACTTGAGGCACTTAATGTTATACATATAGCATTTTTAAACATAAAGATGAGATTTCATCTGAGAGCAGGAACAACTTTACCATAAGTATTATGCAGTCAAGTACAATGTTACCTGTGAATCCCCAGCCAGTGATGATACAAGATGTAGATCTCTTGTCCTTCTTATGGCTGGATTCTGGTAAACACACAGCACTAGTGTGAGGGTTGAACGCTACACAGCTGCCCTCAATGCCTTTGAGTCGCACAAGAGCGATGTCATAGTCCCAGGCCTGGCTGTGGTACTTCCTGTGGATGATGATGCGTTCAGGGCTCAGGGTGCGCTCAAAGTCATCTTGTTCCTGAGTGTGATAGTCGCCAAGGCGTAACAAATACCGACTGGGGTCAGTGCCAAACCTGCCATCAAAGGACAACTGTATCAGAAACCCACAAGGTCCTTCTGCAAGGAGCCTTCATCATTGTGCGACTTAACTTTGGCAGTAATGAGTAAAGATTTTTTATGAAAACACAAATTGTTAGTTTACAAACTTCTTTTTAATAACTGGGGGAAATAAGTGGCTGTTTTATTATGTTAAGTAATGCAGTTACAAGAAAACATTTTTCTACTGGAGCCATCACAAACATTTGAACTGGAAGCTTTAATAAAGCAATACATTTCTTAATTTATGTATTTTTATTGATTAATTATTATATTTATATTTGACTTACATAGACAAGGCCCAGAGACAATTTAAAGTTTTGTTTAGGGAGTATTCATTGTGTTATTACTGTATTATTGTTGTTTTCCTATTATTTTTGTTATCAAGGGTCCATATCAGTAGGGGTTCTTAGATGTGTTGTGTTACCTTTTGAAGCAGTGGGCAGCAGAAAGGGCCCAGCATGAGTTGATAAGGGAGGCCCCACACAGAGGATGGTTCCCTTTAGATTGGGACCTGAGCCACAGGGAGACCTGCCAAGGCCATTCACCCCTGCAAAAAAGCACTGCTTAGTATACATGGATATTTATTTGAACATGACAGTTATAGTAATTACAGCAATAACAGAAGTAACAATAAAAAACGTTTTGTTTAAATGATAAGACTAATTAAATAAACAAGCATACGTCATAGCAGATAGGTAAAAATAGCTTTTTTCTGTATCAATACCTATACTAGTAAAAAGTATCTAATTTAGATTCTGATATATTTGACAGTGATATGCAAGAGTGTAGAAAACCCAAATACTGGACTGTGTTCAAGGGACCTCTAAACCATGTGATGCATTTTCACTTGAAGTCATATTCAAGAGTTTGAAACATATCTAATGAACAATGGGGTCTTTGTGAGTCCCTCATCTGACAATCTCTTAATAGCTTGAGCCTTAGGGCCTTATTTTCACTAACCCTCAGGTAATATAAGTACATTTAAAATGCTGTTTTATTCAATCTGTGCATGAATTAAATGGGAAATGGTATCTAAATTAAGCTAAGACCTTGTGGATCCCAAGTAGCATATGCCACAGGGAAGGAATAAATGAGATAAAATGTCACATTCTATCTGATAAGTTGCTCTTACCTGAGGGACTTGGCGCCCCCAATAATGCGTCGAAGGCGACGTTTCTTGCTCAGACTCTGACCACACGTGTGAAGCAACATGTTGCTGTCTGGAAATCGCTCCAATGTGTATTGGCAAATGACTCCAGCGTCCTCACTGTGGCGACAGTTGTGCCCCCCTTGATCTTCAGACTGACACTGTCCCAGTGACGTCTCCAGCCCTGAGCATCGGACATTATCCAAGTGGATGGGACCATGGCCTGGTCCGAAGTACGCCATGGACCGAGCCTTAGCCGTACCCCTTTATAAGAAAGATAGGGTTAGGGTTCATAATCATATTAGTATAACATGCATTTTAATATAGGAGCCATACTTAGATTTCTATAGTTTCTCCTGTGTGACAGATGTGGATGTGCATTAGTCCTGTGTACTAAACTGCAATGCCTCGAGGTGGTAGTGTGGTTGATGAAAATACTGATGAAACTGATTTTAAGTTTACTTTTTGTTGAATAGTTTGAATTGAATTGTAAATCTTTTTTTGGTTCTATCCTTCTATCCTTCTTGACTATACCAATTTGAAGTACTGCTGCTAAGCTTTTGGATCTAAAATAATACTCACTTAAAACCCAGCTGTCTGCACACCACAGCAGCACTGACGTCATCCCATCCATCGTCACATACAGTGCCCCACTGGCCATTCATCAACACCTCCACTCTACCCTCCTTTGGGCTCTCACCAGCCACAAGCCGCACCGGAGGGCCTGAAAGAAGATGGCACAATGTTACTCAAAACTAAATATTTATATTTTTGTTAGGTTTGTGTGTGTGTGTGTTCTTCATACATGTGCGCTGTATTCATATGACATTTTGTACTGCATTTTGGATTAGGTCTTGTATTTTATATGGTTTTGTCTCTTGTTTGACTCTTAAAAGTTTGTGTACATACTGGACGGGGTTGTATTGTAGGTGGCAGGAGGACTATGGGTACCAACGAGCCTTTGACAATGCACTGCTACGTCTTCACTGTGCGTGCAGTCATGTTGGCCCAGGGCAGAGTGGGAGCATGTCAACAGACTGTGCTCTGTGCCTTTACACTCCACCTCATCCAGCAGGATCAGCCCACCACTCTCTTCATATGATCCCTCTGGTGCCCCCTCCGCTACACCACTGGAGACAACAAGCAGTAAGAGTAGATCCACAACATACAGTTACATACATAGTTAAGCATATTTCACAGGTAGAAGCAGAACAATGTAGGTTGGTAACATTCCGAGAGATCTGTTATTGCCACAGATTTAAAGGTCCCATATTGCACAAACCTGACTCTTCAAAGCCTTTAGCCATTTTATAATGCTGCTACTTCCTCAAAAACATATCCGAAGTTGTGTTTTGTTTCATTTACACATGTTTGAGTAATCCTGTTTATTAGTCTGTCTACATCCCCAGTGCTCAAAATGCTCTGCTCTACTTTGTGATGTCATGTAGTAGGAGTTTTGAAGTTAACAGCTAGCTTTTATTTTTAGTTCAGTAGAGATTGGCAATTTCAGGGCTGAAATTAAACAAATGATTCTAATGAAGGTGTATGGAGTTTAAAAACACAGTGGAGTATTTCTTACATTACCATATGACATTACTAGGTGGAACAGAGAGTTTTCTGTTTGAGAGAATAGCCTAAATATACAGAGTTTGTGTGATAAAAGTGTGGATGAAACAAAACACAACAACATTCTAATATACTACATCATAAAATAGCGTTATATGGGCCCTTAAATCTAGAACCACCATAACCAAAAACCTGAATGTCTGAGACAGATTCAGGTGAAAAACTAGCATGGTGCTTTGTGTGTTGGCTTACCCGAAACCCAGCTGTCTACACACCACCTGTGTATTCAGCTCTGTCCAGTTATCATCACACACTGTTCCCCAATGTCCCCCGAAGTAGATCTCTACACGACCCTCCCATGGTCCATCTGCCCCCACCAGACGAAGAGCACCATCTGCATCAATAAAAATGTACATGCAGGTTCAGCAAAATGCAGGGTTAATGCAATATTTATATTTTACAGTACATTTTTCCCTCTATATGTGTCAAATGTGTCAGCATTTAGTAAGCATGATTTCAGGCCCCACATATCTTCCACCTCAATTTTAAACAATCCAACCTATTGCTATATATATTATATTGTATTAGTGTAGCCTGGTGCTGGTTCCAAAGTGGTGATAAGCTGAAATCAAACCTACATAACACATTTATGTACCTGTGTAGGGGTTACAGGACACTCCGGCGTCTCGTGTATGCTCACAGTTGTGTGGCCCCCACCTGCTCTGAGGACACTGCTCCAGTGCTAACTCATTCCCAGTGCAGCGAACACCAGCAAGGTAAACTGGACCCGAGCCCTGGCCAAAATGGGCTCCCATCCATGCTTTTGCCACACCCCTTGCCCCCAGGAAAGACAGAGAATTTGCCAGTATCAATGTCACACCCTTACACCCCACATACAGTTTTACACCACTGAAAACTCTTACCCAATGCCCAGCTGCCTGCACACCACCTCAGCATCAGTATCATCCCACTCATCATCACAGACTGTGCCCCACTGCCCATCATGGTACACCTCCACTCTCCCCTGGAAATGCTCTTGTCCACCCACTAGTCTCACAGGGAGGCTTTCTGAGAGATACACCAGTACAACACACAGCACAGACAGAGCTCACTTCAGTGTCTGATATTATAGTACATGGAACAACACAACAGCACACAGCAACACGCAATTAGTTTAGTTTTGTGTCCTTAGGCAAAACACTTGTCTCTAGTAGGAATGTGGTGTGTGAGTGTTGGTGGTGTTCATAGGTCTGATGTTGCGGATTGGCAGTCTCACTTCTGTTTTGATCAAATATATGATCCACACCCTGGAATTTCTACAACTGACAATAATTACTTCTTTGGAGTTGAATAATGGCCCTACCATAAGGGATTGTGCAAAAGTCATTTAACTTTTATTTGTTTGTGATGATAGAGAAGATTCTGAACTTTGTGCAAATTTTAGTTTTATCTACAACAATTACTACTCCATGTATAGGTCTAATTCATGTATACCATACAGAGAAAGGGATTTTTGTAAGGAATACACAAACAACGAAAGAGTCATTTTGGATGGCCAGGCAAAAATTATGAAGACTTGTGTTTGACTATTGACTCACTGGTCCCATTAGTGCTGCGTTAGTGCAAACATGGTAAAAATGTAAGCCTATTTCTGTTACCTTCAGGCTCAGCACAGGTCAGCATTGCATAGTTGTCATGGCTACAGTCGCCTGAGACAAACTTCTGACTCTGACACTCCATCAGGAATCTCTCATTGCCATGGCAACCCAGACGCTCATAGTGCAGGATGGCACTCAGGCCAAAAGAGGCGTGAAAGAGGGCCTTTCCAAACTCACTGCAAAGAAAAGTGAGCTCAAATACACAGAACCGGACAGATTGCCTCATTTACATGGGTATTTGGTTATAAAATGTGTTCTCTCTCCAGAATGCTATAAACATCAGGAATGGTACTAGGAAGTACTTTTTCATTGTATTTTACTGTATTGTTTAAAAGTTAGGCAGGTTTTGTGTCAAGTTGTACTCCTCACCCAAGCCCCAGCTGTCTGCAGACCACACTAGCATCACGATCAGTCCAGTGTGTGTCACACACTGCCCCCCACTGGCCACTGAAGTAGATCTCCAGACGGCCACTGTTACTGGAGGGACCTCCCACAAGTCGAGCAGCTCCTGGCACAGGAGAAATAAACCAGTTGCAGATTTCATGTACTTATATTGGACAAAAGTGCAGCATGCGCCATATTTATAACAAGAGTTCAGTCAGTTTAGTAGTGGTGGTTTCACCATCGTTGCAGTCGCAGAAGGCCCAGCTGATGGCGCCAGACTTCTGACGATAAAAACACCATGGCCTCTGCTCTCTGTCTGGATTCCTGCAGTGTGTGTGCTCTCCCAGGCCACCCTCTGGATACTGCTGCATGTAATCGGGGAAATCTGTCCAGCGAAGGCAGGGCACACCAGCCTCTGTAACTGACACGGACCCAGTGTAGAAGCCCTGAGGACTGAGGCTGCCTGAGCATGACTGCACGTCTGTAAAACAAAGCAAAGACCAAACACCAAATAACTTCAGCACCCTACTCTCATATCTGTGAGCTGAGAAGGACAAATATGTTCTATATTAAGCTTTTGTACAATATTCATAATGATTTTGCACAATCAACAGAAATATTGATAACTTGGTTGTTGCATTCTAGCTATCACTATCTAAATAAATAGTTAAAATAATATAATCTTGAGGCTATTTTAAATTCACATTTATGATAAGGTTTTATCTTACATTTTATATCTGTTATGTATTTTTGTAAAATTCCAGTTTTGTAGAATTTATGTATTTTATTTATTATTTTTAAATCAAAGGTGCCAAGCCAGCATTAGTAACAGTCACATATACACTATACAACAGATTAAGGATGATTCTGTTGGCTTCATAGTCATACCTGCCCAGTGCACTGTGTTCTGGTCACCAATGCTCTCCACCTGGGAAGAAAACACAGACATGCAACACTAAAATATTCTGTCTGCAGACAAAATGTTATTGACGCTTCATGCGGTTGGGTAAATTTATGTAGTTCAGTGTGGACAAAAATGACTAATGGATCCAGGACTGATAGAAGCACAAGCTCCTCCTAGATCAAATATACTGTATAGTTATTATCAGTGAACTTAAAACTCAAACAATTATGTGTCAATTATGATCTTCAGATAAAGCTAGGGCCAAAAACTTGGTTAAAGTCCAAACAAACAATTGAAAGACTAAATGAAACCAAGCAAATGGATAGTTATGTGGGCAAAGTATACACTATATATGCAGATACAGTTAGTGTCTTATATTTCCATACCACAAATTTTGAAAAATATTCATGCCAAGTCAAGAATATCTATCCAGAGATTTTGTTACATTTCATTACAATCACAATATTTTCTATTAGGCAGTTTGCTAAGCAGTTTTTAAATAATTGTATGCATGTTGAAACTTTTCCCAACTAGCTCTCATATTTTACTGTCAGGAGTTAAGAGTTCAATCCACTTTTTGTCTTGTGGATTTATATAGAGTCTTTATGATGTAATGTAAATGGGGCATGCATGGTGGTGTTGCCTGCTTGTCTCCATGAAGATACTGCTATGCTGTGGAACATTCCACACTAATGCAATATTTAACATTTCCATAGACACAAGCAGGTTGTGGACCTTCCATAAAAAGTTACATAGCGAACCTTTACTGTCACCAGATCTATGTTAATCATTTTAAGTATTGCTATATCTATTATCTATATTTATTATATATATAAATTCACTTTAATGGTTTCCAGTGTCGATTTGCTTCTCTAATAATATGTAAAAATAAATAAATAAATAAATAGGAAAGGGTATATATTTTTGCATCAAATGTGGCAGAGGACCTTCAGGAGGAAATACTTTGAAGGAATGGAACGAACCATTTCATCATCAATCAAAACAACGTTTCCTGTTGTTCACCTGGTTCCCCCTTGGATGCTGCTTGATGCTCCAGTATACTGAGGAGAGACACCTTTGGCTCAAACTGCCCTGACAGAGATCTGTTGACCCTATCTGACCAGTCCTCTCGTTAAACTGAAATGAGAAGCAAAATGTCCCTATTGATCAATAAAGTATCTTTCCCTCATATGTGCAAAAATATAAAAGCAGGATATGTTGTGAAGGATGTATTCTGTGGATTTAGCGAAATATATTTTTGCTTCCAAACTTCTCAAAACCCAAAATAAAAATGTTGCATTCAGACTCATAAGCGTGTCTACAAATTGACTATTAAAACGAATGATGAACAAAACAATTATGTTTCTTGACCAGACTTCTCAAAACAACACATGACATTCAGTGTGACAATACCACAATATTTCCATTAAAATCACATGTTCCGATACACTTCTTCCTCAGGTGCCTCCATATTTATGTTGATATCAAAGTGACTGGAAGTCCGGCATGGCAGTGTGCAGGAAAAAATATCTTCTTAAGCGGATTTACTATAAGGCAACAGAGATATAGAAAAAGCTATAGGCCGCATAACGCTTGAGGCCGGTGATATTAGCTACCAAGCAGCAATTCCGAACTCTGCCAAGACGAATCTAAATCTGGAGCAGTGGGGCACATGACAAACCCAGCTCTTGTCAGGCGCGCAGGACTAAATGCTTTAGCCTGCGTGGAAGCGCTCTTACCTCCGCGCGCACGCTCACGAGCAACAGGAGACAGCACCAGAGCGCACAGATCCACATGAATACGGCACGGGTCTGCTCCATAGTGCTGTGGGAACCATCTCATCCGAGTCCCGACGGTCTCGCACGAGCCATGTTCCCGCAAAGCTTCTTTGCACAAGCGTCCGCTGAGGAGCAAAAATAAAAATGACGCGCGGTTGGCGAGAATCCCTCACACCCTCAGCACCCATGCGTCAAACAAACTTTAACCTCCTTACGTCTGAAGGCGAAACTACTTGTTAATTTGTTCAGATTAACGATTTTACAACCACGTTTTACTTAAAGAACTGTGATATAATGTTTCCTCATCACAAACATGGAGTTGTGTTTTGCTTTATTCACACATGTTACATACTACATATCTAGGCTGACCCAGTCACTTCGATCATTTCAGCCCAGGAACTGCCAGTCTTAACTAAACAAAAGGTAAAAGGCAGCTGTTAACTTGAAAACTATAAATTCATGACATCACAAGGTGGAAAAGAGCATTACATTTCCAGTCTGCCTACACTGGAAATGTAGGCAGACTAATAATAAAGAATTACACTAAAGTGTAAATGAAAAAAAAAAACAGTTTTTGTTTTTGTATTTGGTAACAGCATTATAACATGGCCTAAACCTCACAGGAGTGTTCTGTGTAATATAGGACCTTAAAAAAAAGAAAAGAAAATAGGAAAATCTATACCGAAGAAAAAATAACCATGAAGTGTCACTATAATAAAGGACACTCCCATTTGACTATTAACTAGAAAAGCAACACTGATAATGAACTGTAACTGTCTCGAGTAGTAAATTTTTTGTTGGGGAAGTTCCAGTACATATCAATACAATATTCAATATACTTAATATGGGACCGTATATTCACCAGTCCGAAAAGATGTGAGCATTCTGCAAACAATCATTTCAAATGTTTACATGTAGTTGAAGCTCTTCAGACTCAAATGGTGCGGTATTACACATCCATATCTACCACTGATGCTGTACATCGAGTGCAGGAATAGGTCTGCTCTGGACACTGGGGAGGAAGTGAATCCAGGAGGGAAATGTTTGTGTTAATGATGGACACACAAACAGTAGCTCAGTGCAAACACTAACTACTTCCTGTGGCCTAGACAAAACATGAAAGTACCTCTGCACGGAAATGTCATTATGCCCATGTCAACACTTCAGCAAGATAGACTGTAAATAAGGCTTTACTAAGCTGTATCACAGAAACCCAAGGTCTGTTTCAAAAAAGAGATGTGTTTCCAAGACTGAACATTTATATCAACTTAAAAAGGAGAAAATGTTATCAGATTATATTCCTATTTCACATTTCAAAAGGTTTTTAGTTCAAAAAGATTTGAACCAAAAATCTAACATTTTGGCTACCATGAATTATATTATACTCTCTCTCTCTATTTTTATTCATGTTCAATTATGTTCATGTTCCTTCAATACTTGAGGGACAGAGAAGGTTTTCATCTGTTTTTCATTCACAATGTAACAGGAGTCAGTACATAAAATAGCAAAACTTCAAAACCAAAACATAATAATTTATTCATGAGCATTTAATATACATTTCAAACAGATATTTTCAAAAGCTGGCCCACAACCAGTTTCCAGGACAAGTCCGTGTTGTGATGTTGATGCAATAAAACTCCATAAACTTAAATGGGAAAGGGTCAAATCTCAGTTCTACGGTTGGGAAATCTCTTGAGCAGTGTTGTGGCTTGTTTAGGAAGCAAACGTCCTTCGTCCTGACCAACTCCAGCTGTTTTATTTTTCATAGCAGCCTAAAATAACAAAGACAATAGAATTAATATTAAAAAAAGAAAATCACTTGATTAATATGCATTTAGTTTTTACATTGGAAAACAGAAATATAATAAAGTAAAACAAAGAAGAATTTGTAAATTTCTGCAAATTTACTAATTAACTAAAATAATTTTATTAAATTAAATCAGCTAGAAGTAAGTGATAATGGTAAATCTATTTCATAGTTTTACACCAATAACCTCTATGCAGAATAGTGCTCCATAACCTCACTGTTCTCTATTTCTTGTCCAGCTTTCTCAATAAAGTGTTTGGAGATTAATGTAACAATGAATAAATATTTAAAGATAATGCAGTGAACAGGGCACTGCGGAAGGATGCTGCTGACATGTTAAAAACTACACAAATCAAATGAATCCTTCACATCTATGTTTAGAGAGACTTTTGTGTCTCAGAGTTAATGCTAATTTTGAAGCATATAAATATTAAAATTAAATTATAAACTGAAGTATTCAACATTTAAAAATAATGTTGTAGGCTTTACTTTAATTGAATAGAATTTTAATGGGTTGCTTATTTAATGTTTTACAATTTTATTAGCATTGAGACACAGTGATAGCGAGCATGCTGCTGTGTGTAGAGCCAATTAAGTGAAAATTAATGGAGAAAAAAGCTTTAGAATACAGGAAGTAGTACTGCATTCTAAAACATGTTGATGAAGTAAGTAGGGATTTCACCCAAACAGAATAGAAATCTATACATAAAGGTCAGGCAAAAATGTTGGAAATGTATGTAGACTGAAGTCAAAACTAATGATGCTCAGAACCTCACTCAGAGCAGAGGGAGTCTTTGTTAATTAAACTACTAATTGTAATCCTCCCAAACGTGTGGTCATTTAGTCCTAACAGGAAGCATACCCCACATCTGATTTGTGAATGTAACTAGTGCTGTCATGCGATTAAATAATTGAGAGATTAATTAATTATGACCTGTAATTAATTAATCTAATTAACCTCATTTTAATCTCACCTAAAAATTGCTGAGAAAAGCCTTCAATTTTAGGTATTTTCATTTAAATTCATTATTACATTATTGTGGCAGATCAAAAGACTGATATAGATTTAAAAAAGTGACTTTATAAAGTCATTTATTGTTCAACAAATCTCTCCAATTTGGCTGTTGAGCCCAAGTCTCCATGAATAAGAAACTGTTTGCTGTAAAGTAGCAAAGACGAGGAAATCTGAACATAATAACTTTTGTCTACTTAAAGACAATAAAAAGTCCAGTCTTTCCTTAACCATGTTAAAAATATTATTGATAGAGAAATGCTTTATATATGAGATCACTGGTTTTAGTCCTTGTTTTAGTCCTGGTTTAGACCTGGTTTAGACCTGCTTTAGTCTTACTTTAGTCCTAGTTTAGTCCTGGAATGGGTTAATCCTGGTTTTAGTCCTGGTGTTAGTTCTGGTTTAGTCCTGGTTTAGTCCTGGTTAAGACCTGGTTTAGACCTGGTTTAGACCTGGTTTAGTCCTGGTTTAGTCCTGGTTTAGACCTGGTTTAGACCTGGTTTAAGTTCCGGTTTTAGTTCTGGTTTAGACCTGGTTTAGTCCTGGATTGGATTAGTCCTGGTTTTAGTCTTGGTGTTAGTTCTGGTTTAGAGGCGCACAGGAGGAAGCACGGTTTACGCAGCGTAGCGAGAAAACACGGTCCACACGCGGCTCACGGGAGCACGTCGGCGTCCACGCAGTGTCTACGAAAGGAAACGTGTTCCGCGCGTTCTCAGGTTAATGACGATGATGAAGGTGTGTGTTTGTGTGTGTTTGTGTGTGTTTGTGTGCGTGTCCCCTCATGTGGCAGGTCACTATAGGACAGTAGTGCAGACATCATGAGCCTATGCATGTTGTTTTCACCAGTGACATTTAAGTTGTAGGCGTATATTTGTTATTTTCTTTTATATTTCATGTCGGGAGAATAATTTCCAAGACACGAATGCGTTTTTACCTGTGCACTGCGGACTCTGTTCTACTGGCTCTTCGACCTCGTCCATTGTGCGACTGACGCCGCCAACGTGACGTTTACATCGCTCTTACTGCGCGCGTTTTGTGTGGGTTTCCGACAATGAGTGGAATTACCGAAAAAAAAATGTATAAATGTGTTTTTGTGTGTGTGTGCTGTTGTCCCAACAACACATAAAAACAGGTTTAATAATAAAGCAACTCGCATACAGAAACAGTAAAGTTAGAGATTAAAAATGAGATTAACGCGATTAAAAAACATAACGCGCTAAATATGACTGTAATTAATTAATCGCAATTAACGCGATAATTTGACACCCCTAAATGTAACACTGCATAAATCAGTTCTAATGTGTGCATTCAAATCCAATGTGGTATGCTGAGGGACTCACTTGAGCTTTTTGCACACAGGAGTAGAAGTTCTGCATTTCACTGGAACACAAATCCTCTACAAAATTGTGCTGCTTCCAACAGGCCATCATCTGCGACATTTCTGTGATGCACGTGGCCTCTGCAGGTCAAAATGTACAAATAATGTTAGTAATGTCATTGAAAATGTCTTAAAAAGAACAGTTCTGATTTACGGCCTGATCCACGATGCTCACAGGACAGAAGCAGTTCTACACAAATCGATCATCTTTATGTATGAATGAAACATAATGCTTTATAATTTACATTATTATCATTATAATTATTTATGATCATTATGCTTTAGTATATAATCACATAGCCTACATAGGCATAGGCATTGTTGGATGTCAGACTATGACTAAAATAAAGCGATATTTATGCCCTCAAATGTATTTTATATAGTTATTTATATTATTGTTACCTCCTTTTTGGGGCTTGCGGTTGGCCACGGCATCCCTCAGGCTGAGCGGCCGGTTCGGGCGGAGCACGGGTTTGCCGTTCTGCCTGCTCAGTAGACGGCTAACTTTTTCCTGGATCGACACCGACTGGTTCGCCATATTACGGGAAAAGGTACGCGTCGCATGCAGGGGTCCAAGCAGAGCAGAACACACTGTTTTGTCCACCTCTGGTACTACTCCTCCGAGCCCTTAGCACAAAACAGTCTCGTCCTTCAGGGCAGCGCCATGTTGTACCGTAAAGCGAAACAACCTGTCGCAAAAAGCTTGAAAATCAACGACATCAGACCATCAGACCTGCTCTTTTAGATACATGGACCCGCCCCGACTGGTATAGATTACTCAAGTATTATAAGAAGGTCTTATTATCATAGACTGTATATATACTTCTATTATACAGTCTGTGCTTATTATACATCCAAGAGGCTACCCAAGTTGTCCCAGAGTGGCCGGGCCTCCAGAGAAGTACTGCAAGGGGTCTCCCAGTGGTTGTCTATGTTCTGTACATATGTCTTCCAGAAGGCTCTCTCCTTCCTTCCATCCATTCATCCATTTTCTTCCTCTTATCTGGGGGCAGCAGTCTAAGCAAGAACTCCCAGACTTCCTTCACCCTGGACCCTTCCTCCGGCTCCTCTGGCGGGCCCCCGAGGCATGTAGATTGATCAGTAAATCGAGAGCTTTGCCTTTCAGGCTCAGCTCCCTCTTCACCACAACAGTTTGATACAGCAACCGCGTCACTGCTGCTCCACCCACCTGGAGAGGGCAAGTCACCTTTTTCCGATCAAGAACCATGGCCTCGGATTTCATCCCAGCCATTTCATACTCGGCTGCAAACTGCCCTAGCGCATGCTGCAAGTCCTGGTTTGATGGAGCCATTAGGCTCATCATCTGCAAACAGCAGAGATGAGATCCTGTGGTCCCCAAACCGGACCCCCTCTGGCCCCTGACTGCACCTACAAATTTTGTCCATAAATCTAATGAACAGAACTGGTGACAAAGGGCAGCCCTGGCGAGTGCAACATGCACTGAGAACAGGTCTGAGTCCTCATCCATGGCCTCTCCGAACTCCTCCTCTGTGACAGCCTGGACTGCAGCACGCTTGGCCTGCCGGTACCCGTCAGGCATGGGACTCCCTAGGTAGCTGATGGGTACCATCCATCTCTTACTTCTGGTGTTCACCATCTGGTTTGGGAATTGCTGCTGCGACAGGCACCACAGACCTTACGACTACAACTATGAGCAGCTGCATCGACAATAGAGGCCGAGAACAAAGCCCACGTGGACTCCATGTCCCCAGCCTCCCTGGGAGAAGCTCTCCTGGAGGTGTGAGTTGAAGGTCCTCCTGACAGAGGGCTCTGCCAGACATTCCCAACAGACCCTCATGATATGCTTGGGTCTGCCAGGTCTTTCTGACTTCCTCCCCCGCCAGCAGACCCAACTCACAACCAGGTGGTGATCAGACTCGCCACTGCTTCCCGCGGGCAACACCAGAGAAATGGAGATTCCATCCCCTCAAGATTTGGGTTCCAGAGAATGTGCGTGGAGGTGAGGCCGACTATATCTAGTTGGTAACGCTCAACCCAGTGAGGTGACATTCCATGTCCCCAGTTTCCATGTTCAGAGATCCAGTCGTCGAGGATCCCACCTTCGACTGCCGCCCAGACCTCTTCACACCAGCCCCTTACGGATCCTCCCATGGGTGGTGGGTCCATGGGAGGATGGCCCCACATCACTTGTTGGAGCTGTGCCCAGCTAGACCCTGTGGGGGGAGATCCGGCCACCAGACGCTCACTGTCACGCTTCCAACCCAGTTCTGGCTTCAGGGTGAGGCCCCGGTGACGCCAATCTGGGCAACGTAACTGGTCTTGTTCTTGTTGTCATCATAAGGGCCTTCTCAACTGCTCTTAGTCTGACCCGTCCCCCAGGACCTGTTTGCTTTGCCCTACCAGGGGCATAAAACCCCCAGCAGCATAGCTCTCGGCATCTTTCGGACACTCAAACCCCTCCACCACTTGGAGGGGTGGTGGTGGTTCAAGGAGGGGGTGTTCTCCATGGAAGACAATTAATACTTTGCAGTGATATCACGCTGGGGCTGTACTGGATGTATGTTTATGGTGGAAGGTTCAGCAGTTAACATTGGGACACAATGCACACATTAGCAAACACAGCCAATAAAAAATGGATTTAAACATACAGTCTATGATTTAAACATTTTCAGGAACCTGGTCCAATTTTAGATGTTTTATTTTCAACCACAGGTATGACAAAACTGTTTTACACTGTACACTGTAACCCTTTGTCAATGCATTAAAACAGTGTAACACAATGCTTCCCATTATTTAATCCTTACAAATCAGCTCACATGTTACAGTTCCAGCTAAGATCACTCTTTCTGGCCAGATGGTGTTAAAAGTTAGCTCAGTATCAAAGTATCAACACTTGGAGATTGATCTCTGCTGAGTCTAGGACACAGAGAAGTTGAACAGAGGATTCTAGGTCCCTTTTTGATGGGAGCTCACAGCTGCCAGTTGCAGGAGCTTCAAGCCACTGTGTCTATGCGCGCCTCCGTCTTGCATTTCCCTGTTACTCCAGTCTGATGTTTCCGTTGGTGATGAAATGGTCCATTCCCTCAAAGTGTTTCCTCTGGAAGATCCTCTACCACATTTGTCGCCACGTGATGTAAAAAGCCTGTAGCATCTCAAATGTTATAGCTAACTAATTAGCTAGCTTCTTGCACAGTCTCCATGGATACGAGAAAAACAAACTCTTTATTTCACACGATCCAATAGTCCCTAGTGGTCATTTGAGTTTTTCCTCTGAAGGTCTTCTGACACATTTGCTGCTACATATGATGTAAAAATTTGTAGCATCTCAAATGTCCACAGCTAGCTCCTTCACTAGCTCGCTAGCTAGCCTCAAATGCTAATAATAAGCAGCTCAAATGAGGATAAAAATAGCTGTTAACTTTAAAACTATGTATGACATCACAAGGTGGAACAGAGCATTTTGACCTTTAGAGATGTGGACAGAATAATAATGCAGGATTACTCAACAGTGTGACTGAAACAAACCACAACTCCAAGTCAATTTTGCGTAATAACGTAATAAACACTATTTGTCCTTATAATAACACCACCTAAATTCTTTGATTGATGTTATTTTCGTAGATTAACCAGTATGAGAACTGGACTGGGTTTGTTGTTTTTAGTTTAACATTTTTCTCAGAGTACCAACATGCAGCACATTCCCCCTCTCCTCAACTCAGAGCTGCCTCACATGTGAATGACCATTTACACTCAGGAATTAAGGTGACTGACACAATTTGTTTACATTTTAGGCTTATTTTAAGATCTCTCTATGCACTGGCTGTATGGATTTGACTTTCCAGACTAAATGGTGAAGCTCTTGCTCACTGCTGCAGATGGTGACATATGGGAGAATGCAAGACATGTCCTGACACTGGTCGGAGTCAGACATGTTCAGTGATGTGTCAGCACAACCTGCCTCAGTTTATTTTAATGAGATCATCTGACAGCCTCAAGCTCACCCTGACTTCCTCACCTCTCTCTGTCTGACTTTGCATGGCTGTAGACTACACTGCTATTCAACACTCACAAAATTGCTCTTAAACTTAGACTTAGACAAACTATTGATCCACAAGGGAAATTATTTGGACACAATATAATAACAAAGACAAAAAACATAAATGGTGGTAATCAATTCTAAATAAGTAGCTACACACACGCACACACATGCACACACACATACACACACACACACACACACACATATATATATGTCAGCTATATACAGGAGGTCATAATTAAAAACAGTACAAAGATGATATGAAAGGACATAGGGCTATGTTTAAGTTGTTGTATAGATGTATGGAGTATGGTATGGATGTACACTGTTCAAATTCAGGAAAAAAAAATGTTTTTTTGCTCATATATTGATACACCAAGCCTTACTAATCCACAGGAACATAGGTCTATATAAGCTACATACATAGCTCAGCAATGGTGGAAGGTAACGAAGTACAAGTAAAGTATTGTACTAATGTAAAATTTTGTTGGTGTTTACTTTACATTTTACAGTGGATACTTTTTACTTTTACATTACTACATCTGAGAGCACTGGGATATCTACTGTATTTGAACCCTATTACATATTTTAATTGGACTGAAATGTAAAAAATACTTTTCATATGATTTTAGGGGTTATTATTACCATGTTCATCCTGACTAAAGGTTTGAGTTCAAGCTTCAGCTTTCAGAAAACACAAATAAATAAACAAATTCATTAGAAAAAATAAGAATTGAATGGTATTGACACTGTTGATGAAAAGTCTGTATAATTTTAATATCAGTATCAATATCACTACATTTAACACTCTAATAAATGAACAACACTTAAATCTGTGTGAAACAGTTTTTTAAACGGGTACTTAAATACTTTTACATTACAGATTTTTTTATGTGTTACTTAAATTTAATAAATTGAGCACTTCATGCACCACTGGAGCTCAGGCCTCATGTCTGTTGTATTGTGATTTGTTTTAATGTCCCTTTTATCCATGATTTTTTAGGCATAATCTTGGTGAAGCTATCGCCTAAAGTGAGTGTGCCAGTGCCATCCGTTCTGATAACACTATATGTCTGTCAGTGTCTCCTTTTGAGAGTGGATCGGGTCAAGACACATTCTGGTTTACTTAAGAGTTTTATAGAGTTCTCTGTGCCAATGTCTGTGGCTGTTGATGTGTCTGAGCATGGGTTTGTAATGGTGACAAACATTTCAAACAAGTCCCTGTGGTTACATGCACTGTGTGCACTCAGACCATGTTTATTATCACATTTTTGTAGTTAACTGACTATTAAAATGACATGTAAGCAGCACAATCAACAGATTTCCTTCTGATGGTCATTCTTACTAAAATCAGATTCTGCCGTTTGCATGCCATTTAAATAATCTGAAATTAAAGGTCCAGAAATCAGATACGATTAAGGTAAACATGTAACCGCAGCACTGTCTCCTGATAAGACTGTCAGTGAAAGTATTTTACAAGCAATTTTAGACAAGTGAATTCTAAGAAATTTTCAATATCTGATGGCAGCGTGGGCTTGCTCCCTGTGCATGAACTCACAAACCCTCACAAGCTACAAACACCCCAAAACACACACATCATCCTTAGGATTTGAGCGCCATCCGCTGGAAGCAATAGTGCTCGACTGCACAGATCATGTGTCAGATGAGCTGCTTTAAAAAAAAAAGTAATGAGCATTGCTATTGGTTTGATGACATAAAACAATGATCCAGTGGTTTGCAGCGAAGTTAGGTAATATTTCATTCAAACTAAAATGCACACTTAGGCCTAGGCCTATAGGAGTCTGTAGTAAACTCCTACAAATACAAATTTAGGTTTACTAATATTTGTTGTGTATGGTGTTGTAAGAAATCTGTCAGAAATAACTGCAGATACAGCCATATCCTCACCACGACGATTTCGCGCATTTCTTAATCCTCATTAATAAATGGCCCTCTGACAAGCGCAGGCGCAGTTATCGTGAGCGGGGGCTGGGATGAAGCAGAGCCACACCGGTAAGCATCGGTTGTTGTAGGTGTGCACAGCGCGCTGTACCCCGGACCAGGGCGGGTCTGAAAGCATCAGCACTGACCAGAACCTGGCCAAGCCAAAGCCATGGCGGATACCGGCGCAGACACAGGTGCGTGTCCAGAGTTGACCATACCGAAGGAGTGACTCCTCCTAGGCCTATGCGCGGCATCTGTTCCCGTTTACGCTCTCCAAAGGCAGGAGACTGGGCGCGTATTATACTAGCAGCCTCTCAATATGAGTAAAAGAGGTGGAAGGGGGAGCAGTGCGACAGGAGGCTGCGGGTAACCCACACACTGGGGCTACATTGCTCGCTTGTACTAAGCGTCAACTTGGCTATTTTCAATAGACTTAGTGCGGATTACCTGAGGTGATTAGCACGCACTGTTCTGTTAGTGCCTGTTAAAAAACGACCGTAATAATACCGTTTTAGGAATGGCACATTCAAAAACGCACCCACACACACTCCTTACATGCCCCAGACCTGTCCCTCAGAGCTGCCTGCAGGGCCCAGCTCTGTATATTGAACTCTGCTGTGATGGACCATCCTGTATGAATGAGGTATTACACCCAGACTGAGAGGTGTGTGTGACTTGCAGACTCCTTGAGTGAGGCGCTGAAGGCCATCAGCGTGAGCACAGAGCTCATTGAAGAGGAGCTCCAGCCACATCTGGACACACTTCTGCAGGCCCTCCTGGACAAAAGTAAGAGCTCCTCTATCTCAGTCTTTATGCACTAGAATAGGTGCACAATATATTAGATATACTACTTCAGTAAAATGTACCATTTACCAGTTTTAATTCCTGAAAACATTTAATTGAAACTATTTAAATGTAAATGATCACAAAGCTTAATAAACTTCTGCTTTGTTATATTTTTACATATACATAATTTATTTTTACATAATAATAACTCGCAGCAATTGTGTTTTAAAGTAAATGGGACACAGAACACTGTGCCATCCTCCATGTTTGGTTTAGCTTGTATATTGGGAAACAGTGAGATGGAAAAACAACAGATAGCCTTAAGAGTAAGTGTACTGTCTTCCTCAGAGGAAGGGGCTGCCGTGCAGATCTGCAGAAGTGGGATTCTGCCCACTCTGGCCCAGACTTTGAGGACTAAAAGCTCCCTGAGCTGCCAGGTGGCACTGGTGATTGCGGAAATGGCCCGTGAAGGTAACTACTGGTGACATTACAAATATGCTGCATATTTTTAACGGTCTTGTCTTTTAATGGTAAGTGATAAACTTAGTCAGTGTCTCCTAAATACCTCTGTTCTAGCGGCTGTGAGAGAGCCATTCATTCAGGCTGGTCTGGTGAAGGAGCTGCTGCCCTATCTCTACAGTGACAACCAAGAAATGCTACTGAATACTGGTCGTGCCATTGGACGCATCTGCTTTGATAATGGTAAAGTGTAGCCTAGCCAGACACTGCATGAATCTAATCAGCTGAGATAACAAGCACACAACATATAGTTGTCCTCTACACAATTTGTGTGCTTAAAGGTACACCATGTAGCATTTCTGGAGGAGGGCTTGTCTGTTCCTGAATTGTTCCTCAGTGTAGCATTATTATTATTTTTTTTATTGCTAAAATGCATTCTCATTGTGTGAGTGGGGTCACCTCTCTAAAGATCTGACCATCTTGGCTTCATGGTGTCACCAGTTCAATGACTTACTGTGGAACATTCTGGGCAAAGCAATAAGATCTCCATGGAGACAAGCAGACAGGGCCTGCCATCAAAAAAGTTACATGATCCATCTTTAAAAGTCTAAACTCCAGGATGGATTTCCTTCATATTCTACAGTATATCTTGGTGTCCTGTGAGAAAATATTCTCATTCAGATTAAATAGATGGAAGTTTTAATCTGTAAATCAATGTAAATTTGTATGGACGGATTCAATAATAATGGATAATGGATTCAGATTTTATCTGTGTTAAAAGGTTTACTAATGATCAGGTGTTCATGGTAGGGTTGAATGACTTAAGGATTAAAATAGAGTTTTTATCTGATCCCTGTGACAATATGCTATTTTTATGATATTAAATGAAAGCCTGTCTGTTTAAGGCTCAAATATGACACTTTTCCTACTGCATGCTCCTCTTGAGGTCAGGCTCTGTCATAAGAGGAATGACTGATTTAATGTGAACTCTCAGATCACCTGAAGGCATTTTTAAGATCTTGAAATCTATCTCTGTGTACATCTGCATAAATTAATTGTAATAAAGTCACAATGATTTAGGCTGAAAAATAATTTTGAGAGTGGCAATAACAGGATGACTGTTGTGTAGCCCAACAGCAGGAGCAGCTGGTCCAGAGCAGTGTGATCCCCAGGCTCCTGTCCATCATGAGACAGTATCCAGAGAACGACCCCCTGATCAACGTCTGCCTTCTGGCCCTGTGTAACCTTGCCGATCTAGGTATGTATGTATGTATGTATGCTGTTTCATGTACACGTTTGCATAAATGTTTGATGACAGTGTATTGCAGGCACATTATAAAAATGAACTACAGGAGTACTGTTTTAGTACTGTTTTGTAATTTACTGAGACAGCAACATTATTGTTCCATATTGTTTGTGTGCAGATTCTGCAAGGGCAGCGTTGGCCTCTCTGGACGTGGCGAATGTTCTGACGTCACAGTTAAAGCGGTCCCCTGATGCAGAGCGCCGACATGTCATTCTGGAAATCCTTGGCTCTCTGGGAGAAAGTGGTAAGGATTTGATTACAACTGAGAGAGACAGGATTGAATCACAATCACAGTTTTGTCTCCCTGGAACATGTCTCCGTAAGATTTTGAGTCAAATATGCAACATTCTTGCTCTTCCACTCCAGATGGGGGTGACAGAAGAAATATTAAATATTGTTTTATCTGAATCATCTGAAATCCTTTGTCTTGCTTTTTGTGGACAGAGACTCTGAAACTGCAGTTTGCAGAGTCTGGGGTACCAGAAGCTCTTTCACAGATGATCTGGGCTCTACAGGGGGAGTCAGACCCCCATGACCTCTGCAGCATCAAAATTGCCTCCAACCTCATTGTCTCCCTGCTGTTAGGAGGTGAGTGCTTCCATGTCAAAACAAGCTATATGTACGTAACTTGATTTTGACTGGATGAAACAAACCAAAACAGAGCAACAGGACAATATCCATGGTTAACCATTTTGTGTTTTCAGATGAGTCAATGCAGAAGTGTTTTGGAGAGGGCTTAGGAGTAGTGTACCAGGACGTGCTGATGTGGCTGCAGAGCCCTAACACTCAGCTGCAACTGTCAGGAGCTTTGGCTATTGCAAATTTTGCTCGCAACGGTGAGATCAGTTTTGTGTAGCATTCATATCTGAACATAAATAAATGCTATTTATTCATCTATATGAGTCTCACTGAAGATTTGATAGTGGAGAATTCGCCTGTTTTTGATTTGAGGATGTGTGAGGGTGTCCTGGGTCTTGTCTCAGACTGTAACTGTGTGAAGATGCTGGAGCTGGGGGTGGTGCATCACCTCCTGACACTGCTGGAGCAGCACGTGGACGAGGGTGACGTGTCTGTGCAGCACGCTGGGCTCAGTGCGCTCAGAAACTTGGCCATTCCTGGTACTGCTGTCATTCACATCAATATTAATATGTAAAATACCAATACAAAAATAATCACTCATTGTTGTTGTAGCCACCAACAAAGTGCGAATGCTGCAGGATGGAGTTACAGAGAGGATAAAGAGCCTGCTACGTTCTGACATGCCCCCAGTACAGTTCAAATTACTGGGTACACTGAGGATGATGGTTGATGGACAAGGTGAAGTATAACATTATTATAATATTATCACATTTTTGTATAGAAGAAGCTCCTTTAAATGTCTTAATTGACCAGTCTGTCCTATTTATGTTGTCCTTCAGAGGATGCTGCCTTGCTCATGGGCAAAGACAGTGTGCTTCTTACTCGGGTGATGGAGTGGTGTGAAGCTAAAGACCATGCAGGCGTCAGAGGGGAGGCCAGTCGACTCCTAGCTGCGCTGATCCGCCATAGTCGTAGTCCTGTACGTCTCATAATAGACAGGTGCCTTCATGATTCATGTGTTCTGACTCTTTCTGTGACTACAGGAAGTAGTTGGTGCCATTGCCCATGCACATGGGATAAAGCACCTTATTACCATGGCAACAAGTGAACATGTCATCATGCAGAATGAGGCTCTGGTTGCTCTGGCCATTGCAGCTGCCATTGATATTGGTGAAGTTGTGTTTACAACTGCCACATTTATATAATGTATTTTAACAGGTTATTGAACTTTAAATGTATTTCTAACATGCAGAGTCCATGAAGGGACCCATCCGTGAAGCTTCACTGTTGCCTGTATTAAAGACTACTCTGGAGGACCCAGCTGGTGCTGTGGAGGTCAAGTTCAACAGTTTAGGGCTCATCTGCAGCCTGGCTAACTCTGGTACAAACATAACTTTTTCAATCATGACTCATATCATTCTATGTGTAGTTTTTAGCACCCAGTAAAAGGATTAAAAGTATAGTTCTACTCACAGTTTTTTGTACTTTTTTGTCTATAGGTGCAATGAAGGAGGACCTGAACTCTGTGCATATCCAAGAGAGTCTGAATCAGTTAACCAGTCACAGCAGCAGTAAGGTGGCTTCACAGGCAGAAGCCTTACTGCAAACACTAGGTGGCAGTATTTGAACCAAAGGAAGAGACACAAGCACAAGGTGTAGATGCCATAGACTGTCTATGGTAGATGCACATGTATTTACTGAGGTGTTTACAAACTGCAATATCAATGTCAATGCTAGTCTTATTATCCAAAATAAATGACTGTAAATGTTGCATATATGACTTATTATTAATAAAAAATAAAGCTATGATGTAAAAGGCCAAGCAAAATGACTTTCTCTTAATCATAACGTTATTACAGCTAAGCCTTGCATATATATATTTTCCAGCTATAGTTATTGCATTATTTATGTGCCGATTGTGTGGTTGATTCATGGTATATGTTGAACAGCCGCAGCACCGTTTATTCTTCCACTCCAACAGGGAGCGGTAGAAACATTTGCTCAGCCCATGGTTCTGGTTCTGCCTCGGTGAAAAAGTGACAGACTCGACAGACAAAACTTGCTTAAGAAGATCTGTGCGCGTGAGCCACATCAGCCAGTCTCGTGCAGCCGCAGCTAGAGCTGGGCACACCGCCGAGACTGTCGCCCTCACAGCTGCGGAGGATTCTAAACAAAGGGTAAAAGAACTACTGCAATAAATAACTTAATAATAAGACACAGAAGCGTGTAGATCACTGTGAAGAAGCAAGAGACTTCTCACTTAACGTAACTTAGTTTGTCAACAGTCTATACAGGTCAATTATCAACAAAAATGGAAAACCACTTTTATTTTACCGTCCGTGTTAAGAGTGTGAAACTCAAAGGGACGAGGCAGCCTACACGTAGAAAATATTTTTCTCGACGTTGATTTTCAAACTTGAACATTCGCTCGTTTTGTGAATTTTAGTAAAATAATAGTTAAGCAGTCTCCAACTTCCGGGGTCGATATACTAAAGGCTTTTCACCTAAAAGCGCAGGTCATATCAGGATAGATAGGTGGATGTGTGCACATCATACAGTTCATCTGACCTTATTTGAGCTTTCTCCATCATAGATAGATTCGCTCTCCTTTTTGGTGTTTTGTTTTCTCCAAATTAAGCGTGTTTAATTTAAATGGAAGCCGTGTGTTTTGTTTGACAGATGGTGACAGTTGTAACACAGCAGCCGTGGGGTGAGGTCCCGGGGCAGGGGACTGTGCACCTGTGGCGTGTGGAATCCCCTCAAGTGAAGGTGGAGATACTGACTCTGGGGGCTACACTCAGGTCTGTGCTGTGCAGAGGGAGAGACCAGGAGTGGGCTGATGTGGTGCTGGGATACCCTGACCTTCAGGGTGAGATGATGATGCTACAGACACATGCACACTGACTGTAACACTGTAGTATAGGGACCACAGATTACAGCTAACAAAAAGATCTGGTGATTCTAAGATCATTCCAGATCATTTCTATTCATATTCAGTCTCAAGTCTATATAGACCTATATTTAACATCTTTTTTTTTTTTTTTAAGTTATAGTCAATATTTTATTATTCATTATCTTACTGTCAAAGCACTATTTAATTAGTTTTATAGTTTTTGCCTTATATTTATGTTAATAGACATAATTTTTACTATTATCTTAATATGCATTAATAAGTGCTTGATAAATATACCATCCTTTAATACATTAAAACCACAAATTACCATAACAACTACCACTGATATGTGTTCCATAAAATGTTACCAAAAACTTTTCGTAGTTCTGTACGGCAGTATACCAGTCATACAACAATTATTGTTTATGCACTGTGTTCAGTGCCTGATCATTCAGTATCAATAACTTTTTATCTTGTGTCCTCTTCTGGAGAGAGTTTGCCATAAGCACTGGACTCAGAGTTTGGTGCTACAAAATGTACTATTACTTACATAGAGTAGTTAGTAATTATACCAGTGAACTTCTTTATGTTAAATTCTATGTGTATTATACTTGTATACGTGTATGTATGTATGTATGTATGTATGTATGTATTTTCCCAGGATATCTGTCAGACAAGCGTTACGTGGGAGCTGTGGTCGGCCGTGTAGCCAACAGAATCGCTAAAGGATGCTTTGTACTCGATGGCAAAGAATATCAATTGGACATCAACAATGGACCAAATGCACTTCATGGAGGGCTTGTGGGGTTCAACAAGGTAACTACATTCACCGAGTTTTTTCTTTGAATAAAATCCGACATATTGGTATAACTGAACTATTCAGTGTTATGTTTTTCAAGATTGTTATTATTATATACTATTTTCCATTGCTTCTGTGTGCTTTGATGTGTATGATTCTAAACAGATTTTGTACATACAGGCTGTATGGAAGGCTTTACCTGTGGAAGGAGGAGTGCAGCTGAGCCACACCAGCCCTGATGGAGACCAGGGCTATCCTGGAGAGGTGGAGGTCACACTCACATACCTGCTACAGGTAAGCCCAAACAGAAATCTCAGCCTACACCTTGTGGTTGTGTATATCAAACATGCTTTTTTGTTGTTGTTTTTTTTCTCCAGGGAGAAACACTGAGTGCTGAGTATGAAGCAAAGTCGACAAAAAACACTCCAGTCAACCTCACCAACCACTCTTACTTTAACCTGGCCGGACAGGTGATTTGGCAGACTAATCCAGTTAGACGGCAATTTTACTTCAAGGGTTTATTCGCATAATTTTATTAAACATTCATCCATCCATTTTCTTCCGCTTATGTGTGGTCGGGTTGTGGGGACAGCAGTCTCAGTAGGGACTCCCAGACTTCCTTCACCTGAGACACGTCCCCCAGCTCCTCCGGGGGGACCCCAAGTCGTTCCCAGGCCAGCCGAGAGCGTGTCCAGCATGTCCCGGGGCCTCCTCCCGGTGGGACATGCCCAGAACGGCGCCCAGGAGGCATCCGGAACAGATGCCCGAGCCACCTCAACTTACTCCTCTCGACGCGGAGGAGTAGCAGCTCTACTCCGAGCTCCTCCCGTGTGACTGAGCTCCTCACCCTATCTCTAAGGGAGCGCCCAGCCACCCTGCAGATGAAACTCATTTCGGCTGCTTGTATCCGCGATCTTGTCCTTTCGGTCTCTACCCAGAACTCATGACCATAGGTGAGGGTAGGAAAGAAGACTGACCAGTAAATCGAGAGCTTCGCTTTTCGACTCTATTGGATGGCCTCAAAGAGATTCTGGCAAACCGTTTGGCGCCTCAGGAGGGGGAAGCAGTGCTTCACCAACACTATTTACAGTGCGGGGGGAGAGCTGTTGTGGGGCGGTGGAAGGAATACTTTGAGGATCTCCTTAATCCCTCCGTCATGTTTTCCGAAGAGGAAGCCAAGGCTGGGAACTCCGAGGCGGACTCGCCCATCACCCTGGCTGAAGTCACTGAGGTGGTTGGCAAACTCATGGGGGACAAGGCTCTGGGGGACGATGAGATCTGTCCTGAGTGTATCAAGTCTCTGGATGTTGTGGGGCTGTCTTGGCTGACACACCTCTGCTACATCGCATGGTGGTCGGGGACAGTACCTCTGGACTGGCAAACCAGGGTGGTCCCTCTGTATAAGAAGGGGATGGAAGGGAGGGAGTGTGTTCCAACTACAGGTGAATCACACTCCTCAGCCTCCCCGGTAAGGTCTATGCCAGGGTACTGGAGAGGAGAATCTGGCCAATAGTCCAATCTCGGATCCAGGAGGAGCAATGTGGTTTTCGTCCTGGCCGTGGAACATTGGATCAACTTTACTCTCTCCATCAGGTGCTCGAGGGTTTATGGGAGTTTGCCCAACCAGTCCACATGTGCTTTGTGAATCTGGAGAAGGCATTCAACCGACTCATGGTGTCCTATGGGGGGTGCTCTGGGAGTATGGGCTCTGGGGGCCTTTTCTAATGGCTGTCCAGTCCATGTATAACCGGAGCAGGAGCTGTGTTCGCATTGCCGGCAGTAAGTCAGACCTGTTCCCAGTGCATGATGGACTCCACCAGGGCTGCCCCTTATCGCCGGTTCTGTTCATTATTTATATGGACAGAATTTCTAGGCTCAGTCAGGGGCCAGATGGGGTCCGGTTTGGGGACCACAGGATCTCCTTTCTGCTGTTTGCAGATGATCTTGTCCTGTTGGCTTCATCACGCCAGGACCTGCAATGTGCACTGGGGTGGTTTGCAGCCGAGTGTGAAGCGGCTGGGATGAGGATCAACTCTTCCAAGTCCAAGGCCATGGTTCTTGTCTGGAAAAAGGTGGCTTGCCCTCTCTGAGTGGGTGGAGAGTCCTTGCCTCAGGTGGAGGAGTTCATGTATCTCGGGGGCTTGTTTATTAAACATGTATGTAGGCTTTATTATGTATGTATTATTATTTATGTGTATTGATCAATAAAAGACCAACCCTCTTATGACAAAAATTCTTTCATAGTATAAGTGCTCATGCTGGCTACCCTGGCAATTTTAAGAATAGTCAAAATATGAACCCTAGCAGTCTCATTGTGGATTACCATGCTGAAAAGTCAAATGGTTCCTGTTTAAACTGAATTGGAATATCAGACACTTGTTTTGAATGAGAAGATGAGATGATCTTTTCTCTGTTGATATCCAGAATGCTGATAATGTCTACGACCATGAAGTGTCCATCAGTGCAGAGTGCTACCTGCCAATGGATAACACCTCCATCCCCACAGGTAACTTTAGGCATATAAAACACCTTTATGATTAAAATGAACTATTTAACCGATTCATATTTGGCACTCATGAGGGCATTGTTGACCAAGTCGGGTTTATTTCCACCCTGCGGGTCTTGTATTATTTTTTCTATCTATCAAACATCTATTAAGCCCACACATCACCATTTGGCCAGTTTCTAATTGTTGATGGCGAGATTGTTTGCCCATTATCTTATTTCTTCAGGGGAGATCAGAGCAGTGGAAGGTACTCCCTTTGACCTCAGAAGGCCAGTTTTTCTTGGTCCAAGGCTGAAGATGGTTCCAGAACCTGGGTTTGACCATAACTTCTGCTTGTGTTCACGTGATGAGCCCTGGGCAGAGAGGCCAGCTGCCAGGTAAGCCTCTTTTCCAGTATGGCTGGTATGGTGAGGTCGTTGTGCACTTACGTGTGCTCTACTGTCCCACTGAACACTGGGCTCCTCACAGGGTGTGTCACCCGCCTAGTGGCCGAGTCTTGGAGGTGTCCACCAGCCAACCAGGTGTGCAGTTTTACACTGCTAACTATCTAGATGGTTCTATAACTGGGAAGGATGGGGTCACGTATGGCAAACACTGCTCCTTCTGTCTGGAGACACAAAACTGGCCTGATGCTATCAACCAGGTACCATTCTGTAGATCTGTTTTTCAGTATGTTTTGTCTGAGACATTTACCTTTTCTTTCTCTATCCCATTAAGCTAAGAGCTTTAGTGTTGTTGCAGTTTTATCCCAAATGAACATGACTATTTTCAGTCCACCTCCACTCTTTCTCTTATAATTTTGGGCTAATAGGTGCCAGGAATGTGTTAGCTAGAGTTTGTAGACTGTGGTTAGTTGAGCTGCAGTGTTAGTGTTGGTGTTAAAAGAAATTATAAACATTTTCAATTATAATATAAAGACTTTGTGTACTCTTCTACTCATACTGAATGTTCAATATGTTTTCTGTTTGTTATGTTTTTAACAAATGTTTTAATTGTCTGAGGTGGGTTTTGGTGATGCATTGTCATGTCTCTGTCTTCAGACCTCATTTCCTAACTGCGTGCTCCATCCTGGTGAACTGTACCGCCATGTGACTCGCTACACATTCACTACCTGCTGACATCTACATCCCAGACAATACTAGTGGCATAAAACATTACTTACTAATACTGTACTAATACTCTTCAGTGTACCAAATAAAATATCTGTGAATCTTGCTGAGATTTGACTTGTACACTATTTATACCTTATCTTGTGTTAGGGATTGGAAGTCTGCCTCTTGACATCCTGGGGTTTGGGGAAAACATAGTGTAATATTATTAGGCCAAGATTCTGATTACTAATTCAAATAAATATATACATTTTTGTAAAGCTCGAAATCACAGTAGCAGTTGCCTCTTAGGCTCATTAGGCTCTTAGGCTCATTCACAGTGAAATGGACATTTTCTCGTTGACAGATAAACTGACATTCATAGAAAACAAGCAAATGGATAAGTGTCCTAGAAAACCCCATCTCCTTAGACTCTCCTTCTTCACAACGAAACCTCATTTTTGACCAGGAAATTTAGCAAAATTGTAATTGCAGAAAATTGTTTGGTACTGGGATCTCTAAACATCCACACAAAGTTAACAATAGTGTCACATGCTCAATGCTCCAATCAGAAATTGTGTCAATCTAGTATTTAAACTATTGATCCATGTTGAATAATGAAGTTGTAGGTGGTATTTTTCAAACCAGTGGAAAGCTCATATTATTTCTTTCTTCATAAATGTTCATTTGCCCAAGCAAGAGGAGAGTGCAGCCGAAACATTCAAGGTCTGATAAAAACAGAGGTCTGATAATAAACGAAAACATTGGTGACTCCAATTGGACCATATTTTATTTTACTTTTAGTCTAACTATTTACTTGACCAAATGAAATGATACATTGTTTAGACTCTTAAGTACAATGTTAGCAATGTTATGTCAAACATAAAAGTTTGCTGCTCCTCATGTGGCTACTCGGAGATCTCAAAGTCTGGCAAAGAAACAGCTGTGTACTTTGTTAATGCAGAGTGGTTCATTATATAAATGATTACATTTATTTGATATCTGTCACACATACATGTTGGCCATAAAATATCAGAGCTAAGTTGACATTGTCTGCCCTGTGTGGTAAAAATGTGTCTTTTATTACAACAGGAGCATTTTTTTTCCCAACTTAGTACCTGACCTGGCACCTGCCCCTACTCTGTCCAAGCTCAAGAAGCACCCACCTTTTTTCTTTTTTTTTTTTTGTAACATTTGATCGACACTTTAACATTGTTACACATTTCAGAATTTGGCCAATTGCAGTTTCTCTGTTTTCTGAGTGTGAGCATTGTTGTTGCAGATAGTTTGTGAAGCACAGCCATTCATTCTTGAATGTTTTCTCTGTGTTTGTTGCTGCTTTATTGTTCTCGTTTATTGTCTTTTTGTGGACAGTAGAAGAACCTTAAAAATCCCCTCTGGACAAAAGACATCACACATTTGATTAGGAGATGCTCTGTTTTATTACAGGCTTTTCCAAACAAAGTATTAAGACAGTAGTGTCACTGCTGTCTGTAGCAGACACGTAATGGTTAACAGGAGGTGTCAAACAATATGAAAAGGTGATGGGAAACTCACCTCCTGATTTGCTTTAGGTTCAGAGCAGCATTCTGTTACATCAACTATGAAGTGTTTCTGCTTCTGCTAGACTTAAGACAAACTTTATTGATCCACAAGGGAAATTATTTGGACATTGTAGCTCACACATCATCACTAAATATAATAACAAAAAGCAAAAATATACATGACAATAATACATTCTAAAGAAGTAGCAAAAATAGCAAGAGACTGTTGTCATATAATGCATAATTATATAAATGTATATGTAAAAACAAAAATTAAATATAGAAATCCAGTAATACAAATATATATCAGCTATATACAAGAGGTGGGTAAGGAGAAACCGAGCAAAGATGAAGTAGTGATTGACATGTCAGAGGGTTATCTATTACATAAAAGTGAGTTTTTGTACAGTTGTATGGAGTTTGGTATGAATGTAGTCCTGTGTCTCTCGCTGTTTGAGTGTAACTGGAGCCTTGAGAATGAGCTCCTCTGTCCTGCTATAGTCTGGTGCAGAGGGTGAGCAGAAGTATCCATGATGGAGAGCAGTTTGTCCAGTGTTCTTCAGTTTTGTGCCCTGAGCTTCATAGTTACAGTACATTAGTATTTACAGTAGTTTTGCAGATAACTACTGAGGGTGGATTGGGTGAGTGGTCTGGGGATAACTGCCCTTCAGTGACCTCTGGTACCTGTTGTGTTCATGTTTTGGCAAATAGCTGATGAATGTAACACTTCCTTGCTACAGGTCATAAGCATTTCTTTACAGAGCCACTTATGAGCAGCACTATTCTTTATGCTTTAGCACCATGTCGCCACACAGACAGCATTGTGAAAATGGATGTGCCAGTGGTGCGCAAACTCTTTTCTTTCTTGTAAGGACTGTGGTGACTTTGACTTTATTCTTTCAAAGGATTGTATTTCTATTTTAAAAATTTAGTTTTACATTTAGGTTTAAAAATTTATCAAACCAGAAACATGTACACTCTATAGTGGAAAGAAAAAACAACAGAAGTAATAGTGTCGGAATAATAGTATAATATTCAGTTGAAAAAATACATGAAATAAGATGGCGTAAATAATAGAACTTAGGTAGAAAATAAGTGTAGCAGAGTTCCTTTATGTAGACTTATATGATATGATTTGAGGTTATGTATTGGGTTTGGGTTGTAACTATTATTAGTCTGTCTGCATCTCCAAAGCTCTAAATGCTCTGTTCCACTTTGTGATGTCATGAAGCTGTAGTTTTCAAGTTAACGGTTACCTTTATTTCAGAAGAGATTGGCAATTCCAGGGCTAAAATCATCCAAACTATTCTAGTGAACTTGTATGGAAGTTCAACAACAGGGTGGAGCACTTTCTGTACTACCACATAACATCACAAGGTGGAACTGGTAAGGTGGAGTGTTTTCTGTTTTAGAAAAGGATGCAGCCTAAATACACAGGGTTTGTGTGTTAAACATGTGAATGAAATAAAACTCAACTCACGGTGTCTTTTTGGCTAGGAAACTACATTATAACAGTGTCAAACAATAGCATAATATGGGCCCATTAACTAATGAACACAATATATATTTTAAAAAATTGCAACGCATTGTGGCAGGCCTTTTTTGGGGAGCAGGGTGAGGGGTCAGTCTCACTTGTTTTAAATGTTAATGGAGATGTCTCTGGGTTACAGACACTTTTCTGGATGATGGCAGCACTGGCCCCAATAAGCATTACGACAGTTGCTGCAATACTCACATCTTTAAAGGCACTGATATGTTGATTGCAGCCTGTCATTCCACAATGTGAACATGTTAGGGAGTTTTTCCACCTGCTGCCTCTCAAAGAACTCTTTTAGGAAAGTTTATAATGGTTTGGCTAGCAGGGAATCTTTAACGCTTTGCAACTCTGTACAATTTCTGAAAGCATATAGATTTTCTGTCATCTTGTATTCTATTCTATATGCTAATAGGGTTAAACAAAATACGTGTTAAACTTCATCCTCAATCTCTTTGGTCTGTAGAATAACTTAATTTCTGTGTTAAATCATTGTAATATAATTCACAATTATGTTAACTGACCAAAGAAAATAAACAAATTAACTAATATAACATATGAATTGTGTAGTCACTTCAGTGCGTTGATAAAGATGAGTTGCCATAAGATGACTCCTTATCTGGTCTGATGTGGTCTGATGTGCTCTCATCTAGTCTTATCTTGTATATGTTATGTATTGTGGTTGAATCTAGGGCAACAATCATTTTGCTAATCAATCAGCATTTATTATCTCTGATTAACTAATTAGATGTTTATTTCGCAAAAGGTTTAGATTTCAGTAAGTTTGACCAAAATAGTTCTAAAAAAAGCATTAAAACACTAAATGCACTTTCTTTGGTGAAGCTTGTGTATAGTCCAGAAAACAGTTATCAAATTATTCAGTTGGTTGACAGTTACTTCAATATTAGACATGCAAACAGCCCTGGTTGGATTGTAACACTAGAGGGCACTGGTGACTCATGGTAGCTGCTATGAGTGATAGACTAAACAGAGTATGGGTAGGAGAAGCAGGTGGACAGAGGCCAGAAGGCAGTCTTTATCCTCTGTCCCATCCCACACTGCTGAGCTCACACAGACATGTCACGGGGCTGTTCATTTACAACTCTCACATTGAAAAAGTGCAGGACCAATACACAGGTCAATACACAGAGTCTTCACCGAGCAGCCTTTTCTTCTGCTCCAGAGGTTTACCTTGAAACTCATTTGAAGTCATTGTGCCCTGGAGCTGTTCATTGTATAGCTCCTCATCTCAACAAGTAGCGACAGTTCACAACTACCTGTAATAGTGGATCCCCCGAGACAACTCCAAAGGGAGGCCTGATTGTCCACTTCTTACGAATAACAATAAAGCCATTTCCCTGTAGTAACCCCAGTTTAGCCCCTATAGGATCCTAAACTATGCTTAGAGGACCACGAGAAGCTTACTTAACTTTGCTAATACACAAAACTCCCTGGCACTACACATGCACCATGATAGGCCTAACAAAAGCTGAAAAGCATGTTTATTACCCCTTTGTAATGAAACCAAGTTGTAGAAGAGCTATGAAAACCAAACACACAACACCAAACACTTTTGCAGTTAGGGTAACACTACAGATTTACAGTATTATCTAGTTTGATACTTTTTGTATCTAATATGTCAACAAAATAGAGCAAAACCAGGCAGATTTATATGCAATAACAATGCAGTTTTTATCAGTTTGACAAGATGCTTGTACATGAAAGCATGACCTAATGAAAACCAGTAATACCTGTCTTTCTTACATTTATGAATGTAAACTACACAAGAATCTCAAAATTTTAGATTTTTTTCCTTTTATCCTGCAGTGTCTCACCCTAAGTCAGACCTGGGCCTGTTTTACTGTGGCTCCCATGCAAATTCTTTGATAATCATTATTATAGCTCAGTAACAGATTACAATAGCCCATGTTTTACAGAAAATTGCTTATGAGCATTTGTTAGAATAGATTTGATGAATTTATTTGACTGCGTACTTTCATAAAACACATGAATAAACCTGAGTGAAAAAGCCTGAATTAGCCAAGAGACCATTTTCCCGTGTTGCACCAATGCTTGTGTTGGTTCAGCCCTTCTGCCACACGTCTACATAGTTACTGTTTAGTTTAGTACATTTATATTTAATATATAAATATAGGACCATTGACATTATGTCACCAAGATCTCAGAGTGCCCTGTCCAAAATGTTCCAGTAGCATTTATATAGTATTTTTCCAGCATCCTCATCACTGTTCTAGTTTCATGTGGCAGTTGTCCACATGTCCTCCTGGGTCAGTGTGACGGGAGTTCTGACAGGACAGTTGTTTTGGATGTTGCAGATGTTGGATGTACAGGGACACGGTAATTGTGTGGTTATAGCACTGTGATTGAAGGTAGCAGTGTGGTCAAAGCCGAACGGACCTGCCATAACCTGTGATTTGAGCCTCGGCCACACTTTAACTCCAACCAGTCTGAGGGTGACACAGGTCAAATATGTTATCATATTTGGGACTGAGAGAAAAGTGAATGTATGAACACTGCATAGCATACAATTCTATGCAATTGAGATTTGTCATGTAAAAGAGAAAAGTGAAGAGTATGGAATAAAAACCTTTCGAAAAATTCCACACAGTTGGTTTCTCACTGCATTAGGGTCGGTTCATCTAGCCCAGCAGTGTCCAAACGTTTTTCACAAAGAAACAAATACGAACATCTACAACAAACAAATACAACATCATGTAGCGAAGGGCCTTAGACTGGTGTTCAATACAAAAAGCCTTTCAGATGCATATATTTTACAGAGCCACAACACCTTTAAGTCTTGGAGCACTAATTCCAGGACTAATCACAATGTAATATGATAATACAATGATAGAACATTTTAATTTGCAGTAAAAAATACTGGCTTTGATCGTCCAAATCTGCAGGGAGATAAATATACGTAAGACTGAGGGCTCCATTTGGTCCCCGGGCATACTTTGGACACCCCTGTATTAGACTAATCGTAATTACCCACAGGAACTTTAAAGGTTCATTGTGTAACTTTTCTGGTGGAAGGTCGGTTTGAAGTGTTTTAATGCTTTTCTTCATGAGATGCAATTGCTTTGTCTGTAATGTTACACAGTATGGCATTAAACCTTTCTATCTTCATGGAGACCAAACCACACCAATTTACAGGTTAAATCTGTGGAGAGGCAATCCCGCTCACAGTCAGAATACCTGTTTTTCTAGGTATTTTTGAGCTATAAAACTGTAATTGAATACATGTAAGGTAGAGCTGCTTAATGTCATACTGTGGAACATTCTCAGCAGCGCAGTGACATATCCATAGAAACAAACAGGTGACATACCCACATCCAAAAAGTTACATAGTGCACCTTTAATAATTTAATTTCACTACAGATATCCACACTTGACATAACTGTTAACGGTGGTTTTGCAAAATCGTAACTGCCATAATTTTGATTTGGATGTTTGTCTTCCTGTTGTCCTGCTCTTTGTTCTGGCTCCAGCGCCTTAGATCCAACCATTGTTTTTTAGCGCCGAAAAGTAAATTCATCTCATTGTAATTTGTTCTCAGCAAAGCCTGGATGTAATGAGTTTGCCACCACAGCCATGAAGATTAGAGTGTCAGTGAGGAGAGTTAGCAGGCCATAGTCCAGGACAGGAGGGAGTGAGGGCCAAGGGGAGGTGATGCTGCAGTGTGGTCAGTTGGAGTCAGAACATGGACCTATATGCTTCCCTTTCAGAACCTGTTTGGGTTGTGGAGTGAGAGGAGACTTGTGTTGTGCTCGGAGACTGTGAGGTGCATGTGAGAAAACCTCTGTCCACAGCTGCACCTCAGGACCACTCATTTGAGCAGTATTTCCGACTCGGCAAAAACAAGTCAGCAGAAGCTATTTCAAGTATGTGTAGTATGCACGAGAATTCCTACCTCTCAGACAGTGGAAAAAAGTTTATCAATAAAAATATGTCATAGGAAGGTTTTAAGGTTATGTGTGTGTGTTCTGAACTAAAGAAACTGGACTACGTAACTTAACTAGTGTCATTTGTACCTTGATCACAATGTTTGGAGAGGAGACGTTTGTATAGGCAAATCATTGAACTGTCCAAGTGGTCGGTACAAGATCTCATGAAGCCTAAAGTTTGCTTATTGTTCAAGTATTATATGTGTACATAAGTCTGTCACAATAACAAACTTTGAAGTGCTGAAGTAAATGTAGACAATAGATGATAATTTTGAAACCAAACCATAAAGTACAATTATTTACAAAACCTTTTCAAAATGAACAAAAAAAAAAAAATGAGTTTCATAAATAAAAAGCAGAATACAACAGGTATTTAGTTAGAAGTTATTAATTCAACCCTCTACAGCTCAAATGTTTCTCATGTTGTAGAAAAAAATAAACAAAAATCCTCACTAGTATGTGAAAAGGTACACATTATAAATATTGACCCCCCAAAATAAATGTTTTATCTGTCATGTATTAAACTAAGTGGATATAGTATTTATTTATCATGCCCTATGTATACATATAGTAGACCTAGACTCCTACATACTAGATTGTATTACCATAATAAATTCTGCAGTTTTAAACATTGTTATACTGCCTAAATAGTTTACATTGTTTGCATTTCCTATAACTTCCCTATGTAGAGAGTTTTCACTATCAACCTGCACCAAAAACAGAGGAAAAGCCCAGGCGAACAAACGTGTCTCTGGTCACGCTTACAGAGTCCTGCCGATCCGAGTGTGCATTAGCCTCATTAGCATGTAGCCTGGATGTAGATGGATGGCCTCCCTGTTGGGCTCAGTCAGCGAATGATTGATCTGTTAACTACTGTTTCCCTCACAGGGCAGTGACGGACTGTAGCCCGCGTGTGGGGCTGGAGGATGGCTCTGTCCTTAGCTGCCTCAGTGGGAAGCCTTTGGCCTCTTTATTTATGTCTTCTTCTTTACATATTCATTCTGTTGCAGTCAAACAAAGGGCCACCATGCCCTTTCACCCTCGGAGCTCTAGGCTGTACTGTAGTGAGAAGGCTTCATTATGATTCTGCATTAGCTTCATCACATATAGGAGCACACAGGGCTGTATTTCCTAAAATGTAGGTGTGTGTATGGGGCAGTGTAGTGTAGTTGGCCTCATGTAAAACATGCTAAACAGAAACATGCACCTGTCTGGAGGAGCACTTGTATCCGTGGTAAATGGATGTGATTGGCGGCGGGAGGGAGACGCTTGATTGATCTGGACCCCCCTGCTATGCCTGTGACAGCTCCTGTCAGAGAGACTGCTTGTCCCACATCACATGGATCATTTGGTGGCCCTCACTACAACCCATATTACACTGTAAGTGCAACATTTACTCAAGCAAGTCACTAAAGGGTCCATCCCCAAAGCACACTATTTAAGCTTGCTGCTGTTATGACACAATGAGAAGTAGATCAAACTGAAAACAAACAAGAAACCAAGAGAAATATGTCAGAGAATCGGGAGCATTTGCACTGATATTAAAGTGAGAGCAGAAAAAACAGTACATCTATGAGTCTCCCTCATTATTTTATAAGTAAACAGTAAACAATAGTTTTATTGGTCCAGTTGAAGTGGGTTTGTAATGTCTGTCCTGATAATACAAAAACAATCTAAGTAAGCCGTGAAGACAGCAGTCCATGCTGGTCTTATAACAGGGGAGGACCATGTCTTTCTCTCCTTTCCTCTTGTCCTGCTGGAGAACCGCTCACTCTTGTGTGAACAGCATGTGCTATAGCCATTACACACTGCCTTTGAAATAACCTTGTGTTAAAGTAATTTAAAACACACAACTGTAGACCAACAATGATGGAAATGGTTAAAGGTAATGCATCGTTTACAAGAAATGTCCATCAGAATAATCAGTAATCAGATGGATATGGACATTGTCAGGGGCACTCACATATCATAATCAGAGCTTCAGAATCATGCACACACGCTTAAATAGTTCACATTCACAGTGATCAATAGTGAAATCTGCCTGTCACCCAGCTAAAATGGTAGGGGCTGATGCAGATCAATTGATTTTTGATGTTTGGGGTTTTGCATTTAGTTGTTAAACTATAAAGCACTGAATCACTAATATCCCTCTGATTAGAACAGGGCATAGCATAATATGATTAATGATGTTTTCCATTGGCCTTACTGCCTTAATGTCTGCTGCTGTAAGATGGAGTGTTAAAATGTTATCACAACATAAAAATGCAATGGGTTTATTATCCTTATTGTTACACATTCAAAATGTTTTTGCAGTCCTTGTTATTTATGGTCAGCCTTGTGTTATGGCATTATAAATAGTGATAATTCTGAAACCAAATGTAAAACCTGCCCATTATGTCTGATATAATGATGAACCAACAGTGCTTAACAATTCTCATTTGTGTGTAAATCAAAACATTACACTGTCACAAACAGTTAATAAAAAATAGATTTAAAAGCGATTTTGGATTTAAAATTCTGTCATTGTAGATAACATAAGGGCTGTATGTAAGCACACTATTAAAAGGGGCAGGGCACTGCCTCCTGTGGAGTTACTGATGGATGCCCATTCCCAGGCCTAAAGGAAAAGCTCACAGAGGGCAAAAAGTGCTCTTAGGGCACAAGAATTGGACTTGCAGAAAAGCGCAGTTAGACTTAGGGCTTCTGAGTCTGGGGGAGCACACACCAAGAGAGAAAACCTTTGCTGAAGCCCAGATATGTATAGATTTTGGTTGATTTGGTCATGAAAGTCCCTATGTGTTTCTCTGTTCTAAGTCACTGATCTAATATTGTGAGCTCATACTGATCAGCCATTAGTCACACTTGGGTCTAAACCTCAAGGCACAATCTTACAAACTCGGCCTTAAATCTGTGGAGTTTTAATCCCACCTGAAACAATTGTTAATGTCATGCAGTGTACAGATCACAATTCTTTTTTCTTGTTGAGTTTCTGTGAGATCTCATAAGACAGCAATTCTTTTATTATGATCGATACTGACGAATAATTAATGGTTCACCCAAATCAATCAGTCGCGTGCGCAATCAAACGCCTGTGCGTAATGGCATAATAGACTAAATGGTCTACTGAGTGCGCATTAACTCTTAATCTGTCTTTCAGGTCATGTTGATCTGAACAAATATAATATTCGTTTTCTAATAAATAACAGAGTGTCGAACAACGTAGAGGGCTAAGGTAAATAGCTATGCACTGTTATGCGCACCAAACGAGTAGAGTGCTGATGGGACGTTGTGGTTTCCCGGTGGCTGCTGAAGTGGTGCCAGTATGGCTAATGAGGTTTGTTAACGCTAGTTTAATTAATATCTGATTTAAAGTGATTCTGGCCTTGTGCGCACGGCTCACTCTGCACCACAGGTAAAGACCATTTGAGAGGTCATGGGAGGGCGGGGAGGGTGGGGGTGTCTGCTTTTGTTCTACAGAAAAAGGGGGCCTGTTCTTAGTGCTGCGACCTGCCATTTTAACCGGGGGTGTGAATCTGACGCGGGATAGATGTGAGAGAACAGAGACGAGTGCGCACCACGGAGGGATAGCGCAGACAGTGTAGGCAAACAGTGCACGGACTACAGCACCTGGACACCGTCCGGACTGGGACTTGAGCGGACAGGAGATACAGTGATGGACTGCGTGACTCGGAACAGGTCCTAATCGGACAGTCCTGGCGCTTTTCTGTTAGGCTTTTGGATTTGTGGGAAGTTTAATTGCGTCTACAGGATCTCAGAAGGAGCGTAAGATGATGGTCCCTACGTATACTTTTCGGCATCTGTAAGTGACGCTCCGCTGCCGGCTTGGTCCGGTCCACTTGTTTTAGATGTTGTCTTCTTGAACACCTGACTTAAGCCGCTCTTCTCGTTATCCGCAGGTTGGTGCATTTCCTGACGTTCTGCTATTACGCACAAGTAAGTTTTTAATCTATTTCGCTATATTATGCATGTTAAGATTTTGATTCTACAGGATATTTATTCAGTCCATAGTAGGCTAACTAATCAGAATTAATCCACCTTTCAGTCAAATATAATTACATGGGGATTTAAGCATTCATTTTTTTATGATTAAACATGTAAAACACAATTTCAATGAAAAATAGGTCAGAGCTAAGTGAATATAGCCTAACTACAGAGTGCAAATTAAAACTTTACACATTTTTTAAGCATAGATTAAATGTCTTGATCCTCTAAATTACATTATGTTCTGCGCGAGAGCGGCAGTTATTTTTGGTCAGTTGTTACTTTACCCACGTTACAGAAGCGCTCAGCGCTTTGTTAGAAACAGATACTCATGCGGTGCCGTCTAATTTCTGACAGGTAACCAATCAGTCCCCGCCTAATTTCACGCAGCACGTGAGTGAGCAGAGCCGGGTGACGGACCGTGTGAGCCGCAGACTCATTCGCATGTACCAGCTCTACAGCCGCACCAGCGGCAAGCACGTGCAGGTCCTGCCCAACAAGAAGATCAACGCTATGGCCGAGGACGGAGACGTGCACGGTAAGGCCGCAGCACACGCGCCTACACTGACCCTCACTATAGGGCCCAAGGCCAGGAGGTGCTGTGATGGTCAATGTGCCCTTGTTGCAGCTGAAGGCTGTGGTCACTGAGCATCTGTGAAGCACAGAACAGACGGATGCCCCAGATTTAGGCCTACTTTTTAGGGCTGATATATTATGCAACAATAAATAACAGTTATCCTTAAGCAAAAATAGTAAAAATAAAGTCTAAAGAAGCATTATTTCAGATGCCAGACTACATATTTTGGACTTAAAAAAAAATAAAAAAAATTCACACTTAAATATTGAAGATATCATCCTAAATGCTATAGTCCTTCCCAGTGCTCATATAATCATTGTTTCTCCTTTATTGGGATTTTAGGGTTGGACCTGATGTTTAGCAATAATAAAGTTATCTAATGTCTGTTCTTTTGTGTTTTTAGCAAAACTTATAGTGGAGACTGACACATTTGGCAGCCGAGTCCGAATCAAAGGAGCAGAAACGGGCTTCTACATTTGTATGAACAAGAAGGGCAAACTCATTGGCAAGGTATGCAAGCTCAACAGTTTTTCATAACTTTACAAATGTTTTGGGTTATGCATGAATGTGGGATCAGCTCTCTCTATAATGACAAATTACAAAATTTGCCTATGGGTAAAAGTAAAGCATTGCTTAGACAGTGTTCACCATTATGATATTTGCACTCACATTAGCACAGACATTTGAAAGAAAAAAATCACACTTTTGCAACAACCGTGTTTGATTCTAGCAGTCAGTGTGTGGTAAGGTTGTATGATGAAAGAATGTGAGGCCCGGTGTGAGCTAACCCCACCCAGCGGCTCCCTGCCTGGGCCACCATCTGCCCGGAGCCTGGTCTGGCCTGGTCCTGCGTGTCACCACTATTTTTATCCACAGAGCTTTTCCACACAGTGCATCTAACAGTGGCCTGCTGCTGCAGTGCATTGCACTTGCACTGATATCTAATCATACTTCACTTGAACAGTTAATATTTAGATCATACTTTAAAGGTTGTAATAACTTATTGGCACACAAATTGATGAAATGTGGTATTTTGTGCTAAAGTTTCATTGTGTCTACAGAACAGATGCAGAAAAAATGGCTAGAAATTGCAGTTTTGAGCTGTACCACGGGGACTCTTTGCCATAGCAGTAGTGCAATAATATTCTAACAGGGTCTGACAATTTACTTATTGAAACTGAAGTAAAGGGATGTGCTCATGATGAGTTACTCTGAAAGAAGCATAATTATCTATAGAAACAAAAGCTCTGAACTTTGTTATGAGATGCTGGTTTTGGCAGTTTGTCTTGGCTGTAATGACTGCAGCACATGTTTAGAGATGTGCTGTGGGTTGGCCCACACAGGCTGCTGGACTCATCATTTGTGACTTCACTTACAGAAAAATGGCCAGGGTCGTGACTGCATCTTCACTGAGATTGTTCTGGAGAACAACTACACAGCGCTGAGGAATGCGTGCTATGAAAGCTGGTATATGGCATTCACACGGAGAGGTCGGCCCCGCAAAGGTTCCCGCACCAGGCAACACCAGCGTGAAGTCCATTTCATGAAGAGGCTCCCCAAAGGGCACCAGCACCCACAACCTGTTCACCACCGACCCTTTGACTTCATCCACTACCCCTTCAACACCAGGACTAAACGCACGCGATACTCATCCGGGCGCTGACACCAAAGACAATGTCCCATCTTCACACAGGCCTTTCTACTGAGCATCAGCTTATACACTGTAGCTTTTCTACTAATGCCAGAGATGTAAACTCTAAAGAATTATATTTTTGTATTTTGGACAGACTTGCTCTGAGACCAAAGATGGACATGTGCACACTGTTCAGTAGTATCAGGGACGTGCTGACAGTGCTGCAGCAGACTCAAAGGGTCTCTGTGCAGGTTCATATTGTTCTCAACATGGGGCGCTTGGTCTCAGTCTGTTCTCAGAGTTGCACACTGCAGCCTTTACTTGTGTATAAAGAACCACTGCTTAGTCACATCAGTGACCACTCTATTTTTTTAAGTTGGATTTAAAATAGTGCACTCAGAGTATTTCCTTATAGCAATAGTCCCTGACCTGCACGAGGGTTATTGTGTGAATGTAAGTGTAGATGCTGATACAGTCAGGTCACTCCAATGATTCACACAGTTCATTCTTTCATGTTTAAATGTTTGAATGAGGACTACATGTACTGATAAAGAAGTGAAACTGAGCACGCAGGCAGCAAGCTCATTATGAACTATTGTGGCAGCTAAACAACTCTTACCCCCTTTGTGTGTTACTGATTGTATGTTGTTTTTATACATATAAAATATATTTTTATTTGAAAAGCTGTAAAATTATGTATGAAATATTTATTTATAATGTGTAAAATGTACAATAGAAAAGTGATATTAAAGTCTGGTTTGATATAAATGCCATGTGTCATCTCTCACTTCTGAGAGGAAGACAGAATCTCTCTAGTTTTTTATTTATTTACACATTCTTTGCACATGAACCTTTGATTTTCAACCACTGTGTGCCATTTTCAGAACCAGATCACTATTGAGGCATTTATTGTCTCTCATATTGACTATTGTTTTAATCCCAAAATTAATTAAAAATTACATTAAACGGGGAAGCAAAACTAAAATAAAAATCCAAGACTTAAAAAAAGTAAAACAATAAAAATGAAGGCGCTAAGGAGAGAACGCTCCTCAGCTTTGGGGCCCCCTAGTGGCTTTGCAGTGCCCTATGCAGGCGTCAATAACCACAATTGGCCCTTTAGGTAAACTGCGTGTCAATGAAATGTCCTCCAACCATTCTGCCTTTCTTTTCCCTTTATCATTCAGTGTAATGGCAGTCCAGTGTATTCTGTTGGCTGTGGGTCTCCACCTCCAGCCTGACTGAACAATACATTAATGTGGAAAATAAACTTATCAGTCTTTTTTGTATTTTATTTTAAATGTATATACCAAAAACTGTGCCTGGTATTTGCAATTATGCTATAAGTAAACAGTCAGTGTTGATTAAAATACAACATCTGGATAAATGTGTACAGTGGCATTTGAAAACTTTAACTTACTCACTTACTCTGTGAATTTATATCTATTCAATCATTTTATTTAAATGTATAATTTTCTAATTTTTAGAGTGCTCTGAACCAGAATAGTAACCAAAGCAACCACAACAGCCAAATCCTAATTAGATTCAGTGACACACAGAAATTATATGTACCAATTTCTTAGGTGTCACTTTTTAGGAGTTCTTTTCCAGAAAAAAAGTGTGCTTTGACTCTGGAAGGTTAAACACTGTTTTACTCCAACATAACCTTCTTAATTATGTCTGTCATGAGAAAGGCCAACAATGCTGTGAGTAAATATTGGATTAGCAAAATACAATTTGATATGTTTTTGATGTTTGTACATATAATTAGTGTAGGCTTGTGTGTTTGCAGGTCACAGTAATCTTATTGCTGCAAAGATCAAAAGCAGCTTTACATGGTAGCCTACATGTCAGGCCTCTTCTTCCTTTTAACCAACCATAAATTATTTTTTGGACATTCTTATATGAGAGACACGGCCCTTTGGGAGTGCATGCTCTGAACAAGTGAGTGGTCTTCAATGAAGAAAGAAGAAAAACTATCTGCATATTGGCATTGTGTGTGCTGTGCTCAACTGATCAAAGAGCGGTGGGGGTCCATCCAGGAGCTGTGGCAGGGTGAGTCAGAATGAGTGAACAGCAGACTGATGCTGCTCAGGCCAAAGTGTAAGTATCTCATTAAATGTCACAAGGTTAATTGACTTTTGGTTGTCATGCCTCATTTTCAACACAGCCAGTTTATAATAATGAGCTAAACTGTGGACAGTGTAAGGATTTGTATCAATGGGCCTCATATTCTATGAGCTTTGCCTGATACAAAGTTTCACACATTAAGATAATAAGATTGGTTGATCTTGAGTTAGCCTTGAACTTGAATCAGTTAAAAATGGAGGCAGGAGCTATGATGTCACGATAAGGTACAATTTAAAAAAATTATATGAAATATTGAAGGTGATCATGTTTGTTGGACACCTAGGCTAGCCCCACAAATTTGCTAATTTATCTGTCTTTATCACTAGCTAAATTCTATGATATAATGTTGTATCCTCATCAAAAGCATACCTTGTTCAGTCAACCATTTTCTTCCACTTCATCCAGGGCCGTGTTGGAGAGGTAGCAGTCTGAACAGGGAGGCCCAGATTTCCATTTCCACACACACACTTCCTCGAGTTCTTCCAGGGGGATCCCGAGGCATTCCCAGGCCAGCCCAGAGACACAGTCCCTCCAGCGTGTTCTGGGTCTTCCCTGGGGCCTCCTCCCGGTAGGACATGCCCAAGCCCCCTCAACTGGCTCCTCTCAATGTGGAGGAGCAGTGGCTTTACTCCAAGCTCCCCTGTGTGAGTGAGCTCCTCACCGTGTCTCTAAAGGCCACTTGGTGGAGCAAACAAATTTCAGCTGCTTGTATCTGCAATTTTGTCCTTTCGGTCATTGTCTAAAGCTCATAACCATAGATGAGGGTAGGAACGTAGATTGACAGGTAAATCAAGCACTTTCCCTTACAACTCAGCTCCTTCTTCACCACAATGGTCCGATACAGCAACTGCATCACTGCAGGTGCTGCACCGATTCACCTGTCAATCTCACGCTCCATCCTCCCTCACTCGTGAACCCGAGACCCGGAGATACTTGAACTCTTCCACTTGAGGAAAGGACTCTCCGCCCACCCGGAGAGGGCAACTTTTTTCTGGTCAAGAACCATGGCCTCAGATTTGGAGGAGCTGATCTTCATCCCAGCTGCTTCACACTCGACTGCAAATCGTCCCAGTGCACATTGCAGGTCCTGGATCAGGACATCATCTGCAAACAGCAGAGATGAGATCCTGTGGTCCCCAAACCGGACCCCCTCTGAGCCCTGGCTGTGTCTAGAAATCCTGTCCATATAAATAATGAACAGTGACAAAGGTGAGCCCTGGTGGAGTCCAACATACACCGGGAACAGGTCTGACTTACTGCTGGCAATGCGAATACAGCTTCTGCTCCCCCCACAGGACACCACGAGGGACATGGTCGAATGCCTTCTCCAGATCCACAAAGCACATGTGGACTAGTTGGGCAAACTCCCATGAACCTTCGAGCACCCAGTGGAGAGTGTAGAGCTGGTCTAGTGTTCCACGACTGGGATGAAAACCACACTGCTCCTCCTGGATCTGGATCTTGACATTCGATCATATTCTAATCTCCAATCCTCTGGAATAGACTGGGGAGTCTGTGTAATTTCCCTGTAGTTGTAGTTCTTAAACAGAGGGAGCACCACCCCTGTCTGCCAGTCCAGAGTTACTGTCCCTGACTGCCATAGAAGATAGCCAAGATAGCCCCACAACATCCAGAGACTTAAAAATTCAGGATGGATCCTACGGCCTCTGCTTCCTCTTGGAAGATGTGACAGGAGGATTGAGAAGATCCTCAAAGTATTCCTTGTAGCATCTGACAACATCTCCAGTCAAGGTCAACAGCTCTCCCCCTGCACTGTAAACAGTGTTGGTGAAGCACTGCTTTCCTCTCCTGAGGTGTTGGACAGTTTGTCAGAATTTCTTTGAGGCTGACCGATAGTCCTCCTTCATTTGTTTAATTCATACATGTTCAACATAAAAATCTAGCATACTTAGGTTGTTCTTCTCTCAAATTCAAACTCACTATTTCACTTTGTGATGTCACTGAGTGGTGATACAGGAAGTGTTCCTCTGTGCTTTTAACCTATATACCTTTTCACTAATAAATCAGATTAATTGAGACAAAAAAAAAAAAGAAAAACTTTATTTTGAGGTTTTGAGATGTAAACTGCCTAACAGTGCAGGATTACTCAGCATGAACGAAACAAAACACAACTCTGACTTTGTTTTTGAGGAGGTAATGACATTCTAACATGACCAAATAATACATTTTGCATAATATAGGACCTTTTTTAAGTGAAATGAATTTGCACTCACTAGTCCACATAACTTAGTTTTATTTAGTATAGGCCAATGGACAGTCTATGGGGTAGGCCTAACCTACTGTAGGGTTCTATCATAGCCTGTATCTACACCCTGTGAAAGCCACCAGGTGAAGGCGGTGCATCGTCATTTTGGGGCCCTAACACCTGGACTGGGACCCCTAGATACGCCACTGGGGTTCAAGCATAGAGAGTCTATGGTCTCAAAAGGCAACGCGCTTACCGTGAAGATACTCGAAGCATAGGCCGATAGACTTGAGTTGATAACCAAAACAAATAAGTAAATAAACAAATAAAAAATAAATAATAGTAGCCTAAAGTTTATAATCTATGACCTGGACCAGAGTTACATGGATTGCGTACGTCATTACGTTTTCTACGTCGCTCCGCAAAATGCAGTAGCGTAATGGCTTCCTGTGCTTGCTTCCTGCAAATCAAGTTTTTCGTTCTAATGAACACTTTGCTAAAATGAGCAGCCGCCGCGGTGCGTGGTTGTGGATAGCGGCGGTGGGTCGCCATGCTCCTATTTCAATTGCCTGACGACGTCCTGTACCACATCCTGGCTTACTTGGACCACAGATCTCTCAGTCGATTCTCGCAAGTTTGTAAATCTGCCTACAGTTTTGTTAACCGTGACAATGTGTGGAAGAATGTTGCCAAACAGTTCCTAAACACTGGGATTCGTCGGAATGGATCAGATCTGTGAGTTTTGTTGTAGGTTGTAGCGTCTTACACATGTGGCATTTGCTAGCGCACTAATGTTAGCTGCTACCTGTTCTATTTCAGTCCAGCCCATAGACTATCCTTTATACTGTCTGTGGTCACCATGGGCTCTGCTTCTTTGCATATATATCCTCCTCCCCTGCATATCTTCCTCCTGGATCTGAATTCGCCTTTATTTTCCTGCACCAACGATACACTTGTAATACAATAATTCCAGATCCTACGATATGCTCTGTTATTTCTATTACTACCACATTATTCACTGTAAACATGAATTACATCATAGTCGTTATTGTGTTTTGCAGATACCCAAAAATTCCACTTAAGGAGAGAGTGAGGACTGCTCAGAACTGGTCCAGTGGGCTCTGCACCAAGGACGTACTTATCAGATGGAGAAAAAAGTAAGTCTGCCCTGTAGGGTATTGATGGGGATCCCCTCAACTCACTTCATCTGTCCAAAAACACAGATGTTGTTATAGAATTGGTGATTTTACCTGTTTTGTATTCAAGAAAATAATTTAAAAAGCATGTTTTATTAAGTTCCATTTCAGTATGTTTCAACAATTCTGCATATTTAATTTGGTGATGACCCAGAAAGTGCTCCTCTATGTTTTAAAATCCATACATCTTAACTCCACTCTAACAATTTTAGTGCTCAAATTGCCTATCCTTTGATGGTGTAAGATACCAAGAGTCAAGGGTGTAGTGGGATAAATCAAATGCATGCTCGCAATATTAATAAACTTACACTAGTAATGCTTTTTACAGGGCTGTTGAAGCTTCTAAAGCTGTAGTCATTATTCATTCACTCCATACTTTGTGGTAGTAAGCTAATATTCTAGCCACCGCTGCCCTGAGGCAGACTGACACAAGCAAGGCTGCCAATCTGCATCATCGACCCCTCCGACCTCCACCAATCACACATGCACACCACTTACTAGGCAAGGTGGATGAAGTGTCACTGCTTTAACCACTGAGCCAGTGTCATTGCCCAATAAGTGTACTCTGTAATGAAATGCAGACTTTAATATGTGATATGCTCTATAATCCATCTATTATGATGTATGTGTGTTCTCTTTCTGACCCTCAGCCTGTTGCCATGGCTGCAGATCGATGGGAATATACTGTTTCTGTCCCAGGCAGCAGAGATCCGAGCTCACAGAGTGCACCAAAATGCCAAGAAGATTCTCAGCCAGCCATTTCAAATCTATTCTGGTCACAATGGGGATGTGTGTCGCTTTGTTCTCAACAACTCATATTTAATCAGCAGTGGAAGGTAAGTCAGAAGTTTTATTTTATTATTATTATTTTAAACTTTTTTAAATAGTAAATTATTGTATAATTTATCAAATATTATGAAAACAAAATCACTCACTGTGCAAAAGCTGCTTTACCGATTACTGACACAAATGACATCATAAGCAATTTCATTAACATACACATTTTGTAAAAGTATGGTTTCACAAAACTAGCCTATGCCTGGATAAAATAGACCTGCTAAAGAGATAATGCATCTTTTGGGTTTGACATATGAGTCACATGGCAACCTTTAGATTTAGATAAATGAAACTTGAGGATGCTTATTGACACTTTCCATTTGTATTTATGATTTGGTCAGGTGACCCATTGCTTTGGCCTACTGTTTCCAAATTCTATCCCACTGAGAAACCCCTTGGTTTTTAGCATGCTACAGTCTTTTTTAATTGTGCCTGCAGATGTGGGCCTAGTGCCATCTGCTGTTTTTTTAAACAATTACACCCCGTGATTAATACAGCCAACACAGGTATTGTATACACAGAAATTAAGTAATACTATAGGAAACCAAGATAATAAAAAAATCACCGCTGGTACATGCAGTAACAGAATGTCCTTCTAATAAATACTTTGTCCAGTTATACTTTCAGTTGGATTACTAGATGCCCTACTAGTGGAATGATAATCCTGTTACTGATATCTGTATACTGTACTGTATATCCTGAGATCCTTATGTGTTTCAGCGATGGGACTATTGTGGTCCACAGCAGGAGAAGTGGTGCTCAGACCAAGCTGCCAGGGCACAGCCAGGAAATCAACTGTCTGGATTCCAGAGATGAGCTCATTATCAGTGGATCCAGAGATACAACCGTCAAGGTCAGTGAGGAACACCGAGACCTTTACACAACACAGTTAATTACATGTTAAAACCATGTATTTAATTAAGAATAGATGTCATATTTAATATTTATGTAATGTTTATTGTCAAGTAATATTCATGTATAAATGTGTAGGTTTTTATAATGGTATAAGACACATATTTACCTTTTTATTTTGCACTGTTAATTTGAATTATGTTATAAACAATTAACTAAAAAAAGGAAAAGTATAAAAACTTAATGACTAAAGCCTCATTTCCATTGGTTCACTTGTGTGAGTTGGTACGGTCAGAGAGTCTCCACTGTCTAAAGTCTGAAGAGGACCCTGAAGGGTAATAGAGGCCCCAGAGGGGTCTGACTCACGTTGGTGCAGAGCTAATAAGTAATAAGTACTGAGAAATTATTGGTCAAGGGAGAATGCAGACTTGGCAGATACAAACAAATAAAACTAACTTGATCTTGTGATAAGCTGATGTATTTCCAGTGATGGCAGCTTGTACAGCTTTAGCCATGTCTCACCACTTAGAATTACTAAATGTTTTTCTGTGAATTGGTGAGACCTCTGAGGCCTTATGACTAAATATATAATTAAGGTACAGTTTAGGTTTTATTAATTTAGAAAACATTAGTTATATTTGGGTGATGCCATTTTCTCATGTAGGAAAGCCTTGCCTGGAGCATGGAAACTCGAGTGGAGGTGGGCGCACCAACAGGCTCGCTTCAAGGGAGCCCCAATGGAAAAGAGGCTGAACTTGATTGCCCAGGTGGTACTAGGCCTTTGTAAGTGCCCCTTGGTGCCCCCTTGGTCAACACAGGTGTTTAAAGTATTAAAATAGTGACCACTTTCAAAGATGCTGTAAGCCAATAGAGCTCTGCAGTGCTTATGTGTTGGTCCTGGACTTGGTGTATGCTTTAAGAGAAGGGCACAATACTGCAAGTGAAATAAAACACCTAATCATCATATATAGATGAATGAAATAGTCTGACAACAGTTTAGAATTCACAAATAAAAATCTTGATTGAATAAAATTTTTTACCATATGGTTTTATTTCAGTGTTATGAGCAGCACAGCTAATGATATACAACTCAAATGCAAATGTCACTGAGATGCACAACAAATTTGCTTTCTTAAAGAAAGCCTTTTTGTAGTTGATGTACATTTAACCAAAACTGGCCACACAGATTCATGATAATGCAATGATTTGTGAGCAAGCATATTTCAAAAGTTTGATTAATGTGATTTTATTTATTTTTTCAATCTATTGACAGCACTAATCACAGTTCATTTAAATTTAGTATCTTAATACCGTTAAGACAGGGAGCATGACCAAGACTGACCAGTTGGAGGAAGACAAGAAGGTGAAGGAAAACTGAATCATAATATCACCTACCCACAATTACCATAGATTTTCATCATCATATAACCCATTTTTACATAGGCTACAAACAGTATGGATCATTTCGAGTGATACAGAGGGTTTTTTCATGATTAAGCATTTGCCCCCTCACAATGTCTATGCATGGTCCTGCCTAAAACTAGTGTATCTTAAGTACATGCAAGAATGGTGGGTAAGGGTTCTTCAAGTGAGCTACTATGGAGCGTGCTTGTATTTTAGAACAGACCAAAACAAAAACACAGCCCGTCTTTTGTTTTGCCATCTTACTCTAGTCCAGACTTATGATTTTTTTTTATAGGACATTATATTCTTTATGGTAAGAGTAGTCAGATTGGCAGCAAATCCCTACCAATGACTGTCTCTATGTTGAAGGTTTGGACATTGACCTCAAGCTCTTCTAAGGAAACCATTTCCACTTTTGACAGAGTCTGGTCTATTGCCATTGATCCTTCTGTCAGGTAAGTCTATTTCCACTCAGTTGATTCTTTGCAGCTGATGCCATCAACATTCCCTGGGGGTGTAATGCTACACACATTACACACATGCACTGTTCTGTTTAAAGACTTCAATCTGACTTTTTTTTTTGTAACACAATTTAGCTAGCTTGCATTAGCCAACAGTTTTTCAGTTAGTCACTGTCACCTTTTTGTTGAAAATCAAACATCTCAACTCCCATATTGATCATGGACTCCTGAAAATGTTTTGTTTAAATCCATTTTGTTTAGTTTTTTCTTTAGATTTCTTAAGTTCTTAAAACATTTTTTACAATGTTTGCTAATGTGTGAATTTTGTCACCATGGTAACTTCTGAACATACTGCCATACAGATACATGTAGAACACCCCTGGCATGATGTCACTGCAAAGTATCACTATTGCTTGCAATACAACCATGATGCAGATTTTGTTTGAAGGTGGGAATAACACACACAAACCTCTGCGGTTGTATTGCTTCGTATGGCAGACCAGAAGGAAGTTTTATTTGCTCTGGAATGTCACCATTTGGTCCCAGCATAAGGCCAAGCTCGAAAGACTTTAGGAATCTGTCATGCTCTACCTCAAAACATTTGTTGCTCTGAGGGACAAATGTCATGTGGTGGATCATATAAGGTATTGGGTTAGCATATTAGGGTTACCATTTTTGTTTTAGTTCCATATTAATAATAATTTAGCTGACTAATAATAAAACAATTAAAACAACAATTCCAATTGTTACCTTCCAAAATATATACATTTTTATTTTACAATGGCATCAGGAAATGTCTTCTTTTAATACAATGCTGCTACATACGTAATATGCTAAAATGCTTTTTATTCCTAAAATTCTGCACTGATTATCATACAGTGGAACACTGAAATTGGAGAAAGATGTGCAAAAATAGGAAAGGCAAAATACTTCAACTATACTCTGCAGAAGCCCCAAATTTTCTCAAAATAAATTCAAATTCAAGTTTTTTGTTCAATCTACAGTAAGAAATTACCTAAATTTAAAGTGTCCCGCTGTTTGTCACATTAACTGTCACTTTACTTTAACATTCAGAAAGTTTATCATAAAACTGAGCTCAGAATGCCATTGTATTAGACAATGGGTATAAAAGAAAATTAAGGATTTCGCTGTAGGTTGATCATTATGGTGCTACTAACTAAATCATAATATGACATCTCACAATCATTGTAGCAGTTTGGACTTTTTGTGTTGATGGCAATGATTAAGTGTGTCTTGTTTTGTTAAATGGAAGTTTAATCTGTCAGAAAATGTGGAAATTGTCCCTGCATTTTGGTTGGAATTTTCTATGTTGATTAGATAAAGTAGCAGTTCCAAAATGGAATACTACCATCCTGTATTTTTATTTTTCTTCTCAACTTTCTTCCCATAAACTGCTACTTAACGGATGTATAACTATGAGAAATGAGTACTATCCCACCAAACCAAGTGATAATAATTAGAAAAACATGAAACCTGTCATGAGCACGTTATGTTCAAAACTGATGGTGATCAATCAATATGAATTTTTTATTTGTTTTTGTCATATTGCCCAGCCCATATTGTAGTAATATGCACTGTCTGATGCTAGTAAAGAATAATTTGAATCAAAACTCATTCATTATTTTCAGTTTTAGTCCTTTTTGATGTGGTCCAATGCAGTGAGACAGACTGTTATCAGTGTGTTTGTTTCATGGGGAATCCTCGTGGTGTTATAGAGAAGGTTGTTGTGGCTGTTTTTAAAGGCCAAGGCTGCTGACAAGAGGCCACCCACTCTCTGCTCTCTCCTGAACCAGAACTCTGATTTGTAGCACTATGTTTTATAATTATGAAACTGGATTATTTTGGTAATTAATTTTTCCATTATTCCTTTTTTTTATTGATTACTGAGAAATAGGACCGTTTTAGAATCTGTGTATAGTGCAGAACATGATTATTCCATTACTAAATTAGTTGATGATTATTACAGTAATTGATTAGTTGCCATGGATCAATTAACTGTTTCATTGTATATTACAACTGACACATTTTATTTAATATACACATATATTTTTTATTCTGCCACATGATTTTTTTTTTTTTTATTGGTTGTGCCCCTTAAATGTATTGACATACAGTAATTCTGCATTATATCATAACATATTCTTAAGGTGAATATTCATTCTCCATAATTCGGTGAAAACATTATTTTTTTCAAGATAAATATTTGATGGTCATGTCAGTGTGGGAAACCCCCTTAGTGAGAAGAGTCCTTGGGTATTACTTCAGCCAAAGTTCTGCAGTGAGCAACTGTGATCTAAAATATTGAGCTCGCTTGCAGCAGTTACATAGTTGTGATAATGTCTGTAAGTATACTATTGTAGTCCTAATTCCACTGACACAATGTTAATAAGTATAGCGTTGAGTTTTTAAAAACGTTAAATTGTGTTTTTTTTGTCCTATGCTGTAAACCTCAACATTTTACCGTGTCACTGTGGCGCTATGAACAGAAAGGGAAAAAAATATATATATTTGGGGCACCTTTTGGACGTACTTGGAACAAAATATTAAGTCCTAATGACCGAAGTTATCTGTTAATAAATGAACTGTCTAGAAAGCTAGCAAAACCATTGGAATGAAACACTGTCCCATGGTCTACACAAATCTGATTAGATGTTGAAGTATTTGCTTTAGCAGTCTTATAAAATAGTGACTTGTGCTGTGAAGGACGGGGGCCCGAACCCACTGAAGGGAGAAGCCCCCCAAAGAAAGCTTGGGGGTGGGTTTGGAATTGTTTTGTCTAGAACTCCTCAAGCACAACTACAAAGACATTGCTGGGGCCAAAAGCGCTTTTCAGCATTTCCAAAAGAAGAAAATGATTGTTGGATAAACCATCCCAAATTTGCTTTTTTCTCACAACCTCCAGGGAGGGTGACCTTTGACCCTAGTATCAAAGTACAGGGAGACTGCACTGGAGCCACCCAGTGCTCAGACTGCACTGCCGTCACTGGCCACACTCCACTTTCGCCCCGTCCCCTTCACCACTCCCCAATTGAAAGACTAGAGCCATGTCCGAGCCATCCCCGCTGCTCTGGAGTCAAGAATTCACTTAGTTAAAAAAGAAAGAAAGGAACAGAGCTCCAACAATGAAGCAATAAGGGGCAGAATTTGCATTCCCACACACTAAATACAGGCCAGGGCCCACAGAGCCAGAGGAGCTCCACCACAGGAGGCAGGAATAATCACAGGTCTGTCCGAACCCCCTCATTACAACATACACCTTACATTCCACACAAACGGACAGACACAACCACACACCCAGAAGCCACGCACACGCGGACAGGTGTCTCACGCCTCACACAGGCGCCTTATACATACTTTGATTAGTTAACATTGTGCAGAGATGTGGATGTGCAAAATAATATTGGTATATTTTATTAATTTAAATCTGAATCCTCTATCGTATCCATATGCGCTCTTAACTTTTTTTTATCTAATAGAATCTGTTGCCACATACACTACTCTTTTTAGAATATGTATATATTTTAGTCTTAAATACATTTTAATCAGTGCACCTTAGCTCAATACATGATTTTACATAGAGAAACTTCTGGAAATTGTTTGTGGAAAAGAATATCTTTTTACTATGATTTGCTGAGTGATCAGTCAAGTCCTGAACTTGAGAGTGGGCATAATTACATTGATAACAAACTTCTATTTTTCTAAGAATATAGAATACTGCTCAGAATGCATGATCTCAAATGGGTTTTACACGGAGGATGCCCAGAGTATAAAGCTGGTCCTCAGCTCTCTCTGTGTGCGTGTGACCAGCAATAACGTTTCATTGAATATATAAGGTCTGCCTCTGGCAGAACTATGCACAGTAGTTCCTGCTCATTTTGTTTTAAATTGTGCTCAGTTTCTTCGTTTATTTGATTGTTGAAATCTAAAGTGCAAGACCAAATCTTGAGAATGCAATGAAATATTAAACTTACTCCTTGTTTCTGATTATGTCCAAATTATAAGATTATGCTATAACACAAAAATTGACATGTGTTTTTCTTCTAATGAATATTAAATGAACAAATGCTCTTGATCTTAGCTAAAACTATTATTTAATTAATATACAATTCCTGAACCATGCCTGGCTTGTTTCAAATGACTGCTCAACATAAGCAGGAGTTAAAAGAATGTACGGTGACCCTGCACAGCACACACACAAACAGCACCAAAAGGGCTCCGGGGGTGGCAATGGGAAAACAGGGGCCACCAGTGTGTACCCATGCAGAACAGTGTGAATGTATGACGGGAATCTGCATGTTTGTGTCCATTCAGAGGTTTGCCAGTGCAAGGCTTCATGTGAAAGGGCTCATGTGGTGTCTTTAAGCTTTGACTTGTAAAGAGAACACATAACACCAATTTTACAAAGTAGAAACAAGTCAAGCACAAAGATCAGAGAGTAGTGTGACAAATTAACCCAGACCTTTTGAGATTGTATTATGGAAATGGACCAAGACTAAATGCTGTCTTTTTTATTTAAACTTTTTAATTCAACTTTTCTGTTTTAATACTTAGACCTGATATCATTCAGGAATATGTAAGCAATTTTCATACATTTTTAGACCATCCTATTCACAATATTCTAAACACAGTTCTAAACATCTAAAACTGTTTTTTTTACTCCATATCTAAATTTGCGTGACCCTGGCACATCAGTTCTCACATTGTGCATGCACTTGATGAGGTTACTCAAATGAGAGCAAGGGTTAGCTGCCTGCTAATGATTAGTCCTGACCTAGCTGCTATAATCTCACTACAAGCCAGGCTTCAGAGGAAGAAGGTGACATCAGTGGGACTACTCTTTTATTGTGGGACTTGTGTCCCACAAACTGCCTCTGCGAGTGACTGGCCACTGATGAGTGAGTAATGTGAGTAATGGAGAGTAATAAGGTGCAGATATTGAGTGTGAGCGTAACCCTATTGTATCTTGTCAGAGAGGTCAGAGGTCACCTACAGAGCATACTCAGCCCAGGCCTGGCTGACCCATTTGGGCCATAAATGAGTTTACCCAACACTAATTACTAAGGGCTTGCCAATGGCCCACACTGCTGAACAGGTCTGACAGCTGTCTGAGTGTGGGAGTCCCAGGGCAGTTCACCACAGCTCTGTTCTGATGACGCCATCACACCAATATGCTTCCCACTATATGCATTTTATTATTAGGATTAAACAATGAGGTGCAGTGCGTTTTGTTGTTTTAACTCACTGAAGCAGAATCTAGAACACCACAATGGCAAGATCCTTTACCTGTTTGGTAAATGATCACCTGCACTAAGGAGCATCTGACTGTTTTATGCATAAAGATCCAAGATAATTTTACAAGATAATTTTACACACAATCTTAACTACTGGTGTAGATAGTCCCTTCTCTAACTCGGATGTGACATCTGTCTTCTATAAATGCTTATTAAAGCATGTTTTCCTGTCACAGATTTAAACTAGAAAAGCACTCAGAGAGCACAGACCTCCACCAAGGACTACCCCCATTTTTTATATAAATTGCGATAAAATCAGTCTTCTGGATCAGATCCGGATCAGCCTTTGGAATATGAAAGAGGATCCCATTGTCCATCCCTGAGTCAAATTTCATGGGGTTTGGTCAATAATTAACCGAGATATTGAGAAACAACGTTTTTGGCCCCATTTACCACAATGTTAAAGGTTGTATAGAGGATTTTCCAAGGAACGAGAAATCCAGCGACTGTTTGTCCTTTTTCAAATGTTGCGCATGTGTGAAACCACCCCCCGTCCCCTACAGCTCCCTACGTAGAAACGCCTCCTCCCGCCTCCTCTTTACACCAGAAACAGGTTTGTTTACAGCCGGTGGGCTGCACATGACTTGTAAACAACTAACTACAGTGTTGGTTAGGCAAGGTGGAGAAGTGAGGAGCGGGGGGAGCGGGTGTGCGGACATTTCATTCGCGGACGAGAAGTGAGGAGCAGGGAGAAGAGCGGAGCAGGGAGAGAGGAGAGGAGAGAGGAGAGGGGAGCGGTGCACGGAGATTCCGTGCCCGGAGAAGCGAGGAGCAGGGGGAAGAGCGGAACGGGCAGCGGGGACAGGAGCAGGAAAGGGGTGCAGAGAAGGTTGCGCGGAGATTCCGTGCGAATGAACTAGCTACAACACGCAGCAGCAAGCGGACTCTTTCTTTGCACTGAAAATTTCAGACATAGGATATCGCTTTCGTGTCCTGAAAAACGTTTGACTAGCTCTTGGAAATAAAGTACGTTTTCATAATAAGCAGAAATGACCTGTCCAGGAGTAATTTGGCGACCAATGCGTCAGTCTTTAGACCCTGCGTCTGCTTCAGTCACGCCATCGCTGGAATGAATCTATAAGAATCACCTTAGTTTGGCTTCGCTGCTTTTCCCCTTGTCTTCTTTCAGCGACCTCAAAAACGGACTATCTTTTGCGGCTAACTGCTCCTGGATTCTTGTCTGCCATTGCAACAAACTTTGTGCTAACTGCGAGGAAGATATAGGTCAAAAAAAGCCGCTAAGAACTGTTGCGTTGGTGGAGTAAACAGCGTCTGTGCGGCTTGCGTCTGTGGACTGCGTGACAGGCGTACGTAAACCACGTACCGGCGGCGCGCAGGCAAGTCAGTTACGCTAGAAACGTAGGGAGATTGATTGACAGCCTGTCAGCTAACAGATAACGAGGCAGTGTCGTTATCTATTGGCAAATGTTTAGCTGGCCCCACCACGTCCAGAGTTGATGAATTTTTATTCTCTTTTTTTTGGTCATAATAATTACAAGGCTACTGCACCTCTATAATGCTATCATTGACAACTTGAAACAAAAAAAAATCCTCCATACAACCTTTAACTAAAATTTCAAGGTGATCCAGAATCCAGGATTTCTTCCGGATCACCCCGAAAATGAAATCAGTTCTTCCTTTTCACATTTCCAACAAATCCTGAAAATTTCATCAAAATCGGTCCATAACTTTTTGAGTTATGTTGCTAAAAGACAAACAAACAAACAAACAAACACAAACAGACAAACGCCGGCAAAAACATAACCTCCTTGGCGGAGGTAAAAATCTGGTACAGTTCTTTTTCTCATGCGTGTAGAAGTGGTCCTCCCCCATCCATTGTCCCTGTAGGTGCACACTGTCTGTGCTCTGCCTAAAAGAATCACCACACCCCAGGCCAGTGGTGGACACCCCACCCTGCTCACCCAACCCCACAGTGCTCCTGCTTTTTCTGGACCCCCAGCTGTCTCTGGGAATGGCAGTCAGTCATCACACACACCTCCACTTAAAAGCCGTCACTACGGTCAATGGAGTGACTGACTTTATATGCTCTGATCACGCTGCTCCAATCATAGTTCTCCTCACAGACTCCTGCTGCGTCTGTGCAGGCTGGGTATGGAATTCAAGAGAGCAGAGGATTTCTCGTCTGTCATAGGCTGGAATATCAGCAGAAGAGCTGGATCAAAGAACTACCCAAACTGAATTTTAGTCTGCTGGATATTGATATTAATAATTGTGAATACCTAGGTCAAAACCTTTTACAGTGGTTTCCTTCAGATACCCTTTACATGATCTTTTCTGGTGTGACTTTCACATTTTGTAATAAAATATCCAAAACAAAACTTCAAAAATGTTACACCTTGTCCTTATTTGTTAGGGATTAGATCCATAAACTTGCTGTATTAAAGTGACCTTTGTGATTGAATTATATATATATTATTGTTATACTTATACATTTTTTATTATACATATACATTATTATTGTTATATGTAATTGTGATTGAATTATATGTGAATTATATATATTTAATTATATTATGTATAGAATAATGAAGAGAGCAAAGATAGAGGGTAGGTGAAAAAAGACATTTTTTGACCACTCAAGCCTCAGATGCAGGATAATGCAGGATTACTCATATATACATGATTTACTCAAAATAAAACTTAGATTAATGACGATGAAAAAAACAACAACTTTATAATATAGTTGAAACCTTTTTGTCTGTTACAGCTCCTTCGCCGTGGGCACTGCATGTTGTCGGACCCCCTCTCCTCTTCACATTTGGACTATAGAAAGGTAAGAATCTCAGATTACAGGGATTCATGTGTCACAATAGAATTTCTTTTGCAACACAAGGATGTGCGTTAACTTTGCACACACCCCATAACTGACCATAAGAGGGACACGGAGAAGCTCAGTGTTAAACACCATGTTGTTTACCATAGACTGTATAAATGGACATGGCTAACCCGCTAGTCATGGGTGAAATGTTCATGGGCATGCTTCTCCATCGTCTCTGCTTCTAATTGACTTAACATGGGAAAATTGTCCCCCTCTCTCTGTAACTGCTGCAGTGGGCCTTGCCATTTTTGTCTTAAAATGTTCATATTAACCTGCACTACATGATCCTGGTGTTTTTATTTCGCTCTTTTGTACATAAATAAATTCCTATTTGTAGTATGGAAATGGCTCCAAAATTGCTCCTGTAACTGCTGCTCGTGATCTTAATTTGATCCTTGAATATAACTGCCAGCAGTTACAGAACTGGTGAAGTTACCTTAAAAAGTTGGTTTGGGAAATTCTCCTATAAGAGTCCCTGTGACTTTGCCTTTGTACTGCCCTACACGTGCATACTATGTCCTTGTTTAAAATTTGAAAAGACATCAGGTAGCCACCGTACTCCAGATCAGGTCTTGGTTTCATTTGTGATGTTGGACAAGATTTCTAACATTCCTGCCATGAAAGGGTCACCCCAAATGTCTGCCTTACTCTGTTCTACAAATTGCAGAGGTATTGTCTTATAGCAGTCAAATGTGTGTGTGACATTTTAAAGGTGCTCATTGTTGTGGTGTGCCAGCCTCTTTGTTGGATGGAGCCACATTCCTGCTACCCTCACAGGGGCTCTCTTAATTGGCTAGATGTGCAGGGGTCCATACTTGGGCCCTCAGTTTGTTTTAGGACTCAAAACCTCAGCAGGGGCCTTTTCTTTACCTGTCTGCCGGCTTTTGACAAGAAGACCTGTCAGTGCATCCCGGGCTCCATCAGTCACCCCATCACAAAACAGTCACTGTGTTTCTTCTGGCTTCGGGCTAAGTGCCATTTTTACCAATTTATTAATGGTAGGTTGTGTGTGTGGCCCCAAGCTGGTGTCTGTCCTGCCGAGCGTCCCAACAGGCTTATTTCAGAGTTAGTCCTGACTTGGTGTGTCACGCAGCAGAGACCCTTTTTAACGTTCAATGAGTCTGTGCCCCCCACTGCCCTCTGTGCCCCCCCACTGCCCTCCGTCTGATCATCTTCACAAATCTCTCCGTTTGTTCCAGGCTCAGCCATGAGGACATCTAATGAGACTGCGCTCTCTCACTCTGTTTACATGCACAGCTTAGCTGGGCTCCACTTATAGCTCTATTAGGCTGTTTAACAAGGTCAGCACCCTTCCCATATGTGCATGATCATGCCAGAGCTCAGATTTGTGTCAAAGTTTCTTTATGAATCTATTTAACATGACAAAAATGTTAGAACGCCCCCTGTCTTTAATAAAGCTGGAATATCATGTGAAATGGAAATAAGGAATATACTACCAACCCAATACATGTTAATGAGCACATGTAAAAGATGTTGATATTAAGGCTTCATTCACAAAATTCTAAAAATCTAAAAATTTAATTTAAGGCAGTATATTCTTTTAAAAAAGTGTTATTTAATTTTTTACTTGAACATTGTAAGAAAAATTGCAATTACTCATTATACATTTTAGCCGCTGATGCACCAACCCAAAGGCCAGTGGTTTGAAACATGCTTTGACCAGTTCATACTGTTGTTGTATCTTTGGGCAAGACACTTCACTCACCTCGCTTTGTATGAATATGTATAGTGAGCAGTTGTTGGTGACTGGAAGGGCCAATGGAGTTGATATCTGTTGGTCCATTGTAGGAAGGGACAGGGCAAATATCTTTAACATAATTTCCTCCTATTCTTCAGAGAGTTTTCGTTGCTTTTACTAATGTGCATCCACAAAATGACACAAGTATTTGATTTGGTAGTTGGATTATACACATTGACTGGCTGCACTTTATGTGGTGATAGTTACCTGGGATGAAGCCCACCTCCCAGCTGTTGAGGATGCTGTTGTGTCCACAACAACAATGGTCCACTGCCCCACACAGACTGAACCTCTTTGGACTGGCCTCATCATGAGAGCCTTGTGCTGATGAAGCTTTCACCCAATCAGGCGTCCTGTGGGGCGAGCTGCAGTGTAATAAGAAGACCCCCTGTGGTGCGGAGGGGGATTACCAGCTCCAGCCTAGGGATTGAGCTGCAGGGTAAAGGGGTTGGGCACCAGTTTGAACACATGGCAGCGCAGTCGCCAAGGCCAAAGAGCCTCTCTAAATGGTTGCTACGGGGCAGGTATCAAATGGTCCTGAGCTCTACACAGTCACGCTCATGAAGGGTATTAAATGGCAACAAAGAGACAGTTATTCTGCAATAATGTGCCCTGCTGACTGGAGGTTATTCTCCAATAATCAAGAGACTAACTGGACAAAGCTGTGATCACAAGGCCATGGTCCTGCACAGGGCCAGACTGTGAGTGACATGCCACATTAGACCAGGACTTGCTTCACACAAGGCTCACAAGTATTAGTGAGGGGAGGGGGTCCCTCATTCATTCTTGGCTTGGGAAAAAGGTTTATTTTAATACTGCAATATTTTGTATTGTGATGCTGTGAACATTTCAACTTTGGGCCGCAGTGCTGCACAGTTTTCATTCAGTTTTTTTTATTATAAGTTGTCATTCAAAAAGCAGCACTGCAGAAAAATGCATGCAAAATACAGTATTGGTATAGAATTTTTGGGTAATCACTCAGTCCTCCAGATAGGCCTCTTTCCAAAAAAAAAAAAAAAGAATTGAAAGAATGAAATGAAAAATAAAAAATATTACTTCTATTTTAGGAGAAAATTAATAATAAACATCTTAGTTTAGTTTGCACTAAACAGATCACCACCTACATGCACAATGTTTTTACAAAACAGGTACAGTGTGTAAAGTGATTTGAGCCAGTATCTAGATTGAGGCCCTTAAAATCAGATGAGCTGGAGACATACATTCTGTATGACACTGAACTGCCATCCAGTTAAACCACTGTTGTATTCCTAGGCTGGAGTGTGTGTGCAGCCTGGGCTCAGATTTTCGACGTGGAGCCGGGGTCCTGGACATCGTCTTTGAGACTCCCTTTCAGCTCCTGACATGTGGCTATGATACGTACATCCGCCTGTGGGACCTCCGTCTCAGCACACGGTAGGCCTAAGTTTATTTTCTTTTATTGTGTGTTTTATCTAAAAACACCTGGACTTGGAAGGATAATCAATTACACAAATTAAATAAAGCAATACAGAACAGAAGAAATTTTAATTTGGTTTTATTATTAATTTAGTTACGAATAGGGGGACCAGTGTTTATTAATGAATGTTAAAATAAATGTAAATATACCGTTGGGGTAATTTCCATCAGCAGAAATCATGGCAGGTTGATGTTACAGAAATGTACAAAGGCTATGTACAACTGAACAACAGGGATTGCAGCAAGTTAGTACAGACATGTAAAAAATTACAATTTGTGATAATACTATTTCAGTGTTTCTTTATATTTAAGGCCTCCGCCTTCAGAACCACTTGAATCCTCGCAAAACTACGGTCATCACACAGAATCTCCGTGCAACCCTGCTCCTCACTTTTCCTTGCCTAACGTTAACTGAAAGCATGACCGTGGCAAACTTGACCTTCACAGATGATCATCAGTAACATTGAAAATGAAAAGATATTTTCAAAAGAAATTGTGCAAATTATCAATTCTTTAAACACTATAACCATAACCACAATAACCATAAATATCACTGTTGACGGAGACAATAACAGCACATTTTTACTGGTCTGAAGAACCAGTGAAGTAAGACAAATTTGATGTGATTAGCGGATAGCTCTCGGGGGTTCGCTCAGTGCAGGTTAGCAAGGGGGTCCCTCTTAAGATATTAATAATTGATCTGGTCTAAATTAAACAGACTCAGAAGGCACAAGGTCAGACACAAATGTGAGGTGTTTGGTGTGTATTCGTGTATTATAGTTAATTACATGTTTGTTTTAATCTTATGCAAAATCTTCAATTTCTATTTGTTGCTCATTAGAACTATGGCTGCTCTAATTACTTGTAATTGTTTATGTCTCTTTAACAACTTTCCATATATAATTTCTGTTGTCCTTGCAAACATACATTGATGTTTCCACTGTTATGTACTATGTAAAATATTATATTCTAACTAATCGTAGACTTTGTGTTGTAATAGGCAACATTTGACCTTTACAATTGAAATTTGAATCTCCTTCTATTCTGTCTGGTTTTGGCCGTGTGTGCGTTTGTGTGTGTGTGCTCCGCTCCCCTGCCGTCTGCCTCAGTGGTACTCCCATTTCTTATTGATGAATCTGTGCTAATGGAGGATCAATGACAATATCTATAGTTTTATGTTTTAAAAAACACAGCTGGAAAAGATTTATTCATTGTGGGAATCTCAAGCATGTTCCTCAGTAAGATTTTGTGAATGTGAAAAGACCATTTTGGTTCAGCAAAGTCTGAAAGTCTTCATGACATTAAAAACTGAGGGTTTGTGTTTCTTATAAGTAACCTTTATCACAAATGTCTATAAACCTCTTAGTAAGGGTTTTAATAAACATTTTCTGCTAATAAAGGCTTTTTACTAAAGAAGCTTTTTACGCAAAAGTCATTTTTGCAGCTTGTCTAAATGCGCAAGTGTCAGTCCGAGGTGCAGACTAGGTCGTGGGATGAAATGAGGACTGAGAGAAGACTCAGATGGTGGTATTGTACATACATTTGTATGTGCTTAGTAAGACTTGTCTTGGCAGGAAGTGCGTGATGGAGTGGGAGGAGCCTCATGACAGTGCACTGTACTGCTTGCAGACTGATGGCAACCACATGATGGCCAGCGGCTCCTCGTACTATGGTGTGGTGCGTTTGTGGGACAAACGGCAAAGCCATTGTTTGCAGGTAAGTTCAGGATGGGAGGTGACCTCGTCAATTTGTTTTATACATTTATTTGACACTTTTGGGGTCACTTAGCTGTAAACAATCAATCTGTCTGTCATAACAGGTCCCTTTAAGGCTAACTTAACTTCTCTAAGCACTTCACAAGGAGCAGTTGTCACAGTGAGTGTGTGACCAGTGACTCTTGTGTGCAGGTGTATGAGCTGAGTGCCCAGCGCCCCAGCAGCCCAGTCTACTGCCTTCGCTTCAACAGCTCTCATCTGTTTGCTGCCCTGGCCACCAGCCTGCACTCCCTGGACTTTAGATTGAGTCCTGGCTTTAGCTCCTAGCAAAAAACTGTTTAAGGCGTGTTACTGGAGTCATGTCCCATCATTCAAAGGATCTGTGAAGTCACTGCTCTCAGTCCAAACCCCTGTGCAGTTACAGAAGATTTTGAGATCCTAAAAGGTCTAGATATGTTTTTATACTGACAAAAATGTGTTTTAATGAGATTTATAGTGTCAGCTATACATGCAGAGGAAATATGGATCAGAAGATGAAACACCGGAGGTTAGTGAGTTGGTTCTTCAGTAATTTACGTCACATGAGGAAGACACTCAGGAGCAGGAAAAAGAATGTAAGTGAATGAATGAAATTCACTTTTGTGAATTTAAAGATGTTTTTTTTTTACAGTGCTTTTCTTAGATTGTACAAGCAGTTGAATTTTTAATAATTATTTATGAATCTTTCAAGTAAAGAAGAATATCGTCACACATATTTTGAATATATTCATAAAGTTTATTACATGTGTGATCTTTTGACTTTAATTCTTTTTGCCTGTTTTCTTTTACTTGAGCAAATAGCCAGTCCAACTGTGGCAGTTGAACTGACACTACTCTCAGGCTGTTTTTGAGACGACCATTAGGAGGGCGATTTCATGATGTTATGCTTCCCTCTACTGGTTGTAAAGGGCAGACCACTGTTAATTGACCGAATCATAATGAGGAATGTAATTAATGACTCAAAAAATGTATTTGCAATTTTCTCAATAAAATATATACCAGGGCATAGGGCTTTAGATAACTTTTATCATTTAAAAATATCAAGACAAGTCTTCCAGTTTGTGATTTTAAAAAAAAGTATTCATTTTTTTTTTTTTAAAAAGCTGGTGTGCCTAACTGTAAAAAATGAATCCTTCGTCTCTTTGAAGTTTTAAAGAGCTTAGGGTCCTGACAGAGCCACATCATTTCTGTTTGGGTTTACTCACACACCTGCACCTGCACAGAGACCTAAGCCACACATGTCAGCTTCTAATCCAGCTCTTGCCGCACTGTTTCCTCTTCTACCCTACCAACATATTTATTTTAATACCCATTTTAATTAGTGCTTCCCCTTTTCACTTGGCTTAATAAAATGACCTCTATTCAGTAGACATGTTACAAAGTTGTAAAACATTTAAATTATTACATCATATTGTTCCAGTATGAATTCAAAATAATATCTTTCTATTGATTTTCAGTTTTGTTTTGTTTTTTTTGTTTCTTTTTTGTACAAATGCACAGGCAGTTAAATTGTGATGTTACAATAATTGTGAATAATCAGATTGTGGTTCTGTATGTGAAGTCTTTTGTTTTGTTTCCTTGTCTTCATATCTCCATAGTAACATTACCAATCACATTAACAGTAAGCCCCCACACGCACACAGACACACACAAAGACGCACATACACCTTTTGGGTTTACCTGTTTTATGGGATCTTGCATTGACTTGCATTAATTTCATGGAGATGGATCCTATAACTTTAACCAATGAATTAAATGTGTTTGTAGATTACTGATCGGTTGTCAGGTATTTGGGCTAGGACTGTTTGGACTATTTTAGTGTATCAGCTATCAGCCTTAAATTTCCAGCTCACTCCGATATTGTAGCACTTTAACACAAAGAGATAACTGTACTAAATGTGATATACTGCTCTCTTAAGTGTTTGTAGTGAAAAAGGGGCTGTGGGTGAGTTTTTGGTAAATTTAAATTACATAATTTGGATAAAATAATCTAAAGCGGCCCTATATATCAGCCTAAAATTATCGGCAAACCTCACTGACCATCTGTTTCTGTGGATTCTAAACAGTATTTGCAGTGGTCAAGAAAAAACCCATGTCAGTCGAGCTAATACAGATTTTATTCCCCACAATGTACTAAACAGCCACCCACACACCCTTAGCAGACAAGCACACAGCGGAGAGAGTGGCCTTTACACATCAGTCAGTGGATACCTGTGTCACTGTGGAGTCCGCTCTTAATCCTATTGTCCCTGGGATGGATTTGTCAGTGCGGACCTGTGGGCCTGTGGCTGGGAGTTGGAGAAAGGCCAGATTAAGGGGATTAGTGTGTATCCTCCTGACTTGTCAAACTGGGATGTAAGGGCCCATTGACTTTCTGAGCAGCCCTGAATAAGTGAAGGCAAAGTGGTGTCCATAGAAGAAGTCATGAAAGGTTTTGAACAAGCACAAATTCCAGCCAGAACAATGCATTTTCTTTTTGGCTGAATTTTCTGAAGCTACACAGGTCAGACCAGCCCCAGTGAGAGTGGCAAGTGGGAACAGAGGCCCCCGCGAAAATCTGTGCATTCACAGCAGGCTTTCTGGCTTTGTAGCAGCAAAATCATCACCAAAAAATCAGTGCACCAAAGTACCAAAATACCATATTTAAGTGTAAATTTTAAATATCTGTAGTTTACTTGAGTACATTTTATAGTGGATACTTTTTACTTTAATACATTTGAGAGCAGGTATTTGTACTTTCTACTGTAAAACATTTTTTTAACTGGACTGAAAAGTAAAAGTATTTTGTTCATTATTGTTTGAGACCTGCAGGAAAGGCTGAGGGGGTTATTTTTAACACATTCATAGTCTAAGCAAACAAAAATATACAAATAAAAACTGTTAGAAAAAAAACATGTATTCAGTTATTTCTGTTCACCACAAATCTTTAATAAAATCACTACATTTGAAGCTTTGTAGGATCTAAGCAAAAAACCTTTCACTCTTGAAGTACATTTTTAAACAGATGCTTTAATAGTTTTACTTAGGTAAAAGTATTGCATAAAAAGTTGTACTTGAATATTCTTTTGCTCGAATACTTCTACATAAGTTACAAAATTTAGTAATTCTTCTACCACTGCAGAGAACTAGACATGCTGTGAGGGAACAGTGATGGGAAGAATACTTTGAAAATGTGTTTAGTTACAGCACCTGCATTAAAATGTATTTTGTAACATATTCCGATAAATGGGCCATGGTTGGGAATTCCAGATGCCACAGTGGAGTGCCAGTGGCAAAAACTGACGACGTGTCCATAGGCAAGACACTTCACCCACATTGCCATGAAAGTGGTGTTTGTGTGAGTGATGGTGGTGGTTGGAGTGGCTGAAGGTGCAGATAGGCAGCCTTGCTTCTGTCAGTCTGCCCCAGGGCAGCTGTGGCTACAATAGTAGCTTACCACCACTGAGTTTTGAGTGAGTGAATGATCTGTAAAGCGCTTTGGGTATCTTGAAAGGTGCTATATAAATGCAATGCTTAATTAATTAATAACTCACCTGAAGCTCTATGTTGGTAAGCTCTCAGTATTTAGATACAGTTAAAGTATTTTTGACAGCATTTCATATTTTTGTAAATATTTGATTGGGTGGGAAATATTTGTATCACATCAAGCAAGTGGCAGTTTGTGAAGTTTGTGAATCTATGATATCAATAGGCTACACGAAATTCCATCTGAAATGCAGAGACTATTTATGAGCAAGGAACCCAACTTTTCAAACAGTTCAATCATTTATTTCACAAAATAATAGTGTTTGTAGTCATCAAATAACTCTGTAAATTAGAGAAGTGTTGAAATTAATTGCGATTTCTTTCTTTTGTATAATCAAACTGTAAAAGTATTCAGTACTTCAAATATATCTGTACACATTTCCATAGTCTTTATCAAAAAATACTTCTTTGACATTGTACAAAAAACAAAATGCATACAATCATAGAATAAAATGACATAGTTTCATCTCACTAAACAGAGAAAATAAACCATTTCAGAGATAACACAATACAATGGTACTTGCATTGTGCTCATTTAACTAATAGTTAACAGTTATTAATATAATTAGTTTCTTTGTGCAGCACTTTGTTACATATAAGTGCTTCAGAAATTGGAGGTGCACAATATTAAAATAAGTATGTATTGCTAGGTTTCAGATGATCACAGAATTTTATAGGCCAGTATTAATACAGTTGTAATACAGTGAGTTTTTGGGTTTAGTCAATAACTGAAAATATCAGGTTTAACAGGAAAATCTGGCTCTTGCCCCCATCTGGGAGTGTGACATCATCACATTGTAGAATCTGAAAATACAATAATAATGACTTCATAATGACTTAAAAAATAATCACTTAATCCAGGCTCTTATATCTGTCCCAGCATGGACGTGGCAGGGCGCTTACAAAGTACTTGGTGGGCTGGAGTACTACCCCAAATTTGCCTTCTAAATTGGGCAGGGGATCTCCAGGGCGCACAGACAGAGTGAAGCGCTGCAGCATGGTAGACAGGAACAGAAACAGCTCCATCTTGGCCAGAGCCTCACCCAGACACACCCTGAGACCTGCTCCGAAGGGCAAATAACTAGGAGAGGGAATGACCAGCCCACTGCCATCATTGTTCAAGAAGCGAGCTGTGAGCACAAAGACAAAAAGGTGAGTATACATGAGTGTGCTGGCGAATTTCAGATTCTACAATATGATGAGTTCAAGGGCCACTTTTCCCCCTGTGGATCAAGTTCGTCTAAGTCAAAAATAAATAAATAAATAAATAAATATTAAAAAAAAAAAAAAAAAAAAAAAATATATATATATATATATATATATATATATATATATATATATATATATATATATATATATATATATATATATATATATAAATATATATTATATATACTACAGTACTATGGGTTCAAAAGTCTGGATATTAACAATAATTATACCTAGCGTATCTTTTGCCTTCTACACCTAAGAATTAAGGGTGCACCATGCACCTTCAGGTGAAGGGTCCATTATCTTCTTGTCTCCATGAAGATGTCATTTGGCTGAAATTTTCCACAATATGACATTAAACTTGTCTATCTCCATGGAGACAAATGGGTACCTCCACACAAGGCCAGACCCTGCACCAGAAAAATGAAGTTGGTGAGCATTCTTACTGTACATACCAGGCTCAAAGCTGTCCGGGTTGGGCCATTCTTTTGGGTCATGATGCAGAGACCACAGGTTAACCACCACGCGAGTGCCTTTTGTCACACTGAAGTCTCCAATGCTGTGAAATCATGTCACATCATCTTTCATCAATTTTTTTGGTTTCTTATTTACAATTTAAAGCAATGTCTGTGATTTTTCAAGTCTTCTAGCCTTGCCAAATCATGAGTATCCTTAACTGATATTTTATTTTGACATAAAAAGTAGAGATTGATGGCTGAATTGATTGTGTATGTTTAAAATATTTGTATTTAAATTGTATGTGCTCTTAAGTAGTTAATTGTCTGAACACTAGATGTCACTCTATGAGAAGAAATTGAATCTTATAGAGCTAAAGTCCCTGCACCCACGTTTAGAATATTAAATAAAAGGTGTTCAAACATACAAAAAGTCCATACAAACATCTGTTACATGTATGCCTTTTTAAATCCTGTTGCTGATTTCAATTCATTGATATGATGAAGATGTAGATTGTGAATGACTAGTAAAAATATAAATGTGGTTGTTTCAACCTGGTGTTGCTGAGTGCCACATGTGGGATGAACAGAGGAGCCACAGGGCGAATGCGCAGCACCTCTCTGATGGTGGCCTCCAGGTACGGAAGGCTGCCCCTGTCCCTGAGCTGAGGGGCCCTCTCTAGCCCCACCCTGTGGTCCAGCTCCTCCTGAATCTGCTTCTGCACCTGCACACAGTGTATGGTCACAAACTACTTATACATTTATATTATATTCTTAAATACCTCCCATAGTAACCAAGTGACAACAGACCTGAGGATGGTGGATGAGGTAAGCCACAGCCCACTTGAGCACTGTAGTGGTGGTCTCCACTCCAGCCCCAAAAATGTCTCCCACTGTCATGAGCAAATGGTCATCAGTGAAGGCCCCTGGTCCCAGGCTCAGCTCTGTGGTGTTGTTATTTTCTGCACTCCGCTTGGCCCGGATCAGCGCATCCAGCAGGTCCCTCTGTACATGGTCACTGTAGTCTGCCTACCACAGATAAAATATCTTCTATTTTACTCCCAAGCAGTTCAGTCATTTATCCATGTCCTCAGAGATTCTGTGAGATTTTACAGTGAGTGGTCACTCACCTTGTGCTCGTCATATTTCTTCTGAAGGAGCTGGTCTCTGATAGACACACAATGTTTGAGGATATGCAGATCTTTGTTGGGAAACATCTGCAACACAAAATGTTACTATGTGGTCCCATCCAAACTAGATTTTTAAATATATTTGTTTTCTCTTTAAGATAGAACCGGTGTTTTCTTGAGTGAACATATCACCATTACTTTTAATTTCCTACTTCCAATAAAAATAATTTGCTTGTTATAGTTTTGTAATTTTAGACTGCTACAGGAAAATATGAGCTCAAATCAATCAATGTATTTCTTTCTTTCTTTCTTTCCAATTTCTTATAATAAACAGTATCAGTATACAAATGTTTTCACACCCATGTACATGTTTCAAGTTATATTGATGGGATTTTAATGGGGCTGGACTGGTGTGTTCTCTAGAGGGCACCAGAACTTCAAGGCTTTTGACTGGGAAAATGTTTTCATGTAGAAATACCTGTAACCAAGGGAAGATGTCCACCAGACTGTCTTTAGCCACAGTATCCACAATGCCCTGGCTATAGCGCAACATAGTTTCAAACTCAGGGTCCCCGCGGCTGTACGATGAGTGGAAACACAGGGTGCAGATGACGTTTGTGACAGCTCGAGTGAGTTCAGGAGAGAGGTCCAGAGACAGGCCAGCTGCAGACGCCTCTGACAGTAGCGTACAGAGGGACTGGGCCTCTGCGCAAACTGCACAAACACACACATAATATGAGCACATATAGGACACACATATAGCACTCACAGTGAGACTATATTTTAAACCAAACCACAAAGCATCCAACTCTGAAGACAGAAGGATGTAGTTTAGATAGACGTGAACATATTCAGCAACGTCCAACCAGGACCACATGAGGAGCTGAAGGAACTAAGCAATCTTAAAGACCTCCTGATATCATAGTGATGCAGAAGATAGTTCAATAGTCATTACTGTTCTAAATAAAATTAGATTTCTATCATGATTAAATTTTTTTATTAACCTTTATTTAACCAGTAATGTCCCATTGAGATTATTTACTTTTCAAGGGAGTACTGACAAAGACAGCAGTACAGATTAGTTAAAACATCAACATACATTTAAACAACCACAAGAAAAAAGTTCACTCACTGATGCTCTCGATGGAAGCTGAGCCTTCTCCAAACATACATAAAGCTCCGTGCACGATTTTTCTGTGGAATCTCCAGGTGTCACTATAGTCCCCAAATGCAATGTCCTTCCCATTTCTGGTCAGTACATCTGTGGTCACCTGTCAATAGTTAAGACATGCATTAAGCTTGAAACAGTAGATAATAATAATAATAAAAAAAAGAATGCAGTATGAATGAAATGAAATAAAAGTGAATGCAACTGTGTGGTAAACTGAATAAAATATTAATTCTTTGCATCAATTTAAATAAGAAACTATAAAAAAGAAAGTCTAAACCAAAGTGGAAAAAAAGAAACTTTAATATTTATGGTACCAAACAGACATAATTAGTACTAAGTCAGTAAATGAATATGATGTACTCACGGTTCGAGGTCTTCCAGCAAATACCTTGCCCTTCTTGAGCAGAACCTCCTTGGCGTGTGTGTGATGGTTGACCACAATGACCTTATTGGAGCCCAACTTCAGCGAGTATATGGCCCCATACTTGGCCTGCAGCTTCTTGAAGAGAATATGTGGAGGGTGTGTGCCTCCAAGGCTGAGTAGGCTGCCGATCAGTGGCAGAGATGGGAGCTGTGGAGGTTCCAGGGAAGTGCCTCGAGATGTCCAGAGCGCTAACAGTGCTGCCAGGCTCAAGAACACAATGGCAAGCAAACACCAGAAAAGAGTCATGGTACCAGTGTCACATCACAAAGCTGCACCCAGTTCTACACACTCTCTCTTTTATACACCTCCTTCAATGTCACATCCTTGAGTCAGAATATTTAAGGCTGAGCCAAATTAAACAAGATAAGCTTCACTGGATGTGTCGTGGACTTCATGAATCTCTCCAAAACAAAAAGCCTAGGAGTCAGTAAGCATTTGGCAGCAAACACAAAGAATCAAAAATGTTGAGTGTGTGCAACAGAATAACAAAAAAGAATAGAATAAACAACAACAAACATTGGCAGCAAACAAAGAAAGCAATAATTTTTCACAGCGGGTGAAGTAGGCTACTAAATGTTGTGATTTAAAGCTGAAATACCCAATTTTTTCAAGTCTATGCTTTTTCCCAGAACATGTATTATAAAAGTCCAGTGGAGTCTTCCGATAATTTATGTTATTAGGCTCTTTTTTCAGACCAAGAGTATGTTTTCATACCTAACCTCATACCTCAGAGACGTCACTTGACCTCTCTGAGGAAGACCGTCAGTGAGCAGTCGAAACTGTCAGGTACGAAAACAAAGTTTTGGTCTGAAAAAAGAACCTAATAACGTGTATGGTAAAAGCAGAACTTTGTGACTAAAATTAGACAGACACCATCTCCATATAATTAGAAATCATTTTATATATTGCAAACTTCTGCTATGAGCCATGTGAGTTATATGGCGCTTTGGGGTGAGGGCTGATTGGCTGCCCAACGGTGGTTCACTATGCTTCACATTTCTATCTGCTCTAAAGCTTTGCTGGTGGCCAAATAATTATTACATATGAATACTAGTGATGTGCCTAGAGGTTTGTGAGACCTAGGGACTAGTTAGATAGATTTTAAATACATAAGTAAAAGAGCCAATTTTACTTTGTATTTAAAATCTAATCTAACTAGTCCTTGAGTGCAGGCGCAAGCTTTATATTGTTAAATTTTTCAAAGGGCCCACATTATTTAAGATAATTTGTTCCATCAGATTTTGAATTTTAAATACAGCTGAATTTCTCACTTAGAATTTTTTAAATGTGAAAAAAATAACTGAATTATTTTTATTCAGAATTTTAGTTGCTTAAATTGTAAGTATACTTTTTCAGTATATTTCAAATTCAAAATAAAAATTTCAAGTTTTAAATATTCAGCACAGGTATTTTCAAGCCCTCAAATTCAAAAGTTAAAATTCAGAGTGTAAAATTCGCAGTAAAAAATTTCACAACAAAGATCCAAGATGCCAAGGCAGAAGCAACAGATCATAAATGAGTGAGGAGGATAGAGGTTATTTCCTACAGGCCTTTCTCATTTGTGGGAGGGGTTTACACTTAAGAAGTAAAAGAGATATGGTTTTGATGAGGCTAACCCTGTGTTCGATTATTCTTCTGAATCTGTTTTCTGAGGAAGTTGCTTAGTGACGCGTGACTCGCCCCCTTTTCCTGGGACAGTACGATTTGGACCTCTGTGGTGGAAAAAGTAGACCGAGCAAGGATTCCAAGTCAGAACCCAAGATGGCTACGCCCATTGTGACATGTAAGTATGAACTTTTTCCATTGTGTTTTGACACTGTGGTGGTTTAAATGACAATTTCAGTCACTGGTATTACTGCAATACCTTACTACGTTTGTATCACTGCCTGTGGGTATTGTAGTTGGTGTTGTGGGTGCACCAATGTTGAATAAATACTTGATTTAACTGGCGTTAATGTCCCTAAGGTTGTAACGGAAGAGAAATTATAGCATAAAATGAAGTGCAAATTTCAAAAATTAAATAAATTAAAGTGGCAGTATTTTCATAAGATGAGGGAATAGTCATAATCATAATCCACATAGTCCAACACGCAAAACAATAATACGCTTCAAGCTCGTGACATCAAATCCGAGGTCCAAGTGGGAGTCAGAAGATAATCTATCAGGGTAATTCTGACCAATCAGACTGGCTCACTACACCATTTCCTGCTTGTTACTAAATTAGACCGGATCACTTTGGATCGATTGCTTCGGCTTTGGCATCTTGGAATTTTCTTGTGAATTTTTTCACTGCAAATTTTACACTCTATTCAGCACAAATATATTCAAATACTTTGAAAATGTACACTTAAAATCTCAGCAACTAAAATTCAGAATAAAAATAATTCAAACATGTTTTTTCAGAGTTAAAACATTCAAAGGCACAAATTCAGCGGCATTTAAAATTCAAAATCCGATGAAACAAATTATCTTCCATAACACTTAAAACTACTGAGAAAAAAACAAAAAACAGAACAAAGAATAAAAACGAAATTCAAGAGAATTCCACTGGTGGCGCTAGTTCATTAACACACAGTTTGGTCGACCTTATGTTTTAACCGAAGAAGACGTTTGTTGACGTTTTGTCTTTTTGTCACTGCTCAGACCACGTAGAACCTGCGCATGATGGCCTCTGCTGATCCCCAGCCGCGGTTCGGTCAGTCTGTTAAAGGTTTACTGTCAGACAAAGTGGGCTCATGTAGCGGCGATGTGATGGCCCTGACCCGCCAGGTGCTCAAAGGCTCGCGCAGTCAGGAGGTGAGTGCGTGTGGGTCTGGTGCAGGGCCGTGGCGATAGTGTTTCATGTCGGTGGTATCGTTAGCAAGTTGTTTCCCTTTTTAGTTTTTGGTTGCTTTTGCATATGTTCATTCACATTAGGGAGGTAATATAAAGAATGTGATTTTATCATGTTTGGATTTTAATTTTGGAGACTCCCGTCTGAGAGCTCGATTCACACATATTCAATAATTGTAACACTGTGGAAATGGTGTGGTAGAAAAAAGGCATAGAACTGAATCTCTCTCAGACTTCTTTTAAGTGTACTGACTGCAGATGTTTTCTGTCTAGCTCCTGGGACAGGCAGCACGTAATATGGTAATTCAGGAGGATGCTATCCTGCACTCTGAAGATGTGAGTATCAGTGTAAAGGTCTTTTATACAAGAGGTCACATAACTATTTTCCTTTCTTTTGTTGTATTAATTGCCTATTTTCAATGTGTTTATCTGCAATGCGATTTTCTTCTCTCAGAGCCTAAGAAAAATGTCCATCATCACCACACATCTGCAATACCAGTAAGTATTATTCACATTCATAAATGTGTTTTCATAAAGGGTTTTCACTAAACGCACTACTTTGTGTTTTTCTCCCCCAGGCAAGAGGCAATCCAGAAAAAGTAAGTCTGAACACCACTGTCCTCTGTCAGCCAACATAGTGCTTTAATAAAGTGTCCGGTCTCTTCAGTGTGGAGCACTCCAAAAATCTGCAGGACCAACTGCGGCACCTGTTAAAGTGAGTCCCAACACTAAGAATCAAAGAAGCTCATCAAAAGTTGGACTTAAAGGACGCTGTTCTCAAAGAACTTTATATTGATGATGTGGTTATACATTTTGTTAAGGTTGTTTGGAACTGGCTAGTCTTCAGTTTCAATTAACTGATAAAATAAAGTAATCGAAGCAGTATAGTTAATGAAGACCAGAAGAACAGTGTTATCTGCAGCCTGAAGGCCTGGCAGCTGCCTGACCTCCAGCGTGTCCCTGAGGTCCCTGTGCTGTGAGCCATCACTGCACGTGCTTTACGTGACTGCTCTGAGCACGATGGAGGCTTTGAGAAATTCCACCCTCAGACTCTCATCAACTCATTGTCCTTGAGTCAAAATAATGTTCTTATGAAATCACTGTGTCTTATCACAAAGTCAAGGTCTCAGGATCCTATCCAGGGACAGACTGCTGCCTGCCTCTGTCTGATATACATTCAAACTGTACACAGATCAAATTCATTTTTATGTCAAAATGTTTTCTTTTTTATTTGACTTGTACTGTACTGTTGCACTATGGCAATAGGCACATGAGCTGAGACAGTACAAATAGAAAGGCACACTTAAAAAATTCAAGAAGACAATGATATTTTAAGCTTATTTATTCTCTTCACATCAGTCAGGAGTAAGACAGTTCAGCAGCACAAACAGTAACCGAAGCAGCTTAATGGCTAAAGGTTAGCATGATGCCCCTAGCTACATTCATTCAGTGATCTTATCAAGCACAATGCCAAGAGCAAAATCTAAGGACTGCAGACAGGGTGCAAAATTATTGCAACAACACATACGAGAAGTACAGTATTTTAAAGCAGTTATTTTCATCTAGGTTTTTGGCAAAAAATACAGACATTTCAAGACCTCTTTTACAGAAACAGTAGCGGCGACTGTGGCGAAATAGAGACATAGGTCAAGTAACAGATATGTACACGTACAATGCAATGTGCAAATAGTACAGCATGTGACATTCTCTGCATAACAATAGTTTTACTTTGCAAAGAGAGTAACATGGACCAATAAAAATAAATAGTGAAATTATTTAAAAATTCAAACAAAAATTGTAAAAAGGTTTGTTTGAAACAGAAATTAACTTCTTTGCCTTATTTTTAGACATAAAAAACTTACATGTAAAAGAAATATGAACTTACAGATGTGTGAAATGACACACTGTCACAGTAGATACAGTGGATATGGCACATAGAAACAGCACGAAAATACTGCACATGCCATTGCTGCCTCATATCAGGGCAAGAAAGTTCATTTTAATGGATGGTTATAGTTCAATAATAATGCTTTCAGCTATCTACTCTTCTTCTTCCTCGTCATCGTCTTCATCATGACAGTGTGTAATTTCTTGGGGTGCCGTGGGGAAGAAGTGCGGAGGCTGGATTTCACTGATGGAGCGGGTCAACTGGTGCCGCTTACACTCCTCACGTAGGTCCAACTCATGGCGGTTTCTTGTGGCGAGGGGAGACTCTGTGTCCATGATGCTGACGTGGGTGTGCTCCACTGTTGATTCGTGAGGCATCTGGGCGCGTGTCAAATTCAAAATAAGAGTTAAGGTCCTATATTCCACAAAATTGACTTTGAGCTTTGAGTCATGTTATAATGTTGTTGCCTCATCAAAAATATACCTGGAGGTGTGTTTTGTTTCCTTTACAAATGTTTGAGTAACCCTTGATTCACTAGCTAGGACCAAGCCAACAAGGATGTAAGAAGTTTATTGATAATGTACGAAGCGGGGTAGAGATGGCTGGGTTGAGACTATGGGTGGGGACTCCTTCTCAATCTACAATTGGCCCAGCCGGAACGGGACCCCCCTTGTAGGGGTCTTATGACTGAAAGACAAAATAGGGGATGGGAGGGTGGGGTCGAGTTAGCCGAGACAAACTGGGATGATGGGAAAGGCTGCTACATATAGGCTTCTGGGAAATTAGAGGCGTGGTTGGTGAGTTGTGGTTCAAAATCAAACATCAAAATGCTCTGTTCCACCTTATGAGGTCATGAAGCAGTAGTTTTCAAGTTAACAGCTAACTTTCACCTTTAGTTCAGTAGAAATGGGCAATTCCAGCCTAAATATGCAGGGCTTGTGTGTTCACCATGAATGAAAGTGAATAAAACAAAATACACCTCCAGGTATGTTTGTGATAAGGAAGCAACATTATGATATAGAAAACAGTGTAATATGGGGCTTTAAACTGCTTTGGACTTCCTTGAGCAGCGGTTCGCAAACCTATCACAACAAGAACTTATTTGGCTTTCTAAGTACCAGGACAATATCAGGATCAGTGAAATATTATGTTACCAATTTTTTATGAAAAATTATGCCAGTGTGCTCACCAATACGTGTGCTGCTCTGAACAGATAACTGAAGGGATAATACAGCAGATTGATGAAGGAGGCTGCATATAGATCGGCATAGCGCATAACTTGAGATGCAAATAGGGTCTGTCTGGATCCACTGCGAAACAGACTGCCCATCATTCCGTAGCACATGTCCATGTCATGAGTCACTTTCTGGTAAAGACAAAGATAAGACGTTACACAACATCTACTAATAAATAAAACTGGAGTTAAGATTTCATACCTTAATGCGTCTCTGAAGAGAGCTGATGTCTGGACGTTCATTACTGCTGCTATCCAAATGTCTATGCACATAAACACAATTAAGCTGTATGAATATGACATCTGAATCAATTTAAAAAACAAAGTACTGTGTCAGTACTGGGTGTAAGCCTGTCAGGATAACACATTTTTAACTGTGATGTATTGCTACAAATATGCTGTGATAAATTATAATATTTAAACTACTGTACTTTATATTTTATACTTTATAATATCGTGTGTGTGCGTGTGTATAAACCATTTTTAAATAGACAGTATCATTCAAGAGGCATGAGCTGCAGCAAATAACAGAATGTGATAATAATTTGCCATGGAAGTCACTCATTCTACCCTCTACAGCTCAAATGTAATTGTATTACAACAAAAATACCCTGTATCTCCACTTTTACAAAGAAAATGTACACACAAAATACATTGTACCAGCTTTCATATACTGAATGATAAGTCAATATATTAATTATCATGACAGGCCTAACTGGACATAACCGATCTCCATTGTGGAAAGACACTCACTTGTAAAGATCAGCGAGGAAGCAATCCAGAGATTGAAGCTCTTCAAATATAGCTGTTAAAAAGAAAGTGGCATCACCCCAGGCACATACAAAGGTACAAAATACAAAAAAGCAATGGTGTTCTTTGACTTACAGCTTTTGTCTGTCCAAACATGAAGCTCCTGGGCAAGCTCTGGGATCACCAGGAAGGTCCTCCAGCCTTGGCGCTTCTTAGATTTGAGAATATCACCGAAAATATGGTCTCCAATGTAAATAATGTCCTTTCCTTTGGCTCCCAGTAGGTCACACACAATGTCTGAGGAACCTGGATGATAAAAACAGCACTCAGATAAGAGTGGCCCCACTAGTCCTACTTTAGCTTTATTGACAGCTTAGTAACTTTTGAATTGTTTTTATCTCCAGGCTTTGTTTCATGGTCTTTGCATGCATAGCTTAATTACAAGCTTCTGTCCATCATAACCCAGAGCGCCCACTCGTTTTCACTTGACTTGACTTGATTTCCATTACTTATTCATGACCTAAAGTGAATTTTTCATGACTTTATGGCACTCTACATGTGTTGACAGTGATTATTATAAACATGACTTATGGTTTATATAATCATCTCTTGCTATTTGTACCGAGTGAAAACTGTTAATGTCACTTGACCATTTCAAGATTATGTTGAAATCTGTACCTCCAGAGTAGACAATGCCATGCTGCAGTGGCCCGGTGTATGTTCCAATCTTTAGACGACCTGAAGCCTTTTTGAAACATGAAACACACTCAGTTATATAAACTGTCCACGGAATGAATGGTCTAAAGTGGTTGTTTTGTTGAGCCACTCACTGTGTCCACTTGGCGCAGCACTGTCCCCTCTCCAAAAAACAAAGGTTTGCGAGCATCCACCAAGATCAAATCAAAATATGACTGCCAAGGCCTGTGTGGAGTCCCTGGCTGAGCAGGACAAAAATATGAATAAGATGCTTTTTTTTGTTCTGTTGTACATATACAGATTTGATTCAGGAATGTCAAATAAATATTAAAATATTTTATGATGGATAACACAGTCATCCACACGTTACAAACTGTAAGAGTGGAGCTCAACGGTGACTGTCCACCCCAGTTCTGGTACTAATTTCTATGGGAAAATGTATGGAAAATGTAAGTCCAGAACCAGAGCCAGTGGTCATTATTGAGCTCCATTTGAGTAAAGTGAAGTAACCCTCCAACAGATAAGCATTTGCCTAACCGATGGTCGCAATGTTTCCCGGTTTATTAACAATGTATCTTCTTCTGATACAAAGTGCTAAACAGAGCATTCCACAGTATGGCTTTTAACTTTAAACAAGCAATTACAGTAAGCGCTTTTCATATATTAATGTATTTTTTTATTTGATTTGTTTTGTCATGAGTATTCTTGAATATTTTAACTCTTGACCCAAACATACAGAAGCTATTTATTGCAGGTATTGAGTGTTAAGTTTATTAGCCCACTCATCAGGTCAAACTTACCTTTGGTCCGTGAGGAAAGTCAAAAAGATATGTCATAATTTTCTGTTAAAAAACAAAATCATAGAATAGCATTAAAGAACTGTACAGTGTTATGTAGCATTTGTAAACTGTTGAGTGTCCTACCTCTGTATATTTGTAATCACTGTTGGTGGCCAGAAAAACTTTAGCGACTTCATTCATGCGACTCAGGAGAAGAGGAAGCTTTGGCTTTGTGGTGTAAAAAAACATTTGTTACAAAAAGGAAAAGCTGACCTATTTATAATGTGTTTTAATAAGATTTATCAGAGTTTTGTGAATTTTTCAAAGCACAGACTGATTATTATGTTATTTTGGTTTCGGTATGCTTTTTATTGTGGCTAGAGGGGACTGTAATTTGCACTGTTTACAATCCTCTTGCGTCACAGGCATGTGAACTTACATCTTTGACCACATACTTCTCCAGGTTTTCAACAGTCTTCTCTTTTAACGATCCCTGTGACAAAACATGCCCATCTCAAGTGAATTTAGTGTCAGCAGTGAAGCAGAAAACCTTGAAAATAAGGGTTACCTTGAAATGAACCCAATCCACAGCGTCTCGAACATCCTGGAACATGCTCTTGAATGACATGAAAAGGTCTCCATCTTTAAAGCCAGTTTCACAGCTTAAAAAAATAACAAATAACAAAAAGAGTTAGAACATAACATGAACCCTTACACCTTTTCACAGTTAGGAATCAGTTTTTAAAAAGCCAATGTTCTCTGTGTCAGTTCATGGGCAAAAAATAACAAAGACATGGGATTACAATCAAAATATAGGGGCTTCATTTTTGTTTCATATGATTTTTGGTTAATTTTTAAGTTGGTTCCATTTAAAATTTGTAGGAACTATAATTTTGACTGAGTGTGGAGCACCTGGAGTATCTGGAGCAGTTGCTAAAGAAGTCCACCAAACAGGCAAAGAGGTAGGTCTCTGTAGGAAGATAACATTGGATATTACTGATAAATTATACAGTCCAGATTACAACAAAATGTGAACAACGCAACAAAACAAAAAAGTCCAATAATAACTGACCTATTCCAAAGCATGGTGCGACTTTCAGATGTGTTTTATTGTTGATATAATATGTGATTTTAAACTGACTGTAGCACTTTGAGATTTGTTTTTCAAATGTAAAGTGCAATATGAAAAAAAAGTATTATTATTCTTATTATCATTTTACCAGGGAGGTTGAAAAGTGTGTTGAGGATGTAGAAGCGATCAGTGTCTCCACGCTGTATGAACTTGTTAGGATACATCTCTCTGATGTCTGGTCTGCAAGGAACATTTTGGGACTGTCAGATTTGAATATTTGGATTGAAAAATGCATTGTGCAGCTTTTCTGGTGGAGGGTTCGCTACATCTTGTTTCCCTGGATATTTTCTTGCTTTACCTGAAGTGTTCCATGGCATGACATTAAACTTATCCAGCTAGCATTTAATCATTACTGGTGTTTCTATTGCTAAAAAAAAATCAATAATTCGTTCTGTGAATAGGGGCGACTCTCCACAGATCTGAACTGTAATGTAGTATAGTGCTGTAACTTGCAGGTCTCCCTTGTGATAGAAAGGTTTAGTCTGCTGTGGACATTCTAGAGAAAGCAATAATATTTCCATGGAGACAAGCAGGTGACGGACCCTCCACTAGAAATGTTACACAGTGCATCTTTAAGTATGATAGACATACAAATAATCACCTAGCTACAATTACCAATCCAACACTTTAATAACTTTAATGGGGCAACATTAGTTACATCTAGTCTTATTTGCAAGGAGTTTAAATAAAGAATGTAAAAAATATATATAAAGTACCCCCTTATGAAGTTGAATCCATGCACACAGACGAGGATATTGCCATAAGCATCCACTTTGAGCAGGTTTCCATAGTAGGTGTCAAAAACCAAGCCCCTGAAACACAGTGTAGTTAACATCATGCATGCAAAAATACTCATATGGTTGACTGAAGTCACTTCACATTCTCACCTGGTAGGAAAGGTAGGGTCATAGACAAAATTTAGTAATTCTTGAGGATATCCAATGGAGACAAGACGCTCCACAGTCAGGTCAAATCCCAATGACTCATACTCAGGGGACTTGTATACTGCACAGAAGACACATCCTTAGTTGTCAGTGAGTTAGGTATGTGCATAAAGCTGACTTATATGTCTCCTACTGGCTGAAAATATTTAAAGGTAATGTCCTCATCAAACACTGAAAGTATCTTATGAAATATCTTATTATTTAAAGGTCCTATATCACACAAAAGTGACTTGTGAGTTATTAATTATGTTAGAACGTTGTCATCTCATGAAAAATGTACCTGGAGTTGTGTTTTGTTTGAGTAACCGTTTCTTATTAGTCTGTCTATATCTCAAAATCTCAAAATGCTCTGTTCCACCTTGTGATGTCATGAAGTTTCATGTTCACATCTACCTTTTACCTTTTGTTCAGTAAAGATTGACATTTCCAAGACTGAAATTATCCAAATGATTCTAATGAACTTGTATGGAATTTAAAAACAGCACTTCCTGTATTCCTAAGACATCCTAAGATTCCTAAGACATCACAAGGTGGAACAAAATGTTTTCTGTTTGATAGAATAACTCAGCCTAAATATGCACAGTTTGTGTGTTAAACATGTGTGAATTAAACAGGTATGTTTTTGATGAGGAAACGACATTATAACATAGCTCAGAAAATAACATAATATGGGCCCTTTAAATAACCAATGCTCAGTATTGGAGACAAGTGTAAGGTCTGCAATAACTGAAAGTCTACATCACAACCAAACGTGTTACTGTTTCAAATTCAAGACTTGACTGAAGGTCACATGAAGTACCAGTGGAAGAAATTACATTTACAGTTAAAGTAACCTCACCTGCAAGAGTATAGTCCATGTCAAAACCAAAACACTTGATCTTCTCCATAGCCAAGCTTCTGTTCACAAACACTCTACAAACAGTCAACATAATGTCATAAAAAGGAAAACTGAAGTCACTTTTTCTACAATAAGATAAGATGTCATATCAAACCCATCTTCCAACCACACCAGTTTAAGGGATGAAATGAACATGTGAGATGTTTTATGACATGTCCATGTGTCAAAGGGTTCCATGGAGGTGAGGTTCGCACTCACAAACAAGTACATAAGCTTCAGTGACAACATAAACAAGAAAGGCTGGCATACCTCATGGCTGGATGAGCCAGCTCCCGTGGAAAGCTTTTTAACACAGAATACACAGCTGTTTACTACAACATATATTTTAGCAAATTGGGGCGATCAGGAAGGAAAGCCGTAATGAGTAACACTCTTTGGGCACATTGTTAATAGTATCATTTGCGGTACCTAAACACAAAGTAACATGTGGATTCTACAATGATAAAAGAGACATGTTGTGAGTCTGGTTTCCTGTTGCACCACACTTCCGGTTTCAGCATTATGACTTTCTATGACAAACAACTGAAACTAAGATTCTAAAACATTAACTTTGTCTTCTTTTGTACATTAACTCTTGGGGTTCTTTTTAAAGACAATACAGCAGAAGATGGCTTGCAGCTAGCAGGTGAAACATGTTAACAAGGCAAAAACATCTCCTACTGTATTGTATTTTAAAAGAACCCAAGAAGTTAATAGACCCAAGATCTCTACACTACCAAGCATTAAAACAATTCCATATTCATGTTAAGCTGTTCCAATTACCCCATGTGAGTATATGTCCAATGTATTTCTCAAAAGCTATTAAAAGGTATGAGGACATTGGGATTGTGTACTCTGACAATAAGATGGGCATCCTAATAGATATTTTTCTTATAAAACTGTTACGCTATTATACTATACATTTTCTATATACTCACCCCAAAATGCCATAGGTTTGGTCAGACATAGTAGAGAGGCAGAGATTGAAACTTTTAAATAAAATGTTCTAATTCACTAAGTAGAAGGCTATTTTTTAGCATACACTGAATATGCTTTTGGAGTAAGTATATTTTACATTTTATAAAGAGAATGCATCTACTGCATGTAATTTTCTATTGCAACAATTTAATGAGCAGTGTAAGCAGCTAAAATATGACATATGTCATTCTCTGGTGGGAAGGGGGGTGCAGGACAACCAAGAATGACAGGTGGTCGCCCTGTGTTGGTGTGATGTGGGCAGATTCAATCACCAAAGGAGGACAACAGACCTGTGGTGGGCCTCACGCGTATACTTCTTCAGAGCTACTCCATCCATGTTGGCAGGCAGGTCGGCGTAGTTCTGCAAGCGGTCGCTCCATGATGTGGTCATTGTTAAATAGTCTCTAGAAAATATGAGAAGTAGGAATGTGAGACAGTGCATAAGTGTTATTGTATCAGGGTGACAGGCGGTGGTGGTGCGTTTGGAAAGAGTATATAAGGCTTCTTGTTTCCTTAAATGAACATCTACAGGTCTAAATAATCATCGTGCCAAATATCTAGTTGTGTAGGTTATACCTTAACCTTAATTAAATATTCTTCCTTGATTCCTATCATGTAGGTAGACACACCATATTCAGGGACTAATTTAGGGTCAATTTAAAAATCAAACACACCTACAAAATAAAGTAATTCATCATTTACTACCAGTCAACATTGCCCATTGACTGACGTGACCAAACCATTGACGCACGAGGCACTCAGTCTAGTTCAGTGACCATTTGGAAGTATTTAAGATCTGACCAGTCATCCTCTATATGTGTGTAACGATACAAACACAGCCAAGAGTCGCTCTTATAATAGCAGTATTTTACTCACATGAATGCAGGCGCCTCGATGGAGCCGTACAATCTTCTGTGTGACTTGTGTGCGCTGTTTACTGTAGAGCAGACAGATGGATTCCTTGGGGACTCAGATTCTTGCTGAATCTACACATTTGCAAAACATTAGCCCACTGTAGCGACCTCTTCAGATCTGGAGTAATACAACATAACAAAAAGTTGATCTGTTATAGAGCTCTCTCTGAATTTAAGTTTAGAACTGTTTATAGATGTGTCGTTTTTAAATTATTAAAAACCTGCACCCAAAAGCATTTTGACAGCTCTTGGCCCCACATCACAGACCAACATCAGATAAAAATAGAGTACACCATACTTTAATATCATAGCATGACATCATATATTCGAAATGTCCAATTAGATTTCCTCCAAGTACAACTATGAATAGGCCTATATCCTAAAATAACACAGTGATAAAATAACACAAAGGGAATAGAGGCTCTTCTGAATAAAGCAGTCATTAAGCAATTGTTTCATAAGTTTAGTATGCTTACATTATGTAACAAAAATAACATAAAATGTTGTGCTACAAGTTTTAATGCAACAGACTAAATCAACTCCCTCTGTAGTAACTGGCATTACAAGTGTTATAACATATACTCCAAATGTTAAGATGTGAATTGAATAAGATAAACTCAAAATTCAACTTTTAAAAGACAGCAGCAAGTTCAGTTTGTCATGGGGCAGTCCTTAAAAGACATTGCACAGGGACTACACAAACTATTATGGGAAAAAAGTAAGTTTGACAGAAAAATCCAAAACAACAAAAAACACAAAATGTAGGGCCTGTAATGCAAAACCAGGATTTGTGGAGTAAAACCTGTACAGTTTAAATAACTTACATACAAATGTAATAACCCACAGACAGGCAGTCTTGGGCAAAGGTCTGAAGAGGGTTTTCCAAAACATCAATTCTTTTTTTTTCCCAATTCTGAATTTTTAACCCACATCACAGAACCTGTTCTAGTCGCAAAGAGCAAATCTGGAATGGCACATGCATTCCATAAAACAATCCAACCAGAGGACAATGATGTCTTAAGCAATTTACAATATTTCCATACACTTTAAAATGAACAAAAAATAAAAATAAAAAATACAAAGTGCAAACCCAACGTTTACAACCAAGTGTATACTGCCGCCTGTTCAAACAGGTCCTACACCTCTGTCACTTCAGCCTGTTCATGTGATGTGTGACGGCATTTCAAGTATTTACAGAAACACAATGTCCTCAGAAAGTTGCAAATACGGTAGTCACCACCTCCAGTGGTGTGAAAAGTAATAATTTTTCAAAAAAATAGATATCTTGTATCCATTTTATTTGACGGATGTATCATAAAAATACTAAGGTACGTGAAAGGTGGACACTCACTTTCAACACTCAAGGTTTGTCACAATGATGTCAGTCTAATATAAAAAGTGCAAATATTCACAAGGATAAAAAGTGGGTTAAGTGAAGAGCAACGTGGCAATGTATGTTATTGCGTTCACAAAGTCTGATGAGATTATTTGCATTCAGTGATAATGACTATGGCAAGGTCAGTCCTCCTGCTTCACGTGTGGGCAAGGACAGAGATTTAATGAAGTATAAACTATGAATACCACTGACACGCTACTCTTACTGTAGCTTGTATTGCCAAAGTAACCACTTTGAAAGTTAGCATTGTTTATGTTGCATATTCACTTGAAAAAGTGTTTGTTGTTTACACATCTTTCACAGAGTTCTTTGAAGGAATCACTCTTATTGTTATTATATAATTATATTTTGTCAAATGGCTTTTGACCAATCCCAAACAGATGAGTTTTCATAAGAGTGTGAGCTAATGGGTCATTTTGCATGCTGTGAGAGACTTTAGACGATCAGTGACCTAAAGCTTCGGGCAGTGAAGAGGCCATTGATGGAGTCCAACTTGACACAATTTTGGAAACGTCCGGCGAGTCCAAAAGCTTAGCTCTGTAATGAGAGCCTGATGAAGACAATATCAGTTTTCAGCAAGGGACAGGGCCAAAGCTGCCTGCAGAGCGGACTCTTCATCAATGCTATAATCCTGCAGACAGATACAAACAGAATCTTAATGGGCTCATATTACAAACACTATTACACAACAGGCTAAGCAAAGGAAACAAGGCACTTACAACAAAGGTGTCATAGGAGAACTTGTGTCTGTGAAGCAGATGCTGAAGAAAGTTTGAGCTTTTGTAAGTGGGATCTCCCCATGGCATCGCAGAGCACACAGGACAAACCTGTACACAACACATGTGAACAAATAATTATCCAAATCTTTAAGAATAGTTGTTCATTTGGTTAAGGTTCCTAAGGACCACAGTCTAAGGCAGGGGTCTCCAACGTTTTTCCTCTGGTACACTACCTTTACAAAATGAAAATGCTAGAGAGCTTCTATTTTTGGCGGTCACTAGAAACTGAGCATATATAACAGCCACAGCCTTAGAGGGGTACAGTTAGATGTCTATAAAACATCAAATATTATACATTTATTAGTGCACAAAGTTAAGTATCAAATTATTTACATTGGTGATAGGCATTTAATTAATCATATTTTAGTTATTTAGCACAGTACAAATATTTCAGAAATCCCTTAGCAAGCTACTTAGGGAAGGAGAGCTACTGGTTGGAGTCACCTGATCTAGATCTTGGAGAAGTACAGAATTAAACAACTAAAGAAATTAGATCATACAGGAAGTGTTGAACAAAAATGTTCAGACAGTAACTGGAGCACTGGGGTTTGGGTTTATGTGATTATTTTTCACATAATATTTAAAGAATATTTATTGTATTCAGTAATCAAAAACAATTCATCATAAATCATTACGTTATATTCACTGCATCTCTAGCTTTTAGTTGTTTGCTGCTATTTTTTTTTTAGGTTAGAATTCTAAGGTGGAATTGCAAATTGCAGATTGCAAATATGTTCTGGTATATATAATAGCTCTGTGATTACTGGGCCTATCCTCATGAAACTGTCATTCAAAAAGTGATATTGGCCCCTGCCCACCATCAGAAATTATGTCACCATCAAATTATAGAAAATGAACGTAACCTTTTCTGTAGAGAAAAAAACCCAAACTTTTCTGTACAGGTAAGAGTGAAATGTGATGTGTGCACCAGTTCCAAAGGTACCAGAGAAACTTTAAAACATTTGGAAAGTAGCAACAAACTGACTTTTTCCTTTATAAAATATGACTGCAGAGGAACAGAGGAGCTCATTCTCCAACAGGCTTCTTGAGCTCCACTCAAACAGTAAGTGACACAGGACGACATTCATACCATAGTCCATACAACTGTAGAACTCACCCTTGTGTAATTATAACCTTCTCCTGTCAATCATCACATCATCTTTCTTTTCCTTACTACCTCTTGTATATAGCTGATATATCTTTGTATTACTATATTTCTATTTTTAATTTTTACTTGTACGTATACATTTATATAATTATGCCTTATTTGACACCTGTCTCTTGCTATTTTTGCAACATATTTAGAAGATATTATTACCATTTACATTTTTGCTCTTTGTTATTATAATATATTGTGATGTGTGAGCTACAGTGTCCAAATAATTTCCCTTATGGAGCAACAAATTTGTCTAACTCCAAGTATGTAAGGAAGACATCAGAGGGATAACTAGGCTAGCTCTTACCACTTTGTTAGGGTCATTTCGATGGTTCTCCATACAGTGCTTGACCAACTCTTGCTGGTCCAAGTTCCTGGTTCCACAGAACGGACACACAAATGTAGAGCGGTTTGGAATATTGCTGTGAAAAGTGAACACATCACCAAATCAGTGTTAATTAATGGTTAGTATCATAGCAACAATATAACTATAGAAAGCAGTCACTTAAAAACTATTTGATTATTTGATTACATATGTGCGCATGGTTTACATACACTTATAGACTCTAGACTTCTGTTTTCGTGTATACTCACCTTGGTATGGGCTGTGAAGTGGGAAGAACAGGAACAAACTTGGGGCAGTTAGCAATCTGTTCTTGAACTTTAGAACACGATGCAATATGGGACTTCATCTTAACCAGAGCCACCTACAAACACACATTTTCTGTCATGTGAGTACATTTTAAGTCATGTACAGGGTGCAAAGCTATAATTACTACTCTTTGCACTATTGAATCCTCACCATGTTGTTTTGTCTGGTCAGATAACATGTTTGGGTAAAGACTATTTCATTGTCTGATGAACAAAAGTTGTGGATCTGCATCTAGGCAGTTATTATGGGAAGAAATAAGTCTGTTAACTAAAAAAATCAAAATCTTACATCCCTTTTGTTTCCAGTTCATGATATTATAGTTTATATGGTATTCTTGTAAGTCAGGGGCAGTACCTTCTTGCGGCAACCACGGCAAGGAGCTTTGAAGGAGGACAGTTGTTTCTCCACAACAGATGAACGCTCAACCTTCTTAGGGTCAAAGGGGACGCGACAGAGAGGACAGAGGGGAGAGGTGACTTGAAGGCAGGGCTGGAGGCACTCCGCACAGAAGCTGCACAAGAACACAATATATTTACCAAGTGGTAGGATTGCCATGATTTCAAAATGTTAATTTGTTCCTTGCAGCAAGAGTGACACTAGAAAAGATAAGATGCAAACAAACAGGTCAGGAAGGCTCTGAGTTTTGGGTAAAAAAAAAAGAAAGAAAAAAAGCTCGATTTATACTTTATTATACATTGGTTCAATGCAGCAGGTGTAAGCAAAAACATCTCATATATCTCCATAACAATGAGTGGAGATTTACAATGGTTACAAAAAGTGCAGGACAGAAATCAGGCCGTAATCAAGTGCAGCATATAATGTAGTAGCTTTCAATGTAAACGTGTTCACAATCGCGTACGCGTACTAAACAACAACACAAACTGAGGAGGATACGTACGTGTGAGCACAGTTAGCGATGCTGACAGGTTTGTGGTAGACTTCCAAGCAGATAGGACAGGAGAACTGACTCTCAATGTTCTCGACAGGAACCACTGACCCAGAGCACGGAGCCGGCCCGAGTCCTGGTCCCGGTCCAGGTCCGGGTCCGGGCTGAGGCTGCTGCGGACGGCGGAGCTGGCTGCTGGCGGAAACAAAGCTCCGAAACATCGCCATCACGAAGAAGCCAGAGTACAGTGAACCAAATGAGACCACTCTTCTTTCAGCTAAATGGCTAAAGCTAGGGCTTATTCCGCGCTGTCACTGTGACAGCAGTCGAGCTAACACTGTAGATGATGTTAAAATGAGTCTTCAAAAGCCACAGCATCACTTCACGTTAGCGAACAAAGACGCGCCAGAGAAGTAAACATCAGGCAGTGACTAGTCCGTGAATGCGCGCGGCGCTGAGAAAATCACCCTCTCATTATAAATCATATGGATGAACGACATACTTCGGCTTACCAACATCCAGATACATGTTATATCAGAGACGAAGGGTAGAAACAAATGAGCACGCACTGCCTTTTGGGCACTGTAGTCCGTCATCAATGTCAAAAAGCTACATTTTGCGTTAGAAAACTACAATCCCGGGGAACCAAGTGTTGGCTTGTGGCGTTTTGAGCTGTTTCCAGAGAAAATATTTTATTTTAAGGGGTAATATCACATAATTATAATAAAATATATATTTCATTATACTTTATTGTTTCTGATTAATAATTGAAAACACACATTTTATTACCAGACCGTGTGATTGTTGTCATCCGAATCTAAGGGTGGCGCTATAGCACATCCTCAACCTCCATAAGAAAAGAGTGGTGCTGTCATGGCCGTCAGCAGTGTGCTTTGACTAGGGTCCCATGCTAGATTTATTATAAAATCTGTGCTTTTGCGGTTTTTGTGTGTGTGTTTTATAACAGAGCTTGTTTGTCATGTGTCAGGTTGATCAAGACTACAGCGGAGACATTAGATCTGCGGATCCTCCAAGGTATGACCATAGACTGTACATCTGTGGGTATGACAAGGGATGGGAAAATGAAGCTTAGTGAACAAATGTGGCCTCATCACAAAACTTCACCAAAATGTGAAAACTGTGTGGGACGTAGAGGACAATGAAAACCATTTTACTGACATTGTAGTAATAATGATGGTACTTAGAACATCAGAATAAATACGGCGAGATTGTGATCTTTATATATTGTCCTAATATATATCCGTATCATCTTGTAGTATTTCAAAGGAGTGTGTGAAATGCAAGGTACACCCTGCAGCTGTTCTTCTCAGAGTTGGAGATCCCTATTGCAGGTAAGAACTGGTGGAAACCCTTATTTGGTGATGTAATTTTTATGTTGAGAGAGGACTAAATTGTTTCTTCTTTATTTCTAGGGGTTGTTTCCATGAATACTTCATTCACAAATTTAGAGCCATGCTGGGCAAAAACAGAATAATTTTTCCTGGGGAAAGGGTATGTTGTTTTGTACAGTGTAAAGGCATATGTTGTTTCAGTGCCTGAACAGTGTATATTTGATTTTGTCAGGTTCTCTTGGCTGTGTCAGGAGGCCCTTCATCATGCTCAATGCTTCATCAGGTTCAGCAGGTAATACTTGAATCAGGCTGTCATTTTCTTGTGATCAGTTCTGTTATATTTATTTATTATTAATATTTTCCAGGGCCTAAGTGTAAATGCTCACAAGAAGCTCAGGTTTACTCCAGGGATTGTTTTTATTGATGGTAAATGTTATATTCTAAGTTTAATTGTAGTAAATACAGTATAGTTGTAATTATAGACTGTATGTGTGTGTTCAGAGGGTGCTGTGACTGGGTGTTCCCTGGAGGATCGTCACAAGATAAACACTGACATAAAGGCTCTTTTTGAATCCACTGGATTTCCTTTTCACATTGTTCCTTTGGAACAGGTAAGTGGCTCCTTCTTGTATCTTTACAAATGCATATTTGTTGGTACTACAGCATCATTGATGTGTATTGTAGTTGACATTAGAAGACTCTGGAGCATTTCCTTTTCCATTCTAATGATGAATGGGCAATTACTTAACACAACATGCAGTGAAACACTAAAACCTTAAATAAATAATACCAAACAAAAAATATTTATTTACCTTATGTAAAATAAACCAAAAATCAATTAATGTGTTTTTCGTAGGTTTTAGAGCTACCCATATCAGTTTTACAGCAGCTCCACGTGTCCAAGTCAAACAGTGCAAGCTCATACAAAGTGGCTGTGGGGGAGTTTGATCAGAACAAGAGTTGTGCCATTCAGCCTTCGTGCCAGCAGAAGGAACCAGCTGATGTCAATAAAGCCCACACGCTCCAGCTGCAGCAACTCATGACTTCAGTGAAAACGCACACAGCCCGGGAGGAGCTGCTCAGCATGTTAAGGTCAGGACCAGTGTTTTTTCAGGTGAAAGTCAAATGTCTTCAGGTCAGTGGTGAGCTCCTGCCTCAAACAGAGGAATTTAAGTATCATAGGAATTTGTTCATAAATGATGGAAGGAGTGACAGTGAGATTGAGAGGTACAGGGCAATAATGTGGGTTCTTTATCAAAGTGCTGTGGTGAGGAAGGATCTGAGCAGAAAATGTCTGGAGTGGGGTACATATACATAAGTGAATAAGATGTTTGGACACTCATTTGTGAGGAATACAACTGTGTTTGTGAGTGTTTTTGTTTTTGCTGTGTCCACAGGCAGCACTTGTTGTTGCACATGGCTCGCACAGAGGGATACAGTAAACTGATGTTGGGGGACCATTGCACCAGACTGGCTGTTAAGTTGTTGAGCAGCATCTCTCTGGGCCGAGGGGCACAGGCAGCTCTTGACACGGTTGGGAGGATGTTCTTGTGTAACAGTAACGCTGAAATAACACTTTAAAACATTTAAAATGTCGGTGTTCAAACAGGGCTTTTCAGACTCTCGCTACGGTGATGTCATAGCAGTGAGGCCAATGAGGGACTACTCGGCAAAGGAAATCGCTTACTACAATCACTTATTTAATGTTCCCTATGTGTTCATCTCAGGCCTAGACTCTAAGGTACAGTTTAAACACAGCAACTGACATATCAAGTTATCGATAATTAAAATAAAAATTTTACAGACCTCAGACAAGGACAGTATCCAGAGACTAACGGAGAGTTTTGTGACCAAACTTCAGACAGATTTTCCCTCCACTGTCAGTACCATCTACAGGTCAGCACAAAATTCACACAATTGCTCTTATGTATGCCTCAATCTGCAATAATGTTATTTTGTTTATGGTACTAAACAAAGTATGGGATCAAACCTAGATTTGATACATTTTGTTGCATTTATCTTATTATCTTAAAATGTCTGCCAAAATTGGAGGTTTAATATATTGCTAATATATACCCAAAGGGTCAGTTCCAGTGCACAATAATCTATGAACTGTTGTAACAGGACCAGTGAGAAGCTGCAGACGGCCTGTATGGCTCCCTCTGCTGTGGAGGACAGTCCCAGGTGTGTGCTGTGTCTGTGTGCCCTGGACACTTCTGCAGGTGAGGCCTCTGTACAACTGGTCTGGAATGTGTTTGGGGGCGGTAAACACTGGACTTACAGTTAACCCTCATTTTCAGTATTAATCAGTATCTAGAGCAAAAAAGCAGTATAATAATGTTGGTGAATTCAATTTTTTTTAATGGTAAACAGAACCTAAGTATCAGTAACAGTGGTTAACAGTACATTTACTCTATATGACCCTAATGGTGTAGCTTGTTTTTCCTTTCCTTTCCCTTTAGAAAATGCTTCAGCTTTCCAAGCAACATTGATATCACAGCAGCTTTCACAGAACAAACGCCCAGATGACTGCCTAACAACTCTCAAATATGGTACAGTTCAGTTCTGTTTATCTGAATTTTAAAATCATGCCAGGTATTGAGAAAAATATTGAATGAAGCCTATGAATAAACAGGAATTAAATTGCTGACCCCTAGTGGTAGTTTTAGTCTGGTCATGTGTGGAGAACATAAAGTCAGCTAAAAGAAGTAACAATAAGGCCTGTTTTGGGTCTGTGCAGATACAAACAAGTCTGGTGCAGATTGCTCTGGTCAATGTCATGGAGATGGAAGCTGCTGCTCATCTTTGAGGTAATAGTAGCTGTATAAGTAAAGTGTATAGGAAGTATAATTAAAGTGAAGACCTTTAATTTGTAAATAATTGTACATTAAATGCATTTGCGTTACTGCAGCAAATTGGAGGCAGTGGAGCTCAAGACCCTACTGTGTTACAGTTGTCAGTTAACTATCAAAGATATGGTAAGTGGAAAAGGATCTGTAACTGTTTTTTAGGGGGTTGAGTATAGATCAAGGCAGTATTTTGCTGCTCGTTAGCATTTTAGTTATTCTCCTTAACCTTAAAATCCTTTCTCACCTGCAGTCATCATTGGAACATCTGCCTAGTTACATTATCTCAGGTGCCCAGAGGAGATTGCGAAGGTAAGCCCTAACTGGAACAAAACTCTCCACTGTTGCCTTGAAAATAAAACTGACATTTGTCTGTAGGTCTCAGATGAGAGCAGAGATCAGCAATTTCTTACTGGATGAAACGGCATGAACAAATGTCAACTATGCAAGAGTGTTCATGTGTTGCATTATTTAGGACTATAATATATGAAAGAATAAATCTGGTTATATTTTTATGGTAATAAAAATTCAGTCAGTCACAATGTGCCATTTTTATTAAAGACAAGTTAAATGTTCACACATAAGTATTTACAAGATTAAATTGCACAATAGAATAAGATGCAATGTCAGTATTAATTATTTACATTTTGTTGATACTGGCAGCAGGTAGAGTGGATTTGTCCAAGTCGTCAAAATATGGGTGCGTCATGGCTTCCCGAGCAGAAATCCTCTTTGGGGGGTTGTAGATCAGCATTTTCTGGGGCAAACATTGTGTAGTCAATAGAGTAAATCAGTAATTAAAGACTAGTGCAAATAGTTTTCCAAACAATGCAGTTCAAATTTACATTGGCTATTCTTTTAATAAACAAAACTTTCTTAAATTGTGTGCCAAAGAACAGCTATCATTCTCTGGCTGCAACGCCGCCATGTATTGCTGTAATAAAGTAAACAGAAAATCTGCTAAATTAAACATTTACTGAATGTGATCACTTTATTTCTGTCTTTGAATGCTAGTTCAGAGCCAGTTTTATTGTTTTAACAATTAATGTGGTACTGTAGTACCTCAATACATGCATACTTTCTACACAGTTTGAAATTCACTTCAGAGCACTATGAATTAGTGGTGAGCTAATTTGATTAAATACAGGTTTTTGCATTTGTCTGCAGTATACACACACTACAATCCACAATCAGAGTGCAGAAGAAAAAACAGCCTTAATAGATAAGATGATCAACTGAATTATTCTAATAAAATAAACAGATTATTCCTTATCTCTATTGCACAATATAGGAAAGATGAAACATGTCAAGGTAATTCTATATCAAGGTAAGTCTATTGTCTGATACTACTAAACTAAACTAAGAAATCAACCTGCTGACACATTGTCCATTGTGCCTTGCTTGCTGCTCTACTTAAATGAGAGCAGTGTGTTACAAATGGATACTGCAATATTATGTGTACAACTTGCCAACCTAGTTATGCAAGTAGACTCGTGGTAAGTTAATGGTATTTTTAATACTTACGGAGAGCAGGTCTAAACCATTCTTGTCCAGGTTTTTCACCATTGATGCTAGGCTGCCTGGTTTCCATTTGGGAAATGTATTCTTGTAGTCGGGTAGGCTCTCCACTTCTGGCCACACTTCATTGTTGGGGGTCCCTAAAGTTCTGGAAAAAACCCGAAAACAAAACAGACATCAGTGTTAATAGTATGTTTGTGGTCAGTAGTTTCACTTGGTACTAAACATTGGCCTTTAGTACCTGAAGATCCTGAAGAGCTGGTCTATTTCAGAGTCTCCATGGAAGAGAGGTTTCTTTGTTGCAAGTTCTGCAAAAATGGTGCCTGTGCTCCACACATCCACAGGGGTCGAGTATCGAGCAGACCCCAGGAGAACCTCTGGAGCCCTGTACCATAGTGTCACCACCTGTTAAAACAAATGGTAACTACAGAGCATTTTCTTTTCACAAATAAGCATAGTGCCAGAGCCTTTCCAACCTCATGTGTGTAAACTCTAACAGGAACCCCAAAAGCCCGTGCCAAACCAAAGTCGGCCAGTTTAATAACTCCCTTGTTGTCAATGAGGAGGTTCTGTGGTTTTAGGTCCCTGTGAAGAACCCGTCGACAGTGACAAAAGTAGATTCCCTCTAGAATCTGGTAAAGGTAACTCTGTTGCAAAAAACAGAACACAGGGACAAGACCAGATTAACAAAAAGTAAAACAGGTAGGGCTATTAATTGGCTTCAAATTTGATGTATAACCTCCTGAAAATTCAGAATAAACCAAACTTAAATGTTAGACCAAATAGTTGAGTAAAACCATACCTTAACAAGCATGCAGTCCATGTATTGTCCTGATGGTATAGAGTCAAGGTACTTCTTTAAGTCCATAGATAGGAATTCAAAGATGAGGTAGAGACGAGACTCTTGCATTAGAACATCAAGCAGCCTGTGAACAGTTAACATGATTTTGTTTGCTTGAGTGAATCTGGCTCGAACTCTGCTGCATTTATTGATACCCAGTATCAAATTTTAAAAGTAAAATATCTTCAGATACACAATCCATTTCTTTTAATTTGAATTGTCTATTTTCATTCAGTTCATATAATTTTCTGTGAATAACTTAAACTTTATCTTGGTTTTGGATCCCACAGACAGTTCTCTCCAATGATAATGATATTAATGTTGCTTCACATACCTGACTACATTAGGGTGCTTCAGCTCCTGCAGAAGGGCCACCTCTCTGACAGCAGTGCTGGGGACCCCTTCATCCTCACTCTCCAGGCGGATCTTCTTCATGGCCACAACTTGTCCGGTGGCTTTGTTTTTACCCTTGTATACCACTCCATATGTACCTGTGGAAACCCAGGACTTTTCAACTGAGGCCGATCTAAAAGGCTGCATATTTTCTCTTTTTGAGGCAACTGAATATGTGCCTTGTTCTTAAAGCGGTTCAAAATATCTGGACAGAAATTATAAAATAGACTACTGTCATGGGAATATTCACTTGTTCAAGTAATGTTACACAAATGCACACCCAAGAAGTGTTCCACAAAGTACACAATGATTTAACTAGACATACCTTCACCAATTTTTTCTATCTTTAAGTAATTCTCCATCGTTGTCTGAAACAAACAAACAAAAAAGATCTTTTTTATGTACAGTAAAACGGCGAGAGCAAAAGCACATAACGATCTGTGATCACTACGTTAGCCTAACGCCTGCTAACATATGAGCAATGGTCTTTTACCGATAGAAAACAACTCCATTTATCTGCTAATGCAAAGACTACAGACTAATTGTTTACTGAAGCTTGTTCAATAGCTGTAAGTACACTTACGGAAAGACCAAACAGCCCAGTCGTATTTGTAGAGATCTGTCGGGTGGATCGGAGCTTGACTGTGGGTCTGTCACAGCCACTGAACAATGTTACTGAACGTTTTGAAAGAACCGCATTACTGCAGTGGTTCAAAACGGACCAATCAGCAGCCTCTATGTTTTTAAAATCCTCCAATCAGAGCGCAGGATATAGTCACGTGAACTGAGCGGGAGAAAGAGCGCCGGACATTTTTTTTTTTTTAAACTTACATGTTAAAATACGTGATTGTTACTGTCAATAAACGATACACTTAGAAAAGGTACAGCCATAAACTGTAAAAAAAACACACGCCCACAGTCCATACAGCCTAACACAACATTCCTCATGATATCGGAAAGCTAATCCTTTTAATCTCGCAAACGTGAAACATCAAACGATTCCTCGTTGCTTTTGTAAATTTGCTTATCTATCCACATGATTCCTCGTGACGCATTCACAGATTTTAATGAAGTTGACCCTGTTTTCTCCTCCGCATTCACTGGTCTACATCTATGATCTACATCATGTGACAAATAAAAATATACATATTAATTAAAGGCAAGTAAAACGTGCAAACAACTATACAAGCAACACAGATATAAGCAACACAGTAGCAGATACAGTAAGTATGTTGCGGCATGATTGCAGTAAAGTGCGCCCTCTGCTGCCTGTATAAACAACAACAAAAAAGCATCTGGGCCTCTTGACGAGGAAACCCGCCTGTGGTTCTTGTTAATAAATAATCTCCCGTTTAAGATAACATTTGTTTTTCACTTTGCATAGGCTAATATGTTCAAAAGACAAAGACACTCACTGACAGACAGGTAGATTCACTTGGCTGTATTATAGTTATTGCATCTATATATATAAAGGTTATTTTTATTGTTAGAAAGCTTTTTAGATTTTAATCTAGTTGTTTAGAAATTACGCAAAGCAGGGCAGAAATTAAGCAGCGCAGTAGAGGCTTTATTATATTACACATTACACATTTACAGCGAAAATAGCAACAGTAGTGCACAGTAGTTGTAATACAGCAGATGTAACATGGTGTGATAGATTATACTGTGTGTTATACTGTGTGTGTGTGTGTGTGTTTACATTGGTTAAAATCACACATATACCATACCCATATACACAATTCACACAATTCAAACTTTAAAAGTCAAAGAACGATTGTCTGACCTTTGGGACAACTGTATGCCTATGAGATTTTAATACTGAAATTATAGCAGCTAGGGATCCTATATGTAAAAAAAAAAAAAAAAAAAAAAAAAAAAAAAAAAAAATATATATATATATATATATATATATATATATATATATATATATATATATATATATATATATATATATATATATATATATATATATATATAAAACCACAGGAAGGTGTAGCTCTGTTACAAAAAAAAGAATAATGAAATAAAGTCAGATTTCTACACCACACAACAATTAGACATAACAATCAGACATTGTTTGTCCTTTAGTTAAAAGTGCATTAAGGCTAACTGCACATCATTAGAACAGTGGTTCTCAGCCTGGGTTCATCCTGGTCAGGTCGGGAAATGATTTCAGGGTGTGCCTGGATGACATGGGGAAAAATTGACGATGACTGCAATTAGTCTACAGTAAAATTTGCAGTGGTAATTTAAATGTTCATATTAGTTGGCCTGCTATATTATTTTATCTAAGCCTATGTCCTGAATGTAAAATCAGACATTAGCCTTCAGTTGTTATTATGGGGGTTGCGAAAGAAAAAGGCTGAGAACCACTGCCCTAAACAATAGAATGATTTCAATAGTTTTAATAGCCATTAGAGATTTTTGTTGTAAAGCATAGCAACATATAGAAGTATAGCTTTGTGGGGAAAAAAACACAATCTACTATATCATTCATTCTTCTTTTCAAGAATGTTGAGAACCCCTATGTTTCCACAGTCCTTTGTCTGGTTTAATCTAATGGTATGTTCACACTTGCACAAAATTGATATTTGGAATTAAATGAGGATTAAATACAGAATTTACTGGGGAAACAGCCAGAATCAAACCAGGACTACTGTAGAACAAGGCTAAACTGGCTGCAACCAGGGCCAAACTAAGTGTGAACCTTTAAAGCAACCATCCGGGAGTTTGGTAGATTGTTTTTTCAACAGTAAATGGCAGATGTAAAGCCTATTCCCCCTCACCTGGCTTTTGCCAAAGCTCACCTATGTTCTCTGATCTTCTTGTAGATGTAGATAGCATCTAGTGGTGACATGTGAGAAAACAATGGCATGTCGGCCAACCTAATAACAGATGGTACATTAAAAGCATGATTGAAACCGTTTGAGTCAGGGTAATTTTTTAAAACTGGGAAACACCTCTCAAACTTGACTTCAAGGCCAATACAGGATTGTACTCTTGTTAAAGGAAATTGTAAAATGTAAGAGATTCAAATAATTTTACTCAGCATAAATGTCTCTAATGTGGACTTAGTTTCCAGTTTCATCAGTTCAGCTGGCTGCATACCTGTGATCCATGATACAGATAATTATGGTCTGCTCATTACAGATGAGATGAAGTGGAAAAACACAGCTTCAGGGTGTAGGGATTAGAGCCATCTGAAACACATTTTTTAATAATTACATGGTAATAAAGTCTGACTACTATACAAGTTGTGTGTGTGTGTGTGGCTCACTGGGAATCCTGATCTGGTAATGGTTGAGCACGGTAAGCGCCTCCACTGCATCAGTTTTACTCTCAAATTCCAACAGTCCTGATATGGTTTTAGAAGAAGCTGAAACAGAGAAACTCATTTAGGAAAATGCAAATTTGTTCACATTTATTTGAACAAATCTACAACCCTATAATTTTACGCTTATGTGACACTTACGTTTGGCATCAAAGACCTTGAATTTAACAAAGCATGGCACACTGTGCTCGGTACAGAGCTGGAATAGCAATAATAGAGGAGGATTGTAACAACTTATTACACTGCAACAGTAACAGCTCTGTCTACAGAAAAATGTGTCCCAACTAAACTACATCAAGACTGCGGTGCAGACCTTGAGTAGGTAGTCCTGGGAGATGCATGGGGGAACGTTGTAGTAGTGCAGCACAGCAGACGGAGGCTGGATGATGTTCTTGGAGGCCTGTCCAACACTGCTGAAGCGATTGTTTCGAGTCATTGCAAAATCCTTGTAGCTGCTGCTGTTGTCCTCCAGTTCAAAGACCTGACTCGGGATAACTGCATGCTGCTTTGACACACTGTTCACAACCATATTATACCATATTAGCTTACCCAATCTTTTCAGATAAATTTACAAAAAGTAAAGTGTATTACCAGACATTGAGTCTTTTGCCAAACACTTTAATGCTATTAAGATGAGTGATGGCTCTGTCGACAGCATACTCATCTCCCATCTCAACCAGTGCAGTCCCAGGAACACTCTTCATAAACTTCACCTACAGTGATAATACACACAGAACATGTTCACTTCAAATCAAGGGGTGGGAAATATGACAATATCATGATTTGCATTCATGCAGTTAGTATGTTGTGCCAGAATTCGCACTTTGCTATGATTGGTTTAATCCACCTGAGCATATTAGATGCTGATAGATAGGTATGAGTGGGAAAAGGTGTCTATGTTGAACATGAAGCTGCATTTTAAAAGCTAAATCATGATGATATAATATAATCAGATTTTATTTTTGCCCTAAGCACAATAGCCTTTAAAAAGTTGGTTAGACTATCCAATAATATTCACATGGTAATTGTAAGATAATACTGAAATCCACACTTACCTTTTCAATGTTTCCATAAAGGCAGAAGAGGTTAAAGATACGCGTACAGTTCATTTTAGTCGGATGCAATCCGCTCACCATGGCAACTGAACTGGGGGGCTGACCAGAGAACAGGCTGGATGTCTGAGGCAGAGGGTAAGACACCATATCTGGAACATCCACTGGAGTGAGCTTGTATCTACCATTACTGGGCAGAGGCAACAGAGAGCCTAGTGGACCTGCACAAATAGACTTTTCACAATCATAGGTTCATATAACACAGGTAAGAATTCAAATGTACCATTTTTACCATAACTACTATCACTGTAGGATAACGGGTGTTCTCCTAATATGGCCTGTCGTTGTCGACCCTTTCCACGTTCTGTAAAACACAATAGCAAGTCAGTAAACATAGAATTAGACCTACACTTAAGGGAGTCTGTCAAAAGTAGTTGAGTAGAGATTAATTTCAAGCAGAATGTATTCCCCAAAACTCTCTCATCATAAGGTCACAGTTTCCCTGTCAGGGGCCAGTAACACTGGAATTGAAATGATTATAATTTTAGAATCCAGGAGTAAAAGCAATAGCAGGCATGAATGTGCACCGTTTTATCTTTGGGTGGGTTGGCATTTATAGCATTAATCTTTACTATTTGTATTTGTCATACACATGGATTAGTTTCGCTCAATCTTCAAACTTTTAATGTTGGTAATAATTTTCTCCTCTCCTTTTCATATGAGATCATTTGTTAGGATTCCCATACTTGTAGTTGTTTTCAAAAAGGAATACTATACTCCATTCAATCCTCACTAGGGATGTCGAGGGACAAAAACAGTGCTGGATAGATAAACCGTCACCTGGATTATGGCATGTAAAGTGTCAATACACACTCACTATTGGGATTTTGACTGTCCTCTGGTGGCCCAGAGTGGGACATGTGTGCTTTGCCTTTTATCAACATATGCCCCCTGTTTGTTCCATTAAACATAAGTAAATTAAAAAGACTGAAAGTGTTTTAGAAGTCCAAAAAAAATTATGTTATGATAGAAGTTAAACAAAAATAAAACGGAACATAAAAACTGCCAGTACATACAGATAACCAAAAGGGGACTGTTTTGCTTCATCTCAGTTTAGGAAGTAGTGGAATAATTACTTTGTGATGCTCACCTGTGTGTGTCAAAAATAAAATATAATGCGTAATACTGTCAGATTTATACTGTAAAAAATGTCGATGGCGGTGGCAACAAAGAAGCAGACATTACCTGTAACACTTTTGACGCATACTCCACTGAACTGCAGCCATTTTTCAGCTGCTGTCACTCAAACTGCGTCCTGACAAAGTGGAGACCGAGGAGTCGTTAAAACGGATTTTACTTGTAAGCGTGTTGCAGAGTTAAATTTGATATTTTGAAACTGCATACAAAACGTGCCACCTAATAGACTACAGAGGCCCAGGGTGTTGGGGCAGTTGCGAGTGGGACAGTCTGAGGCAGGATCTTGTCTGTAAAGCTTGGGACAGCAGGGGTGAACGCAGGCTGCTGGTGAGTGGTTTGGGGCTAACTGATGAGAGTGTTTGATTGGAGAAGGACAGAGGTGCAGGAGTCTGGGTTTGACACAACATTGTTCTATATCCACAAAGACTTACTTACCTCTTCTGACCAGGTAGGGTTTTGTGTAATCCCAGCTCTCATTGTCATTCTTGATTACATTCAAACGTGTTGGCTGGGACACAAAATAACAAATGAAAAAGCAGAAATGGAAATTATTTCAGCAGAGGTGAGGTTATTTAGAACATTTATGTAAACAACTATTTGATGAAGACAAGAGTAGGCCTGTCATTTTGAAGTGTGATATATTGGTGAAGTGAATAGAGAGAATAAACAATAATGCTGAAACCAAACTATAACACTGCAGTACCTTAAATCTATCATTGTTAAATATTGTTTAGCTGCTCCAAATAAACAGTCGAAAGCAATGCTTGAGTAATTAGTTTATAATATTATTAGTTAAAGTCATATTATTATATATTATATAATATATTTAGTTCACAATTCAACCTTCAGTTCAATTCTTATCATATTGCAGAAAAAAAGAGAAGGCACACACAATAAATACTGTCCCACCAAAATTATTGTTCCATCTGTCATATACTGAACCATAAGTCAATATAGTAATTATTGTGACAGGCCTAGACAAGAGAATTCCCACAGCACTGCAAACTGATTTATTTCTGTAACAGCTACCTCTACTCACCCGTGCATACTCAATCTTGAGGGTACAACAGCCTGCATATATATCTGCTCCATTCAGTGCTGCCTTAACTTTCTGTGCACACTGTACCGACTCAAACCTGAAATGTTGCAGTCAAGGAGATGTCTCTGTATTCTCCAACACACCCACACACAAATTTCTGCTACAGAAGGATATTCCACCATAGCCTGGATCCCGTTCCTTTTAAAAATGACAATTCGGAGCACATTTCCTATTGGATTGCACACTTTGTACAAGACATCCTGCAAAGTGAAAGCAGAAACAGTCCAATACCAACACGTCACACTGTGGAGAAAGTGTGGTAGTCTTGTTACCGTGGTGATGGGGTACAGAGGGTTCTGAATAGAAAGGAGCAGGACTTTGTTTCCACTGCTTGGGTCATCTGCATTGGTTGGTCTGGTAATTCTCTTGGATGTGGAGTAGTTAAAATAAGCTTGCTGACCTAATAAAAGTACAAAATGAACACTGTTATTAGCAAGCTCAACAAAAACAACTGGACTAAGCTGTTTTGAAGTGAGTGTTTCGCTACCAACCAGACAGCTTCATCAGGGCTTGTGTAGGTGACTGTGACTCACACTTCTTTTGCTCTTCCTCCTTTAAAGAACTTTATAAAACTAAATATTGTGAGTGGGATGGCACCACTTACAATAAGAGAAAGTACATCTCTATCTACATTCAAACTGCATCTTTAACTGTGGATGAAAGATAACCAAGTCTGTGAAAGTCTGTCCTTTTACTGTTCTGTGTTATGTCTCTGTGTAACTGCTGTGTGTATATTTACACTGTAATTACAAATGTTTATTAATATATACAGTGTCCCTATCAAATAAATAAATCACAGAGTCTTGGTAGTTTGAAAGAGGGTGAAAGAGGCCATGCATGGAAAATCTTCGATACGGCCCTATACAGACACAAAGGACTGCGCTTCCACCTTTCTCATACCTGGGACAGAGCTGTACAAAGGATGCCCTGAGTCTTTTTTGGTAACGCCACTAAAACGTCACCATCCACGTCTCAGTCACCTACACAAGCCCTGAACCTCATCTAGGTGGTAGCAAAATGTTGGCTTAAAACAAGCGAAGTAAGTCCAGTTGTTTTCATTTAACTCCCTAATATATAATATTGCATTCATGGATGTCTCAAAATTTGCATGAATTAAAATGAGTGCTCTGTGTCTGGTGTTTACAGCTTTAGTTTTAGGTTGATAATCTTACTTAGGAAACTAAAAACTCACCTGCAATGTACACTGTTTTCTTGGCTCCACAGGATACACATTGGTTAGCACTCTCCACATCAGAGAATTCCACCAGGGCCTGGCGTTTGAATGGCATCATCATCACATAGCTGTTACATAAATAACCACATTGGTGCTTTCACGATTTACAAACTAATAGCAGCTTAGTTTTTATGGACACAGTATTAGAACTTCACATAGTTATTGTCTGATACCGTCAAGCTAAAAGTCTACACATAGGTTACTAAATAGATTTGTAAGTAAAATATAAAAATAAGTAGCTCCAGTATAAAAAAAAATGGGTCACTCAATAGGCTACTACAGGAAGCATAAAAAACTTAAATGTTTATACCATGACTTTTTGTGTATATACTCCTTTATTTCCTATCATATTTTTGTATATAATACTTATAATTTTTGTATATACTGCTTTATGACCACATGACATTTGTTGGTGTTGACACTCACCATATGGAGCCAAACTTCTGCAGGGCATCAATAAGGTCTGCCTCCACCACGGCCTCACACAACCCCCTGACATGGACCACGGGACTAGGAGAGAGGCGGTGCAAGTCTTCTCCATTATCCTACAATCAAGGATGTAGTAAATAAACAATTTACTTTAACCAAAATAAATCTATAAGGCCAACATATGCTGGCTTCTCTTTCAGGGTGTCTAATGATGGTTGGAAATCATAAGATAAGAATATTGTGATATGTCCCTGCTGGCTCTGAGTCTATCCTGCTACCTCTGTTCTTCTTCATTCCAATACATCGTGGACATGAACACGTGCCCCTACACAGAGCAAACAGTGATGTCATGTGAACGTGATGCATATTGTCACCTTGTGCGTTGCTCCACGAGGGGTAGCTGTCCAGCGGCCCCGGCCGTCTGCTGCAGTCTCCACGGTAGCGGGCGCAGAGCCGGAGTCAGAATCCTCCCCCTCCTCCAGCTCCTCTCCATCCTTCTCCCCATCTCTGGCTGCTCTATCTCGCTTTTCATACCGTTCGGTCTTAAGCCGTTTTGAGGGCCTGGCGTATTCTGCGTGCTCATATTCAACGGCTAAGTCCACCTTGGACATGCTGATGCGCCGGGACCTGGGCCCACTCACACCTTCATATCAGTAAATGCAGGATTCGACCAAACTGCTCTGCCTTTATGTTATCTCCACACTGAATGCTGACCGCCACCTGTCTGTATGATCCAAATTCCGACAACTGCTGTATGAAAAACGCCTGTGATTTTGCGTGCGTGGGTCTGAGTGCGCCAAATGACTCCCGCCTCCAATTCTGGTTGGTTAGTCCATTGTCGAATCCCACAAAACTGTAATTTAATTGGTCAGAGGAAATGCGTCAACAAAAGCACGTTCTGCAGCAGAATTATGGAGCAGAATGATGGATGCGCACTGTCGTAAAAAGGCCTACTGCCTACATGTTATCTTGAGCGTGAAAGGTAGTCCTGTATCAGGCATCCCATTAGCTTTTCTCAAGAATTCAAACTAATAGCTTACTTTGACCTGAAATAAAGCATGCATCACGGTGCATTAGAATATATGTAGGCATATAAAAAAATAAGAATACAAAATAAGAATACAATAGACTTATGGCTGTCATACGTACCCATATCCAATAGGCCAAACAGGGCTATCCATTGACTAAAGATGAACTCAGAGTAGAGCTGCTGCTCCTCAGTGACGGGCGGACTTATCCCATCCGCCACCTGGACACCTTCCTAGAGGCCCCAACGAAGACCATTAAGACTATTATGGCCAGGGAACATTTTGGGCCACAAGAATGGAGAAAATGTGCAGTGGTAGGTCTGGATATTCCAGACTCCAGCCCTTTCTTGATTTTGTGGCATTTCGGCAGGACTAATTTATCTAAAAATGTGCAGATTGGTTCATCTGTGGCGACGGGCTCGACGAGACAGTATACACACACTAGATGGCGCAAAGCACACTTTCCATATGTCCAAAACTATAGACCTACTTTGAGTTACAGAAAATACACGAAGACCTCTCACTAGGCTACACGCGGACATGCTCAATTAAAATCACAAATAGCACCCTAATCCCGCTTCAAGAAGATTAATTAAAGTCTGGTGCATAGTCTATGGTCTGATGGCATAGGGCCATGGATCTACTTCCATACATAGGGCAGGCGAAAGGATCCAGTCAATAGAGGGTGGGCTTATTTCTAGAATTATACTTTGCAGTATTTTTACGCTACGTTTTCTCTCCACATTCACATTTTACGCACACAGTCACACATATAAGTCTTAACTAAAACATAAGTAAAAGAGTCAGATGAAGTTAAACATCTGTAGCATAGACGAGCTGTGCTTCACACCCACCAGCAGGGCGCACCAGGCTGAGCCGAGCGCTGCTGTGTGAGCTCGGGATCATGGTGGAGATGGGCTGAGGGCTGCGCACCTCAAAGCACATATATCTCCGAAAAGGCAGGAGTTGGGTAAGTCTGATACGGGCCGTTTAAAAAGCACTTATTAAACAGTGATACGTACCGCTGCGTTTACAGTGAAAGCCTGTAAATATTAGGTCGCAATGAGCATCAGCGCGGTGTTAGCTTAGCGTTAACTCAACTTAAATGGTTTGTCTGAACACTTGAAATGGGGCGTAACAACTAGTTTATGGTAGTAAATAACTCGTGTCCATGTTTTAAATGGCCCAAATGATTAGTTTATTCTGTAAAGGAACACTGACCCAGTATTTAGTCCGCCAGTGTTTAGCATTCGTCCTTCTCTTTGGCAGTGGGCTAGCAGCTCATAAGACTGATGCTGCTAACTGTGTGGTACTATACTTCATGGTACTGACTTGTAAACTGACATGCCCGATATTTTGTTTAAGTGCATTTAAAACCTTGGACACATATGGGCTATTAACTGACATATATTAACACTGTTGTTGTGGCGTCTAATCACTTTAGTATTTGAAGAGTTGTTGATGAGTTGAGATTCTGTACCATCATGATGGCCAGCTGGCCCTTTCTGTTTTATGGCCTGTCCACTGTGAAGCCAGTTGTCTGCACGTGATGACAGGCAGAACCCCAAGCAGATGGACACAGTGCCCTTATATTTTAGAGCAACACTTTCTAAACTCAAGATTAGACTTTTATCTTGCTACATTATACTTTGTATGTAGACTTGATTTGTAATAATACATCCTTAATGTTATAGTAAACTATGGCCACTGGACTGACTAATAAATTAATGAGTGCCAGTACATTCACACCATGAAGTGGGGCCATGTAACTATTGTCAACAGCTGACAAAGCTAACGTGCTGATATGTGATCCTAATAATCATGCAGTGTGAAAGTAACCTGACACTGTAACAATGTACTCTACCAACCAGACAAACTATGTACGTATTCACATGGCAAAGTGTAACCTACATTTACCGAGTAGTGAACAAATAAGTAATGTATTTCACTCACTGGCCTGTACACAGCTGGACTCTGTATTCTTATCCATTAGAGATCAAGTGTGCTGAACTAATGTTTATTCCAAGGAGCAACATCTGCTCATCTTTTCTGCAATTGGGGTTCCATAGTAAATCACCACCCTCTGTACCCTTAGTTTTGATAGGCTTGGGATTCTTAAACTGTACAAAATATTGTGTATATTTGTGAATAATAATTAATTAATGTTTTATATGTAGTTGAATATTTTTAGCTCTCTGCCTGTCCTAAAAGCCATCTATTTTTGATAATGGGGTGCCTGCACCTCAGTTGGTTTAGTGTTCGCCCTCTGATGGTTGGTGGTTTGAATGACACTCCTGGCATAAACATTGGCTGCAGTTAAAAGTGTAAAGTCTAAATCTGAATATCATAAAACTTTTTGAGTTATAAGACTATTAAAATGTTGTATAAACACTAAAATAAAAAAAATAAATTAGGGTCCCTTTGATTATGCTCATCATATTTTGTAATTTGTATGTCATTTTAGGATTCAAGGAAGGAAGGTCCAGAAATCACATTTATAATAATCAGCCACTGTTGGTAGAGTGGGCAGATCCACTGGGGTGGCGGTTTGATCTTAGCTCCCTCAGGCCATTGCTGTCAGTTAAGCCTTCTTGCCCCCAGTCTCTGTTTACACTGGTGTATCTGTGAATGAGTGAAATGTCTCTTGATGTAAAATGCTTTGACTGCATTGAATGTGTGACCTTTTACCACTAGAATAGATTGGTGCCAGAACCATGTCAGCACTGAAATGTACAATCATGTGTATTTGTACATTATGGAGAGAGCTGCTTTTGACAGAGCATTAACGTGCCTATGTGTTATATAGGATGTCCCAGGACAGTACTGCTCTCAACCCAGAGTCCATACACAACAACAAGCAGCCCTTTTGTCCCATCCTTGCCCGATCCACCCACACAGAGGCCTGCAGAAAGAGCGCCTTTATCTGGCCTTACCAGCAGACGTTCTCACTCACAAATTTTTACTTCTTCTCAACATGACAGGAATAACAATCTAGCTTGTACATGAATCAACTCACTGCAGATTACAGCAATGTAGTGAGCAAATGCAGCTTTCTAGAGGGTTTAGTGGGGCTTGCTACTGGCTGCATAACATTTTTAGATCACCATATTACATTTTATTGTTTTGAAAATGCTATCTTCACCGAAAACAACATTCCACGCTCTGAGTCTTCCCTCCTTTTGCTCTCTGTGCTAAGTCACTCCCCCTAAAGTTGCTGTGTTTGGTTTTGCATCATGTTTTTGTATATTTATGGTGAATTGCTGTGTGGGAAAATTGGTGTAGGCTTGTGGGCAGAGCATTACACAGAATCTCTCAGCTAACCGTAAGGGCCCAGGAGAGATCTAAAATACTCAAACATGCATTCATCTATAACAGACATATTTTTGCTGAGGGAACAACATTATAACATGGTAGAAAGCTTAAAAAAATATTTTGCATAATACCCCCTCTTTAACTGTTTTCTATAATTTAAATGAGCATAAACATGCACTGAATTAAGGAAGTAGTCCTTAAACCAGTGGTATTAAACATATGCATGTTATTCTGAAGATATGCCAATTAAAAATGGATATCATCTATGTTCTCACTCCTTTGGTTTGATTGAAAGTGGATTATCATGCAGTGTGTATAAATGTACCATCTTTCACTGCTAGTATCACAGTATCAGTTGATTGGCCTACATGATAACAAATTTTCAACCACTATACTATATATTTCACTGCTGGGTCATTCCACGCCATTTCATAAAATTTCCCAAAAATCTCACGCATCATGTTTTTTTTTTTATTTGAAAAAATTACCAGCTGGTCCCTTACTATCATGTACCAACCCTGTGAATTTTTAGTCATTTTCAATCAATACTTTTTAAGTTATAGCTCATTTTATGAGGGGAGTATGTGTCAATTTACGGGCCCAAAATCGTGTCATTTTTGTCATTTTTTCTCAGCCCTATCACACACAGAGGGCTGAACTTTGTAGGCTTGTGCTCCTCTACTCTGTGTTCAAATAACATCTATCGAAAGTTTGGTATCTCAACTCATTGTCATTTTATATGAACTTAAAAATGAAAAAGATTCGTTAATTTCCATGGCGTACCATTTTTAGCCCCTTTGTAAACCTACCTGTAGGTGTAATAGACCCCTACATTTTTTTGAGAATCAAGGTATGTACTAGGACTGTTAAAAGAAATCACCAAATGTTGAAAATTTGAAATAGGTTATGTGTGAGGGTCCTGTTAAAAACAAGAAAACGCAACATGGTCCGATTTTCACATGTAATTTATGGCATGTGGGTAGTGATGAAAAATTTTTGAATAATTTTTGTTTGAAAGACCAGAACAAGACCTTTCATATGGTACCAAGCATATGTATTTTATGAAGCTCCTTCAATTTTCAAACATTTTTGAGATCGAAGTGCATGGGCCATTTGGTGAAATGGCATGGAATGACTCTGCTACAGTTCATCAACTACTGCTATAAACATTAATACTGAAGCCACTTTATGCCACTGACACAAAGCAGGATAATCCCTGTAAACCATCTTTAAATAGACAGTATCATTATAAGGCCTAAGCTGCAACATATAAATAGCAGAAGAAACCAATAATTAGCCAGAGAAGTTATTTATTCTGCAGCCAACAGCTCAGATCATAGTATTGAAACACTGTCTAAGATCTCCCCACTATTGCAAATAAGATGTACTCACAATAAATATTGAGCCCCAAAATATATTGTTCCATCTTTCATATATTGAACAATAAGTCGATATAGCATTTTTTGTGACAAGCCTACATGTTGATACGCTGTAATGGTGATGACTGGCCTTTTTGGGATGAATTTGAGTCTTGTTTTAGTAGCCTTTTGCACTGAAAGAGCTTCAGAGGATGCTCAGCTGTGAGGGCAGGAGGAGGAGATAGAGGGGGCCGGCCAGAGGCTTGCCAAATGGGATCTCAGGGGCAGGGGGGAGGTGGCACAGACAGGCAGGGAGAGAAAGGGAGAATCATGGCATACAGGGACAGATAGAGGTAGAGAGACACAAAGCAAGCAGTTTTGTAGGTGAAAGAAGAGGGGATGATGTGGCAAAATGGAAACAGAGAAAGCATTTATAAATAGAAATGGGCTGTGTTGTCATTTGGCATATGGTCAGACATTGGCATAGAGCAGTGCTTCTCAATTATTTTCTGTCATGCCCCCCCTAGGACGAATAAAACATCTCGCGCCCCCCCCGCGTGACTATAGATAGTATCATTTGTCTATAAAATTGTTATAAGTGCACCTGTGCGTAACACTGCCACCTTCTATGACGCCAACAACGCTCGCTGGTTTACTGAAGTAGCAGTCACAAAGCGGGATGATTGTCGGCAATATTCGGCACGTTTTCGCTGAAAAAACTCGCGGCTTATCAGAGTGATTGGGGTGTAATGTATTTAAGTGACGCCTTAATTTATTGGGCTTCATGCTGTCGGCTGCCAACATTTTTAGACACAGTAAGCACACCGGTCTTTCCTCGTCTCCCACCGTAGTCACAGTGAAGCCAAGCGCTACATACGCTTCGTCATATTTCCTCGTCTTAGCTTTCGGTAGATTTTCGTTTGTCTCTTTATCTCCGTCTCTCCCCGTCTGTCTTCTCATCCCTGTTAAATATTTTTTCATGGTGTCACTTGAGGGTCTGCTACACTTCGTGTCTACACTTCATACTCAAACTCTGTGCTGTGTGCAAAGCGCGCATGCGCAGTGCAAACAAAACTCCTACACCACCGAGCGAATGCTCCCTGCGCACACTCTGCCAATGAGAGCGCCACTGCCCCCTAATGTAGTGGAAGTGCAATTGCACTTTATTCTAAAGGCCCGTTCAGACCAAAGCGTCAAAGCGTCCACTTTCTATGTAAAGTCTATGTGGACGCGCGACTAGAGCGTCCTGCGTTTTTGCGGCGCGTTTTCGGCGTCAGCGCGGCGCGAATCTGGCGTCAGCGCAGCGCGTCTTCAGCGTTTTGGCGTCAGCGGCCAAGACGCGCGTCCAAGGCGTCAGCGTCAAGAAGTTGAAAATGCTGAACTTTTCGCGTCAGACGCGCCGCGTCAATCAATCAGGGACGAGTATCCAGTGACGCATCGACGTTATTACCAGGAAGAAAGACCCGAGAACCAGAACGAGAACCACAAACATGAACGGAGAATAAATATATACGCCACAATCACCGAGCCGATCGCGAGGACTACACCAGGACCGGACCAGGACCAAACCAGGACTAGACCGAGACTAAACAAGGACTAGACCGAGACTAGACCGAGACTAAACAAGGACTAGACCGGACTAGACCGGTATTAGACCAGGACTAGACCGGGACTGATCCAGTGTCATTAGCGGAGTGTAAATATAAACACGCCCCAGTCGTCGACCCGATCTCCTCCTTTGATGTTTTATGTCATAAAAACACTCTCTCAGTCTGGTCTGACATTGTTTCGGGAAAAGAGCGGGACCGGGCTCTTGTTTCCAGGGCAACGGACGCGCGTCAAGTATTTTTGTCCCGTTCGTCCACGGCGTCAAAGATGCGCGTCGGGGGCGTCTAAACTCAAAATGCAAAGGCTCCAAATAGAGGCGACAAGGCGTTTTTTGACGCTTTGGTGCGAACGGCCCTTAAGACAGTAAAAAAAAATAAAAATAAAAAAATAAAAAAGCATGCTCCCCGAGGTCAAACGCGCCCCCCTTGGGGGGCGCGCCCCACTATTTGAGAAGCACTGGCATAGAGCAACATAAGAATGCATGCACGAGCAACTCTATGTAACCCCAGTTGGTGGTTTTCAGATTCTTGATTGTGATGATGTCATACTTTTAGATGGGGGGTAAGGGCCACTTTCTTCTATTGGTAACAACATACTTGACCATAAAAAATCCAAAAGGTAAATTCACAAATGCTGAACCTGCTCATTTCTATCAGTGACTAGAGCCAAGAACTTATTTGAACAATATTTCAGTTTAGCTGCCCCCTGTCTATATTAAATCATATTAGCATATATACCACTGTGTTGCCATCTGAAACCCACCAACAGAAGAAACTAAAAACTGAATGCACTTTACTTTCAGTTTTGTCTTTATGTTATACCTGAAATGTTCCTGATTATTGATTTAAAAGTGACCCTTTAGGTGTTGATAATATGGTTAAATTAGTTTTAACCATGGACTCTATATAAACTGACATAGCTTACCATCTTAAAAATGTTTGTATTAACCCGCTCTACATGATGCTGGTGTTTTTATTTAGCTGTTTTGTCTGTAAATACATTTCTATTCCTAATATAGAACTCAGATCCAAAAGATCCAATCCTAAAAGATCCCAAAAGATCCAATTCTAATATAGAACTCAGATCCAAATTCAGATCAGATCAGATCCAAAATTCACTCTTATAACTGCTAGCCTCGTAAGTTTCATTTGACTAGATCTGAATGTTATGGGTGACTCACTCTTCCTTAGTCCACTTCTTTATACAGTCTATGGTTTTAACCTATACGAATTGCCCAAACCTCACAAAAGATGCAATACAGTTAACATGTCAATAATATTCTTTCTGCCATAACTAATCTCTCCATTTTGACTTTAGGAATAGTTTGCGGTCAGAGCCCCCCACACCCACCCATGCCTTACGTGGACCGGCAGAACCGCATCTGTGGTTTCCTGGACATCGAGGAAAATGAGAACAGTGGCAAGTTCCTGCGTCGCTACTTCATACTGGACACACAACAGGGGAGCCTGGTCTGGTTCATGGACAACCCACAGGTAGATTCAAATGACAAAGGTCTCATCAAGTTTTAATTAAAGGTCAAACTGATGCAATGAACACTTGAGTAGATTTATTCATTCACCTGGACACCTTTATTGAACATTTTGATAGGACTGGACCTGACTGACATTTGTCGTTTGTGTTTTTTGTGTGAGTATGAAGAGAGGGGTGGGGTGTGGTAGGTTTTTTTTTTTGTTTGTTTGTTTGTTTTTGTCTATTTTTGTTTTTGTTCACATAATTTCAAAATTGGAAAAAATACAAAGTTTAAAAGAAAAAAAAAAGATTTATTCATTCACTGTTCTTGTGTTCATTAACCTTGTACAGTTTTTTTTATTTTTTGCAGTTGACTGTCACTGTTGCTTGTTCCCTGTACTTCATTTAATAATATTTAAATGTAGTAATATGCGCTTACCTGAAGTTTTTAGAAACAAAGTACTCTGGAGATTGTTAACATAATTAATGTTTGTTGCTTTTATAGATTATAAAAGTGAATTTAGTTACAGGTGCACTGTGTAACTTTCTGGTTGGAGATTTGTCACCTGCCTGTTTCTATGGTGATGTCATTGTTCTGCCTGGAATGTTCCACAGTATGACATTAAACAGCTCTACCTTACATTTATTAAAGGTGGTTATTACAGGTGTTGTTGTTAGTTTTTTTTTAGCTCAAAAATACCTACCAAAATAGGCATTTTGACTGTGAATGGCCTCTCAACAGATCTGACCTGTAACTTGGTCTTGTTTCATCTCCATGAAGATAGATAGGCTTAATGCCATACTGTGAAACATTCCATACAAAGCAATAATATCTCCACAGAGAAAAGCATTTGATGCACCCTCCACCAGAAAAGTTACACAATGCACCTTTAAATCTGCCTCTACTTTCACCAAATATGAAGTTGTAGTGGTACAATTAGGGTAGAATAAAGTACTAATATTTACTTTTTAGAGTTAATTTTATATTTGTAAAAGTAAGCTTGTCTGAAAGTCCAAACCAAATGTAGTGCACATCTAAAAGCTTTCTTTGAATATTAAGATGCATTATTCAATTCAAACTCTTTTCTAGCTTGAATTAATTTGTTTTATTAACATATTTTTTGTCTTCTAGAACTTGCCTGTGGGAGCGGCGTGTGTTGGGTCCCTCAAACTCACATACATCTCCAAGGTAAAGGAGTGAATGGCGTTGGTTATGGTGTAATAAATATAGGGCTGCACAACATCACAATCAAATCGAAGTTGGAAATTTCAATAGGCAAGTTGGATCATAAAATACCAACAACTGCAGTTATTTAATAGAATGTCCTTTCCAAAGAACAGAGTATCCTGTCAGAACAGAAAAATCACGTTATACCTGTAGTTTAGACCTCTACAAAAATGTTCTGAGATTCTTGGGATTCTTACATTGTTTTATCAGTTCATATTTCAGTCTTTGCTCACATGATACAGCTTTTGGAGTTTTTACAATGTGCATTTGAACAGAATCTTTTAACATACTTACCAATATTGTGCAGCCCTAGTGTAATATAATCCTTTGCTGTGTTTCTAACTCTTTACTTTCTCTGTCAGGTCAGCGATGCCACTAAGCTGAGGCCCAAGGCAGAATTCTGCTTTGGTAAGATCCCCAAAATATTCATGTTACAGTAAAGGTGATATTTTTTTAAAGGCGCATTGTCTTTTTGGTTGGGGACTGTCACTTCCTTGTTTCTATGAATATGTCTATGCTCTGCTTGGAATGTTCCACAGTATGACATTAAACAGCTCTACCTTAAATGTATTTAATTATAGGTGGTTTTATAGCTCAAAAATATAAAAACAGGCATTCTGACTGTGAACTGTGTTGCCTCTTCACAGATCTGACCTGCAGTTTGGCCTAGTTTGGTCTCCATGGAGATAGAAAAGTTTAATACCATACTGTGAAACATTTCAGACAAAGCAATAACATCTCCAAGAAAAGCATTTGATGGACCCTGCACCAAAAACGTTTCACAGTGGACCTTTAGAAAAACATTTTAGCAGCAAATTGTGACTAGAATTCATAAGCAATGATACAATTGCATAATATGGAGCTTGTTTTAATTTACGAGATAAACATTTAATAACAAGAATGGCAGTCACAAGACAAGAGGCCACAGTTGTGCAGCAGCATTGTTGTAATGCTTCCTAACGTATGCATCCACTATCCTGAGTTCACTTCACAACACTCTAGTACAGACACTTAAAAAGGGTTAATTTTTATTGATTTATTTGTTTTACCTAGTCCTTTTTGTTTTGTAATTTTAGTGAAGGTTATATTTGACTTTCTGATTGGGCACAGGCAGCTAATATGGCATGCGTAGAGGTATGTTACCTAGCATCCATAATGATATCAAGGGCCAAAACTTGCCTAAATTACACAATAGTTATGATTTGACAAATAAAACTAAATGACAACACATTTCTTTTGTTAAATAAATGTTTCAATTCTCAGAAAAATGCCTTCATTGCACATAAATTGTCTCTGCATTTTGGATGGGATTAATGACAGCTGATGACATCGAAATGGGATTTCTCTTTAGAAGCCACAGCTATTTCCTATATTTTACAACTTTTTGCTTTTACTTTTCATCACTATGACTTCCCTGATGTAAAATTATGTTGAATATTTACCACAGGTATTATCCCATCAAACATTGTAATAATTAGGAAATTATATTAAAGGGCCCATATTACGCTATTTTCTGATCTATGTTCTATTGTTGTACGTTTCCTCATCAAAAATATACCTGGAGTTGTCCTTTGTTTCATTCACGCATCAACCCAGAATATTTAGGGTGAGTTTCTCTACCAAGCAAAAAACACTCTGTTCCACCTTGTGATGATGTCATGTAGCAATACAAAATGCTTTACTGTGTTTTTAAACTCCATAAACTTTAATAATTTCAGCCCTGGAATTCTCAATCTCCACTGAACTAAAAATAAAAGGTAGTTGTTAACATGAAGACTACCACTTGTGTACAAACTAGGGGTGTAACGATATCCAAGTCTCACGATACAATATTGTCACGGTATGAACCTCACGGTACGATATTTATTGCAATATGGTGGGAAAGCTCATGATATGGTGGGGAGGCTCACAATTAGAGATGTAATGATATCCATATCTCTCGGTATGATATTTTCACAATATACATCTCACAGTACGATATTTATTGTAATATTTTTTGTTAATATGCTACTTTTAAGACTTAATCTAAAGAACTAAGACTTAAAAGTGCTTAGAACTGTTATTTCTTCTTGTAGTCTGCACTGAAATGGAGCAAAGAATCATGGTCTATGTAGTTCCCGCTGTCTTTTTTTTAGCTGTCGCTGCACCATAACTCTTAATTTAAGCAAAGTGACTTGTAATTTGATATATTGTGATGGTCCACGATATTATTGTGAGAACTTTGACAATATGATATCATGATATTTCGGTTATTGTTACATCCCTAGCAAAAACTTATAAAAGGTGTGAAGGATGTGAATGAAACAAAAAAACAACTCCAGGTACGTTTTTGATGAGGTAACAGCATTATAACGTAGATTAAAGCTCACAAGAATCCATTTTGTGTAATATAGGACCTTTGATCTGTGAAATGCACTTTAACTAAACACAAAAAATATCAACAAAATACTTCCAGTGGTGTTTCTAATGAGACTAGACTATTACAGTATTTCAAAAAGCGCTTTTTCATGTGCCCACCCACCAGACACACAGTCAGGACACAGAAGAATGAGCTCCACTGTACCACGAGCGATGCGTTTAGTCATATATGCAGCTCACTCCCACCAGATTTACATGTCATCGTTTCATGTTGTGTATTCCCACAGCATTGACAGGAAATGATGAAGACACAGAGGCGGTTTAAGCTTCTAAAACTGAGACATCTGAAGAGTGTCTCACCCTTACATATTCTTTGTCTGACTAAAGATCTACGTTCATCTTGTTGCTCTTATTCAGGGGGCGTGCAACATGAGTGTGCAAATGTAGAAACATTTAGTGCAACCAAAGTCATATTACGGAGTAGTTAAGATTCTGGTGTGGCAATCTAGTCTAATGTGGGTGGTCATGTTTTAGAATTTGATGATAATGTAATTTCATACAGAGTGCAGGCAGCATATGTAATAAATAAATTGACTCTTGTGAGCTTGTGTGCCATCTTAGAATGTTGTTACCTCATCAAAAACATACTATCAAGTTTTGATTCATTCACACACGTTTCTCTTTGTTAGTCGGTTTACATCTCCAAAGCTCAAAATACGCTCTTTCACCTTGTGATGTTATGAAGCAGTATCTTTCAAGTTAAAAGCTACCCTTTACCTTTTAGTTCAGTAGAGATTGGCAAATCATGGGCTGAAATCATACAAATGATCCGAGTTAAAGGTGTATGGAGGTTTTCTAAAGTGTTTTCTGTTTGAGAGAAGAACTAAATATAATGATAATAATTATATATATATATATTATATAAAATTATAATTATAATTGTGTGTTAAACATTTGTGAATAAAACATAGCACAACTCCAGGTATACTTTTGATGAGAAAACTACATTTTCACATAGATTTGAAAATGGCGTGATAAGGGCCCTAATGTCTTTTCACTCAATAGTTATCACTTCTTCAGAGCTGAATAATGGTACCAATTTCTGAAGCTATTGTGTAAAAATAAGACACTGACAAAAAGAGAAGAACTTTTTAAGTTTTTGTTTTGTATGGATTACTATTAATTAAAGATTGCAGGTCAACATATCTACAATGTAACTGTTGCATATCAAATTCTCATATATTTCTGACCTGCCCTCCACCTCCATTTAAAATTTTCATTCCAAAATGTTGTGATGTTACGTGAACGCAACCAGTGATGGGAGGAATATTTTGAAAATGTATTTAGTTGCAGAATACTGAATACCTGCATTCACATATATTTTGGTAAGTGTCCTGTTAAGTGGTCCAGTCAGATTACTGAATACTTGGGATACACCAAGCTGCATTGTATAAGAACAATACACTATAAAATGTGATTAAAAACAATTCTTTTGTTTCGCTGTTTGTTCTGCATTTCCTATCACTAATTTGGAGAAGAAAAAAAGATCACATATGCTCTCACCACAAGAGCAGTGTTTTCTATTTTTTCACAGTTTTGAATTCAAACTTGTGTGCTTAAGTAGTGCCATCTTTTTCTTTGATTTTTAGGAAAGTAACGGAATGCTACCAAATTAAAAAAAAAAGAAAATTAGAATTCAGAATCCCTATTTTAGGTACATGTATTCAGTTCCTCCCCAACACTGAAAGCAACCGATTTATGTCAAACAGTGAGGTTACATGTTGCATACAATACACTTTCTGTCAACTGATATCAACTTTGAAAAGCCACAAACCTCTCCATGACGCTAAAACGTTGCCTATTTTAGATTAATTTAAAACGGATGTTCTCTTCTGTTTTGCAATCTGTTAGTGATCAATGCTGGAATGAGGAAGTTCTTCCTTCAAGCCAATGATCAGCAGGACCTGGTGGACTGGGTCAATGCTCTGAACAAAGCTACCAAGATCACTGTGAGTGCACACATATATACTAGTACATACAAACATAAGTATCATTATGTGTGCCCATATTTTCAGGTGCCAAAGTCGTCTGATGCCCAACACAACTCAGAGAACCAGAGAAGCTTGCCAGATGTTGTAGGAACCAAGAAACAAGTCTCATATAGGACAGAGATCATCGGAGGAGTCCCCATAGTTACACAGACACAAGTAAAAAAAAGACTTTCTTCTTTTTAAATAACTAGATCTCTAGCCAATAGGAGTGTAACTACAGAAACCTGGTATAATGTGATGCTTTATTTGGTGATACTGTATTTATTTCTCACCCTGAATCTTTTTTGGGTACTAATTTATGGTATGGCAAGAAAACGTACTCACTGTTGTACAAGTAGAAGTTAACAAGTACAGCAACAGCATGTAACTTTTTTTTTGCCAAAGATACTCAACAAAAATAGGTTTGTCATTTGGCTATGAGCTTGTGTATGTGTATGGTTTTAACTGTATATTTCCATGGCATCCAGAAAGTTACACACTATACCTTTTAAAATAAAGATTGCAGATTGTTGAACTTCAAGTGAAATATTGATTATTGCAGTACACCGATTGTACAGTGTGTCTATCAAATGCTGATTACATGGTTAAAAGAGCTTGCCTTAGATTTTCATAAATTACGCAATTGCAGTTCAAAATCTTAGTCTTGTCTATTTATGTAAAAATAAAACTTTGTGTAGAACAGTGGTATTAATGTGGTGGGCTGAATATTTCTCCAGCAGGAAGGGGCAGATGGAGCAGAAAAAGGCGACCGCGAGGCCATGCAGCGCTCCCACAGCCAGCTGCCGTACTTCCTGGGGAGGCCTTCTCAGGAACACACAGTCATCAAATCTGGATACTGTGTGAAGCAAGGAGCTGTGGTACAATACTGAAAACTAATAATTCCTGTGTGTTTAGGTCTGTACTTTTGAATACATTCATGTCTTGTTATTACGTTCCAGATGAGAAACTGGAAAAGACGCTACTTCCTCCTGGAAGAAAATGCTATGAGCTACTTTAAATCTGACTTGGTAATAATGCAAATTTTTTTTTTTTTTTCAATTTAACTTAATTTTCAGTTTGTGTTGAAATATGTTCAGAAGCAATTCACGTTAATCTAGTGTATGCAAGCTGCGACAGGTTTAATTCAGTGGAATTCTTTGCATTCACAATACATGTCTTTGCATGTCTGGTTGGCCTTCTTGGCCTCTTTGAGTCTTAACACAGACTGTCCTTCATTGTGCAGGACATCCGACTCAGTGCTCTCCTGTGATGCCTCTAACCATGTTGGCTATACTATAATCTGAGTCCAAAGACACACAAAACTGTTTGTAATGTCAAATGACAAGATCATTATAGTAAACCTAGATTTAGCTTGTTTCTAGTAATACAGATATAATGCATGTCCTGGCTCATGCTGTATGTTGTAAATCAAAATGTGTATTGTATTGTTAGGAAAAGGAACCCCTCCGAATGATTCCACTAAAAGAAGTTCACAAAGTCCAAGAGTGTAAACAGAGGTATTAAACATGTCTTAACAGATTCTTATTGTGCATGAATGCCTTTTGTTTGGCATATTGTTGTTGCGCTTTGATTTAACCTGGTCTGAACTGTGACAAGATAACTTTTTCCTTCTTCACTGTAGTGATATCATGATGCGAGATAATCTGTTTGAAGTCGTCACCACAACTAGGACTTTTTACATACAGGTAGGATCTTGGTAAACTGGTCAAATTATTTTAAATATTAATGAATATTTTATTTTATTTTTTTTATCTGTACTTCTTCAGGCTGACAGTCCAGAGGAGATGCATAGCTGGATCAAGGCTGTGTCAGGGGCTATTGTAGCCCAAAGAGGACCTGGAAGATCTGCTGCAACAGTATGTATTAAAATGCTTACAGACTTGTCATTACAATTCATGAGTTCTACTCCCCAAATACAATCCAAGTATAATTTGTTTATCTAACACATTCTTGCCATGTTTGGTTCAGCAAACACTGATGTTCTTCCTTGTTGTCACGCTCTGATGGGTCTGAACCATAGACTATAACTGTCTATGATCTGGGAACACTACTTTAGGACTACTGTGGTATTGTACATTAGCACATTATCAAGACATGCGGGATCACAACCTGAAACACTCTCAGCCCTGTGAACAAAATTGATCCAGTGTCTGTCAATGTTATGTTTATTTATTTTTGTATTTTGTCCAATATTACTTAGTGTAATTCTGGACAAATGGAAGTGACAAAAGCAGTAGAGCACAACTAAACGTGTCTGTATATCTGCTGAATGTCTGAAAATGAGGTTTAATGAAGAAGCACACAGATTATAATATAGTTCGAGTTGGATCTAATCAGCCAGAGTCTGCATGTTTGTGTCTCTATGGCCAGTTTTCACTCACCTCACTGTCTTTGGTTTGTAGTGTATTTTATTCATCACTCACACTGTAGATCAACATTTGTCTTATTTTGCCTCCATGGGTCAAACCAGTAGTAGCCTATAATGTGCACTGATGCAACAGTACTGACTGCAGATACCACTGAACACCTGGCCTTCACCTTCACAGGTGTTTATCAGTGGCTTCTTCTCCACTTCTGGCTTGTCTCTCCTCTCTCTCCTCACCTTCTTCCTCAGTTGGACTCTTTTCTCTGTGTCATTGTCCCAGTCTTCCCCCTCCTTCTCCTCTGATGGGCGGACACCGGCTCTAATCCTGCTTTGCACTGTGTTGTTGCAGATGCGGCAGGCCAGACGGCTGTCGAACCCCTGTTTACAGAGGTATACGTCCCGAATCGGGGAGTGCAGCAGCACGTATGTCAGCAACTCTGAGACCCCTTTAAACTAAAGCCCACCTTTCCCACTCGCTGACTCTGCTGTGGCTGTACAGACAATATGAGCCAATCAGATGCACATCTGATGCTCCTATTTCCAATAACCACCCTGACTTTGGCTGTGATAACCACAAATGTGCTCCCCCACCTCTCCTGTGGCTTCAGTTTCTTCATCATTGCCCCAATGCATTACCATTCTCTGCTTACATTTTGATGGGAATATTCTCTCTGTTCTTTTCGCATTAGTAACAAAGGGGTGCTTGATTTATACACTTTTGTGTGTGACAAAAGCCCTCTATAAATCAAGTATATTTCAAAGAGTCCAGTCATGCTGATGCTCAATGCAGAATTATCTTCAACATCGGACAAAATGTGCCTTTATTCTTAAAGCATTGTTACTTCACCCATATCATTTTCCCATCATAGCAACAGCAAGATCTAAAAGCGCATATGAGTTTTACGTTTTGCATGGCCATTGAAGCATTGTATAAATGTTAACCTGTGTCTGACCTGTCCATGTGTCTTCTGTGTGGTGCCCTGTCTCTGCAGTCTGCTGCAGCTGTGTACCTGTCTTAGATGTGTGACATCCTGCTTATCTCTCCTCCTTCCTCCTCTCCGCAGTCTGTATGTTTCTCTCTTCTCATTCTTTACACTTGTTAAATACCTGAACTTATTATGGCCTTGTGTGCAATACCTTTGAAATGCATGGTAAAATGGAATGGAAAAAATTTACCTTGTGTAGCAAGGTGTATATTGTGTAGCAAATATTACATCATAAGTCAGATTATGAACGGCAGTTCTTTTATTCTCATACTTGTCTCGGTAACTAACTTTTGCCACAGTCATCAATATTGACTGCAAAGTGAAAAAAAGAAAGATATGATATGATTCTAAAAATGCATAACATGTTGTTTAACCAACACAAGTTTACTAACCACTGCATCTGTGCCTCTGCTCTACTTCTTTTTTTCTGTGTGGCATGCTGTTTTCTGTTTCAGAGATTAAAATGTGACAATGAAAAGCTGTGAAATGATGAGCACGCATCAATCCACCACTGCTTCTTACGACCATTGCAACCTTTTGAGAATCCAATCCTAAAACCTGCTGACACACTACAACTACTCCTATTACTACCTCTAATAATTCTGCTTCTACTTCTACTGTTACTACCACTGCTAGCACCATCTCCTCCTCCGCTAACCTCTTCACCTCCAACTGTCTCCACTTCAGGCTTCAGAATCAGCACTACTAAAGCCCGTCAGGCCTTTGACGCTGGTGCTAACCCAAGTCTGTAGTCTTTCATTTCAGGACAGAGTTTGTTTTACCCCTTTCCCCTTTGACTGATGTGTGTTATTTCATATTTAGGAAAACAGCGGCCGCACCACTGCATTCTACCGTACACCCGCGGGCCCCCCCCTCCCTCGCTCGCCCATATCTGCCGTGCCACCATGTTTCCCAGACTGGGGGTCACGCCCACAGCCTGGCCTGGGACAGCGAGCACTTCATGAGCCTGCTGCCTCGGCCCAGCCATGTGCCAGCGCGCCTGTCCCTGCAAGAGACGCACCTAGCAAAGTGACCTGCCAATCATCCACCACCTCTACCACAGTAACCGCCGAATGTGAGGAGTCACCATGGCGACGGAGGAGCAGCTTTGAGCCCATAATGCCTGAACTTCCCTTAAATCTCGATGACGCTGACCTGCCCGTGAGTCTGGTCTGAGCCTTGTAGCAGAGTCTTTACCTATTGAATTACTGGTGCGTATATTTTGAACTGTACACTATACTCCATTTGGAAAGTCCTCAAGAAAAGCATCTGAACTGTGCAACCCACTCATCACTTTGCCTGTCCTCTATGTTGAAAACAGTGTATTTATTACCCTACTTAATGTTGTTTTAATCTTTTATTTACATGTGCCATGGGAATTCAGTGCATCATTGTATTTTGTTTTAGCACAAACAAAAATCTCTTAAACAATTCATGTGCTCCAGAGACTTTTAAACCACGTTTTCCATTAAGGGATATTTTAATAATCCACTTATTCTTTGTGAAATAGAGGGACCTAATGTATTTTTATGCAAGTTGCCACAAACACACACATACCACCCCACTAATATGCTGTTTGTAGGCCTGTCACGATAAATACTATATTGACTTATCGTTCAGTATATAATGGATGGAACAATAATTTTTGGGAGTCAATATTTATCATTTTAATTTGTACTAGAGGGAATTTTTCAGCAGTATGATAAGATTTGAGATGTAGATGGTTGAATTATGAACTAAAACTACACAATTTAAAGTATTACATTCTGGTATTTTGGTATTCTCCTATTTAGTTGCAGGTCATGTTTTTGAACAATACTGCACATTTAGAATAGTTTATTGTGGATAATTTTGCTTTATGGTTTGGTTTTAATATTATCATTTATCGTCTACATTTACTTAAGCAGTATATTACACTTCAACATTTGTCATCGTGACAGGCCTAACTGGGGCTCCACATAAAATTCTGACCAGCAGTTGTTTTTCAGTGCTAATTAAAAGTCATTAAGTCAGGTCTGACAGAGTAATAGAGAGTACACTTTCTGCGTGTGAATAAAAATGCCAACAGTATCTTAATATTTAAAACAACAGTGTGTGTAAGTGTGTAAAGTAGCATACACCTTGGCGTTTTTGTCCTCTGGTGGTAGAGATGTGAAAATGCTCTGCAAAACAAACATCCTTGTAGCCTTTTTGAACTTGTACAGAATAGATACAGATAAATGATGGAAGCTAATGGTTTTTTTTTGGTTTTTTTGTACAACCTAATAGTTATGCTCAATCAAATGTGTGTTGTATAAATATACCACTTTTTGTTACCTTGTAAGATGTGTGGAAATTAACATTGTGTACTTTTACTTTTTATTCACTGTTTACCCAGTAGCAGGCAGCTTCATTTGTCCCACTGAATTTCTCTTTGTTTTATCATTTTAGCGTCTGCTTTTCTTTAACTAAATAATCAAAGCTACGCAACAGCATCTCTGTCCAATCTGATGTCATTCTTTGGATCTGTGTCTATTTATTTTATGGATGACTTGAAAGAAATAAACACTGCAAATGTGTCACCGTTTGCTGTATTGAACTAAACACTGTCTCAGAGCCCAAGCAGACTGTGGACACAAAACGAGACATTACCAAAGTGCCCAGGACAGGACTACAATCACGGTGCCATTTACTGCTTAAAATGGCTCTCAGTCTAAACAGTTTATCTCATTCTGACCTCCTCTGCCCCCTTGTGGTGAGTTTTTTTTTCTTTCCTCCCCATTTTATGGGCGCCAAGATTTTTAGATGTTTTTATAATGAAGATTATGGTCCACATTTTGACATTGTACGCTTTTCTTTATGCTATTTCAATCAGTGTATATATTGCTTTTCACATATATTACAAACCAAAACCACAGGGACTGGCTGGGCAGGCAGGGAAAAGGCACAAAATTTCAAAGGAGATTTAATTTGAGCCAAAACCTTGAAGTTATATTTGAATCGTTGTCTACATTGTCTGAAAATTAAAACTAAATCTTCACTGGGGACTAAATTTGAAGAAGCCCCAAAATCAGAGAAAACAATATATCAGCAACTCTAATGAAATTTCATCCCATCAGCCCAAAATGCTGCTCAGTTGTTTGTATGGTCCCTCTATGCTTCCTTACAATAGAGAAGCTTGTGTCAGATGAGACCGCTGGGGATTCTGAGGTGTCACATTGGTCCAGTTTAGCACAGAAGGGCCCAAACGGCCCAGATGCGTTCTTTAGGATATAGGTCAGGTCAGGGAGCATGGGTGTCCAGACAAATGGTACCAATGTCTTCATCAGTGTGCGCCGTGTAATCTCTTACCAAGTGTGGTTAGGCTTTGTCATGCACCAGGAGCAGTGTTGGGAGTAACGCGTTATAAAAGTAACGAATTACAGTAATGCAGTAATTACTTTTTGCTGTAACGCAGTAATGTAAGGCATTACAGGGGAAAAAATAGTAATATTTTACTCGATACAAATGTGAGTAACGCGCGTTACAGTGTTTTTTTAACCTGGATTGAAGTGGTGGGTTTTTCTTCATACAAATTCGCTAAAATCACCTCGATATCAGCAGCGGTGAAACGCCGGAGATGCGCCCTCATAGACCTTCAGGTAACCGCGGGCGAAAGGACTGACAAAGAACTCCACGCTGTTTAGACCTGGTTTAGACCTGGGTCAGTTCTGGTTTAGACCTGGTTTACACTCGTCCCTCCCTCTATCGCAGTTCACTTTTCGCTGTCTCGCAGATTTTTATTTATTTTTTATTTTTTGTGCAATTTTGCATGCCCCTGTTTTTTTTGACATTGTATGAATGCGTATTTTGTCTTGGTTCCTCCATTACAATAAGACGAGTGTAAATGCTTTTTTCATGGGGTTTAAAAAGTGGCAGACGCGGTCGGATAGACCTTCAGTTAACCGCGGGTGAAAGGACCGACCCAGAACTCTACGCTGTTTAGACCTGGTTTAGACCTGAGTCACTTCTGGTTTAGACCTGGCTTACAGTCGTCCCTCGCTCTAACGCGATTCACTTTTCGCGGTCTCGCTGTTTCGCTGATTTTTTAGAATTTTTTTTTTGTGCAATTTTGCATGCCTTTTGTTTTTAGTGTATGAACACGTATTGCGTTCCTCCCGCTGTGTCCTGATCGGTTAAGGGACTCCTGTCTCCTGAACAGTACAGTACAGAATATGTTCAGCTGCCAAATTTAAATAAATGTTCAATCTCTAGCAGTGTGCTTCTGAAGTGCTGTATGTCTGCAAGTTTTCTCTCCGACAAAATCCACAACGTTGACGAAATGTTCTGCACCGACAAAGTCTCCTGCGCTCGCACCCAAAAGACAGAGGACGATGCAAACCATTGCACAAAAAGTTGGACTTCTGGACACGTTGAAGGAAGGTAGAAGTTACGTGCTGTAGCAGAGTTTTGCACCGGGTCTTGTACCCGCAAATAGTTGCTGAAATCAGGACCGTGAGCCTGAGCAGCAGGGTCCATAAAGAGCGATCAGGCGACAGCAGCTTTTACCTCCATGAGGTGCGGAGCAAAGCCGGTCCTTTCTCCTGCGGTCACCTTCGAGCCCATCCTGACAGTGAGTCCTGTTTTAGTCCTAGTTCAGTTCTGGTTTAGTCCTCCTCTTCAGTCCTGGAATCAGTCTGAGGTTAGTCCTGTTATAGTCCTGGTTTAGTCCTGGTTCAGCTCTGGTTTAGTCCTGGTTTAGACCTTGTTTAGTCCTGGTTCAGTCCATATACGGCTCAAAAGTTCAGCTTTTTCGCAGTTATTTTGGTGAGAGTAACTTAAAGTAATGCAATAGTAATGTAATGCCTTACATTTTAAATGCAGTAATATTGTAATGTAACGAATTACTTTGAAATGACAGTAATAACTAATAAATAACGCATTACAGTTTTAAAGTAACTTGCCCAACAGTGTATATAAATAAACTGCATAGGCTCATGATATCTGCACTACTGTCCTATAGTCACCTGCCACACGAGGGGACGCACACAAACACACACCTTCATCATCGTCATCAGCCTGAGAACACGCGGGTCACGTCTCCTTCCGTAGTTACTGCGCGGACACCGACGTGCTCCCGTGCGCCGCGTGCGGACCATATTTTCTCGTGTACGCTGCGTAGATCGCGCTCCCTCCTGTGAGCCTCTAAAACCAGGACTAAACCAGTCCAGGACTAAACTAGGACTAAACCAGGTCTAAACCAGGACTAAACCAGAACTAACCAGGTCTAAAATCAGGACTAGACTAAACCAGGACTAAACCAGAACTAAACCAGGTCTAAAATCAGGACTAAACCAGGACTAAAATCAGGACTAAACCAGGTCTAAATTCAGGACTAAACCAGGACTAAAACCAGGACTAAACCAGGACTAAAACCAGGACTAAACCAGGTATAAACAATATGACACCTAACAGTAGGTTAGACTTTAATAATTTAAGGTGATCTGATATAAACATAATTTCTCTATCAATAATATTTTTTAATCTGGTTAAGGAAAACTGATCTTGTTATTTTCTTTTAGCAGACAAAACATCTTATGTTAAAATATCCTTGTCTTTGCTTCTCTACAGCAAACAGTTGCTTATTCATAGAGATTTGGGCTCAACAGACAATTTGAAGAGAACAAACAAGAATTTTGAGGATGTGGTTGCTACATTCACGTTGTTTTAAAAAGCATGACAATATCAAGTAATCCAAAGTAATCAGATTACATTACTCACTTTAAGTAATTTAATGGATTACTTTACAAACTACATTTTGGGGTATGTAATCTATAATCTGTAATCTGTAATCTGTAAGGGAATACATTTTAAAAGTAACCTTCCCAACATTGCCCTTTTATAATGTGTGTGGGGATTTAATCACTTTCAGCCAGGCTTATTGATGAATGTTTTATTTATATTTTCATTCACTTGTGTAACTGTACTTTGCTCTCTCTACAGTCACACAGACTGGCACACTGTGCTGCAGCCTCTCATTAGGACTGAACTGTGGAAACCAGTCTGGTTATGGTTCTCAGGCCTCAGACACAGCAGAGCTCCAGAGATCACAGACCTTTTATAGCAGCTCATCTCTGCTGCACTCAGGCCTCAGCCTCAGAATGGGTGTTCCTCTGGTTGATCATCCACATACTTTCCCACCATTTCCCTCCTGGTGTCCCAATGCTCCACAGAAACATCTCATTCTGATTTATTCACTCACTCTGTTCATAAAGACAGAAACCTTTTACACCCTGGTATTATCCATGAAAACACAGCTTGCTTCTGTTTGCTGAAGTGGCAAACTCTCAGCCTGGGCTCTGCTTCCTGTTACTCTGAGCATCCCAGGGTGCCTAAGTTAATATCCACTCTTTTCAGCAACTGCATTTAAAGCAAGAGTCACTTAAATTGCCCTGTCCCATAATCAATTACTTTGTCTCCAGACGTTTTATGGACGTATTTTAACAGCTCACTGCAGACGTGTAAACTTAACAGGGCCTGATTGTTCACCTCTTCACCAATAGTTAAGTAAAAGTCACATAACTGTGAAGTCTCCCTTAGCACCAGTAGTGTCAGCAATGCTTATTGGATTCAAACTTAAGACTTTGACTACATTTTGTTAAAGGAATTGCATAGTTAAATATTTATTTTTGTAAAAGTGAGATTACAACATTCTTACAGCATTAGAACTAACCCTCTGCAAAATCAAAACCACGATGATTTGGTTTTGATTTTGTAGCCGTTAGACAACATTATAACAATGATAGTGATGTTCTTATTATGTCAATAAAAATACACTTTCCACTTTGGACAGTTGATTTACATTGGGACAATGTGAGATTATCTTTATCCAATCTCATTTGCTGAACGGCAACAAATTAAAATAGATAAATTGAATTATGTTACAGTTATTTGTCTCTAAAACAAATTGGGCAGTGTAAACATGCTGCATTAACTCTCTTTGGTCTGAAGTTAAACCACTAGTTTTTCCATAACCGAGTTTTCTAATTAGCTTCATGTCCACAGCTAAGCTGAATGCCATTCCAGCTATGACTAATGCATATGGGCAGTAAAACCCATGCTGGAAAGAGGCCTGCAGGACACATAGGACTCTGCAGTGTATAAACAGCACTACTGTTTTATTGTTTCTAATTGGTCGTGATGATTACAGCAGGGAAAGGCATCTGCAGCTTTAAATGAGTCAGCCACACACACCTAAGATGGATCTGACCTTAAGTTCACATGAGAGAGGCAACTGCAGAAGGTTTCTCAGCGAAAACTAACACACGTTTTCAAAGGACTATTTGTTCACACAGGACAGAGGTGTCCTGAGGTGAACATGGCTGATATAGGAATTTAGGTTAGTCATGCAAGACAAGAGTTATGGGATGGTTAGCATGAGCTATATGATTAAAAAATATTTAAAGCATTCATTTAAGGTTATAATTATGTTTGCTATTTAACCAAGCATAATTGTAATTCAGAGCAGTGTGCTCAATTATAGTGGCATAGGCGGAACGTATAGGGCACCATTTACTGCTAGGCGGGCTCATGTACAGCTGCCTATAGCCTATATAATATCTATTTATAATATCCATTTTATAGGATTTTATATAGACTATGCTTTACTTTATAGGCTAAATGTTACAAACTGACTAATAGTTTACTTCTAATTAATCAATAAATACAGCACTGTGAATACAAAATATAGTCCATTTGTTTATAGCCTGCATGTCCAGAAAAAAACCTTTATCATCAAGAAAACACCAGATGTCCAAATAATGCAATGTTTTTTTTGACTACATTAAGAATGGATCATTATGAATTGTTTGTTTATTGTTTTTTTTTTTTTTTAATTAACATTCGTACTAAAATTAAGTATACTTATTATTAATAATACATTAATTATTATTTTATTTTATTTTTTATTTTTGCTTTGCTTTGCTTGTGAAATAAGGTTCTGGCATGGACATGGTAATAGGTAGCCATCTCTGGATCGTTAAGAAGCAACGTGTGCAGGGCCCACACATGAAGTCAGACACGACCCTGATTGCCTATCAACATATAAAATTGCAGTCAATGATATGTCAGAGTATGCACAGCAGGTCTACACTCTATCCCTGCCTTTTTATTTATTTTTGCATGCTCGTGCTCCACGTTGCCTCGTCACAGAACCGGACCAATCACGCGCCTTGTTGTCGTTGTTCGCACGCACACTGTGCTGATGCGCGCCAGCCCACGTAAAGTGGAGACGAGTAAAATGCTTCTGCTGGACTCACTACCCTTTCTGCACTACTGAGCTCTCTCATCCCTCTGCACTGCAGCCAGGCAGCGAGCACTTCACTACTTATTCCCCACTTACATATTTACTTTATATGATCTTTTGATTAGCTGTAGTCATGCTGACCCGGTCACTTTTCTGTGCTATTGTAGCTTTTCTTTCTCTCCCGTCTGATGGACAAACTACCAACCGCTTTGTTATCGGATGTCCCGCTCGCTGCGATAAGTCCATGTGTCCCCGGATAGCGGCAGACTGCTCCACGGGGCACACTCTGGACGCATGCGGCTGCTGCCAGGTGTGTGCGTCCGGGGAAGGCGAGTCTTGCGGCGGCAGTGGTAAACTGGGAGACCCGGTGTGTGGAGAAGGTCTGGAGTGCTCCGTGCCTGGGGGCGGCGTGTCTTTCACCTCTACGGTCAGAAGGAGAAGCAAGAGCGGACTCTGTGTGTGCAAAACCACGGAGCCTGTCTGTGGAAGCGACGGAGTGTCCTACCGGAATATCTGCGAGCTGAAGAAAGTCAGTTACCGAGCGCAGAAGCTCCAGCAGCCACCTGTCCTCTTCATCCAGAGAGGAGCCTGCGGTAAAGGTGAGGTCATGCCGTACAGCGCTATGCCTGAAATGACAGCAAAGGGTACCTGCCAAGCAGCCTGTTAAAACCATCCAGTAAGAGTAGAGCCAAAAAGTATTCAAAATCTAATGACTATATACCTGACAATAACCACGTATTCTAAAGTTACTCTCATGTTTTAACGATTTTAACAAAACTCTGCTGCAAAAGATGTCGCCTAGTTATGAATCAAATATTTCACAAATCAAATTCATAGCCCTGTATCACTGTCAGTGTGGAAGAGTCTGTGGAAACCGTTTGATTTCATCTTTTGGCCTGAACAGTTTGAGCCATTGAAGCATGTCTATAAAACTGCCTTTGAGACCCACCTTGACTTTCCATCACTCCTTGACCGTGACCCCTTTAAAATTCCCATTTGGTTTCACACTCCATACAGCTGCAGCACTGACAACAATGCCCTTGTGTCTGGAAAACAAGAGGCTCTATTGACAGCTGTCCCAATGGTTTTATTTTCGACTCACAGTTAGACTTGATAAGACCAATAATTTTTCTACAGTCCAAATTGGAAACTCCAATTGGGCCACTGGTTAATTTATAAGTCACGGGGCAGTGATTTGGTTAAGTATTCTGTAGCAAAACAAAGATTCATTTTTGTAATTGAATATTAATAGCACTGATTCTAGCTATGAAAATGATTACATACTATATGTTAAATAACATCAAGTTAATACCAAGACTTAAATTAGTTTTTACAATTTGAGTAGAACACGTAAACCAAAATCTTCACACTCTGGGACAGGAAAAAGTAGCCTAATTCTATTAGAAGACATGTGGCTGTGGCAGTAATTACAGTTGTTTAAAATTGGCAGTAGTGTTTTAACTGCTCTTACTTCCATTTGAGGAAGTTTTTTTCAAAGTGGCAATATTCTTAAAGGTCCTCTAATACACAAAATTGACTCTTGTGAGCTTTAAGCTGAGTTAGAATGCTGTTATCTCACCAAAAACATACGTGGAGTTGTGTTTTGTGGAGTTGTTTGTTTTCACACATGTTTGAGTAACCCTCTATTGTTAGTCTGATTAGTCTGTCTACATGTCTTAAGCTCAAAATGCTCTGTTCCACCTTGTGATGTCATGTAGTGGTAGTTTTCAAGTTAACAGCTAACTTTTACCTTTAGATCAGTAGAGATGGGAAATTCCAGGGCTGAGATTATCCAAATGATTCTAGTTCTTCTTGCATCACCACATAACATCACAAGGTGGAAGGGAGTGTTTTTCTGTTTGAGAGAAGAACTCTATATATGCAGGTTTGTGCGTTAAACATTAGTGAATTAAATAAAATAAAACTCCAGGCATGTTTTTGATGAGGAAACAACATTATAACATAGATCAGAAAATATCGTGATATGGGTCCTAAGTTCTCACAGGTATAATAATAGCCAAATTAAATAGTATTAGTAACAAGGCTGTTTTTTTTTAAGTGTAACTTTATGTACTTTGCTCTTAGGTTTGTAGGGTAAAGTTTTATCAGTATGTATTCACCAGTACGATGTTTGGGCCAGTATCTTGTGGGGGATTTCATTTAACTCCTCCACCTGAGAATGATCTATCTTCTGGCCCTTCATCCTCTGAATGAATCCAACCCAACACCTGTTCATTCAGGTTTCAATATTTCTCCTCAAGGCTTGGAACTTCAATATGTACTACTTTCTACTGTGATCTCCACTCTTCTTTTCTCCTTCTGTTGTCATCTATAAATCACCCTTTAACAGTCACATCTTTGGCTCTGATTCAAAACCACAATTCCTTTTCAGTAGGAAGACAGTTCACAACAGGCCGGAGACAGCAAAAACACCAAACCCATATTTTGAGGTTAACGTGTATATTAGCAATGCACTGGATTGACAGTATTTGCTGCATTTGTTAGTCACTCATGTAAGCAACCCAAGTCACACATCCTGGCAAGAAATTACCACGTCTGCAAAACGCCATTGATTTGCCTGCTGAAAATTTCCATTATGGGCAATAAAACGCGTCGTGTTTCATTCGGCCCCAGTGTGAGCTGTTAGTGGACAAAGCTGCCTACAGTAGTGACTAGTGATTAGGGCTATAGGTTTAGACAGGACTGCAAGGAAAAACAGACTCCCCATTTTGTAAGGCATTACGAAAACACATGGTTCTGCACTTCTCATGATGTCATTTATGTCTGGACTAGGAAAATTAGGTCAAGTGTGACTGTGACTTTGAGATGGGATTGGTTTCAAATGGGTCAGTATCAACAGTAAAGCCACACTCAGCAAGGGGCATAGCAGTATACAGTAATAATAAATAACTAACGGTGAAGTACTAAATAAACTGTCATTTATAAATGTCCATTAATATATAAAAACTTGCTTGAGAAAGTTCCCTCATAGAAGATGAGACATGAGTTTGCAAGACAAAAATGGCAAAGAATTGTGCACATGTGCAGGAAATTTTGATATTCCCCTGATGTGTTTCCATTTAGTTTGGTAAGTCAGCAAGACTTATACCTCCTGAAACTGTGGTTACAATGACAGCAAAACATTTTGAAGCTAAAGTTCTGAATTGAACTGCCCAGTTTATCTATGTCTAGTCTGAATAGATCAAATGTTCTCTTTTATTTTCAGACAAACATTGGAGAGAAATTTCAGAAATTATTTGTAATTACTAATAAGTAATGCATACATAATTATTGACCAGTATTGTGTTAAATAATTACACAACTGTATTCAAACTATTTAAATGCTTATAGCACATGCATCAGACAAAAAGCCCAAACTCTTGAGTTGAGTTTTTTTTTCTTCTGAGAGAAAAATGAGAATTACATCCGTTTGTGGTTGCCAGAAAAACAGCAGGAAGTATGTATGGGAAAAATGAGGAAAAAAAAGACCCTTGTGGGGGAGATTGTTCAGAATCTGGAGGAGAGCTTCAGCATCTGACTGACTCTAGACCAAATACTGAGTGTAAGATGGAATAATATGTAAGACTTTATGTCACATTCACAAGTAAAACAGCAATACGTTTATGACTTTATTCAATATTGACCTTATTTAATCCTCTCCTCTAGAATATATTTTGAGGGATAATTCTGCTTTATAATTTGGTTTTAATATTATCATTTATCACCTATATTTTCTTCAACAATGTATCGCACTTGAAAAATTGTTATTGTAACAGGCCTATGTGATAGGACTGTGGACAGGGCACCTGTGACAGTACAGAAAGTCCATCCAGGCAATCTCTATCTCATGTTTTGGCCTTGGGAACCGTAGACTGATACAGCCACTGCTGATTGGACAGAAACATAGAGTCATCATTGACTGGGTGACCAGTGAATACACGAATTTTCCCCTCAAGGCTCAGAAACTGTCTCTTTTACAGTATAATTTAGAGGCATTCGTTATGGCATGATGGTGCTCATTCCATGCTTAACTTAGCTTAGCTGCAACTCAAGCGGAAAATCTCTCCACAACAATTTCTGTTATCCTCAGGATTACATGTCTTTCTGGCTTTTTTCTATCATTTCTGCTGCTGTGACTATATGTACTTCTTCCACTGCTTATTCTTCCACTGCACTGTCCCTATTACGAAGACTCACTTTGTATTAAAACCAAGGCATTTAAGATGTGAGAACTATACTGGTATGCATATTGTAACATACGCCAAGTAATACTAAAGGGTATACTAAGACGTACATCAGAAGCTTTCTGTGATACAGCCATTTTCTTTTTTGCATTTAACTAGGTTTTGAGCCAATTCAAAGTCTTTCGTGTACAGTCCAAGTAATATAAACTCAATGAATGAAGTTGGAACAGTGCCTGGTGATTTACAGTTTGGGCTGATCTGATTTCTGCATATGATTTAATTAGCAATGAAATAAGTCAACATTTCCTGACTTGTCCCCAGAGAAAGGGTGGGTAATTATGGCCAATATTTCATCATTGGACATAATAGTGTTTTAAAACCTTTAAACATTTGCCTAGACTCACTAAATAACTGAATTAGGGTCAGAGTTTAGCTGTGTGTGATGTGGCTTGGGTTATGTATGATGCTAACTTTCCCATACACACAAGCTGTCATCTTTCCTCTTTTCCCTGTTGTTTTGATACAAGACAGAACGTCATATACTTAAGGTTTTTGCTTTCTCTTCCCACTCTCACAGCTAACTATTTCTGTGCGTTGTATATTTATTTCCAGCCCAGGACAATCCAGACAGCCCAAGACACAAGTACAACTTCATCGCTGACGTGGTGGAGAAAATTGCACCTTCTGTGGTTCACATTGAACTTTACCGCAAGTAAGAGTCGTTTAGCACCTGTGTGTTTGATGATGTCCAAGTGCAAAAGCTAATGAATAGAAACACAACATTTACAGCTGGTGTGTGTGTGTGTTTGTGTGTGTGCGCCCGTGTGCGTGTGTGTGTGTGTAGCCAGACCACTCCAGCTGGTAAAGCACCTTCATTCATTGCAGTCTTTTAAAGGCAACTTCTCTGGTGGAGCATCTGTCACCTGCTTGTCTCCATGCAGATGTTATGTGCTTTGATATGTTCCATGGTATGACTTTAGACACAGCTATCTAGCATTTATTCATTATGAGTGTTTTTATTGCTCAAAGATACAATCGTTTTCTCTTTGAATAGGGTCCCTTCTCCACAGATCAGACCTGTAATGTAGCCTATAGTTGTCTCCGTTGAGATAGATAATCCCTACTGTGGAACATTCTGGACAAAGTAATAACATCTCCATGAAGACAAGCAGGTGATGGACCCTCTACCAGAAAAGTTGCACAATGCACCTTTAAAAACTTTTTCATTTCCTGTTTTATCACCTGCAAAGTTCTCTCACTTTTGCGATTTATTATTAGCTGAGCATGATGTGTTCAAATGCTTGTACTCCAGATTTTTCAAATTGCACTAAACTGTTGAAATTACGGAGTGAGAATGCATTTTTCTATTCCAACCCTATACTTCTCTTTGCAGAATGACCTATTCCAAACGGGAGGTGGCAGTGGCCAGTGGATCTGGGTTTGTGGTTTCAGAAGATGGACAGATCGTGACCAATGCGCATGTGGTGGCCAATAAGCATCGAGTGAAGGTGGAGCTGAAGAGTGGGGCCTCCTACGATGCGAAGATCAAAGATGTAGATGAGAAATCGGACATCGCACTCATTAAGATCGATGCACCGGTTAGTCAGTTTCTTTTTATTATGCAGAAACTCAGACAGTTTAATTAAATTGATGTGTTATGAAAAAAAAAATTAGCCTTTTAACTATCTTAGGATGCAGTCTTTTTAAGAGCTCAGTCATGACACTATTTCACTACTACTACTATCCACTACGGTGCACTATGTAACTTTTTTGTTGGGGGTCCATCACTGGCTTGTTTTTATGGATTGTCATTGCTCTTCCTGGAATGTTCCACACCACAGTATAATGTTAAATGGCTCTGCCTTACATTTATTCAATTACAGTTGGTTTTATAGCTCAAAAATGCCAAGAAAAACAGGTATTCTGACTATGAGCGGGGTTGCCTCTCTACAGATCTGACCTTTAACTTGGTTTGGTTTGTTCTCCATGAAGATTGAAATGTTTAATATCATAGTGCGAAACATTCCAGATGAAGCAATAACATCTCTATGGAGAAAAACATTTGATGGACCCTCCATCATTAAAATTACACAATGCACCTTTAAAGTTCTGCATCAAGGCATCATACAAATCATCTCGTTTTGGCAACTTGGTTAATCCATGTACTTCAGGTTAAATTAAATTCCAATATTCGACTCAGACAGGATTGAACCTGTGCATGACTTATTGTCTGATGTCAAATCTCTTTTCTAATTTTAACAATTAAATGTCTCAAAATCGAGTCCTATATGTCCTATAATGATAGCTGTAATGTTTCTTGCTCAAATTTTGAATTGGTCAACCAAAACCTCTCATCTCAACAACAGTGACAAGTGGGATCTTCCTTGAAAGATCCTTAAATCTTGAGGATTATATGGCTTGTCTATAAACCTGTAGTGAGACTGCAGGTGCAGCCACATGAGACCTTTAATGACAGCTGACTTGCCTGTTCACATCCTTCTAAGTAAAGAAAAACAAACCAGTGACATGACACTGATCTTACATGGCTTTTCTCCCATGCACCACTGACGCCTGTATCAAAACTCAGAGCCACTGAAGCATCGCCGTTCCCCCTGCTTCATTAAACACTGGCCACGTTCCTATTTGTACTTCTTTCACATCAACTCATACACTGATCCAGGGAGACACTCATTCCAGTTGATCTCCGCCACCAGTCTTCTGAAGGAATGTGAGCGTGGAGCCAGGCCTCATTGACTGGGAGTGACTCGAGTGCCAAGTGCATTATGGGACATTATGGTGCTCTCACTCATGGATGAGTGACACGGCTGAATAGATGCTCATGACAGCAGCGCGAGGTAACTCACAAAGACAGGAGCTTCTGAAAGGACTTTAGAAACATTCAGGTTTTGTTCCCAGATACAATGTGGGAGAAGAGTGCGGAAAAGAGCAGTGACAGACGCTTTGTTTTTGTGCATCCTATCATAGAGACTGTTTTCTGAGCTGATGATAGCTTAGTATTCATGTAGTGGGGTTTCCTTGTGCTTGTTTGTAATGCATGCTCACTTCAAAGCTTTTGGTTAGAAATTGACTTTTTCATAACTCTTTTGATTCTGAGTGTGCTACAGCAAATAATATGCCTTTATTAGGTATACAGCAATTTGTAAAGACTTGGCACAAAAAGTATACCAGTTTTTCTGTATTATTGAATCATTATGTACCATAAAGTTGTATTTAGGCCATAGACTGTATAAAGAAGTGGACTTAAGAGTGACGTCACCCATAGTGCTAGCATAGGCTCCAGTCAAGTGAAGCTCACAATGATAACAGCAATGGGGCGAATTTAGAGCCAGGTCCATATATGCAGAGGAATTTATTTACATACAAAGTAGCAAAATAAAAACACCAGGATCATGTAGAGCGGGTTAATATGAACATTTTAAGACCAAAATGATGAGGCTCGCAGCAGCAGTTACAGAGAGAGGGGAGACAATTTTTCAATGTAAAGTCAATTGGAAACAGAGTTCATGGAGTCAGAAGTGTCACCATGAACACTTCTTATTCAGAATGTGGCAGCCGGCGAGTTAGCATTATCCATTTATATATACAGTCTATGATTTAGACCAGAAACATACCCTATGATTGAATTGTTTGGATGCAGAGGTCTCACTGGGTGAAGTTTGTGTGTTCTCGTGTTACTTCTCTCTCTATTGGTGACTTGAAACTGAATGGTTGTATAAGAACCTATGATTATGTACATTGTGTACAGTGTCTAACTTGAGACCTATAGTTGCTGGAATAGGCTTCAGTCACTGGCATGCTCACGGCAAATGTGACTTTGTTTGTGCAATTGCAGAGATTTTTCCCATATGGACAGTATTAAGCTAACATGGCATGAGTGTCTTGTTAATTTTAGTGCTATGGGGTGCATTTGTTGTTTTGTAAACAACAGGTGAATGTCATAAAGTGGCTCAGTGCTTAAAGGCACTATATTACACCAAATTAACTCTTGTTAGCTTTAAGAAATGTTAAAATACTGTTACCTCATCAAAAACATACCCTGAGTTTTGTTTCATTTGCACATGTTTGAGTAATCCTTTATTATTAGTCTCCTCATCTTCAAAGCTCAAAATGCTCTGTTCCATTTTGTGATGTCATGAAGTGGTAGTTTTCAAGACAACAGCTACCTTTTACTTTTAGTTTAGCAGAGAATGGCAACTCCAGGGCTGAAATAATCAAAATTATTGTAGTGAAGGTGCATGAAATTTAAAAACACAGTGGGGCACTTTTTTATTACCACATAAGATCATAAGCTGGAACAGAGTGTTTTCCATTTGAGGGAAGAACTCAGCCTAAATATGCAGGATTTGTGTGCTAATCATGTGTGAATGAAACAAAACACAACTCCAGATGTTGATAGTTAATAAAATGCAGTGGGTCGATGAGGACGCCCAGTAGCTGATAGACAAACTCTGCTAGTGAAGACGTTTTTGGAGCAGGATCATTTGGTTGCCGTGCGGAAGTGGAAGACACGTGTGACTAGTGAGGGCTAATATGAAGGGAAATGAGAAGAAGAGTGGTTTATAATGAGAGGGTAGAACTTAACGCAAGCTAACGTTGTCATTTTGGATTTGGAGGGAAAGTACAGGCAGCTCCAGGGTTGTAACATTTTATTACCCCACACACGAAAGAGTTGTGAAAATTGTGTTATGAACCTTTGAAAAAAATGAATTCACTGATAGCTATGTATTAACGAACTTATTTCAAATGTCCAAAAATACTTGAAATATTGTGTTTTATATCTGTTCATGTTTTTAATTTCTGTGTGCATACCATGAACTTAGACCATTACCACACTGTATCATAGAGCCATAGCTCACATGCACAAATTGCTGCGTTTTTACATGAAAAAGAACTACTTAGGGGATTTGGATAGTTATTGGATATTAAAGGTCCTATATTGTGCAAAATTCACTCTTTAAACCATGATATAATGTTGTTACCTCATCAAAAACCTACCCACAGTTGTGTTTTGTTTCATTCAAACATGTTTGAGTAATCCTTTATTATCAGTCTATCTATATCTCCAAAGCTTAAAATGCTTTGTTCCACTTTGTGATGAAGCAGTAGTTTTCAGTTAACAGCTACCTTTTACCTTTTGTTCAGTGGAGATTGATAATTCCAGGGCTGAAATTTTCCAAATCGTTCTAGTGAAGGTGTGTGGAATTTAAAAACACAACAGAATGCTTCCCGTATTACCACGACATCACAAGGTGGAACAGAGTCTTTTCTGTTTCAGAGAACTCACTCTAAACATACAGGATTTGTGTGTTAAAAACGTGTGAATGAAATGTGACACAACTGCAGGTATGTTTGTGATGAGGAAACACCATTATAACGTATTATATCAGAAAATAGCCTAGTATGGGCCCTAAAAATGGCAAAAGGATGAAAAAGAGCAATTTGATTTTATGGTGTATGGGTTTATTTATAGATGCATTTTTTTATACTCACTCTCACCAAAATAAAATAGCAACATCATGGAACTGGAATAGTTGCACAACAAGTGAATTCGCAACAATTCACAAACAATTATGTGTTTTATGAGTGGGAAAGTGGTGAGGTTAGGATTATGGGTTCCTTTGTATTGTGCCTGTGTGTGAAAGTGGAGTCTACTGGTAGCAGTTATAGTTATAGTCCACCCTTCAGCTCTGGGGAACGCATTAATCCATCCACAGCAGCTGGGACTTCAGAGGAGCAGGGCCCAAGAGGAAAGAGCTGCTCTCCCTCGTCCCCGTGCATAGAAGAGGAGAACAGAGGACATAGTCGCGGTCCAGGCGTGGAAAATTGATCCATATGTCAATGAGCTAATAAGCTAACGGGTTCACTGTGCGGTTGTGATAGCTCTGGTCTTGAGTAAGCATTCGGTTGGCCTTTTATTAACCTAGGCCTGTCACCACGGTAACAAGGTGAAGCGTGATATATTGCTGAAGTAAATATAGACGATAACAATAATATTGAAGTTAATGTATGCCAATTACACAATAACCCTGAAGCAGATTTAAAGGTGCATTGTGTAACTTGCTTTTCTCGTAAGTTATTGCTTTGTCTGGAATGTTCTACAGTAGGGCATTAAACATATCTTGGATGCACTTGTTCAATTAGAGGTGTTTTATAGCTCAAAAATAGTGTAAAAAACATTAATTCTTACCAGTTGCAGGCTTATTTCTCCATAGATCTGACCATTAACCTTTCTCCATTGTGATCACCAAGTTTATTTCCATACTGTGAAATATTCAGGGCACAACAGTAATATCTCCATGGAGACTTTCCACCAGACCAGAAAAATTACACAGTGCACCTTTAAACCACAAAAACTAGTCTAAATCTACAATACTGAGCTGCAATAAATACAGAGCAGCTGGAAACACTAGAACTTTGCATCTGTAATGAGTCATAGATGTTAGTAAATCAACCTTTTACATCTTCAAAAATTTCGCAGTAGTCCACTGAAAAATTACCCACTATAAATATTGCCCCCCCAAATATTGTGTCTTTTTTCTTATATTGAAACATAAATCGATACAGTAATTATCGTGAC